AGGTGGTTTCAGAGTAGAAGGCCGGGTGGGTTTGGTTTGGAAGTATGACTGGGTGGCTGCACCGGTAGGTCTCATGGGAGGACTTCACCGCCGACATACTTTTCACGCACGGTAAGGGAAGTCCTGTGCCGCCACTTTTGGCCCGTTTTCACCGCCACGAAAACGAGTCCTGACACAGCCTGTGCGCGTGTCCCATTCCGGCGGACGCTACTGCAGGTACCGATGTCGGCTGCCAGCAGCAGTAATATAGGCCCCGGCGGGGCCGTCGGCATTAGCGGGATGGCCGCCGGTGTGATGCAGCATCCCCAGTCGCAGCAGCAGCAGCACATGGCGCGCCCCACCGCACCGCTGCCTACGACCCACACGGCATCACTGGCTGCCGACACGTACTCGCGCGGCGGGATAGACCTTCTCGGGACAGGCCCTGGGCCCTCGCCGCCCGGACCAACGATGGGACCCGGGGGGATGAGTCGACAGGGCCAGGGTTACAGCACCACCGGGGCTTCGTACCCCTCCAAGGCGGGATCGGGCGGCCCGGGGCCGGCCGGCGGGTTGGGCGTAGGGAGCTATCCGGCCACTGGCTCGGCGGTGCCTAACTGGCTGGGGGGAGAAGGGATGGGACCAGCGGCCCTTGGGATGGGCGGTAGTACCGGCGCTGCGGCTGGGATGATGGTGGGTCCGGGTGGGCAGGTCCGGTATATGGGCGCTGGGGGAGGGCAGCCTTCCTCGATGGTGATGGTGGGTCCAGTAGCAGCAGGTAACGGTACTAATATGATGGGGGCTATGGGTTTGGTGGGGTCGGCGAACGGCCAGCTGCAGCAGCAACATGGCTGGCAGCAGCAGCCGTATTTTGGGCAGCAGCAGGAACAGCAGCAGCGTGGTGGAGGGGCGGTGTTTGACTTTGTGCGGGAGCAGTTCAAGTAGCGGTCGCAGCGGGGCGGCGGGGTTATGGTGTGGTGCTGGGGGACTTACTGATGCGAGTGGAGTGTTTGTGCAGGAAGCGCGAGGGAGCGGGGGAAGGAGCACGATTACGCTGCTGGGTTGATCGGCGCTGCGGTTTAGTGCTGGGGAGCTTGGAAGGTTATGACCTGTGTGGGGAGAGAACCCATTGAGGCGGCGACGTTACCGTAAGCTGGGTGTAAAAACGTATCTATAGTATGTATACGGATCCGCCTTTTCCTGAAGGCTGAACTGAGCTTTGATACATAATGAGAAGGTTGCCTTGGCTGCGTGTCCTCTTTTTCGACCACCTTCGTCCACAGCCTTCGTTTACTTCTGCCCCTGGAGCAGCAGCTGAGCAGCCATTGCAAGAGTACATCTGCCGCAGCCGCGGTGGCGCAGCTGTTGCGGGGCACGTTGATGACCGTGGGTATGACAGGGTTCTCGGTGGCACCCCCTGATTGAGGAGGGGTATGATTTCGGTTACAGTTCATTGAGTGTTTGGTGGCTTGACAGGCAGGTACGGGCTTCTATGGGCGCTGGAAGGAAGTGATCACAGCAGCTTGCTGCATGAACAGTAACTTCAGTGAACCCGCCAACCCTCCGCCCCTTGCAGTTACCTTGGATCATCACAGGGCCAAACACGGACTGAAAGCATATGCTTACTATGCCTATCAAAGAAAGTCAAATTGGAAGGGCGATCTAACGGATAGATGTTTGGGCACGGCGTGGCGCAACGGTACTTAAAGCCAGGATTAGTCTTACTTTCATGGTAGTAGGCCAAGATGTCCTTGAGGCATGTTCACAAGTAGGCCCAAGAGGTTTGGGCGCTGAACCTCGACAGGCTGCCTGGTCCTATATAACAACGCACAATGCTCTATGTAATATATGTTCCAGGAGTAATTAAGCGGATAGTTTCCTTCTGGGATAAACTTCTTCACTCTGATTCAACGACACAATGAAACCTGGTGTGATTATGGCTCCGAAGCCGTAGCATACCTTGAGCCTGTCCACACTGACGCCTTGGACGCTGTAAATTATGCAACAAACACAAGTTATATGAAACATCCGTGTGCCTTTATATTTTCCCCTGTAGATGTAAGCTCAAAACAATCCGTTGCTCAACCTAACGCTTAACTGCTCGTATTGCTTTATGCTTTGAGGTGCAAGTGCTCAAAATTGGGATGGAGCACAAAACATGCCAACTGTCTGGCACAAGGGTGTTAGCTAGGCACTGGAACATGGTGCCGAGGACGCTGCGAAGGCATCGAGATCATCCGATGGACGCGCAGGCGCGATGCAGAAGGTACATAATGCTTGGTCCAGCTGTCGAGAATTAGTTTTACGAAACAGGACAGCGCCTATCATTGGCACCGGGTGACAAGGGCTGACGGGGAACTCAAGTCCCAAGGACCTCTCTCGGTCTAGCACGCTTGCTCTTAGCTGGTTGATGTCATGGAATTTAGAAACCCTCTGAGTTTTGATGCTGGATGAAGGGGTTGGTTCCCTTCCGTCTGTTTTTGGCGCCTGCTGACCTTGTCCTTGCTGGCAATTCGCCTTTGGTCCAGATTCACAGCTATTGTGACCGCTGCGCTTAAGGGCATCTTATGCGACTTGGACGGGGTCATTTATTCCAGTGGGAGCTTTACGGTAAGTCAAACCGGACATGGCATGGCGCAGTTTTCACCATCCCGGAGTTAAGCTTGCGCACTCGCTATGCCATGCACAGAAAGGATGACACCTTTTCCCATTCTGCATTTGGAACGCTGTCCATGACCGATTTAACCATGCCTGTTTCGCATCACCTTACCCTAATGCCCTCGTCGTCGCCATCCGCTGTGTACGGCAGGTGATACCAGGAGCCCGGGAGACCTTTCAGTACTTTCGAGAGCGCCAGATACCATGGCTGTTCGTCACGAACACCAACACTAAAAATCGGGAAGGTACGCAGTGACTCAAGCCACGTTATTCTCTGTGCCCTCCTCTTTCATCGTCGTGCACAACCGGTGGCCTAAGTCTCTGCGCAGCCGCCGGGCCATACACGCTTGAGTCCTCCTAGCCTTCCTTGTCTCCAAAACCCAAATGGGAAAACGCTCATGCATATCCTACCTGACCCGTTGATGCCTTTCCTGCACACCGTGCCGCCGTCCTGAAGGCCTCGCAGCTCGTCTTCAAGGTCTTGGTATACACTGTCTTGCGGAAGATATCGTGAGTCCAGCCAAACTGGCCGCGGACTGGCTGCGAGCGCATAACACAGGTACACGAGCATGTGACCACGGGGAACAGTTCACTGTGTGGCTACGAACACGCCACACCTTTCCATGCCTGGTACAAAACCTCAGCAGTAGTTGGACTTGGGTTATTGCCTTAGCGTGTTCTCGGCTTTGGCCTGACCAGTACATGGCCGTGAAGCGTCTTACAGCAGCGGCGGAGGGAGGCGGCTTGGCGCAGATCCACTTACTGGCCGCAGCCGCGGCGTGCTGCTGGTGCTGCTGCCATTGCCTAATATGGCACGCTGATGCCCTCCGCAGGGCCCGTGGCGCTGTTTGTGGTTCCGGAGCTGAGCTCCGAGTTCGAGGGCATTCCGCTGCTGCCGCCTTCTGCGGAGTCGGGCGCCGCAGCTGTGGTAATCGGCGACAAGGGCCTGGACTGGAACTACAGCGAGCTTAACCGGGCATTCAGGTCCGCCAGCGTGGAGGCACGTTTCCGCTCAACCCCCCCGGATCCCTCTCATCCTCTGATCCTTTGCATTTGCACCTGGTTTTCCCGGTTCCTGTCCCTGGTGCTACGTACTGGCGGGCTGGCAGGCTAGCTGGATGAGTACAGCGATACTGGCCCCGCTGGCGGGATGTACGGCACACGCGCACCCAGCTATCTATTTAAAACGGGACGAGAGGATACCTGCACGCAGAACGCGTGATGTGATCTGGGTTAAGGACAGTCTCGGTGTCAGCCCCAGCTGTCAGGCTTACATGACCCCGCTGCAGCTCTGTGTGTGCAGCTCCACGTCACAGGGAACAAGTTTCCGCGGATACATGCTCCTCATGCAGTTTAACACACACATACACATGCCTTCACACACACACACACACATTCATGCTCTCGTGAGAACGTGGCAACGTTTCTTCCTTCCTAGCAGCTGAGTCAAAGCAGCTGTTCAACCACTTCCCTGCTGCTAGCTCTCTAATCTGAACACGACATCCCTTCGTACGGGTGCATGTATGTATATATACATATATATGTATCGCTATATTGCCGTTTCCTTCCCATGTTCTGCTCCCGTATATGTACCTAAAGACTTGTGATGGAGGGACAGCTCCGAAAGGAAGCAGCTGGACCGACCACGCCAGCGCCGCACTGTGAAATCGGACACAAGAACAACGCCAACACAAGCAGCAACAACAACAACAACAACGACAACGGTAGCAGCAGCAACAATAGCAATGCCATAACCGCCAGTACCAGCAATCGAAATAGAAAAGTAGGCGAGAAGCAGCAGCAGCAGCAGCAGTCGGGGGCCGTTCAGGCATCGGACTCCGGCAGCGGTGGGCCTACGGAGAGCGACGGAGCGGCGCGGAGTACCTCCCCGCCGCTGACATTGATCTCTCTTGGAAAGGGACGGTGAGTTGGGTTGGGTTGTAGTCGACTGACTGATTGATTTAGCCAGGGGAGGGGAAGCGGGTGAGGGATCCACGGCAATCCATTGTGCGCTGCTCTTCGGAACATTGTCATCAGAACATTCATGCATGGAACATTACAGTACCTACATTATTATATTCCGCGCGCTTAAGTGTGCAATGGTGGATTCAAGTTTTAAATTTGCCTAATTATAGTCAATTAGGGTTTTTGTTTGGATGAGCTCGCACCTTAGGAACTCACCTCACAGCAGCCAACCTTCACCCGTCGCATCATCAGCTTCGTCATGATTTGCCGCCAGCAGTGCTTGGTTGATTGCTGGCCGCAGTCATGTCGTTATGCTTGCGTCGTTCTATTTTTCAAAGAAGGGGGGGAAAAGCTGGGGGTCACTTTTATGATGCTACGTTACTGGTCCGGCCGATCGCAGGTATTACAAGGATACCGACGGCTACAGCATAGACGTGGGACCCTTCACGGCGGCCATCGAGTTTGCAGCCGACGTCAAAGCGGTCAGTTGGAAGGCAGTTTCAGTGATGCAATGAACGCGAGTTTAGTCGTGTTATAATTTATAATAATCTTTCGCGCATCCATGCTGCAGCTCTTTTTTAGGGCGCTTGCTTGTTTCGTTGCTTTTCTTCTCCTGCAAAACACACGCACGCACTCATCCTCTTGCCGCCAACCCTCTGCAACACCCTCTGCGTGCCCGTACACCGCCCTCCGAGCCCAGGTGGTCCTTGGCAAGCCGGATCCACTCATTTTCTGTCTCGCGGCGGAAAGCCTGGGACTGAAGCCAGAAGAGGTAGGAAGAGGGGAGAGGGAATCGAACACGTGACTTTGGGCCGTTTTGGCGACGGTCCTTCTTGGTCACCTTGCTCTCCATTCTCGCATGAAGCGTAAGAGGTCGTACATTTGCACCCTCGGCCAAGCAGCTCATATTGTAAGGGACAGGGTCGCGAGGGGGAAACGCGGTGGGGGCGTAGTCCCACGAGCAGCATTGTGTATATGTACATATGTATGTATGTAACGCCGTTCAGGTGGTGATGATTGGCGATGACGTGCGAGGGGATGTTGAGGGCGCCCAGGCGGCTGGCCTGCGCGGGGTGCTGGTCCGTACTGGTAAATACCGCGAGCACGACCTGAGCTTGGGCGTCACTCCGGATGCGGTGTTGCCCTCCATTGGGGAGCTCCCGGCGTGGTGGGAACAACAACAGCAACAACAACAACAACAACAACAACAACAACAACAGCAGCAGCAGCAACAACAACAACAACAACAACAACAACAACAACAACAACAAGACGGGCGCCAGGATCAGGAACGGGAGACGCAGCAACAGCAGCAGCAAGAAAGTGAGGACCAGGAGGAGCAAGGACGGGGACAGCTGTGGGAAGAGGAGGAGGAAGCGGAGGAGGAAGAGGAGGGGCAGCAGCGGCAACAAGAGCAGATGGTGACGGCTGCCAGTAGTAACCGTGCCGGTGCCGGCAGCAAGTCTGCTGCTGGGGTGACGGTGGCGGTGGGCGCGTGATGCTTTGATGCCCCACCACTACCACCACCAGCGGCATCTGCACAACCAGCGGGTGGTAAAATGTACGGGGAATGCTTCCACATGTGCCTTGCCGTACATGTACGGGGAAGTACAGCGCGTGCTGTGTGCGTCTGTATGTGTCAGGTGTGCGCATGCGGTCAGTTATGTCCTCTATGGTGAAAGTATGGAGTTGTTTATGTGTGTGCATCTGTCTGTATGTGTGTGCGTGCATGCCTTCTCGTTGACTGGTGCAGCGCGCTGAACTCTTCATGAAAGTCAAAAAACGTGTGCTCTTTCTTGCTGCCGTCGTGCGATTATTACTAGTATGGCTGTCATTGCTAATGGGCGAGGTTGGGCGTGAGGTGGTCGTGAGTCGTGGAGCGTCTGCAGCTGCTGGCGGGTGCCGCATCTGGAGCAACTAATTTTCGGCGGCGTCAGGAAGGGAGGGAAGGAAGAATGCCACAAATATGATATAATGCACCTAAGGGAAAAGCAAAGAAATAATGGGAGGTAAGAAGAAAGAAGAAGAAGCAAAACGTAGAGCAAGCATGAAGATGTTTGTCTTCGCCTACATGCATGTTTGCAGAGCCGGAAGTTGGTTGACGTGCCTGGATGTGTGTGCTAGACATCGCGGAATTCGGGCGTCGAATGCGTGAGGGCAGCAGCTTCTGCATCAGTGGCGGCATCAGCACAGCATTGAGCGCGGCGGGCAGAGCCCAGTATAGTTGCGCATTGCGGGCAGTATAGTTGCGCATTGCGCGGGTAGCCATTTTGTTTCGTGCTGGTACGACGACAGTTAACAGTTGACAACGTTTGAACATTGGCCCTGACTCTCTCCAATTACCTGCCCGAAGGTTGATATGCATGTGGGTCAGATTCGTGGAAGTTACTGTTGAGAGTACAACTCTCGAGTAATAATTTCAATTAAAAAGGATGTTTGAGCGTGTGTGTGTGTGTGTGCGTGTGTGTGTTTTCAACATCAAAAAGGACGTATTGCGTAAGCCAGGCTTGTTGGGAATCGATTGTATGTGGCGAAGTTGTGGGATGTGTACGGCACACCGTACATGCCATCCAACGTTGCAGTTGGAACCGATAAGAGCTGCGGCTGCATATGTTGACGAGTTCACGGAAGGTTTTTTGCTTTCCTTTCCTTCTCCCCTTTTTCGGTTTGTTTACAAGCACGTGCATGGCCCTGTGTGGAGGGACACGCATTACGATGAGTCCCTAGGGCCGAATACAAGATCACGTGCCGAAATGTGAGACGTGCGCTGTCCGCCGCTTTTTAGCGAATTCGTATTTTGCCATTTTTGACTTCGTAGGGCGGTCGCATGCTGCATCTTAATAGTCATGAACGCCTTAAGCGCGCGGTAACAGCATTTTTGAACCCAACAACGGTAACAAACCTCGACTCGGAATGTGTGGATGTGCACGGTTCAGCCCCAGGCCCTAGCTTTGCGGCCGAGGCCCCCGTTCGCCTTTCGGTGGCCCGAGGTCCCCGGGGTGAGCACTGCTGTCAGTCAGTCATTGTCGTGTCTAATGATAAACTCGCATGCCATAGGGCGTGCGGTGTGCGTGCACGCTGCAGCACAGGCTGCTTCTGTTCATGCGCTTTGATTTGCTGTGCAGCCGCGCGGTTTCCTCGCTCTTTCCTTCGACTTCCTTGTAATAGCTATTTATGGCTCAGCTCATCGCCACACCCCGCAACTCCAGCCCACCCATGCCAACTGCTCCAGCACTTCCATCCTTGCCTTCTGCTGCTCCGTCTCACGCACATCTCAGACATGTCCTATTCTCCAGTTCCGGGGCTGGCAATGGGGAACTGGGTCCGCGCACTACCAGGAGGCTATAGATATGCTCAGCCGTTCTTGCCGAGATGGAGGCGGCGCGCAATGCACCGTTTATATGGATTTGCATTGGCGCACTAGCAAGTGATATACACCAGATTCATACATCACTCTAACGCCGCTGGCCATCACACCCAGCCCTCGCAGCTATCCATAATAATGAGCGTATAGTCCAAGCACGACACCGTTCCTCCACTTGCAGATCAGTGCCGTACAGCCTCCCCTGCGGAATACTTTGGGGCGACTGGGTGCACCGGGGCCGAGCCCCTTTCGGTTTCGAAGAAGCTGACTACCCTAGTCCCTAGCTAAAGCTAGGGACTAGGGTTGTGCGATACCCACAAGGCTCGGCCTAAAGGCGCGTTCTCCGGCAGCTGCAGGACGCTGCTTGTGTCGCCTCGCCTTGTGAAGACTGCTGACAGTTTAGGAGGACTGCAACTTGGGCATCAAAACGTTTCCCTCGCTTTCCTGCTGCCTCACCTTTTGAGGGGGAAGCCATCTGCCTCCATTGAGAGGGCATGCCAGCCGTTTCTGTGAAACGGAAATGTTATCGCACCCCATCACACACCCAACACAAACATGCACGTCATGTGCCCCTTTTGTGACTGGGTTTGGGTCGAAAGATTAAGCAGAGGAGCCGCTACGAGGGACACCGCCCGTCATGAGCCATGCGAACACAGGAGCGCATTGTTAGGCAAGCCTGCCTCCTGACTACAAAAGAAGCAACTCTCCCATGCAACCCTAAGCTCACAAGCAAATTGCGCGGCACGTCGGCTCTCATTATCACGTTCCTCCCTAGCTACTGCTAGTCTGCAACAACCAGCAGTGCTACCTCTATCCTTTTCCGCAGCAAGTCCGGAGCGTTCCTATATGCATATTGGCGTTTATTCAAGCAGACAGAAGAGGTGACAGCCTGTACGGCCCCACCTTCCTGCACACCTTAGGTCGGCACCAGGCTAACTCGCAGCGGGAGCTCTGGTCTGCTTTGCCCTGGCCTGCCCCGGATTTCCCACGTGGTCTCAGTCCACGTTGTTTGCATAAAAAGCAGGAAGCCCGATGGAAGACGTACTGAGAGCGGACCACCGTTGAGACCCACCAGTACATAGCCCGCACCCTAAGAGCCCATGATAGGATGGTAAGATGCAGACTACAACACAAGACCATCACGCACTGAACCCAAACCGCAGCCGCACGTGGCAGGAATGGCACCCCCGAATATTCGGATGTACCTTGCATTGCATGCAAAAAGGCCCATATGCCGCGGAAAGGCACGCAGCCAGCACTTGTGGATTGATTGATACATCACCACGCTGTTCGCACTTGGAACGAGCGCACATTAGACCGAGCAGGGTAAAAAGAAGCGAGAGACGTCGTCTGCGTCAAGTGACGTCGTCTGCGTTTGCTCCCAAACGGAATGAAAGGGCAAACTTAGGGGTCATTCCGGTCATCAGCACAAAGAAACTCCCAACTTCCCAACATTCTCCCGATACTAAAGGCAGACTGGCGGACAGCACCTCCTGGCTCGCTTTAGCAGAGGGCTGCGACCCCTTATTATGTGCAACCCTTTTACACATCTGCACGCTGCCCATTTCCCCCCCTTCTCCCCGGCCTGTTCGGCAATCTGTGTCTTGTAAAGCGACAGTGGTGCCTCTACACGTAGCAAAACGGGAAAAAAAACTCATTACCCGGGGCAACCGGCCATCTCTCATTCCGCCCGAGTAGTCATTCTTCCTAGGTGTGTGGGATCCACCATTGCGCCTGGAGTTCAACCACGGTTCATATGCCTTACGGTTTGGGGACAAGCCTTAGCAGCGAATTACATAGCACGACTTGGAATGGTCCAGCGTCTTTCTGTGTTTCGCAGTGAGTCGCTGCTGCTGTTACCCGTCCACGTCTGCTGCTGCTGTTTTACCTGTCGCCAATGTAGGACTAGACAGACGGGGATAGGATAATTAGTAGGACAATACACACACACACTAAAAATGAAAGGCCCTAGGCAACGTCTAGTACAACAGACCACCTCTAGTAGTATCTCCTCTAATGCCACAAAAGCCCCCTAACGGCGTTCCATCTCTGCAAAGTTCCATGTATGTGCCGCGCCGTCCATGTTCAGCAGCAAGAAGCAATCACGTGCAAGACCTTCAGGGCGCCGAGCCAAATTCAGGAGTAGTCCTCGTCGCCTTTTGCACAAACAAACAGACAGACAAACGCACACGCACTGCATCAACATCAGCATCGTGTCATCGGCAGCCGAGCCGTGCGCACAAACGCGCGTCCTTACGTCAGCAATTCCTTTAATTTCCCAGGTGCTGACGTCATCATAAATCTCATCAAGCACACGAATACTAGTGCACACACACCACCAATGCTTGGCGCCAGCAACAAACAACAATGGCAAAAACAGCAGCAGCAGCAGCAGCAGCAGCGGGAGTTCCCTCCCTCCTCCTCCTCCTCGTCGACCACCCCTCTTCCCGCTCACCGTTGCTGCTTCCACAACAATACGGCCCATGAAAGCCGTGACTATGTTTAGCCTACACTCACCAACACAACAGCAGTCAAATGCCAAACCTGTTATCTCTGGCTGGTGTACTGTAGTGCAGGCAAGGACACAGCGGTCCTTGACTATTCGACTAAAAATATCATCAAGTAAACACCAATATCTCAAGACAAGCTGACCGGGAGCTACAACAAAAAGGAGGACAGTGCCATCAGCCATGATACAACCTATATTCTGTTTGTTGTAATGTGATGTGCTGTCTGTCTGTCTGTCTGTCCTGCCTTCCTCAGGGCAGAAAATGGAGGAGACGAGATAGGGCGACGGCGACGGCGAGGACGAAGGAGTTCGAGAAAATGGAGGAATTCCTCTGCCTGCTGGCCTGCCTGCCTGCCTGCCTGCCTGCCTGCCTGAGAGTCAGGACCCCAACCTGGGCCGCGCCAACTACGCGGCGGACACCATCACCGACAGTTCTCCCCAACATGGAGCCAAAGCGGCCCTGTAATGGCACAGGGGATCTAAGACATCCTAGCTGCCCCTCACCCCCGCCCCCTCACCGCCACCATTAGGGAGCAGCCGCCAAGGATCAAAATACGAATACACATGCACGGAAACAAATCCCGTCGCTTCAGTGCAGGAAACCTTCTCCTCCTCCCCTTCCTCCGCCCCCTCCCCCTCCTCCCGGGGCATGTGTGCTACCAACGAATTACAACAGCGGCCAATAAAATGAAGGCAGCAGCCCAGAAAATATCAAATCATATCGTTCTGGTCGAGAAAGCAGCCAGAACAATAATCAACGAACGGCAGATTTGACGGAAGATTCGACGGGTACTGTTGCTAGCGCTAAAGCACGGCAGAGACAGATGTCCACAGCGACCAATCCACAAGTGTAAGCACATACGGGAAGAAGTAGTTAGGGGCCACGAAACGACCCAAACAAGCGAAGCGACAAACACGTGTGCCTTGGGTTTAAGGCTAAGTGCACCGTTCCTTATCCCAAACCCTCCGCCCGGGACAACCCCCCTCGCTCCCCCTTACTATCACTTCTCGTTCCTCGCTTTGCCTGCTGTCTTTGCCTTCCCCCCCTCTGTCTCAAACGTCCCCCCAGAGCCCTCACCTCCCCTGAGGACCTGACCGCCATCCTCCTCCTCCTCCTCCTCACTCACTCACTTCAAATACGTGTGCCTCCCGCTCTCAAGCGACGCCCTGCTTGACAGCCCTCCGCGAGGACATCCGCTTCTGGGAAGACCAAAGCCGATTGGCGCTGCTACTGCCGCTGGGTGTGCTGCCGCTACCGCCACCAGCACTCAACGTACCACGCAACGAAGCGAAACCACCACCGCCACTAACTCCACCACCACTGCCGCCACGTCCGCCACTACCATAACCACCATTACCATTACCATTACTACTGTTAATGCTAATGCTACTACTATTACCACCCAAGCCTAGGCCGCGACGTCCAGCGCCACCATAGCTCCGAGCCGTCTCCACCGCGCGCCGCAGCACCGCGGCTTTCCTCTCGCAGCCTTCTTCGCCACCACCACCGTCACCCAACTCAGCGGTCGGTGTGGGGCTTCGGTCACGGGCCGCCGCCCCGACAGCCGTCCCCAAGCCCCCTCCCCTGAGGACCTGACCGTCCCCTCCCCTGCCATCCTTCACCACAGCAGCCCCCGGGGGGAGCGGCCCGAGCGATGCGGGGAGGGCCGTGGTCGCGGGGCTGCCGCCGCCTCGAGAACGGGAGGAACGCACGAGGCCTCCTCCCCGCGATGTAAGCCCCCGGCTGGCAGGTGAGGAGGCTGGGGAGGTGCTGACTGTGGCGGCGGCGACGGTGGCGATGGCGGTAGTGGTGGTGGTTGTGGTGGTGGAAGCGGTGACTGCTCGACGCCACTGCTGTGCAGCCGGGCTCTGTGAGAATGCGGATGTGGATGCGGGTGGTGTACAGGCGGAAGGCCCGCTAGCTGCGTGAGCTGCTGCAGTCACCGGAGTCGCCGTAGCTGCCGCCACGCCAGCAGTCGCCGCAGTCGCAGCAGCACACGTTGTTCCCTGAATCGGTTCGCGGCCCTGCTGCTGCTGCTGCTGCAGCGGCGGCGGCCGCCGAACCAGACATGCAGTAGCACCACCACCGCCACCACCATCACTGCCATTGAGCCTGTTAAAGCATCCAACAGAACCTGAGCCCCAGGATACCCGCTCAAGCTTCTCCTCGCCCAATTCCTCCTCCTCCTCCCCCTCCTCCTCCTCCCCCATTTCGCACACTGCCTCGCAAAATGCCATACGTGAAGGCCTAGCAGATCCTCCTGCCAGAGCAGGCAGACCATCCGCCGGGGCCTCGACCGCAACCTCCGCCTCCGCTGCCGGCCCTACACCCCTCGTCGGCCAACCAACGACTTCACCGATGCCAGTCGACACCACTGCGGCAGTAGCGCCACTAGCTATTGCCGGCACGGCAGGGACTACTGCTGCTGCGGCGAGCTGTGGCGCTACCGCGTCCGCCGCCGCTGACTCAGCACTCGTATCCACTCCCTCCCAGCACGCACATCCTCCCGACGGTCGCGGCCCCGCATTCAAGGCGGGATCGCTCTCCAAGATCCAGCTGCCCATGGGAAGGCTAAAAAGGCTGCCAGCCTCATCCGAGGCGCAGCTGCCGAACGGGCGGAGCTCACCGCCACCACCACCAATACCGCCTCTGGCGCTGACACACGCCGCAAGCCGCCTGCGGGAAACAGACTGGGCCCCCGCCACTCCGCCGCCATCTCCTCGTTGCGTTTCGCATCCATACCGCCCAGAGAAAATACCGCCACCACCACAGTCGCTACTGCCTCTGCCTCCGCCACCGCCACAGCCGCTGCTGCGGCTGCTGCTGATGCAGGCAACGTTCTGTCGAGGATGCGGCTGTAGCATCAGCAGTAGCGTCTGCAAAGATTCAGTGTGTGTGGCAAAAGGTCCTCGGCTACTAATGACGGTAGCTACTTTTGCCGCTGCACCTGTAGCAGTAACACCTGTAGCAGTAGCCCTGTCCTGATGACAGTCGCCAGTCCAGCAGTACTCCTGGGGTCCTTTCGGTGCTGCCGCTACTGCCCCTGCTACTGCTTCTTCCCTTGCTGCTGCTACTGCTGCTGCTACTGCCGGCATCTGCGCGGATTTAGACATCCCGGAGCCAGTGACTGTACTGCCCTGTGGTCCATTGCGATTGCCGCTGGTGCTGGTAGTGGTGGTGCTGGTAGTGGTGGTGCTGGTAGTGGTGGTAGTAGTAGTAGTGGTGCTGCCCCTGCACAAAGGTACGGGTGCTGTTGCGGCTATTGCGGCTGCTGGTACTGCGGCTGCTGGCAGATTGGGGAGCTCAGAATCCGTAAAAGAGGCACCCGCGATGTGCGCGGCCCATACGGACGAGTGGTGGTGCTTACCCGCCGAGGCTGCCCCTGCTACTGCTGCAGCCTTAGCCGTAGCTCCGGCCGCAGGAGCAGCGAAAGACGAGTTGCGTGACGCGGACATCCCGCCACCTGACGCCGATGCGCTGAATTCAAAACCTGGTACCGGGTTTGAGGAGGTGTACGGCACCAGTGACGCTGCTACTCTCGCCACTTCGTCAGCTCTCCGAGCGCCGTCACCGTCGCCGCCGTCGCCGTCGCCGCTGCCAGGTACCCAAACCTGCACCCGCTGTCGTATCGCTCCGTTAGCACTAGAGCCGCCGCGCTCCCAGACTACTGCCGCCGCCGCTGCCGACTCACCGCCAACGCCACCCGCGCCCGCTACAGGTCTCCTTGCTACAGCCCGTGGCGAACCCCACTCGCAGCCTGGTGCAGCCCGTCTGATGCTGCTACTGCTGTTGCTACTGCCCTCGCAGGGCGCTCTTTCGCCCTCCTCCCACGGAACCGCCGCCGCCCGGGGCGGAGGAGCTTTAGGGACGGCAGCAGACAGGAACGAATGCGAATGCGAGGGCGAGGGCGAGAACGGCAGTACTCGGCCGGCGGCACCCTGCTGCGTGCCGCACCTGGGCGATAATTGCACGGGGCTGCTACCGCCACTACTGCTACCGCCACTACTGCTACCGCCACTACTGCGGCGGTGGAAACGGTTACTGGCAGTAGCACTGCTGCAATCTGTGTGGAGACGGCTAATGGGGCGCGCTGTGACGGCCCTTGGTGCGGGCAGGTGCAGACGACTCCGCGCGCGCAGACGCTCATCCGTCCCGTATGAAGTCGCTGCTGCAACTGCTGCTTCTGCTAACAACTCCAGTTCCATCTCCCCGCCGACGCTACTGCTCGCCGGTCGCCGCCTCGCTACTGCCGCTACTTCTCCTCCTCCTGTCCCCCCACCCATTGAGACGCTCTTGTGGTGAGTCGCTACGCCGCGAGCAGGCCGGTTAGTGGCAGCAGCCATAGCAGCAGTAGCAGCGGCGGCTGCTGCGGCGGCGGCGACGATCTGCAGGCCTCCAACCGTACCTCTTGGAGTACTGCCAAACCCAGCCGCCGTCGCCGCTTCAGCCGCCGTCGCCGCTACAGCCGCCGCCGCCGCTTCAGCCGCCGTCGCCGCTTCAGCCGCCGGTGGTGTAAGCTTCAGCACCGTGGCTGTCTCCTCCTCATCCGCACGCATGCGATAACGGCAAGTTGTGTCGGTGGCAGTGGTGCCGCTGCCTGGCAGTGGCGCCACAGCGTACGGCAACGGACTGTACGACCGTACGACTTGGGAGCTGGTGGATCCCCCCGTATCCTTGTTGTTCAATAAACTGCTGCTGTGACTGATGCCTCTGCTGTCCTTTTTGAAATTGTTGTTGTTGTCGCTGTTGCTACTGCCATTACGGCCAAAGCTGTTGTTGATGTTGTTGTTGTTGTTGTTGTTGTTGTTGTTATCCTGGTTTCGGTAATGGTTGTTGGTGCCGCATGTCGTCGTCGCGGAAGCGCATCTAGATTTCAGGCGCCGGCACTCGAGCATCAACCGCATCTCCTCAAGCACCTGTGCATACGCGTGAGCGTGTGTGTGTGTGTGTGCGTGTGTGTATGTGTGTGTGTATGTGTCTCAGCGTGTGTGTGTGTGGAGGTTGACGAGGAGGGCTCTAGGTGTGAAAGACGGAAAGAAGCGGGAGAGGTGAGGGACCTCTCCACTCGGCCACGTCCCCCCAACAGGAAAAGGGGGAGGGAGGGGCATGGTTACGAGATCGATGAAGCGGCGAAGGGGCGGACAACAACCCCCCATAGACATACACCCACGCATATCACCCTGTTCCCGCATCGCGATTCAGATTAACTACCCCCTCCACACACCCCACACAAACCCCCTTTTTCATCAGTCAACCCAAAATCTCTTTACCTCCACTCCCTGGATTTGACCTCCGCCTTCACTACGACGGGCTTGTGCGGCAGCGTAACTCGGACCACCGCCCGTTCCGCCGCCTAGCACTCGGAGGCGCGAATGCACAGCCAGGGCCCCGGCGGCACCGCCAGCAGCAGCAGCGGCCGCAGTAACGGACAGCTCCGTCGGGCCGTTAGACGATGCCAGGAGGAGCGCCTGGCAAACAACAGCCTCAAGGTCTGCGGCGTGAGTTCGAATCTCGCAAGGTACAAATGCCGCCGCCACCAGCCGGCCGTCTGGCGTCAGTAATGTCGATGCCAATGACGACGGTGCCGCCGCCGTCGCCGCCGCCGTCGCCGCCGCTGCGGCGGCGGCGGCGCGCACCTCCGTGTCGGATCGCGGCGGCTGCAGGGCCTTACGTACCGCCGCCGCGCTGAAAATCGCCCCCGCGAGACACCTGCCCCCGCTGACGCCGCCGCCGCCGCCGCAGGATCCCCGGCCACTACCCACACCCCCGCCGCCGCTGCGGCCAACCCCACCACTACAAGCATCGCGTCTGTCGAGGACGTTGACAAACAATCTGCTGCGTCCCGCTGCCGCCTCCGCAAAGCCCTCCACTAGCTCCTCGTCCTGCTCCTCAGGCTGAAACGCCTCAGCGGTAGCGCCGCCGCAGCCGCCACGATCGACTCGCCCGCGGCATCGCGATAAAAACGGCGGGTGTTGCATTTTCGGTGGTGATGGTGTCGGGCACAGCGGCGATGTAGATCCAAATGTCGCCGCCGCCGCCGCCGCGTCGGTATGCGACGTCGGCGGCAAGCCGCCGCCACCTACTGAGCAGAGCTCCCCTGCCGCCGCCGTCGCCGCCGCCGTCGACCTCACGCCAGCTCCCCCAAAACACATCGCACCAGCCCCGCCAAAACACACGGGGAAAGGCTGCAAAGGGACCCCTGCTGTCGCCGCCGCTGTTGCTGCCGTTGCCGGCGGCGGCGAAGGTGCCGGTGGCGCTGCATTGATATCCCGCGGTGCTAGCGATGGCGACCTGTAAGGCGGTAGTAGCTGCTGCTGTTGCTGTTGTTCGTTGGCATTAGCGGCTGTCTGTAGCTGGTCCGCGGGGTAGAGGTCGTCTAGGGGGCCCAGCGGCCGCTTCGGGGGTGGCGGCGGCGGCGGCGGCAGCACTGAGGAGAGCGGTAGGCACGCCGCCATCGTCTGAGAGCTGCAGGACCGCCTGAGGTGCTGGTTGTCGCTGGTGCTGCTCCTGTTGTTGTTGCTGTTGCTGTTGGTGCTGTTGTTGTTGTTGGTGGTGGTGGTGGTGGTGGTAGTGTTGTTGTTGATGTTGGTGTTCAAGTTTGCTAATATCGTGCTGGTCGTGGTGGTGATAGGGTTGGCGGTGGCGCTGTCCTGTCTACAGCGGTCATGGCCGTGGTGGTGATGGTAGTAATTGCGGGGGTAGTTGTGGTCGTTCGTCCTGGGTGCCATCAGGCAACTGCCCAGGGCCAGTAGCGGCCGACACGAGCCGCCTGCCTGCCTGCGGGAAGGTGAGTGGTGCGTGTGTGTGTCAAGAGTTGTGTCAAGAGTTGTGTCAAGAGTTGTGTCAAGAGTTGTGTCAAGAGTTGTGTCAAGAGTTGTGTCAAGAGTTGTGTCAAGAGTTGTGTCAAGAGTTGTGTCAAGAGTTGTGTCAAGAGTTGTGTGGACACGTACGTGAGTGGGCAAGACAGCCAGCCCCTCACCAAGGCCCCTGCAGTCACTCCCACCCCCCACCTACCTTAGTGGAGCCTCCTCCGCCCGCTTCCCGCGCCGCCCTGCAGGCGGGTGCTGGTGATGGTCGTGAGGGTGGTGTTGGTGCTGGTGGCGGCGGGCGGCGCTGTTGCTATCGCCGCTGTTGTCACCGCCCTCAACCCCCCAAACCCCACCACCACCATCCCTACCCCCAACCCCACTGCTGGGCCCTATTAGGTCAAACCTCCAGGGTGGGGCCCACAAAGGGGCCTGCTGCTGCTGTTGCTGCTCTTGTTGCTGCTGCTGTTGTTGTTGCTGGGGGTGGGGATGGCGAGTGGCGGGTCTGTTAGAGAACCGACAGAGCCGCCGAACAGCCTGTTGAATGTTTGCGGTGGGCGGAGGGAAATGGAAGGAAGGAAAGCGGGTACGGCTCAACCAGCGCTACCAGGGCCACTACCACAGCGCATGCCATCCACATCCTCATGGGCCCTCCCCTGCGGGCCGCAGCTGCTTTCCCTATGTCGGGTTCCGACTGTTGATCCCCACCCCCACCCCCACCCCATTGGTCGTGTATAAGCAATTCAGCAACCAACTACGCCGCCATCCTATCCTCAGTGCTCGCTCCCACCGCCGTCCCCTCCGTCTCACCCCTTACTCCCCAGTCATACCAGTACTACTCGAGAGATGCCTCGCGCTCCCCCCCCCACCCGCTACCTCACCAGCAGTTTCTCCATGTCGTGAGCCAGGTGGGGGTACCTCAGTGCCACCGCTGAGAAGGCCTGGTCCGTGGGGTAGTCCCCCCCCAACACGTGAAGCAAACTCCATCTGCAACCCCGTGAACATACATACATACATACATACATACATACATACATACATACATACATACATACATACATACATACATACATACATACATACATACACACGAGCCTGGTGGGCAGATGGGCAAGTAGACCGGTAGCAACTGGGGATAGGCAGGCAGGCAGCCAGAGGACGAGGCGAAGCAGCAGCAGCAGCAGCTGCAGCTGCCCGCGACGAGCCAACAGCCCGCAGCAAGCATTCCTGCGCACCAGCAGCCCGCGATCAGGCCCCACCCACCACCGCCACACCCCGGGCCGCACCTGAGCTCAGGTTGCGGGTGCAGCAGCCCCCGGATGAGTGTTCGCGCAGCTCGGGGAAGGCCCAGAGATAAGGCCCTGCAAAAGTGGAAAAGCGGAGGCGGACGATGGGACAAAGGAAGATGGGACTCCTTCGCATACAAGCAAGCTTCAGCCTTCAGCGTCCAAAGCCGTGGATGCAGCCGAACCGCCCAAAGTTCCGAAACACCCTGTCCCAAAGAGCCAAACCGAAAAGTACGAGGATGGGGAGTAGAAAGATCCCTTCAAACCACTGACTGATCGCTTCGTTTACTTTGCTCCGAGTAGGTGAGCTCATGCGGGCGGTCGTTGTCAGTTCAACCCCAGGTCCAGGACCTCCAGCGGGTGGAGGCCATCAGCACTTCGGAAGGGAATGTGGGGCTAGGCCAGTGGACTGAATGTCGCCGCGTTTCCCTTCGCCCCCAACTGCATATGGGTTTCTGGAGACAGTCGGGGCCCAGGGCCGGTCGGGGCACACACACCCAAACAGCCCCTGGGTCTTCACTCCCCCCATCGCCCCATCTTCCCCGCCAACAACCCGCACTCGAGCCTCTTCCAGACAGCCTTTCCCCCTCAAAACCAACCAGGCCTCGGCACGCATCGCCCTCAATCCCCGCACCTGAATTTGATGTCCCCCTTCATCACCGCCTTCCGTACCAGCATGAGCTGTTGCTCCGGAACCAGCTTCCCCAGTCGCTGCAATGATCGGGAGCTGAAGGGCCATGTCTGCAGGCCGTACAGCAGCTGGTAGAGGGTCACACCCAAGGCCCACCTAGAAGATTCGGCGTGTGGATTCGGGGCGTGTGGATTCAGGAAGATCATATGATGATGATAATGATGATGATGCAAGAAGCAAAGGATCAAATTGCCAGTGTCCAGAGAGGGCAAAGGGAAGCAAGGCCAGGGAAAGGCGGATGGCGCAGTGCGGGGGGAAGGGGAGATGGATGTCAGTTTGTAGACGGGGGAATGGGGGAGGGGGAGGGGGAAAGAGGGAGGGGAAAACGACGCCTGTGTGAACAGGCTTTCCTAACGGCTTTCTACCGGCCTGTAGAGAGCCGGTAGCGCTGTAACAAGCCAAAGAGAGTCCCAAAAGACACTTTGCCATGTACTTAAAGGGGACGTGAGACGGGCTCACGCGTGCAGGCAGAGACGTAATGCTTAGCCCGGGTCACTTCCCCGGTTTTCAAAGTCGGACACGATAGGCCAGTTAACACGTTAGAAGCCTAACGGGAGCGAGGGGTTTAAGCTGCGGTAGGACGCACGTGTAGTTTTGGTTCACTGGAGCGCTTTTTACTGAGACGCTGTATTCTATCCGGGGGATTGGAGCCTGGAGAGCTGGCGGAAGGGGCTAGCGAAGGGCGCTGCAACCTTGACCTCTTACCAGTCTGCTGCGTAGCCATCATCGATGTTGCTGAATTTTTGTGGGGAAAAGTAAAGTAGGGTACCGCCGCTTGCAGGCCGGGTCGGGTCGCTGGCCATTCGGGACAGGTTGAAGTCGCAGAGCTTGACGGAGCCGTCCCGGCCGAACAAAAAATTGCTCGGCTTTATGTCCTGAAGGGCAAGGCTATTACGTTCGCTAGGCCGCCGCGTTACGTCTTGGGGCGAGTTTTCGCCCTCCCTTTTTCCACCAACCTGGTGAATAACGCCGCGGCTGTGTAGCTGCGCCACACAATTTATCATCATCACGATGTATTGCTGCGTGGAGAGTCCAGATGCATTTGGGAGGCGCTGCAGGCCAAACGTTTAAAGTTACTAGCGGAAACCATTCTCGGTCTGGCCTCGGACGCGACTTACCTGGCCAGCCAGCCTGGAAAGGAGATCACCCACGCTTCCTTGGCACAGCTCCAGCAACAGTGCTGCATTTCGAGAGCCTGCCCCGCAATCTTCGCCCAGCCGTCCATAAAAACCAACGACAGTTGAGTTCAGTCCAAGCGTCTCCAAAATCACAGCTTCCTCATCAGCCGCCCGTGATTCAGATAAGATTTTCAGAGCGTATTCGTCTGATATCTTGACAACCGTCGCGAGCCCCCCTTTGCCCAGAATGGACATTCCTTTCGAGGCATTATCAGGTTAATTAAAGTTCACTTGACTGTTAACGTTCGTGCACATTATTGATGGGTTGACTGTTGGCCGCAATACACAGGCCGTGTGGGCATCCGTCACAGCATCTAATTGCGGAGCTTGCCGTACTTTAAATTCGTAACCGAAAGGAACACAAAGGCACTTTGCCGGCCTAACAAAGTGTTACATGCTTAAGTTTTATCTCCGTGGGCTTCGTGTACACACCTGAAGCCGCAAGGGCACGTTTAGAGTTACAGCGACGGCCAGGGACTTACAATTCACGGGACGCCAAGAACTTCACATTTCTTAGGAATCCGCCCAATTACCTTTCACTCTATAAGAGAGCTTACTTTGCAAACATCCAAAGGGCAGCGGTGTACTTTCGTCTTGACTTATGGCGCGCGCCTGTCAACAGGTTACAATGAAAGCCAGCAAATGCTGGCTGAGGTGCGTGGTTTACGTCTGGGTACCCTAAGGTAATTCCAGCAATCCAAAAGGTACTATGGTAATGTCTTGACGGTGGAAAGGTTTGAAAACCCCTGCACCAGAACTTCTAACCAATAGAACAGTCTGTCAAAATCACTTTAGGTTACCATCATTTATTGTAACAACACAATGCACATGGTAATTCTTGACGGTGGAAAGGTTTGAAAACCCCTGCTCCAGAACTTCTAACCAATAGAACAGTCTGTCAAAATCACTTTAGGTTACCATCATTTATTGTAACAACACAAAGCACAGGTGTGTTGCTCATCACACCTTTGCGGCATTGCAGCTCAAGGATCCCCGCCGCGCTGTCATAGACGTTGCCGCAAGCCTAGGGACCGCAACACGCATGCATTAATCACTAGTTCTCTAGTGATGAGGCGCCGCTCTCTAGACATGTAGAAGCACACGAAATGTTGTTCGTCCGCGGGCCAACCCTACGGACGTGGAACTGGAGTTCACGTTCGCTCGTCATGCTAACCCCGTCCTCAGATGCTTGCTGTATTAACCCGTCGTCAAGCAGGCGTCGAAGTTTGGCATGGTATTGGGTCCATGCATGCAGCCCGAGTCTCGCCCCAAATGCGACCGGGAAGGGCTGCAATAGCCGCACTTCGCACTACCATACAGGTTTTCCCTCATTTTGAGGGGACGGAGCTCTTCAAGGCACCTGGCCAGCTCTGCCAGTCTGGGCAGGGCAAGACTGCTGCAGGATTTTTCCTTTGTTGTCATATCCAGGTGGCCCTCCCAGCATGAAGGCAATTCACATCATTCACCACACGACTTTGCTTAGTCCGGCAACTTCGCCAGCTTTTGCGACGACGACTCCTTTCCTCATGCAGTTGAATTTTTACCCTTTCACCGTGACATACCAAAAAAGCCTTCAGGCAGCGGACACAAAGGTGTGCATGGAAAAACACGCACGCAAACGCGCACGCAGAGCCTTGGCCCCGATCCCAGCAGCATGCCGTTCCCCGCCCCACATGTCCATCCTCTTCCCATTTAGGTTGTGTAGAGCAGAAAGTCAGCAGGGGGCGCTCTGCTGCAGCACTTTTCTTTTTCATAAGCCGTAAAATCAACATACCTACATCTTGGGGTCCCCCAACGGACCGGGTTCTGTTGACGCGCATACCAACATGCCAACAGCCAACATAAGGACTAGCTGCAGATGTCACAAGACACATAGCTACCCCCACACTTTACGGCATGTTGCAATGCATACGCATGCCGTACAATAAATGTTTGTACGTGCACACTTCCCTAGAAGCTTCGCTGTCACCAGTATTAGGTCTCTGCGTGAGGTCCGTGGCCATAGCACCACCAGCATGGGAAATGAGCTTGCGCCTACTCGAATCCCGCAGGAAGGAAATCACCACTGCTGCTCGAGCTGCCCTGCAGCCTCGAAGGATTTAAATAACTGCACCATCAATCGTATTCGTGTGAATAATAACCAAACAACGGCGGGTTTCTGGCAGCGGCCCCAAACAAAAGGCTCCGAAACAGGAGGCCATTTACGACCAGCTCTCTTTTTGGGAGACTCCGCCGCAAACAGAGATCCCCATCAATCCTATATATTTCAATTGACATGCCAGGGCAAGTGAGCTAGGTAATGAGAAATAAAAAGCTGGAGTTAAGAAAAGTTATATCGTACACATGCACGAACGCAAATCTTAATCAGAACCGGATGTTAGGAACAAACGGTGGTCGTCAATTGGTTCCGCATTTGGCTAATAGGAAGATACGATTTAGAATACCCGTATAAGATAATGCGCAGGGTGGAGTGCGACGGTGCAGTAGGCAGTCTCCCGTTGGGTGCGGAAAGTGCACATGCGCACGCAGTAGCACAGAAAGTGCACATGCGCACGTTCTAGCACCTATAGCTGGCCCTTGCACGATTATAGGGGAGCTCCGCGCCGAAACTATGGATGTACGACAACAGGCACACAGTAAGGTTTCCATTTTTTGGCAGCCAATTTCCTGCCTGCCAAGTAGAGCCTCGCGGCACACGCGGAGTGTGTTCTATCCCCGAGTTATGCTGGAAGGAGTGCACTTGGGGCTGCAACACAAGAGAAGAAAGCGATTTGACGAGTGCGCTGTCCAGATGATGCCAAAGGCAAAGTTTAATACACTCGCACACGCACCACACACAGACATCATGCACCTTGAATTGGCTTGCGGTGAGAGCAGGCCCCCGTAACATAGGCCACTCAAATCATAACATGCCTTCCAACTTGCACACCTCAATTTATCGCAGTTTCCCTTAGAAGGGTGTTACCGCTGCAGCACCGTTTTTCATGACGTTCATTGCCGGCATAAGCATGAAGCTCGGGGGAATCATCGCCCGTATGGGGATTTGGCCCCTGAAGGACCGCGCACAACGCGCGCAACGTAATATACTGCCTGCTGGGCACGCGTACAACTCTGAAGGAAAGGGACGATAAATGTACAACGTACGACACAAATGATGCCATCTCGGTACCTCGGACCAAAAGGGACGAGCAAATAAACAAGCGATACCCAGGCACGTTTGGGTGCACGAGTATGAAGACATCTGCGTGTGGACCAAGAGCACGGATTTACTAAAAAACAGAAATAAAAAACACGGATCGCCAGATGTAGGAAGCGGATTTCGAATGTGTGTGACAGAGGATGGCGATATGGCCATATGGACAACGGTGTCATCGGTTCATCCATCCATGAATGCATGGCCAACTATCAACGAACAACCATTTCCAATGAATTTTATTTTTAATGAATGTACGGACAACCATAAACTGTCAACCACCACTAGATTCTCCACACATGGACCCCTCACCCTCCAGGAGATGTCCCTCAACAACTGCAGTAACTGTCGATTCGGGGGGTGCATACAATTGGTCGAAGCAAATACGACAAAACGCGACACCATGGCGCTGTGCAAAGTGCTAAAATGGCATCTATTTTTTTCTCGATGCGTTTCAGGATATGCCTCCGCAGTGCTTTTCACAAGTATCCATACCTCACGTGGGACGTTAACCTGTCGTACGGCATGTTTCCGTTGCAGTTGTAGACAGTGACCCGCTGGGGACATATGACATACACATACGCAAATACATACATACATACATACGTACGCACGCAAGCACACACATACATACACACACATATACATGCAAAACGCGGACTCGCAAGCAACCGTGCAATGGCGGGTTCCAAAGCTCACTTGCACCGGGCCAAGGGCCCCGCCGAAACCCCCCAAAGTGTTTGCCATCCTCCTCCTCCTCCTCCTCCTCCTCCCCCTCCTCCTCCTCCTCCTCCCCTCCCCTCCCTTTTTTTCCCAACTTCGTCAGGACAGTTTCAAGAAAGTGTTACGCAACCGGCGAGGGGACGACCGAGCGCTGGTTGACCGCTGTAGCCCGAAGAAGCCGCCGCCGCCGCCGCCGCCGCCACCGCTGCCGCCGCTCTTTCCTGTCGTCGCCGTCGCCGCCGTCGACATCGCCGTCAACGCCCTCGGCGCGGCCCCATCCAAGTCATTCTTCCAAGCCCCTGGACAACCCTTGACCTCATCCATAAACCGCGACCTGTCCTGCCCGTCGCGAGCGGAGGTGGCGCCGGCGGCGCCGGCGGCAGTAGTGGGCCCGATGGCGGAGACGGCAGATGTTGTTGCAGTGGCAGTGGCGGCAGCGGCAGCCCATCCGCTGCAGCTGGCAGCGGGAGACCTAGGGGATCCGGATCTGGATCCGGCTCTGGATCTTGGGGAGCAGACCCCCACTGGAACACCGATAACAGGCCCTAACGGAGCTCCAGTGGCGGCAGTGGCAGCAGCGTCATCGCCGCCGTCAGCAGTAGCATCAGAGCCGCCAGCAGACGCCGCACCGCCTCCTCCTCCGCCGCCGGGCCATCGTCTGCTACTGCTGTTGTTATTGAGCTTCAACTGTAGCAGGTAGGTACCGTGTTGGCCTACGGCGGCGGCGGCGGCGGCGGCGGTGGCGGCGGCGACCCAGTTAGGGGAGGTCGCCGGCTGGAGGTCAATCCCTCCGACGGGCGGCACCGCCGCCGCCGCCGGTGCTGCTGACGTCGACACCGGCACCGTCGGAACGCCTTGCGTCACAGTTGTCATCGTCGCCGTCGTCGTCGTGGTCGTCATCGTCGTCGTCGGCAGCTGGCTTCGGAGCGGACAGGCTGGAGGCGAGCCGAACACCGCCGAGCAACGAGTAGCAGAGCTCCAGGGCCTTTGATGCTGCTGTTGCTGCTGTTGCTGCTGTTGTTGATATTGATATTGATATTGATGTTGGTGTTGATCTCCCACGCAGCTCCCACGCAACCCAGAATGCATGCGGCTGGTACTGCTTGTACCGTTATGGTCGTTACCGTTGTGGTGGTTACCGTTGTGGTTGTTGTTGTTGTTGTTCGTGGCAACACCTCGCGGTGAGTGGCTCAAAGGACTGAAGGGACGCTGAGGAGCTGAGCCAACCGAAGCTCCGACATTTCCACTACCACCACCACCACGACCACCACCAACACCATCGCCGCCATCGCCACCACCACCAACACCACCAACAACAACACCGCCATAGGCCCGCCAACTCGGAGATGGCCTCCCATCCAACTCGAAGCTCCTTCTTCCAGCAAAGGGCATGACCCCAACACCGCCGCCGCTACAGCCTGCTACCTCTTGCCTTGCTCTATCCACCGCCTGCCAAAATTGCTTCTCCTGCCCGGGGGCAATCTGGGTAGCCGACCAGGTAGCCGGGGATACGGATCTCCCCGCAGCAGCCGTCGATGCCGACGCCAACGCCGGCGGCGTGGTTCCGGAAGCGGCGGTGGCGGCGGCAGAAGAGGAGAAGAACGGCATGTGTGTGGGAACCTGCGTAGGGCGGAGAAGTCCTTTGCCGCTCCGGAAAGCCGGAGCCGCGGCTTGCCAGGGAATGGCGCCGCCTTGCGAAGCCGCGATGACGGCAGGCTGTTCAGCAGGCAGTAACTGCTGCTGCTGCTGCTGCTGCCAATGAGGAGGAAGGCAGTCGGAGGCTGTAACGGTGGCGGCAGCAGCAGGAGAATCCATGCAGGCGGTGTGCTGGTGGAGCTGAACTAACTGCGGCTGGAGTCCTAGATCGATGGGTTCACCGCCCAGGGCGGCGGCGACAGCAGCGGCGGCGGCGGCCGTCACCCGCGGCGGCGGCGACGGGGACGACACTGACGGTGGCGGTGATGTTGCTGTTGCAAAGCTCCCGTAGAGCGACGTGGAGGAGAGAGAGGCCGTGCGAGTCGGCGGCGGCGGCGGAGGCTGCGTAAACGGCGGCCAGGCCCCCCGCGGTAGGTTTGCGGCGGCGGCAGCGGCGGCGAGCTCCGAGGCTTGGTGTCGTATCGCCGACGCTACCACGTCCGCTCGGCCGCAACCTAGCAGCTTCATTGCTTCGGCTCGTAGCTGTGCCGCGGCTGCGGCTGCGGCGGCGGCATGTGAGCTGTGGGCAGCTTGGGATGCGGCGGCGGAGATGGGTCGGACGCTGGGTGCCGTACTCGAAGCCATCATCATTCCGTCGTACATGCTTCCGCTTCCGCTGCCGTTGCCACCGATGACTGCGCCGCCGGCAGGAGTGACGGTGATCACGCTAGCCGCTTGCAAACCTGCGGCCGCCTCTCCAACATAGCGATGGCCGCCGCCGCCGACTATCGTACGACCACCACTAGCAGTAGCGGCAGTATCACCAACACCAGCATGACTAGCAGACCAGTCGCCAGCAGTGGCTGCACTATCAGGCGGAAAAGCAGCTGTAGCAGTCCGTCTGTCGGTCCGTCTGTCCACCCCACGAACAGCAGCAGCAGTAGCAACAGCAGTAGCAGGGGCAGGGCCAGTGATAGCAGCAGCTGCGGCCGAGGCGGCGGAAGCTGCGGCGTAGGTGGCCGTGATGCCGCTACAGCCTGTAGACACGCCGCTGCTGTAGCTGGCGGAGGCGCTAGGACGCGGCGACGTCGACGTCGACCCCGACGACGACGACGGCCTTCCCTGCTGCTGCCAATACTCCCGAGTGACACGTACGAGGCGGTTGCTGTACGGCCGGTTACGGCCCGGAGACGACGACGGCGGGCGCTGGACGAAACGCATATGCGCTCCGGAGCTGCTGTTGCTAATGGAGACCGTTGTGGCCTCGGAAGACGGCGGCGGCGGCGGCGGTGGCGGCGGCGCCGCCGTTGCCGCGGCGGCAGCGGCGGCGGCGACCGCGGAGGCGGCGGCGAAGCTGCTGATTCCAAGTGCCTCATGGGCTCGCGACAAGCGCGTAATGAAAACAGCGTTTTGGGGGACGCCATTATCGTCACCATCACCAGTATCATCACCACCATCATCATAATCATCATCGTTGTCGGCATCGTCGACATTTGCAGTATGACCGGTGTTATTGCTGTTGTCGCTGCTGGCGTGGTGATGGTCGTAATGGTAATGGTCGTGATTGCCATTGTCGTACACGGGACTATGACGGGACGCTTCTGGAAAGCCCACGGGACGGCCGTTGTCGTCGGCTGGAGGGTTTCGGAGCGGCGGCGGCTCCTCTGCCGCGCTGCTACTGCTGATAACGTCTGCTATAGCTACTGCTGCGGCAGCGGCGGCAGTTACTGCTGGTGCCGTTTTTGGGATCTTGTGGGTCCGGTCCGGGGGCTCGAGGGCTGTAGCCGATGATGACGTCACTGCGACGTCGCCGGCATTCCCATGTCCACAGACAGCCTCGCCTCCGCCTACTTCACCAACCCCGGTGGAGGCAGCAAAGGCGGTAGGTGACAGACTTCCCGCGGCCCCGACAGCGCCTCCGCGTCCGCCGCGACCGCTGCTACTGCCGTCGCCGTCACCGCCGCCGCCGCCGCCGTCGCCAGCTTGCATCGTCGCTGTCGCCGCCGTCGCCCTCCAGACGCCCGGCTCCGCCGCAGCTGGCGCCGCTGCGTGGCAGCCGCTGAGAGACAGGGCGCCGCCGCCGCCGCCGCCGCCGCCGCCGCCAGCGTTCACTGCTGTTGTAGCTGTAGTTGTAGCTGTAGCTGGGAATGCCGCCGTCGTTCCCGAGGATGATGAGGCGGATGGCGGAGCCGATCTGGAACTGGATTCCTCGCGACCCGGATTTGGATCCAAGTTCCGTACAGCCCGCGTGTGGCTGCCACAGCCGCTGGAGGTTGCATGCCCCCATCTGAAGGCTGGTGGCTGTGGGGAAGTAGCCCTTGAGCGTCTGGGGGAAGCCGTACTTGAACGCGGCCGCGGCGAACACCTCCCCGGGCTGGTCGGGGACCGAGGTGAGCTCCTTCCTGCGCGTATGTATGTATGTATGTACGTGTGTGTCGTGTGCGTGTGTGTGTGTGTGTGTGTGTCGGAAAAGCAGGACAGAGGTACCCGTGATAATGTGTTAGTTGCGACGGTTGATTTGGGTTTCAGTTAGGACTTGATAATTTGTGTAAGTTTGGAGGTGTGTGTGGGTTAGGCGTCTGCTGGGTGCGTGGCGGGTTTCGTCGCGGCTCCAACGTTTACCCAACCGTTACTAACCGTAAAAATACCAACCGACGCGTCCGGCTATGCCCCTACCTTCAGCACCCGCCACGCCGGGTTTATCCGCAAACGCGACTGAGCGAGGGAACCTGGTGCTGAGGCGCGCCGTGACCTGCGCCGCCGCCGCCGCCGCCGCCGCCGCCGCAGGAGTAGTGGTATTATCCAACCTGTCCTCAGCCGCGTCCGGCACGCCGCCGCCGCCGCCGCCGCCGCCGTCAGCTGTACTGCTAGCCGCCGTCACCCAGGAGTCCTCCGTCAGTTGTTGTTGGGTCGTCCCGCCGGTCAACCAGCTGCCGACGACATCAGACGTGTCCACCCACAGCATATGAGACGGTTTGCTCCTGCCGCCGCCGCCGCCGCCAGCCATGAGCGCGATGTCAAGCGACCGACGACTCGAGGAAGGGCGCTGTCCCTCGGCTGTTGAGCCCGTCTGGCTGCTCCGTGTCCTGTAGGCGCTATTCGCGCGCCTCTTCGCAGCGGCAACGGCAGCAGCGTCGTTGTTGCCTTTCCTAATCAGCGCATGTTTCAGTCGCTCGATTCGCCGTTTATATTCTTCCACGGTCTTGGGATGAAGGGGAGGGTCGCCGTCCCTGACGGTGGGCTTATACTCTAAGATACGTCGAATGACCTGGCGACTGAACAGACATATATACAGATAGATAGGTTACGTACATATGTGCTTCATAGTTGTAACTTTGATGGTATTGCAATGGACAAGAGTTAGGACAGGCTTGTAAGGATGGCATTTAGGTGGGGAGATAGGGGAAGGTACGGCGAATGTACGGCGAAGGTACGGCGAAGGTACGGATACACGTCAGCACCCGACCTAAACGGGATAACGACTGATCTTGATCAAGAGCGGTCGATGAGAGCAGTACCAGGTACAAATGAGTGTCGTATATAATTGTACGACCTAATTAAGGCAGGCAAGCAGGCTGAAAAGGCGGAACGTCCCACCAGCATCAAAGCCCTTCCCAAGATGCCAGCACATCGTACGTGTCGTACCTTTCCTCATCGAAGTCGTACTTTTCACTCTCCAGCAGGGATTGCAGGAATTCTTGTCCTTCAGCGGCCCAAAACATCCTTTGCATTCCGCCCTGCGCACAAAATGTAAACAAGACATCAAAATATTCTCAACCGCCAACCGCAATCACCAGTGTAACCGTTTAATGTACGGAACGGCAGCCCCAGACCATACCCTACAACGGCTTTTGGGAAACAACATTGTCCAGCTATTGAAGACGCCGAGCGGCAGAAGCGGCAGAAAGCCAGGTTACAATGCCATGCAATGCCTTTCTTCCGTGACAAAAGAGAAAACCAACGAAGAAAAATAAAAAAAATATTAAGAACATGAAAAACTTGGGAAGGCTTGGAGGAAAATATATGAACTGGAAACGCGGGAAAACGGAAGCCCCACCGGCGCTCCTCATGGGAAGCACCCACGGGTCCGTCATCCAAGGTTGTCCATTTACCAGTGGGCCGCTAGCCCAACCCGATCCAGGCCCCCCAGGCCCCCCAGGCCCCCAGCACCCCACCACCCGCCTTTTCCACGTCATCTAGAATCTTGCGGCGCCGGACGGTGTCGACCATGCTTGTAATCGGTAGGGCAACACCTGCGCGCCCGTGTACGGCAGTGGGGTGTGCGTGTTTGGGCGGCCGTTTCAGGATCTCTCCCAACCCTGTGAAGGGTCTGTGTCTGTGTCCCCCCGGGCGCATTCATGAGCTCTGATGAGCGCGCGCACATCGACAGATTGACTTACCGACACACAGACAAGGCGACACACGAGCTCATTGACACGCGCTCAAGTGTACGGGCAAAAAAAAGGTATGGGTTTCCCCGGTGTGACTTCATTCATACCAGACGGTAGTATGTAGTCCTCCCCAGGCGGGTTCTTCTTTGCCTTGTCTGACATCACCTGCAGGGATTGGAGGAATGTATTTGGGAGGAGAGGTCGTCCAGGGGTTGGCGGGCGGCGGGATCGACCAAAGCAGCTGAAAAAATGTCTCCTTTGCCGTATATTGTACGGGGTGTACGGATTGTACGAATTGTACAGACAAGAAATGAAGGAGAGTTAGCTAACGGGCGAGAGGAAGAGGACGTTTATTGTGTAGTAAGTACGCAAGAAGTGCGTCGGGGAAAGAGAAACGTCATATGGAATTGATAAAACAATGGTATTCACGGTATGGGTTAAAGGCGTGAACTAGTATACGCACCCACACCGCAAGCTGGGCGCGTGCTGATACTCACTCTCTCCTCCGCGATTTACCCGAAACCGAAGGCCACTGGAAGTGCCGTACAGCTGGTTTCGGCTTCTTATTCGTACACCTGGTAAACAACACGCTGGGTACGAAGCTGAGTAGTCCCGCACACGCAAACTATTTTTTTTCCAGATAATGAATTACTTTTTGCGTAATAAAAAAAAGATACGACGGAGTTTAAGGAAAAACAAGGAAAACTCCACTTCGACGTCTTTTCGCAAACATCCAACGGAGACTTCCAACGGAGACTTCACCTCTCCCACGTCTCGTGGGGCGTTCGTTTGCCCAGTTGGTCAAGTTTCGGGTGCGATGTCGTGGCTAGGAGGCACGGTAGATTGTCCTCAAAGCCCGCGAGCAACATACATACAGATTTCCGCGTCTGTGTCTGTGTTCGCATGCACCCGTCGTCGTACGTCGTACGCACCTCGTACGACAAGAAACTGATGAACTCTCGCCATGCAACTTCACCATCATTGTTGAAATCAAACTGAAACCGGACGGGAAAGGGGCCAAGTAGCTCAACGATTTCCAAATATTTCATTTAAAATTAAACTTAAAATAAACCAACGTTCATAAAAAACAATAGCAGACATAAAAAAACATCATAACATGTAACGAAGCTGTAGCAACTTGGCCGGATCAGGCGGTACAGATAAACAGCAACATGACTTGGCTAACCAGCGTTGAGCACTTGGTTGGGCACTTTACCAGCCCTGGCGCACGGTATTAGAAGCCCTTGTACCTGAAACCGATTATTGCAGCTCTCGCATACCTGACAGTCCGCTAAAAATGAATTGTCCAGTTCGCATCAAATTGCATGACATGGCATCAAAAGGAAAGCCTTACGGCTAATGAACATTCCAACAATAATGCATCACATTATTGTATCACACAAATTGTATCACGTTATTGCATCACACAATACCGTGGAGAGCAGCTGGATGCATAGACCAACTCACCAGCTTTATGATCTCCGCAACCACGTTGGGTGTCGGATTGATGCCGGAAGACTGCATATTACAAAAGCACATAATGGATGTACGGCCGTACGAAATGTAAAATTGTCGTACGGATATGACGTGTGCTAGATCACATATCATGTACCGGGTGTCATCGTGTCGCTAATAATGGTTACACGTATTGTAATTAGTACGCAAGCCGCACGCGTATGCTCATTAAAACCTGTCTATCTAATAATTTTGTACGAATACAGTACGAAATGTAACTACTAGCTATGAGCTGGTTGTTAAGCAGCGCCATTCGGAAGTGTTATGTTTCACCTGGAGAGCGAACTCGATTTCCGAGGCGTCCAGTCGCCTGATTAGGATCAGATCATGATCCAATGTACAGGAGGTGTACGGAAGTGATGAGAGCGGAAGGTCTCAGCGGTTGGAAGGTAAATGGGAGGGCATTGCAAGGGGCGAGGTGGCCTGGGGCGGAAAAGCGACATGGCTAAAGTCGTACCCGAGGTCAAACCCTAAGTGACCGGTTTTGCTCGTCGCATCAAAAGGAACGACAACACATACAACTCTACTGTGAATACGACAAGTTATCGTTATCTTCGTACGTCTATCTTTCTTGCATCCGGCTGATGTAGCATAGGGCCGATGGGAAGTACCCAAAGTTCGTAATTGGTGGGGTTATTTTAAATAATACTTAAAGGCGCGGTACGACTGTGGGTACGACTGTAGGTACGACTGTGGATCACCGAATTGATGACAGAGCGGTTCTGGTTTATAATCTAGACGTAGTCGTAGACCCGGGTCCACGGACTCGTCGCCGTTTTTGTGGTGTTTCGGCGTTCCAACGGCGTTTCGGCGATTTAGAAGACATTAAGTATTCAAGAATACGACACCGGACGAGATTCCGATAGAGACTCCCGTAGAGGACTCACCCAGAACCGTCTGCATCCATCATCTCGAACCACTGCCGCATGCGGCGCTCGGTAGGCGTCGGAAGAGGGAGCGGCACCATAGACCGCTTGTGTACGGCAGACCACGCCTTTTGGTCCGCGTACGACAGCCGTCTGAGGACTTCCTCCTATACGACGCAATGGTGCATTGTGGCATGATCATGATCATGATCATCATCATCATCATCAGTAGCTTCAGTGTAAGAGAGAGCGAGAAACACACACGCATTGGGTAGTCGTGCATTGGGGCAGAGGGGATTGGGAACGACGGATCTGACACGCTTCACTCCCCCTCACCAAACCACACGGTTTCTTGAAACTCCCTTACCAACCCGTGCGCCGCTGCGTGAGGAAAACCCAAACGACAGCGTTTATGCATGTCGTGATAGGTGCGTTTGTTGGCGGCGGCATGGAGGCTGCCAAGAGAGGCCGGGGAAAGAGGCAGGACCGAAACGGATCATCATGCTTCTGGCTGCTGCACCGTTGCCGGCAAAATCGAATTACCAGGTGCGTTCGGAGACTGCCTCGCTCTGCCGTTGAGTTTTTCTTCACATTCATAGCCTATTTTCTAGGATTTTAATTTGATCACCGCTATCCTCCCTACCTTGCTGAGTTTTTGTGCTGGTGGCTGGTAATGGTCGATGGGCGGCCCAGACGGACATGGGGTGTCTTCTTGTCGGTGTGAGTTTTTCTCGACTTCATCTCTGCTTGAATTAGCTCCATCGATGCCAGGCTCTGGCTGAGGAAGCGTTCCTTGGAGCAAGTCCATGTGCCTCCCGGCGTCGACGTTATGGTTGCACTGTCAATTTCTTTTCATTCGTTATATTCAACAAGCATACAAGTATGTAACGCATTAGTTTATAAATCTGTTCAGGTCCTACATGTCTGTCTCTAGGCTTGGAGAAGGCCGAGGGACGCCACTCACAACGGTAAGCAACCTTTCCAGCGCATTAGTTACTTTGTATTTCAACATGTGTCCTCTTTTTTAACCGTGAAAACCGGTAGCCTAAGTGTTCGCTCGGAAGGTACGGATGAGGACCCTTGCAATAATGCGCCAAATCAATTACGCAATTAATATACTGTCCATGTCATTATAGTATCAACCTCTATGTATATGCAAAACGCCATCGCGTGGAATTTGAGCAGGGACACTTCTCCGAGATCTGTTTTCCACAATAAACCACAGAGTTTGACTTGTAACTTTTCCTTGCCCGTTATGCTGCTTGTTAAAGCGCCCGTGGTCCTATTGTGGCCAAGAGGGCCCTGTCGGAAAGGCCAAAGAACTTCACCATTATCCTCTGAAGTACGGAAGAGCCCATTTTGTATATTTGTAATGTATATAACGTCTTAAAAAGTCCTGGTATTAGCGGATAAGCTTGCCAGGCTTGTGTATAGTAATCGCTCCAAACTGCTCCAGAACCAAATCGGGGTTTAATCCCACCAACGGAACCAGTTAGACGTAGCAAAACCCTTCAGCTGTTGCCTGAAGGTGAATGAGCGCTAAATCCGTTTAAGATTAAACGGATTGAAACCAATTGCCCACGACTGTGTTCCTGATCGGCTGTCCACCAGAGTCCACCTGTGGAGCCGCTTACATGCACTGGTGAATGATGGGAATGACAGGACGAAACCTTCTTGCTATACATGAAGCAGGATAGAAGTGTTAAATATTTGGTGGCTGCATTATGTGCCATTTTCATGTGCATGAGAGGAGAGACAGGAACCTCTCCTAATTATTCCCGTCTTCCTGGGCTGTCCTTTTGTTTTCCGCTGGTCGTTAGTGTGGACACAGCATGTGCACTAGTGCAGTGCATGGTCAGCTGGCCCGCTGGCTCTACCCCTTGTAAGTCTGGAACCCACTATAACAACCACACACACAGCATAATCCGTGGGGCTGGACTCACAGGCCGTCGGGATTCCCTTTTTTGTCTTCTTCGTTCTTCATGGCAAGTAACCGCAATTAGATCATTCAGGAAACATCGTTTCACGACTCGCAGCATAATCCCGCACGGAACGACGCACAGTCTCGTTTCCTTGGTCAAAATCCAATCTTACGCACTTTTTACATTTTAGCTTTGCAGCGGCGTGGGCCGACGTTTTGGCCGTCCCAAAAGCCGTCCCAAGTTGCACTAATCACCACATGCGAAATGAGTCATCTCGAGAAAATCGCCCCCATGGGACGTGCAACCGGAATTTCTTAAAACTTTTCTCGGCCTCTGAAACTACGGCTCCCCTGCACGACGACGACAAGACACAAATAGCTGAAACAGTTATTTAGAAAATCCAACTCCAAAACCAAATTGCAAGTAGAGCTTTTCAACACCACACACATCAGTTCATCAAGAAGGCCTTCCAGCTGACTGGGAAATTCCCTTTCCCTGCTTTATTTCCTTTCCTGAACTTCCTTTCTCTGCCCTTTCCTGCCCTTTCCCATTCGACAAAGTCCTGCCCAACCACCGCGCGGCCACACAAAGCCGCGTGCGAAAGAACGCACAGAGTCCGAATCTTCATCGCGTATCTCATCGAAAAGTAACATGGATCCAATCGATGTAGGCGGTCGCGGTGATATGGGCCCGGGCCAGGGTCAGCTCCAGCCCGGCGGTGGCGCCGCGATGATGTCCGCGGGTCAGCAGGGCACAGGGCTCGGTGTCGCGCCCGGTGACTCGGCCTACAGCACCACCACCGTCAGCACCGGCGTCGACCCCACCACCGGCCAGCCCACTACCACGTACCAGACGTACACCGTCGGTGCCGTGCCCACCTCGTCCGATGACGGGCTGGGCGCCGGCTACGCGACTTACCAGACGTACACCGCCACGACGGTAAGCTCCAGTGCTTAAATAAATGAACAGAGTCGTAAAATCTTAAGATTATGTAAGTGTCTGCCTGTATGTATGTTTTGAATATCAGGAATTTTCTGGGCCTGCGCGTGTGGGTGTCTCTTTTTGAAGTGTGGGTGGGTGGGTTTGAGAGAGTGTGTGTGTGTGTGTATGCATACACACACACTACATATGCATATTTATGTGTGCATGTGTGCATGTGTGCATGTTGGGTGGCAGGACAGAGATATTTAAGTCTAGGTTGGACAGTCACAACTTCGCGGCATGTGTGTGTTTACGTGATGCTTCGTTTCGGTGGTGTTGTGTTGGGCGTTGCGGGCGTTTCTTGTGCCGACGTGTCGCGAAAATGCGAGGGTCCCGCATCGCAGTTGCGTTACATGGCGGCACTTTTGCAGCTGCACCTCCGTATGTTTATATATACATATATATGTACATATCCATCCATTACCTAAATAGATAGATAGATGCATATGCTTTTGTGATGCTGCTGCGTCGCCATAACTGTCGCGGGTCGATAGTTAAAACTTACAACGGTGTCGGAGAAACGGTGCCGCCTGTGTGCGAACATTTTTTCGTGTTCCGCCAAATGTATGTTTGAAGAGTATTTTGATAGCAACGAACTTTATGATATGATAGTCTTGCCAAGCTTTCAGTTTATGTAAAAAACATAAAAAAAATAATCAAGGCGATTACAAATTGAATGCCGTCTGTCTGTGCGTGCCTGTGCAACGCGATATCCAATGCTCTTGCTCCTGCTCCTGCTGTCGACGCCCTAGGATGGCTAGGGGTCGCTGTTGCTTCAGCCACATAACGTTGTGTCTGCTGTTTGGCGCTGTCGCAATGCGTTGCGTTGGTAGGTGGGAGCACCTGTGGGGATGTCGGCCGAGGAGACTGGTGGCGGCGGCCGCGGCGTCGACATCACGGAGATGGATCCGACGGCCGACATCGGCGGCGGCGGCGGCTACGGCGGTGATATCGGCGGCGGCCGGGACATCGACGTGACTGGCGGCGGCGGCGGCGGCGGCGGCGGCGGCGGCACCAAGATGACGTCCAGCGAGGAGATGGGCGGCGGCGGCGGCGGCATGGGCATGGGCATGGGCATGGCTGGCGGTGACGAGGACTTGAGCGGGATGGGGATCTCCGGCTCGCGAGGCATGGAGGAGATGGGCAGCGGCGGCGGCGGTGATGGCGGCGGCGGCGCCATGTAAACACACCTACACCTACACCTGCTCCGATGAGAACGCTACAACGCACGTCAGGGCTTCCAGGACGATCTTGGTCCTTTAGACCCCGGGCGCTTTCTCCGCCCTGACGAGTTTGGTGAATGAGGCTTGTACGAACAAGTTACGACACATACTCTGGTACCAGGAGGATCGCGATGCCTTGTACGGTCGATGATGAGAAACGGCTTTTCCATGTATCTGTACGGCGGCAAAACACGGCACAAGTTTGGCCCGTGCCAAGGTTTGAAGGATGATGCCAGGAAACAAACATATAGTAGATGTTAGGGGGGCATATCTGTATTATGAATAAGTTTACGACTTGCCGTATCACCCACATTTTTGGAGCTTAAGCAAAAATTTCCTTCCTGTTTCTTTCTTTTACTGGGGCCCCTGTTGTACGGCCCTTAGTAAGGCTATGGCGCGCGGGGATTGATTGCGCTGTTTCCTGACGGTGGCTGAGCGGCGTCTTCGTTGATTGTCACCTGTACATTTTTTCCGTACATGAGGCGTACGACGCGGTAAAAATGTACAGCGGCAAGTATGACAGTTGCGTTGCGCGTGCACCCACAGAGACGTGCACGAAACGTTGTAATTCAGTTCATCATGCGCATATTTGCTGAGTATTCGCATACACGCATATTGTATATAGGTAAAGATGTATATAATACATATACGCACATACGTATAGACATATATACATACATGCGACATACATATAAACATACATATAGATAGATTACGATGACCCGCCATTTAAGGATGATGCCGCGCGCGTCAGACACAGTAGTACTGCGGCGCGCGGCCACACCGCGGGCACACCGGGCAGGGCTCGGAGGCCGCGCGCACTCTGGGAAGCAGCCTCCCTTGGACGCGCAGATTAGCAGAGCCCGGCGGCGCGAGTGGTGCGAGCAAGGCAAGGTATTTGAAGTGGCTACACCACAGCACATGACATGCGGTTGTAACAAACCATCCGCGCGACTTCTTGCTCGTTCGAGAATGACAGGTAACGTATCCCCGGGGGTGCGGCCGACCTTGCGCTTTTTACACCCGCGTTTTTCATTCGGCCCATCCAAAATGCTGAAATGACAGTCGTCGCTCATCTATAGGCTCTTGGCGTCTCTTCCGCTACCACGAAGTCGATAGGCTTGATTATGAAAAGCGCTATCCGCTTTGCGGAAATCCAGGCATGACTCCAAGAAAAAAGCTTTCACCTGCTGGCTGGCCTGCAGCCTTTCGCCTTTCCGTCGGATTTTCAAATTTCCAACAGGTCCCGCTTAGTATGCAAGCAAGAGACTCGGCAAATGAAGAGTTCCTTCTTTTCGCCTCCTGTGCTTAGTGCTTTGCTTATCATCAGCTGCGACATCTGAGTGGCGGCGAATCCTTATTTTATGTATTTTGTAGGATACAACGAATAACACGACAGCGGACCACGTTTCAGGTTAGGCCAAAAACATTATTCGCATCCCAGACTTCCTCCAGCTTTTACAGAGCTCCCGAGGTCACGAACCACTACGAGACGCCAGTCAGCGCTGGCAGCAACCCCCCAATCGGTTCTCCATCTTCACAAGCAAACAGCGCCATCTTCACCATCTTGCCATCTCTCAACAGCTCCACAAGGCTCAACAGATCGCGATCGCCAGGTGGCGGCACGCACAGTTGTACCGAGTACAGCCACCTGTACACGGCTCTAGCTATTTATTTTCGACACTCCGCCGCCTTGTTAACCCTCCCCAAGTAAGAAGCGACAACAGCACAGCAGCAGACGAATCAAGATAATAATTAAATGTTTCAACGGATTGATTCCCGCACGACGTCCCAGACCGGCCCATGCCGTGGTATGCAGCCCTGAGTCCCGTGCCGTGCCGTGCCGTACCGTGCCGTATCATGACACATCTTATCGCACATGTCGCATCAAACAGATACAGTATCGCACCGCACTATGTATGCTTAGCTATAGGTTCCCAACAGTCCTCTCAGAACGCATGAAGCTGCCCTTCACTGACCGCCAACCCTTTTTACCCTCCAAATTCCCACGAAATCCCCGGCCCCGCAAATCCTGCCGGAATAAATCCATCCCCCAAAACCTTCCCTTACAATCCGAACGACGCGAAAAATAGTAATAATGCGAGGATCGATCCGGGTATGTCAGTCATATTTGATGGTTGTGCTGGTACTGATCCTCGCGGCCACCTACTTTCCCGGGAGCCGCGCCTACCCTGACTACTGGGCAAGCGATTCCGGAAGGGGCGAACAGCAGTGTGATGCGCACCCCACAGAGGCGCTACGGGGCTCCCCGCACGGGTCACCCCTTCCGGACAGGTGTGTTTTGGCAACGGCTAGAGAGCGTGCGTGTGTGCTCTGATGCGGTGTCCTGGAGGGCAAATCACGGGAGATCTGCATCCGCCGATCGGTGCTTTTCTAAAGTCATGTGATATATAACATCTGACGGGCAGGCGTCCCTAATAAGCAGGAGGAAGGCACAGATGACACTTACCAGATCCGTATGTTTGTCCGGATGAACACTTCTATAATCTTCGGACGCCATTCATCGCGGTTTATGTATCACGACGACTGGTTTAAAATGCTCGTACTGCTGTTGTGCAACGCTGTTTCGCTGTTTCGTTTCGGGAAATATAAGGTAAAGTATGCGTATTGTACAGGTATGTACCTTGTACGTGCACTGCCGTGCGGCAGGTTTTATGTCGCATGCGAGGCGCGGTGAAGTAAGGCAAAGCGGTCCCCCACTGCCCGCGGATGCATCTCTCCTGTCACATCTTCTCTGCATTCTTGGCCCTGTCTTCATGAATCATGAGCCCTCTTGTTCTCCTTTTCTTTAAAAATGACAATATCTACCTGCCGCAGCTCCGTCACCATCCGTGCGCTCCAAGCTGACGGCACCGACGCTATGCAGCTGTGCCCTGGAATGTCGTACAAAGTGTTGGTAAGTGTACGGCACTATCCATGTACAGGCACATTGCGCTAAGGCGCTTCACCCTGAAGCGGACGAGAGAGGATGATAATGGCCCTCCCGCGTACCCGCATCATCAATACCAATATACCATCCATGGCTCCCCCCTCAAGCTTTTAAGTTAAGGAAACACAGCGCACGTTTGTGCGAAACTTGTAACTTGTACAACTTGGTTTCAGACATTACTGCTGCATGGCAAAAGAGGGTTGCATATACATCCACTTTTTTAAATGGAAAGTCAGTCGTGCGTGTTGTCTTATTATGGCATATTCTTTCCGATTCGCACTTACCAGCATTTTTCTGCGCGATGTTTCCTCCTCCTGACATACATGCATACATACATACATGCTGACGCTCACCAACTTACTGGCACACACATACATGACCTATACACATGGACAACACACTTCTGTCTACAGGTCACATTCCCGGAGCGCCGGCGTTCGATTATCACGGCCAGTTCCGGATCATTCGACGACACGACGTACCTGTGGGGCAGCCGATGGTGGGTGCAACCCATGTGACTCAGTGCTTGGGTTATTTTTCGGGTAGCAGCATTAACTTGTCGGTCTTCATTTCCCGCATGCACGTATTCCCGCAGTCCCAACCTGATCGTGGTCGGCCCCACGCTGCCCGTAACGTCCTTTGCCAAGCTTCCGACCGAAGTCCATGCACGACTCAACATTCCGTGCAACGGTACGTGCCGTACATGTTGCTCACAATACCATACAGCCGTACCAATCATACAAACGGGAGAAAAGCATGCATATGTATACTACATCGTTCTGTGAATACCGCGCGTGAATTAAACTGTTTAAATTATATGCTACGTAACGGCTCTTGTTGAGACCCTACAATAAAAATACAGAGATTGTCTCTATACTGTTATCGTGTACTGTTCCACTCGTGCTGGTGCTACTACCTAGCGTTCTCAATCCTGACGAAGTAATGGTACTGTTGTTACTGTTGTTACTGTTGTTACTGTTGTTACTGTTGTTACTGTTGTTACTGTTGTTACTGTTGTTACTGTTGTTACTGTTGTTACTGTTGTTACTGTTGTTACTGTTGTTACTGTTGTTACTGTTGTTACTGTTGTTGATGGGGTGTTACACTGTGGGCGGCTCGCCCGATAAAGGACGAGCACCGGGGGCCCTGACCGGGCCGAAACACAGCGCAGGGAAGGGCGCGCGGCTTTACGTCCGTCTGTTCCTCCGCGCGCGCCTCGATCCCTCACTCACGCCAACCGGGACACTCTCCCAGCCCCTGGCTAGGCAACACAGCGGCGCAGAAGACTGCGAACCGAACTGTTGTTACTGTTGTTACTGTTGGTGCTGCTGGTGCTGTGCAGGTAGTGCGGGTGCCGCTGCCAACCGCGCCGCTGTGGAGCAATTGGTAGTGGCGGTCACCAGCACCTCCGCACGGGGCAGCCTGAGATGGAGAAGCACTTCTAAAAGTTTCCCCATGTCGCCCAGCTGTGGCAACGCCCAATGTGGGTAGAGCATGTAGCCGACAGCGGTGGGAAGGTGGGAAGCGCCGTGCACGTGTGGGGCGCAGGACAGTTATCAGCTCTGGTTCGGTTAGCCATACAAACATTTTTAAGTTTTGAGGAAAGAAGTATCATGTATACTAAAATTACACTGGACAATCCTCTATTGCTGTGGTAAATTTTCTCTTTTTTTCTCTCAGATTCTTTGGCACAAGTTGATAGGCAAAAGTACTAAACATGCGCTCAAAATCTGCCCTGGATTAACTGATTATCTTCGCGCGTCGGGACTTTTCAATAATATCAAGGCCATGGTGACAGCGCTCGCTTTACCGGGAACTCAAACTCAAACGCAAGCTCACAGCTGCCGGCGAGTAGCAACCTGCAAGGTCCATCAGCCAAGGCGCGTATACCGTCCAACAACGCCTCGGAATCCAAGGTCGTTGCGTTCAGCAGGGCGGATTCAGAAGTCGCAACTGTCAACGGTGCCAACGGATCTCCGCATACGACAAGTACGACACATACCAACAGTACGGCTCCCAACGCAACCACGGCGACGATGGCTCCGGCCATGCGCTTGCAAGTTCTACCCCCAGAGCGGACTGACATCAGCGCTGATACAGCAGCACCCAAGCCGCTCGTCGCAATGCCGGTCGTCTCCGCCAACCTCATGGCTGTGCCGATGGCTACATCGACGCCGGCAGCCGCGGCGGCGCTACCCGCTACCGGCCCAGTGTCCGCCACAAATCTCCTCCATGTGTTCAGGGCTGCCTCAGGCAATTCAACAGGGGCCGTAACGAAGCTGCCTGCTGATGCGAAGGCCAAATAGCTGCATGCGCCTCCTCACGATGGCATCACGCTTTATAAGGGGTGTCATTGATCGCTCTTCTGCCCGCTCGAGGTATCTGATTGTTATGGAACGAGAAGGCAGGAAGGGGAAGGAAGCATCGCTTAGAGTGCATGCGGCGGTGGGAGGTAGGGACTATTGCGGGCGGCCACATACGTGAGACGTCAGGGACATTGGCCCCGACTTTATGGGAAAATAGGCATTGATAGGTGGCATTCATAGCCAATGGAAACAGGCCCTTGGGCTTCCCTAGCCGATCTGCCACGGTTTAACTGAGAATTCGATTTAAAAACAAATAAAATTCAGTATCGATTCTCCTAAGGATTAATGCGCATACTACCCGCAGGCCATGGCTTTGGCTCACCACCGCGAATCTCATACCAACTACATCAGCAATAAAGAGATATACGCAGCTCAGCTCTGCCAGATTTCGCGACTCCAGCCCATCTATGCCAAATGCTCAGCAAGACTGCCCAACTCCTAACAAGGCTGCTCATGTATAATAACATATTTTTACATTTGATTTAGCATACGCTGTACAGAGGTAAATTCCAAAACATGTATGGACGACATTCACAAACAGTTTTAGGAACCCAAGCTCGTCATTTCCCCCTGGGTTGAAATGACGAGCTGTACGGCTGGACATGGCCGGACTGGTAGGTTACCTTACTTGGCCGGTAGGATAACCGACATAACGAGCTAACGACCCAGTAACTGGGGGGTCACCGACCAATAAGGTTACCGGTCGTTGAGGTAACTGGCCAGTACGGTTACCGGTTGGTTACCGGTTCGTTATCTAGACCTGTCGGTTAGCGTACCGAAGCGACCGGTTGGGTTATAGCTAACCGGTCGGTTACCGATCCTTTTATGCCATAGGGCGTGCGGTGTGCGTGCACGCTGCAGCACAGGATTCTTCTGCTTCTGCTGTTTTAATCGCTGCGTGCCCGGGCGGCTTTCTCGCTCTTTCCTTCGACTTCCTTGTAATAGCTATTTATGGCTCAGCTCATAGCCACACTCCGCAACTCCAGCCCACCCATGTCAACTGCTCCAGCACTTCCCTCCTTGCCTTCTGCTGCTCCGTCTCACGCACATCTCAGACATGTCCTATTCTCCAGTTCCGGGGCTGGCAATGGGGAACTGGGTTCGCGCACTACCAGGAGGCTATGGATGCTCAGCCGTTCTTGTTGACATGGAGGCGGCGCGCAATGCACCATCCATGGATTTGACTTGGCGCCCTAGCAAGTGATATACACCAGATTCATACATCACTCTCAACACCGCCGGCCATCACACCCAGCCCTCGCAGCTATCCATAATAATGAGCGTATAGTGCAATTCTGACGCCGTTCCTCCACCACTTACAGATCAGTGCCGTACAGCCTCCCCTGCGGAATACTGTGGGGCGACTGGTTGCACCGGGGCTTTTCCGGCTTCGAGAAGAAGCTGGCTACCGTAGTTATTGATCGGCACACGGCAAACAATTTTTTTCGCATCGTTAATTGCCAGAAAAGGGTGGTTAACCGCCACCTGTTCCCACCTGTTTGGTGGGCGGCCTCGGGCTGCAAAAGCAGAACGGACCCAAAACGGGCCCAAAATCAGAAATGAGCACGCAAAACAATGCGGCTGAGGCCAGTTGTAGACAATGCCGTATTACTGCCATCAAGGCCTTCCAGGTACAATAAAAAATGACGACCATGGTTCAGTGAACTGATAGCCGCAATGCACGCAAAACCCCACGCAGACCTATGAGTAGTGGGTGACGGATTGCCCAGCCATAAATGGTACTGGGTAATAAGGTCCTCGGGGAGAGTAGACACGGGCGATGGGAGTGCACAAGAAGGGTACGGTTAGAGACCCATGGGCCCATCACACAGGCAGCTTCATGCCAGGTAGATGTATACTGCTATGGAATATCCAAGGTTTGCGTCTCAAGATGTACTGTCCCTTACAGGCGCTGCTGCTTGACAGATGGCAGGTAGATCCAAGGTACGTGACATTCTCCGAGTTAATTGAAACGATGCCTGGTTCCTTGCGCAACAATGCTCACTATAATATAACACCAAAACACATGTTCATGTGTTTAGAACTTTCCGCCGGGCGCCGCCGGTATTGAGACAAAATCCGGTGGACGAGCCTTTTTCTGTACAAGGGGCGCTTCTCCTCCTTTCGATAATGATACAATAAGGGATACAAATTGCAGACACCACGTATATTATATCGTGTTTAATAGGAAAGCGTGACTCTTCGTCCTTGTTCCGATCCTCACAGCGACACGTAAAAATAAAGGCTGCTCGACATTTTTACATGTGTTGAACTTCCAGTCAAACCTAGAAGCCGGGCGAAAGCAATCTGGCTGCTTTCGTCGCGGGGTCGCAAAGCAAATGTTTGGAGGCGCAGGCAGACCCGGTGGCCCGCTAGATGGATGGTGAGCTAGAATTGATTCGGTGCTGTGTTTGTAGATGGACCCCAAACGGAGCGTATCTTGGCCTATTTGGCGTCTGATTGTAGGGGGGACTACGCCGCTGACAAGGAGCTCAGTCGGCTTCTCGAGGAAATTCCTCGGGCTACGTCGGCTCCCCCGCACTTGCAAGACCGATGGGGCGTGGTGGGTGTGTGCGCCTTCTGCTTTGGGATGCAGTTGTTCACGTGCGGGCCGGCCAGTATGCCGGGTTCTTAACGAAGGGCAAGACAATCTGCGAGCTTAGTTGCGATGTATGTTGGAATAGTAATTCTGCTCGTGTAGGTATGTAGGGCTTGCAGCGTTCCGCGATGTTATCTTCCGCTCGTGGAGGTGTCTCCCGGACAAACCGTATTTCCGGGAAGCTTTTTTTCTCACTGTTTGTTTGCTTGCCTGCAGAATCCCACGGACGCTGCTGTGGACCCCAGCTCGCGTGCGACCCCCATTGGGCAGCACCTAGGCGATATCCGCTTCGACGAAGACTACGCACGCTTTTATGAAATATACTCGGGACAACGAAAATTGCCGCCCCCGGTCGAGGGGCGAACCTTATATCAGGAGGTCCCCGGGCTCTTCCCTAGCCGTTTGCAACAGCAGCTCGCCGGTGGCACCCAGGTGTCTGTTCCTTCGCAGATACTGTCGCGTGGAGTGACACCAGGTAGGCGTGATCATACAGGGCGGCTGGTCATGCCCACGGGCTTGAAACTTGCCATCATCCTTACCCGGGTTAACGTCCTGGGGACTCGCAGGCCTGGAGGTCATTGATGAGCAGGGGCCCTCTCAAGACATGGCGGCGTTGCATGAAGGGATGATACAAGCATTTCAGCAACTCGGTAAGAGCAAAAACTCGGGGCGCAAGTATGCTCCTTTGGTTGCATTCGTTCCATCTGCTTCATCTGCAAGGCGCGCCATGCGCAGGTGTTCGCGGACCATCCCCTATGCCAGGCCACCTCAACGGTGTATCCCCAGTTGGCTCAAAGCCTGGAACTCCCTCACCGCTCGATGGTAAGGTTGGGAATATCGTGCATGGTTTTCTTGGCTTATCCCTGCGGATGCATACACTTGCATACACATGCGCCTAATCACACGTCACCCAATCCATATTTCCATTTCTTGCAGTTGCGGCTGCCGCGGCTGCGGCCGCCGCCGCCGCGGCGCCCAACCCCCTGTTGCTCAATCACCAGCTTGGTGCTGCGGGCTTGGCTCAAGGCCTTGAAGGTATGAGAAAGGATTCATCTGTTAATGTTTACGCAGTTTACAGTGGTGTTCGGTGGGAAAAGAGTATGCGGTGGGATCTCTGGATGGTGCAGATTAGCGATGCACCATCGCTAATCTGATATCTGACATAAATAAATCCTTCCACGCTGCTGTTTTATGCGTTCACCACGAACATCTTTCCTCTCTGCAGCAATGCTTCCCGGGGCGCATCAGGTGGTTAATGGGCTTCACCTGGGAGCAGCAGGAGCGGCGTCTGGGCTGCCGGGCGCGAACCTGGCAGCCGCAGCGGCTGCGGCGGCTGGTCCACTTAGCAACCTCACGAACTCCCTGGAGTACCAGGCAGCCTACCAGGCGGCGTATCAGGCTGCGCTCGTGCAGACACAGCAGCAGCTGCTGCTTGGGCAGCAATCTGGAGGTCGGGCCGCGACCTGGGACTTGGGAAGCTAGGAAAAAGCGTTTGTCGGGGCTTTGGGAAAGCCGTCGGGCCTCGGCGATTTGTCGCGCATGGGATTCGTTGCGCTTGTAGGGCGTAGTAGGGCAGTAAACGTCCCTCTGTTCGTGGCCATGGGACTCGGGTCAGGACCAGATTGCAATCTTGTTAAAGACTCGATCGGAAGCGCGCGATCATTTTGCCTTCTGCACGGCGATGATGAGCCCGTCTAATCTACAGTGCACACGAACCTGACTGAACCTGCCTGCTGGTGGGGGAAAGTTGTTTTCTTGTTGTGTATTGGAGTCCCTCACGATGCACGCATTGCGAGTACTGTGGCCCTAATTGCCCCGTTGTCCGCGTCCTTTGCTTTATACACAGTGAACCAGCTTGCCGCTGCAACAGCAGCGCAGTTCATGCCCGGGGGCGGCTTCTTTACTGGTGGCGCTCCTGCAGCCGCAGCTGCCGCTGCCGCGGCGGCTGCTGCATCTGGACCAGGTGGGCTATTCATGTGGGGGCCATACCTGGGTAAGGTGGACACAGGGATCAGCAGACGCGGATTAAGTCACAACAGGTGCATGGGAGGGGGTGACTGCAAGGTTCTGGAGCATCCAGGAAGCAGGGGCGGCTGATCTAGACCGATGGGATAATAGGCAGCAACACAAGCAACTCGCTCGCAAGCAGTCCTCGGCAGCTGTGCCCTCTGTAAACATGCAGCTGACGGTGCCGAGCATGCGATAGAACTCTTCATGCATGGCATGATACTGAAAGCGTGCATTGTTTTTCGTCTTCTGACGTGTACTGGCATGTGTAGCTCAGCCATGCTGGACGCTACATAAGAGCTTAGCAGCGACCGACCCTGTATATTTCGCGAAGCCGTAGGTTTGCGCCGTCGGCACTGAATTGAGCGGGTGCCAGGCATGCTTATCGGGCCCTCCCCCCCAACTGTAGGTCCTACCACTGGCCTGTCGGGGACTGCCGCCCTGCAAGCATTGCGGTTGGGCCAGGAAACCGAAGGGCTGAAGACCGTGCGGACCCGGGGGGAGGGGGGCCACCACCACCGGGATCGTGATAGCCATCGAAGCGGGACAGGCGGACGCGAGGGTCGGCAGAACAGCTACGATGGGCGGGGGGCGGCGGCACGCGAACGGCGGGACCGGGAGCACCATCATAAGGAGCACCATCATAAGGAGCACCACCACAAGGAGCATCACCACAGGGAGCACCACAAGTGAGCACATGCCACGCGAGGGCTCGCTCGTGTTAGTGTGCGAAAGGGTGGGAAGGGTTGGTAGGGATGACGCAAGACGGCAGTCGTGTTTCCAAGTCCCATATGCTGTTGGTGGAGCACCTTGACGGTCTGTAGAGCAAGCCCGCAATGCCGCCGAAACGGAAGAGCTCTGTAGGGAGGGAGGGGAACCTGGACTTACTGGGCCCGTGTCAGCCGACGCTGTGTGCACGTGTGAATCCGCAAGACAGTATTTTGTCTGTGGGGCTGTGTAGGCTGCTGCCCTGTCAACTAGCGCAGCTGCTGCAATTCCAGGACGGAGTTTTGCATGCATGAATACGCTGCTTTTTTGCATGGTTCATTAGGCACAAGTGGAGCGCTCGGTGCGCTGCAAGACTGCGGACTGCACTAGGCTGAGTGAGAATCAGATCAATGCGCGCACGTGAAAGGTTTTATTGAGATGTTTTTTTAGTATCAACATATGTGAATCCTAAAATAGCAGACCTTGAGTGAACCCCTGACCGCAGTGTGGGGATGTGTCCACCCACGGGACCGGAAACAAGGTCATTTTACGTCCAAACCCTTTTGGGTCTGAAGGACCTGCACTCTTAAGCATGCCGTGGGATTACTTTTGCCAGGTCTGGCGACCGCCATCACTCTTCCGGCAGCCATGGCGGAGCTCATGGCACCGAGCAGGAGCACGACGGCATGGCGGCCATTGCGCAGAAGTTCGCCAGTCTGGACGATGTGGTTGGCCAGCTGATGTTGGTAGCGCAGGACCAGAACGGCTGCAGGTGCGTGCGCGGATCCTGGGAGGTAATGTTCGGTGATGTTCACCAAAGCGCCCTTGGTATCTATCAATGAGTAATGGGGTCGTGTGGGGGACCTTAAAGTCGGTTTCCAGGGTGGCGGATTTTCCGGCGGAGAGCTAATCTGAGGTAAGCTGAGTTTTGGGGTGCGTTTACCTGGAGGGCTTCTTTCGTGTCTGGAAGCCTCTGGTCTGCTGGTTGCAGCTCTCCTGGTCGCATGTATTGGCCTAACCGAAAGTCCGTGGCTTGGCTAGCAATGCCTTCCAAACGGGGAAAGGAAAGGAAATGGGAAAATTAAATGAACCTAAATTAAATGAACCTAAGCATGCTGGCTCATCTCTCAATTTCTTCGTCACGCCGCTGCTGCTAGGTCTACGAATTTCCTATTGTCCCTTGGACGGAGACCCCGTCTGCTGCTTAACTTGGCACGCACATAGTTAGCGTAGCTTCCTTACCACTTGCTCACAAATATTGTTCGTTGCTCTTACTTTCCATGGATGGATGGGGTAACGTACTCGATAGGGGCCAGTAAAAGGAAAGCATGAGGAGAGGCCCCTTCTGTCAATGGCATGGGAGAAGGGTTTGCACAGCTCTTGGATTGCTTGGGATGTTGCATGGCGTGTGTCGCCACGTCGAGCAGCGCATGTGCATTGCTGTGTAACGGTTCGTCGTCCGACGGTTCATGAACTGGGTTCTCGGCGTCCTTAGTATTTTTGTCCCTCTGCCACTCGCACAGATATCTACAGCGTAAATTCGACGAGGGTGGAGCGGCAGCTGTCGAGAAGGTGCGGCTGTTCTGATCTGATCTGATGACTGCTGACTGCAGTTTACCGCCTGCAGTTTACGACCAATGTCCTTGCATTTCCCGGCGGCAGTGTTGACTTCATCCTTCATGGTTGTGTGCAAGTTGCACGAACGCAGAGGCCGCGGACCTATGTTGTTGTTTTGCCCCAGCACTCTTCAATCTGAGTAACGTTCCAGGCACTGTTGCCTTTCAGGTGTTCCCTGAGGTGCTGACCAACATTGTCGAGCTCATGATGGACCCCTTCGGCAACTACCTCGTCCAGAAGCTGCTGGATCGCTGCTCGGAGCAGCAGCGGCTGGAGGTGCGCTGGGGCCCATCTCTCTGGGCCATTTTGGCAGGGACGTCGCTGCAAAGCCCTGGTGCCGGTTTGGTTGTGCCTGGTTCATGTGCCTGGTTCATGTGCCTGGTTCATGTTGGATATATGCGACTATCGGGATTCATTAGCGCCGAACCTGTGGTGTGGATCCCACGTCTGAGGGTGTTGAGAAGGATTGTGCCTGGATAAATAATCCCCGAAAAGTGCGGGCGATCCGTTCGTTCCTGTCCGGTAGTATTGAGTACGGGGTTACGTATTCTGTGCGCCGTGTAGGTTCTCAAGAAGGTGTCCGAGCGGGGAGAGCTCGTTACTGTGGCGCTCAACACACACGGCACACGCGCAGTGCAGAAGCTCATCGAGACGCTCTCCTCACGCGAACAACGTGCCATCGCCATCGAGGCGCTACGACCCGGCGTTGTGTCCCTCATCAAGGACCTCAACGGCAACCACGTGGTGCAGCGCTGCCTGCAGCGATTGGGACCTGAGGACAGCCAGTTCATCTACGATGCGGCCGTCGCGCAGTGCGTGGAAGTTGCGACGCACCGGCACGGCTGCTGCGTGCTGCAGCGCTGCATAGATTTTGCGACGCCGGCTCAGAAGCAGGCGTTGGTGCAGGAGATAGCCAACCACGCCTTGGTGCTCAGCCAGGTGCGTTTGCAGTGCTTTGCATGCGGCCGGCTCAGAAAGTGAAGAACCGGTGGACGGGGAGGGAATAGCTTATTACATAAGTTTCAAAGGGAATAATGTTCAGTTCTGTGAGTTCAGCTGTGTGTCCTGTGTTCTGTGAGTTGGTGCGGTCGGTGCTTTTACGGCTCTCCACGAGCGTCAGTGGCTTGTCACCTTATCCTCGGGGAAGTTCTCCTTTGGAGCTGAACATCTCACAATGTGAGACAGCTTCAGGGGGAAATGGGCAATAAAGAGCTGCCGTCTATGGATGTCCATGAATGAAAGGACGCTACTATTACTGCTGCTTGCTGCTGCCTGGCCGCGTACCTTTACACCCGCCTCTTCTCCCTTATGGCCGTGGTGATCGCTTATATGCTTTCTCCTTCAGGACGCGTTTGGGAACTATGTGGTGCAGTACGTGTTAGAGCTGGGGCACCTAGAGACATGTACGCAGGTCGTATCGGCGCTGCGCGGCTCCTTCAGCTCACTCTCACTACAGAAATTTTCCTCGAACGTGGTGGAGCGCTGCCTGAAGCTGGGCGGCATGGACGCGGAGCGGGAGGCCATTGTGCGGGAGCTCATAGCGCCCACAAGCCTCTCACGGCTGCTGCAGGTACCTGGGGGATAGCGTGCAAGCCTGTCTTCTATGAGGCGCGAGAAGGGTGGGGCAGCATGGGGATGACAACCGAAGGGGAATCACTTTGTCCCCTTGTCCCCACTGGTTTCCTTCCCCTTCGGAAACCAGTGGGGACAATCCTTTGGCTTATGTGAAAAAAAAACGCATGGGGATTGGCAAGTTTCTGGAAGAGAAAGCAATGCGAAGCATCTTCTGTAAGTCTTGATAATCGTTTGGATTTTTGTTGCAAGACCTGCGCTTACCCGAGCTTACCTAGTTTCTCCTTGCTATTTGCGTCTGGAGAAATCGTTATATTTCAGTGTGTTGAGTGCGTTTGGGGACGTATGCCTGCGTGGTGACGGCACATACTTATGGATTATTAAATTATATAGGTTCTTTCTTCCTTCCGCGCACACCTTGTTACTTACTGTACCTGTGCAGGACGGCTTTGGCAACTACGTGATCCAGAGCGCACTAAGCGTGACCAGTGGACAAATACATAACATGCTGGTAGAGGCCATCCGTCCGTACCTACCAACCCTGCGGGGGACGCCCCATGGGAAGCGCATTGTGCAACGCATCAACGGCAAGGCATGAGGTACATGAACTACTCAAGATGGGAAGGGGAGGAGGATGAGGAGAAAGGGCTCGAAGAAAGAGGGAGAGGCGCGGCACTCGGCATGCGAGGCACGCGGACTAGCGTGCCTTTCCGAAGAGGGTGGCGGTTGGCCGCAGGATGGGTTGGTGCAAGCCGCATGGATAGGCGTGGCGGACTGAGTTGCGGCGTTGCATGGCATGGCGAAAGGTCTTTCGTTCCAAGGATTGGTAAAGAAAAGCGGTACAAAACGTCGCTCGCTCGGTATCGTGTCACACTGGGTGCTGTGCTCCGAGCTAAGAACGGGCGACCACGGCGTCTTCAGGAGAAACGGTAAAAACTGGTTGCTGCAGTGTTTTGCTTTATCGGAGCTGAGTGCTAATACCCGCGATGGGGTTTATATCGAGTGCTTCCATGCTCCAGCGGCGCGGTCACGACCTGGTTTTGTCGTTGTTTCTAGCCAGGAAGTCAGTCAGCTTGCCCTCAGTACGTAGGCTGTGGGTACAGAGTGTGGCGGGTGTGGAGGAATTCCAGCTGGGTTGCGCCATGTCAGTAACTAACTAGTGGCGCGTATTGGTGACCATAATCATTTTTTACAGCGCGCTTGGTGTTTGTGGTGAAGAGGAAAAGCAATATCAGAAGCCGTGACCACTACTTTGCAGCACCTGGGTCCGGGTCCGGGTCCAGTCCGGTCTGGGGTAACAACACACGGCGAATGGCGTCAGGAGGCCACAATCCCACTGTGCGTGGCGGCCTGGATGGATGGATGTGTATAAGAATATCGCCGGGTGGGTTTCCGATGTACCTGCAGGTCGCGAGCGGGTCCTGGTCTATGATTCGGCAACATGTGAATCTGGGCCGAGTGGTTATGCGTGGCCTAATAACGACGGACGGTTGATAATGGCCGGTGGCGGACCGTACACGCGCAGCAAGCCTATGCGTGTGAGCACATCTTCCTGCCGTGTATGATTTGTATTATTTGTAGAGTACCATTTCTTAAAAAGGAAAGCCTCCCCTGCCAGATTGCTGACGTCTGCTGATGATACTGCCGGCGTGGCCACTCCGTGTGCGTGAAAGCGGTGCACGAAGGGTGTCGGCGGGCGGAAGGCGCGCGTGTCACGGCTGACGCGGCTGAGGGCGTGGGTGGGTGGGCGCACCAGCTTTTGGGCAAAGTATGTTGAACCTTGTATAGTGCTTGCGCCGTTTTTTGTACCAACAGTTCCGGTGGTGGTGGGTGGGTAACAACTACGTTGCGGTCTTAACCTGGGGTGTCAGGTTCGCATCAGCTCGTCTTGCCGTACAGTGAAGGCCGCGGTGCAGAATGTGGCCCAGAGTAGGGCCATCTTGGGAAGCGGTCAACGGGGCGTGGACTCTGACACCGAGGGGAGCGCTTTGGTGTTGGACTTGGTGCCGTTGAGAGTGGAGGGCAAGGCAAAATCCAGTACGGACGGAGATATGATTTTGGAACAGTCAGTTAGGGCTTATGTGTGGCACACTTCTTGCTGCTGACTTGAGGGGGCTGGCACTGTGGCCACAGTGGGCTATGAGCTCTGCTGGGGACGTCGCGAATATGCGCAGTCTGTGTCGCGGTTTCGCACGTATTGCGGTCGTCGCATGTCTGAGCGGCACGGTGAGTTAAAGTCAAATGTCCGGTGCGACGGGTGGCGTGGGCACGGCGCCAGCCATCCAGGTGGACGACCTAGCGGCGCGTTGCGCAACAGCCCTAAGTTGGCTGCTAGGTTGAGCTTCATGGGAGTTTGGCGGGGATTCTGGCGGATAAGGTCGTGACATCGTCGTACCCGATAATGACGGCGAATGGCGTAAAGTGGCATGCAAAGAAACTGTGCGGTTTGGAACTAGCCAAGCCGCATGTCCAACGAAAGCAATAGAGCCTAAGTCACTAGCTCTCCTGGAAACAGGTGTGCATGTATCCGCCAGCAAAGAACATGTCCATGGAAGCAGCTTAAGGTTATTGGGCAAATGCCTCTCGGGTCGCGTTTATTAAACGCCCTTGCCTCATCGACCTGCTACAGCAGGGGACATCTCGGCCCTGCAATCATTCGGAGGATTGCCCATATTCAAAGCACCTCCGTATCAGCCAGGTCGGGGCTTTGGATTATTTGTACGCCCATGGTATTTGTCAAAACGTCTTGGTCAGGAAAAGGACAGGACCCATGGCCAAGGTTTGACGCGTGGCCAAGGTTTGAGGTTGACACGACGGCCGACGTTCGCCCTTTTTCAGGCCCGGCGTACCGTACTTCGCGATGTGTGCGTTTAGCGAATGTCGATGAAAACGATTTTACTGAACTAAGGGAGATTCATGGGAGGATAACGCAAGAGAACACGCGTACCGCGAAAAAAGGAAATTGACACCCTCTGAGCGAGCTCCCCACTAAGAAAACCAAGGTGAGTGAACAGGTAATGCATCGATCAGTCCTGGTTGATGATTGGGCCTTATTGGGAGGTGCTGCGCCTTGCGGCTTGGTATGCTCACCACACGCACCAACGCCCATCAGCGAGTTGCACATTGTGAAGAGGCAAAGTCTTAGGTCATGTTTGCTGTGCACATTAGGTGTTCTTGAGGAATTCTCTTACGAACCTATATCGGGTGACAGGGTATGCAAGGCTTTCAATCGCCATTAACAACCTTGAAACCTAATTCCGCCATTGACGGGTTTACCGCGTGATGCCGTACAGCTTACCAGCGAGATTCGTGCTCGGTAACCATGACTAAAGGCGGCGGTGGCGGCGGCGGCGGTGGCGGATACCACGCCGCCGGTGGTGGCGGTGGCGGCCACCACGCCGCCGGTGGAGGCGGTGGCGGCCATCACGCCGCCGGAGGTGGCGGTGCCGGGCACCACGCCGCCGGTGGTGGCGGTGCCGGGCACCACGCCGCCGGAGGTGGCGGTGCCGGGCACCACGCCGCCGGTGGTGGCGGTGCCGGGCACCACGCCGCCGGAGGTGGCGGTGGCGGTGGCGGCGGCGACCACCACGGCCCTGGCGGTGGCGGCGGCAAAGTGGCCGCTGTCGCCATCGCAAGAGCAGTGATCGAAGCTGGCCGTGATGGCGGCAAGCTGGTGGCACGGCCACAAGAGAAATGACGCCTCCGGTATCCTGTCGACCCCCAGGCTACGGCGCGTCAAATATGGGCAGCTGCAGTTTCGCCGCTCGCACTCAGGCCGCTGGGGACCGCTACCAGGCCACCCATGCACAAGGCGGCGGCGACGAGTAGCTTGCGTCTTTTTTATATGTGCATAGAGGCCCTAAGGTAGCCTACGGTGTGTGCTGTGGCCGAGCCCTATATCCCTGGTTACTCAGTCTCGAGTCTCAAGTTGAGACTGCCTAGGGGAGGAGCCAGAGAGGTAGTTTTATGAGTTACCGCCATTGCCTTGCATGGTAGTTGGATTGACTGTCGGTTGACTGTTGGCCAAACTGAATCCTGACTTACAAGTGTGCATCAGTGGAAGTTATATACTGCAAGACCCTAACCCAACAAGGTTCGCTGCTGCCTTACAAGCATTTGTAAGAATAAAGTGCTTGCGCTTAGATGTGTACTTCGATCCCACGTCGTACATACGCAGCAGTTGCACTGCTCGGTCAGTGACAGCTTCTGGCAAGACGAAAGGAAGCCTCGGCCACTGGTCAGAAAGCCACCCTGTGGACACGTTCCTTACCCCCGCACGTGACATACCATATCTGGAGATCAGGGGACAAGCGGTTCGGATACTTCGAAGGCTCTGCAGGATCCAAGGTCTGGCCTTTCTACCTTCCATGTGAGAGAACCGGAGACCTGGAAGGATATATTTCGCCCCCGCCTCACGGGCCTTCTCCAACACAGAGAGTAGACACACATGCCACTCCGGCCAACCCGTCAACCGGGAGTTCAACCAACGACGCAAACGAGAGCAAAAAGGGAACCCAGAACGGAAAGTCTTCCTTGCCGCAGTCCTGAAAAGTGTGAAGTGAAGGATCCGATAACGGTCAGCTGACATCCTGAGGTGGGGTGGGGTTCCAAAACCCAGGCATAAAACTCGCCAAGACACAGACAGTGCGGCACTGACCTACATGCGCTGCTGCTTTTGTATCTTAACGCTGGTGAACACACTTGTACACCGATGCAGCGTGTTATAGCAACACGGCCTAGAGCACCTTAACCCATCTTCTCGTCCGATACCTAATCCCATCTTCTCATCCCCCCATATCCATCTATCACCCAGCCGCAAGGCGCCATCACCACAACTACAACAAACAAGCACCCTCCCAATCAACCGGTGTTGTAAGTGTCTACAGCAAAGGAGTTGTGACGTCCATCATGCCCTGTGCCATTGCGGCCTGAGGGTTTGGGGGCATCTTCGGTGGGTTTGCAGCTACTATTGCTGCTACTATTCCTTACCGCATTCTTTTGGGACCCAAAACATGGAGCCTGCAAGCAGCAGCACGCGTTTGGCTGTCGTCCATAAACTAAGCAGGCAGGAGCGTTGACATCGACCCCTCCCTCGCCTTCCCACGGACCTGCCAAATCCAATGACCCAAAGCGCGAAGGAAAAAGGCGGATAGCACCTGAGCGAGGCGGATTGAGGCGGATAAAAAGCTCCCTCCGGCTTCCAGCCACACATGTCCACAAATCTGACACAAATCATACGTGCCTCCCTGCAGGCACCTTGACGGTTTGCCCGTGTCGCCTGTCGCTCGTGTTGCACACATATGCCTAAAGGCCCTCCTTTCCATTACCCCCGACAACGTCTGCTGCTCTGTCCCTCTCGCCCTCCATCTATCCGTCCATCACTCGGTCTGCCCCAAAGTCCTCTTCCACAGCAGCTTACGGGAATGAGCTAAACAATAAGATCTGATGGCCTAAACAGGAACATGCTTGCCACGAATCGAACACAAGCACAGCGCACCATCGGACAACCGCACGCATCCAGTCTGTCCGCTGTTAGCTGTTAGCTGTCACGAATGTAAGCGGTCGCTCACGTCATCATTATCCCCTTCACCATTATCGCCATCGCCGCAGGCTGCTTGCTGGTGGCCTCACTCACACGTCCTCTCAGGGTGGGGGCCCCCAACCCACCCACCGGGGGATGTCATCTCATCGCACACCTCACCAACACTACTCACTCCGCGTGCACCAGCACTACCAGCACCAGCACCAGCACTACCAGCACCAGCACCAGCACTACCAGCACCAGCACCAGCACTACCAGCACTACCAGCAACAGCACCAGCACTACCAGCACTACCAGCACTACCAGCACCAGCACCAGCACTACCAGCACCAGCACCAGCACCAGCACTACCAGCACCACAATGAACGGCCCCATCTCCATCACATCACATCACGGGTAAATGTAGTCCCCACCCAACCCCCAACAATGCCCAAACGCAGAGCGACCACCCCTTAATTAACCCCCACCCACCCACACACATGCACGCGCTGTATATACACCTGAATGGTCGCTCGGACGGAGGGACGTACAGACTGCTGGTGAACCACAAGTACGGTGTATTTGACAGTACGGCATGTTACGGCACAGTACAACAAGTGGTCTCACTGCGGGCCGCCAATTGATCATCAACATCGTCGTCACCATCGTCATCACCGTCACGCCCAAATCCTCCCGTCATGTAGCGTATTCGTATTCGTATAGCTCCAATTAACATTGCCCAAACGGTGCTGCGATACACCCATCTGCATCCAAGGCATCGTTTCGTTCCATACACTACTGCCGGCCCCGGGGTTCGGGGGAAAATGCCAGGGAGGCCGAGGGGAAAAAGCACAACACACACGACCACGGGCCCCCACCCACCTGCATCCGGCTTGGCGAGGCAGGGTGCCTCCGAGGTCTCCATACCCACATATTTTCCCCCACACACAGTCCCCGGCTCCCACACCGGGCCCAATGTCACGTTTACTAGGGATGCCCTCCCCTATTCTCAAGCCTAATCATGCTGTCCAGACAGTCCTAAACGACCCGATGGTAAACAACTGTATTGACTCCTTTCCTCTTCATCTTCCTCTCCTGCCTTCAAGGCACGCCAGAGGATTTGGCTGCCCAGCACTGGCAGGATACCATCCTCCAAACCGTCCTTTAAAACTGATGAGAGATCAACGGAGGACACCCCTCTAATCGGCTGTGGTAAACAGCCCCCAGGTAATGGCACAGGTTGACGTGAGTCAAGAGTCAACCAGCCGTGAGCCAATCGGTCGGTCAATCAGTCAAAAAGACGGTCAGGTCAACCAATCGGCCAATCGGCCCAGTCAGCCATCCAGTCAATCACTAGATAGCCAGGGCCCACCTAACCCTAGTCAGTCAGTCAGTCAGTCAGTCAGTCAGTCAGTCAGTCAGTCAGTCAGTCAGTCAGTCAGTCAGTCAGTAGTCAGGTGCTAAGTGCGGAGTATCGTTCAGCAAATCAAGCTGTCCGCTGGGAGACCTCTCCAGTCCCGTCCTCAAACACACGTGGGGTCCAGCAGCCCCGAAAAACAGCATCAACAACACGTAGCAACGACAAACATTAACCGGGGCAGCAAGCAGCAGTAGCAGTAGCTACCAGAATATATGGGTGGATGTACCGCCCACCGCGCTATTAGTCCGCAATGCTGGTTCCCACACAATCTGTTGACACTGCCATACTTGTCGCCAAGACACTCCACAGCACCTCAACACAGACACACACACATGACACACAAGCCACATCCATACTGCTCCAAGCCCTCCAGGATATCCAAGGCGGCACACAGGGGGCCACCGTAAAAGTAACCAACAAAGCAGGAGCCGCCCGAACACTGCCGACGGCATCCACGTCGTTCGACCACAAGCCCCCCGCCCGGCCAACAAAACATTCCAACTATAGGGGTGTGGATGGATCCTAATACATTACCGCATCGCGAGGTAGGTCGCACCAGTACTAGCTACTAGACCAGGCAGGACATGTACATAACTTTCGCTACCTAACCGTCTGCCTAACCGCCTGGCTATGTGTCTGTGCCTCCCCACCTCATCTAGTGCTAGGGGCATTCACGCCCGCCGGGGGTCTCCTGCCTGTCTCCCTTGTCTTTTCCTCACTACTCCTTACTCCCTCCCGCTCTCTCTTCCCCCCTAAGATGGCTCAGATGGTGTTCCCTTCCGGGGCCCCCCAGCGTTACGTGCGCCCAGACGGGCGAAGTAAGATGTTACGCTAGGTTACAAAATACTTGAAAGTAAGGGGGAAGGCAAGGGGGGAGGAACTCTATCCAGCCCAGTTCATACTTTCTCCTCCTCCCGATCTCGCAGCTGCAGCTGCAGCTACAGCTACAGCTGCTACTGCTACTGCTAATGTGGCCGCTCACCACCTTTCCACAAGCATGTAGCAGCCTCCGCCGCTCTGCACTGCCGCGATGAGCACGCCCAATGGCTCAAAGAGCTCCAGGGGCGGCGGACCCACCAGACCCGCCAGCGTGCCGCAGACCTCCGTATGGGGGGCCAGTCGGCCCTGCGAAAGCACACGAGTGCAGGCAGCCAGGGGAAAGGAGACGGCCATTCAGCATGGCACGGGGCACAACGCGGCGCGATGTGTGGCGCCGCGCTCACTTCGCCGATGGGAACACCACCAGGACTACGCCTATTGCTGCTACGTACTTAAGTGCTACTGGGCTGCTTGTAATGACCTGGTATCATAGTTGTTTTATTATTATTATTTATTATTATCATTTATTATTATTTATTATTATTGTTATTATTATTATTATTATTATTAGTAGTTGTTGTTGTTGTTGTTCCTCTGCCCATGCAGGTGTGTACATATACCTGGGACAAGCAATAAGCAGCCAGGACCCGTTTTCCCACCCTCAGGCGCCGGCCCACCTGCAGGCACTCGCTGATCATGGTCTCAGCATCCAGGGGACCAACCACCTGCACCAGCTGCTTCATCACCACCAGGCCTTGCTGGGGCTTACTTCCGGCGGCTCCACCACCGCTGCCAGCACCGCCGCCGCTGCCTCCCCCGCTGCCGCTGCCGCCGCCGTCGCTGCCCTTTCTGTGCCCGTGCACGGCCTTCTGGCCCCAGCCGCCTCCTGAGCCTCGGAGGTTGAGGTGCTCAAAGCCAGGTGGCCGAGGCAACCGGCCGCCGTTGACGGACGGGGTGGGAATGCCTGCTGGCAGCGCTGGTGAGTTTTCGTTGTTGTACGGCTGCGGCTCCGGAGCCTGTCGTACGGCGGTCCACCAGAGCGCCGCAGCTGCGACCGCCGGCTGTGCAGCGGGGGGTGCGTTGTGCGCGCGAGCTCCCGTGAAGAGGGAGATGACGGCGCTGCGCCTGCGATGGAACAGTTTAAATCATATCAGCCACAGGCACAACCGGCACCAGGGCCGACGCCACCGCCGCGACCATAACAGACATATGGTCGCTGCCAGGCATGGGGATAACAGGCGAATAGAGAACAGAGAATGGCCGGTGCCCAGCGCAAACTGATAAGCTAAGAAACGGCCATCCAACCCTGGTAACGCTACCTGCACAAAGTACAAAACTGAAGTCCGAACTTTGCCCCGCTTACCAATCGTTCGTGAAAGGCGGCACCATGATCCCCGGCGGTGGTGGCGGCCCGGCCCGAAGGGGCTGGAAAGCCAAATCCCGATGTTGGTGCTGTTGCTGGTGGTGGTGCAGGAGTAAAGGCTGCTGGTGCTGCTGCACCGGTGGCGGATGCGTGTGTTGCTGTTGTTGCTGTTGTTGCTGCTGTTGTTGCTGATGCAGGCGTTGGGGCTGCTGCCGGTTAGGAAGCGCCTCGCGGTGATGGTGGGGATGTTGGGGATGCAGATGCTGCTGTTGCTGCGGGTTGTGATGCTGCTGGTGTTGCAGATGCTGCTGCTGCAGCGGCGGCGGCTGTTGCGGCCGTTGCTGCTGTTTTTGTGGCTGCTGTGGCTGCTGCTGCGGCGGCAGCGGCTGTGGCGAATTTTGCTGCTGCTGTTGTTGTCGTAGCTGGGGCTGCGGACTCGGACCGCGGGACCGGGTACCCGCGGGAGCAAGCGCTTGCGGGTCGGCGACAGTGTTCGAGCCGGGGCCGTTGTCCGTTGGAGGAGCCGACGGTGGTTGTAGCGGCTGTTGCGGAAGCCCTGCAGGCGGCGCTGTCGGCGCTGCTGCCGCGTCACGCTGCGGCAGGGGCACCGGGGGCGCGCGCTCCTGCTGCTCCCGCTCTTTCTGCCGTCGCCTCTCCTCCTCCACATCCTCCTCCGCGAAAATGCTGTGCAACGCGCGAACAATGCCGGCGCTGAAGCCACCACCACCACCACCACCGCCTCCCGCACCGCCACCGCTGCTCACCCGCTCGCGGCCCTCCGTGCCCAGCTCTCCGCCTTCGCCGTCGGCGTGCATGCCCGTCCTGCTACTGCCGCCCGTCGCATCGCCACCAACAGCATCATATATCGTGGAAGACCCTTCCTGGACGACACACCTGTGAGCCGCAGAGCTAACGGAAGCTGTTGCGTTGCCAAGCAGGGGCTGCGTCGCCGCCAGGTATCCCGGCACCCCGAAAGCTGCGGCGATGGTCGCATCCAGGGACGTCTGCGTGGCCCTGAGCTGCTGCAGCGGATCTAAGCCCCAAAGGCGTGTACACGTGGGCCTTATGAGCTGCTCCCCACAGAACAGCCCGTGAGGCAACATGGAGAGCTGCGGCAGCGGCGCCGCCAGGGGATTGTACGACGATGACGACGCGGGTAAATGGTGACGCTCCGGTGACGTCATGCGGGAGCTGTCGTCGCTTGTGGACTCTTCCCCCCGTTGCTGTTGCTGCTGTTGTTGTTCAGGTTCCTGTTGCGATTGCGGTTGTTGTTGTTGTTGTTGCTGCTGCTGCGGCGGCGGCTGTTGTGGTAATGGCTGTGACTGCAGCTTTTGCTGCTGTTGTTGGCCGGCTGTCGCCGCTGCGGCTGCGGCTGCCTGTGCCTCGGCTTCAGCTACCGCAGCCGCCGTCGCAGCGGCGGCGACGGCTGCTGCTGACGCGGACACGGCGGCGCTGGCGGCAGCCGCTGCGACAGCTGCGGCGGCACCAGCGCCGGACGTGGGCCGCGGCGAGTGAGCCATGTACGAGCAGTACGGCGATACCATGGCACGGTACAAGTCCGGCAGGTCAGGTAGGCGCCGTATTGGCGACGAAAGAACCTGTATCGGCTGTACGGCTTGCCAAGACATCACTTGCGCCACAGGCGACGCAGGCGGCGGCTGCCCCGGCTGCGACGCTGCCTGCAACTGCTGATGTATATGCGCGGGCAGTGGCGAGGCTCCCTGGGGCGGCGTGGGGCCACGTGAGCCATGAACCATACCCGCTACCGCCGTACTGTTGCCGTATGCTCTGTACGACACATGACCTCCGTCGGAGGCCCCGTTGCCGTTGCCTGTGGGCGGCTGCGGGGTGCTGCTGCTTGGCGGCTGCGGCATACTGGGTCGTGTGCTGGAGGGTCCCGGCGACGGTGACAGCAGGCCGCCTCCCACTGCTGCCGCCCCCGGCGCAATCGAAGCCGTCGCAGCAGCAGCGGCAGTAGCACCAGCACCGTTCCCAGAGTTTGCAAAGCTGAACGTGGGCCTGGCAGCTGGGGTTCTGGAGGCGGCACCCAGACCTGGCCCGGACGCGGAGGAGGAGGCGAAAGGAGCCCCGCTACTCCGGCCCAAAGCTGGGGCCCCGGTAACACCGGGCCCGTTGGCGGTGCTCGTGACGTTGTTCTGAAGCGGTCCTCCTCCTGTTCCACCTCCTGCCGCCAACGCCGCCGGTGGCCCCACTGCCGTACGAGCTACAGCCGCGCCAGGAGCTACCTGCACGCTGGAGACGCTCAGGTGTACGGCGGGACTAGATGTCGCTGTAGCCGCAGTCGTGGACGCTGCAGTAGCAGCTACAGGAGGAGTGCCGCCCGAAGCGCGGAGAGAGGAGGAGAAGCCGGAGCCGCTGCTGTTTAAGGACGACCTTAAAGGTACGAACTCGTTCGCCTGAGTAGTGGCCAAGGTTCGATGGATTGGCCGAGTTCGACGGGTTTGACAGATTGCAAGGGTCGAACGGGTCGAGTAAGGGATGAGTAGGTGCTTGACGGGAAGGGTGTGTGCAAGAGGGTTGTGCGCTCGGGTGACATGAGCTGTGGCCCCGTGAAGGGCCCCTTAAACGACAGCGGAGGCCCTAAACAACGGCGTAAAATCCAGGCAAAAACCTGGCAAAGATGCCGCACGAAGCCGCATGGACGGAATTCCCTTGCTGCGCTTCCTTCACAACACTTCACCACCAAGGAAAACAGTGTATCCCCGCATAGCGATTTACAAGGTGCATCCATTTCAGTCAATGTTCGCTGCGTTGAAGGCCAAAGGCACGCGCCCGAAAGGTTCGCGGCAAACGAACCATAGGCCCAACCATAGGCCGCTACCTGTGACGACAGGACCTCCAGACAGCTCCAGGTAATCCCTTACCTGCGGGTTTAGCTTGGAGGTTGACGGGCCCGGATAAGTGGCGTTCAAATTGGTCGCTGAGCCGGCGGATGGAGGAGGATGCGTCGCGTTCAGATTCGTCACCAAGCTAGCACTGGCCTTGGCTCCGAAATTAACGCTGCCCGAGCTCCCGGAGCGGCTCATCGCCACATTTCCGGCAGTAGCAGCAGCGGAAGGGGGAGCGGTGGTTACCATCGCCGTCGCCGTCGCAGTTATCACCGCCTTCCCTGGAGCGTTTAACCCCTTGCTGATCATGTTGTTAATGTTACGGCCTCTTGAGGGACCTGGAGCACCACCGGCGGCTGCAGCAGCAACGGCAGCGGCGGCTGTAAGCGACAGTCCATCCCGCGGCGTCGCCGCGGTCGAGACGGTGGCAGAGGTTGGCGGCAGCAACGTAAGAGGCGTCGGTGTTGGGGGATGGACATGAGAACCTGAGGACGATGATCCGGAGGCGGCTCGTCCCAGTGGCGCGCGAGCCATGGCCGGCTGAGACGGCGGTTGGGACGGAACCGGTGCTGGTCCAGGCAGTGGTGCTGATGGCGGCGTTGGGTGATGCCCTGGACCTGCTTCGCCCTTGACGGCGGCTGCAAAGGACTGTGCCACACTGGGCCCAGGTCCTGGTGCTAGCGGCGCGCTGCCCGCCGGTGGCGATGCCGCTAACGGTACGGCTGGAGGTGCTGATGCCGTTGAATTAGAGATTGCGTGGGTATGCGACGGCGGTGGCGGCAAGGTCGCCGGCGTGGCAGGCCGTCCTGTTGCCTGCGCCGTGGGCAGACATGGCGCCGCCGTGGGTGTCGTCACCGTCGAATTGCTGGCCATCACTGGCGGCAGTGACTGTGTCGGCGGCTGTGCCAACGCTCCCCAAGCCCCCGTCGGTGCCGCCGCGGCAGGGGAGGCACTTGCGACAGCCGTAGATGCCTGCGACGTCGGAAACTGACCCACGGGTCCTCGCTTGCTGTATAGCAAGCTCCGAGGAACTTCGATGTAACCACACACATCCGTGGCAGCGCCGGGGTTGGCGCTGCTGTTGTTTCGCTTGACACCCGTGACGCGTTGGCCGAGACCCGGCGCCGCCGAGGGAGAGCTGCCATTCGCTGAGGTTCCAGCCGTTGACGATGGGCTAGCCGCTTGGGTAGCGGCGGCCGACGGCGTCGGCGGCAGTGGCGCCGCTTTAGCCGCAGACCCGTACCGATCCGCTGCCCCCGACGCCGACGCGACCGCCGCCGGCATGGTTAGCGCGACCGTCCCTGCAGAAGCTCCATCGCCACTCGTTGCCAGCCAAGATACGGATTCCCCAGCCCACTGGTTCCCTAGCCCTGGCGGCTCCGGGGAAGACGAATGGCGGCTGTCGCTACTGGCCATTACAACCTGTCGGGGCGCAGCTGCCCTTCCGCCAGCCGGCGCAGTCCCTGACGCTTGGCCAGGCACTGGCCCTGCCAATGCCGCTGCTGCAAAAGAGGGCACTGCCGACGCAGACGACGACGATGCGCCAGTTCCCGCTACGGGCCGCACCACTGCCACAGCAGCGGGTGCTGCTGCTACAGCGCCAACATGCTGCTGGGGCGGCGGCGGGAGGCTATTGCCTGCTGCGATAACAGGCACTGTCGTTGCGCTCTGTGGGGCCACTTCTGCCGCGACGGAGGCTTGTCCGTGTGCCTGTCCCTGGGCACGTCGATTACGATGCCCCGAAACCACCTTCCACTGTCCGCCTTCGTCACCCTCAGCCACCGCCTCCACCTCAATCTTTATGTAAGGCTCTGTTTCCACAGCCGTCGATGCGACGACTACAGTACCCACCTCTGAATCTGCCATACAGGAGACATGCACGTCTGCTGCAGGGGCACCCTGCTTCAAGCCCCTGCCCGTAGACGCTGCGCTGGCTGCTGGTGCTGTTAAGGCTGCTGCTGTAGGTGCCATTGCTACTGTATGGGCTGCTGCTGATAAGGCAGCTGTTGTGGAGGCGATAGCGGCAGCAGGGCTCACAGCCACGGCCCAAGGCGCGTTGGGATGCAGAGCGGATGCACCCACGGCCCTAGGTGTTACGGCGGTGTATACTTGGTTACCAGCCAGGGTCTCTGATTGAACTCGCTTGGCCAGGGATTCACTATCCGCACAGGCAGCCGCAGAGGAAGTAGCAGCCGCCGGAGCCACGCTGTTCAGTACCAAGGCCGGGCGTGGAGATGGTGCGACCGCCGTCTCGACCCGCGGCGTGGCCGAGGCGACAGGAAGACCAGTGGCAGCAGGCGGCTGCTGCTCTTCGGGTGGTGGCAGTAGTGGTGGCTGCGGTGCCAGCGGAGGCGGCACCGCCACTGCTCCCGCACCCGTGCTCGGTGGAGCTGCTGATTTCGAGGGCCGCAGCTCTGGCTGCCCTGGCCCGGGACCTGGCTCACAGGCCCCCGCTGCCGCCCCGCCCCGGCCTGCAGGTTCCGGCTCCTGCCCTGTCCCTGGCGTAGGTGCCGCTGGCGACGGATGCAGCTCCTGAGCTGTGAGCGCCTGCTGTACGATTGCATCAGGCGCCGCAGTGGCGGCCGCTTCTGCCACGTCGGAAGCCCAGGAAGCGGCGGTTGTGGGGGAGCTGCCGTTGCCCGCAGGCGCCTGTGTCGGTGCTGCTGCTCCTGTCACAGATGCAGCCGCTGCCGCCTTACGAGCCTCCCTACGAGCCGCTCGCCGCCGTGCACTGCGGCTGCTCTTGCTACCTGCCGCCTCGTCGCCTCCGTCGGTTGCCGTGTCGTCAGCGGCGACGGGTCCACTACCGCGCGGTGACGGGTCCACTACCACTAGCGGCGCCGCCTGCTCCGCCTTCGATCCCGCGAAGTCATCACCGCCGAATGGACTAGGTCCCGAGGTTGCCAAACCTGTCGACGACTCCGGCGCTACTGCTGCTGGTTCTGCGGCTGCGGCAAGTGCAATCGTAGATGGGGACACGGCAGGTAGTTCTGCCGGCTTTGCTGCCGCGGCGGCTGATGTCTGCCGCGGCGCGTCAACGGTCAGCAGCAGCGACGCAGCCGTCGAGGCTGCTGCTTGCAGTTTAGGGGTTGGGGGAACTTGTGGCTGCACTGCCACCGCCGACACCGTCGCATGGCTCACCAGCGGTCCGGAGGGCACCGGCGCAGGGTTAGACGGGCCCTGCGGCGGGGTCGCCGCTGCCAGAGGGGCAGGTACCGGTGGCGGTAACGGCGCCGTGCAGGGGGCAGATTTTCCTGCTAGGGCGTCGCCGCCGGGAACGGCTGCGTTGCAGGTGCACGCTGCACCTCCGCCGCTGTGCTTTGCCCCGGTGCCAATGGCGGCACCTCCCATAACGAAGCCGGCCCCTGTCCTGCGGGCCTTACGCCGCTCCAGCAGCAGTGCAGTGCCGTTCTCCGCTACCTGAGCCGTCACGACTGGTCCAGCCGCCGGAGTCGTCGCCTGCTCCGATGAAGCACGACCTCCTGCCGCTGCCGCGCGAGGTCCCACGCCCCCCAGCCAAATGTTGCCATCCGCACACATGGGCTGCAGCTCCACACTGGCCAACGGACCCACGGGTCCGTCCGGCTGTGCAGCAAAGCCAAGCCGCATGTGCACATGGGGCTTTGCTGTCGCCTCCGCTGCCGAACCAGCCGCGCTGGCGACGGCGATGCTGGCTTCCGGCGCTGCGTCCGTCGCAACCACATCACCCCCTTGCGGTGAAAAGCTTCGATCGCGCGGGGTGCATTTGTCTCCCCTGTCAACACCGGCACTGCTTCCGCCACCGGCACCACTACCACCGCCACCGCCAACACCGGCACCATTACCACCGCCTCCGCCGCGTTTGGGGCCTTTGGATGTGAGCCGCCGAGAGTCCTGTGCCGTACTAGACGTCAGGCTGGAGGCCGACGGCGCGCCTGACTGCTTGCCCTGCTGTACGTACGACAGGAGGATTCTGGCTGCAGCGGAATGGCCAGCCTGCGAGGAAAAAAAGAAAAGCAACAGGGTAAACAACAGCTGGACCTGCTGACAATCCGTACCCGGCTGTTCTATCTTAACCGCCCTAATCTTTTCATTCCTGCAGAACCCTTGACCCGATAATCCGTAATTAGTGTTGTGTCGTAAAAACGCTTCCCCCCCAAGAAGACCCCACCTGCTTCAACCCCAAATCAGTGATGCCGTCCTCAGTAATCCGCACACACAGATGCGTGCGTGTTACCGCTACTCACCTCCAACGCTTTCTCCAGGCAATGTCGCGACGTTGCCGACGATAAGTCCATAGGTGCGCCGCGGTGTAGCAGATACGCCAGCAACAATGGCCTGCCGTACCGCAAGGCCAGCTGCGCGGCGGTGTGACCGCCGTACAGGGGCACCGTCAGCATGGGATCGCGGCTGCGCTTCTTGGCCGCCGCCGCGGCGGCAGCGGCACCGCGGCGACCGCCTCGCGCGGAGGCGGACGCACCGGTTAGGCTGCCCAGAACCCCGGCACGGAGCTTTTTCTCCTGCGGGGAAAATCAGGCAGAGGCAGATACAGAGTTGAAGTTCCATGCCAAAAACTTTCCCTTCTACTACAAGGTGGCCCTCTGCCAGTCCGCCGACCCAGATAACTTTGCCCCGTGTCCCCCGCATCAAGCCCACTGCTGGTTTATTTCCTTTTGTCCTTCCTACCCCCAGTCCCTCCTACCTCCGCTCGCACATCCGCCTCGTAAGCGAAGCACGTGGTTTTGGCGCCCAGCGGCATCCTCGCATCTTCCACCAGCAGCCGAGCCGCCGCCAGCTCCAACTGTCCTCCGCTAGCCAATCCAGAGGTGGCGTCCGCGACTGCAGTGCTTCCCTCTGAGCCTACCTGCCCAAGGCCGCCGCCGCCGCCACCCGGCTTGCCGCCAGGACCCGCCAGCCCTGCTACCGCCACTGAGCCGCCGCCGGTGGTGGCTACCACCGCCGCCGCCGCGACCGCCGCCGGTGTGGGCGCTGCGCTGCAGCCGTAATGCGCCAACAGGTGTAGCGGCATGTAGCCCAGGGCGTCACGCTCCAGGGGGTCCGCACCCTAGGGGAGTGGGGAAGGAAGGGAAGGGAAGGAAGGCCAAAAGAAAGGAAACTTGAGTGAAGAGCGGCGCATGCGGAGAATAACACGTGAGATCTGTAGGCATTGCAGGCATTACATATATACATATGGTATATGTATATACAACATGTATGGACATGCATGAGTACGCAAGGGCAAACCGCACTTACAGCGTCCCTTAACTGGGACGGACGCGTTCTAATACGCGGCATAACCTCTAATGTACCCGCCTACCAACAACACCGCCGGCTTTGGAATGTTTTATAAAGAGAGTTAACGCCGTAGCGCTCTAGGAACGCTAGGGGATGGCCGCGCGATTACCGGCCAACGGCCGCTGCTGCTGCCGACGCCGCTCTGTAGCGCATTGTTCGACACACTCACGTTCTGCAGCAGCCAGCGTATCGCCGCGAGGTTCCCAGCTCGCACTGCCAGGTGCAGCGCAGTGTAACCATCGGCATCCTGCAAGACACACAAACGAAGGCACCCAGGCACCAGGACACCGACACACACCACATGACAGGTTGTTAGGCATGAGCATGGAGGACCTTTCCGGTATCATAGCTATATCCACAGCTATTCACCATTACAAAGCAAAATATGCAATAAACTACGGCCCTCTCGAGCCAATAGATCAGCTAGGAGGATAGCCCCATCAGCTAGGAGGACAGCCAACACAACTCGAGCCAATACACCACCTAGAAGGACAGACCCAATTGAACATCCAGACCACCATACAACCAGCGGCCAGCCAGCCAACCAAAGCAGTCAATCAGACAACCAGCGAGGCGACCCGATTAGACAGCTAGTTACACGCAAGCAGGGAAGGGGCCCCCCGGTCTACGCACGTGGGCATCCAGGAGGGCTCCCCGCGTCTTCATGGCCGCCATGAGGGACACCGCGGCCTCTGGAGGTGCGGCATCCATAACGGCGGGAAGTGCCACCAGCTGTAGCTGGGCCCGAAGCTCCTCGGTTTCAGGGCTAAAAGAAAGTGGGAAGCGAGAGGGTTGGGCCAGGAGTGAAAGGTAGAGTGTGCGGGGTGGAGTGGTGGGGTGGGGTGGGGTGGGGGGACGGGTGACAGGCGGGCCGCCGCAAGGGAACCAAGCGCACTGCAATACCTATGAAACCCAGCAGGCGGATAGATCGGTTTCCACTCGCCAACAGAGACACGAGAGGCACCTCTAAAGAAATGCACCTTCGCCGTCCGAACGGTACAACACCACGGGGTGCAAGTAAGGCCACACCACATCTGTTTTAGTATCACACCCAAGGCGCTCCGCCAGCCTCTTGAGAGGCCTTTTCAGCGGCCAGCTACTACAAAATCCCCCAAGACAGTTCTTCTTTTTCCTCTTTTGCTTGCAGAACCGAGAAACACGCTGCAGCAGAAGGACTTCGTGCAGACGCGGTCAGTCAAGCGGGAGGAATCTCGTGGCCATGGCCGTGCGGGCGACTCTGCTCTCGGCGGCGGAGGCCACGTACTTACGTCGCGGCGGCGCGAATGGCGACGCGGTAGTTACACTGGACGCAGGGGCAGCCAGCCTGGGGATTATTCACGGCACAGCGGAGAGCGAGCATATGGTTCGCCAAAGTGGCCAAAAGTTTTCAAAAACTGTGAGTGTAACGTTACCCGCCTGCCCGAAACACACACCCAGGCCCACATGCTAAGCACCAGTGCCCTTACGCTCCCACCGGCCGCCGAGGAAAGACCCAATACCTAATGGGGGCCGCATAGCTTTAATGTTAATGTTCCCCGGTTGGCCATTACTACTACCGGCCGTCACCGTTGGAGCCATCCATTTTCCCCCTATAGCCCGGAGGAAATGTGAACGGTGGTCTGCGTGGTGTGGATTGCGGCTCTCCCATGACTCACCACTTCAGACCGCTCCACCCGCTGGGACGCATGCAGCAGCCGCCGGTAGATGTCCGCCTGGGCCCTCTGCCGGGTGCGAAAGCCGGTTCGGTGGGAGGGCGGAAAGCGAGATGGGCTGTGTACGTATGTATGTATGTATGTATGTATAATCCAGGGCGGCTTCTATATTTCGTGTCCCTAGACCTGCCCTGCCCCGCCGCGCCATCCCACGCAGCCCAAGCTGCCAACGTGACCCACTCCAAGAAAGGAACACTACTTTATTACTGGTCTGGAAATCCGGCCTGTCTGTCACTGCGTAAAGGTTCTTTCCCCTAGCTTCCCTTCAAGACGTCCGCACGCGTCCGAAGGCTCCACCTTTCCCACGCAGCGACCACCCCTATACCGCAGTCCCGGCCGAGCCCTTGCCCACCTGAAGCTCCTCAAACGCAGGGTCTCCGTCCAGCAGCGCCTGTGTGTGGGTGTTTGTATTTGTTTGTGTGACATCAGCAGCAGGTTGTGAGAAGCAGCACTAGCAGTTCTTCAAGTCTGACAGATACATCGACGCCGCATGCAGAGCCATGGAGCGCAAAACACACACACACACATGGCGCGTGGTCACAGGCAAGGAAAAGCAAAACGTATCGAGGGACCCGGGAAGATGCAATGAGGTTCAGGTACGTTTCGAGGATAGGACGTTTTGGCCACAGGGCGCCCTATCCGGGTGCGAATCGAGACTGCCTGGCCACATGCGCCACCCCTTTCCTCGCGGTGGTTTTCGGGAGCCGCCAACACCTGGTGCGTCTGGAGCTTTTCCTGTGGACGTGCCTGTCCTGTGGAACCCAAGCCTCACAGTATCTGAAAGAAAGCATAGCAGAACTTGGTAATGCAACAAATTTCGTACAGAACGGCCGGCAACATCAGGACCCACCGTTACCAGCCGCCACCACAATCATAGCCACATCACACTTTCGCTTAAATACGTACCTGGACGATTTCCACGTCGCCCCGCTCGATGGCCATATGGTACGGCGTGCCATTGCTGTCGTCCGGTGTGTACGGACACGCTCCGAAACGCAACAAAACCCGCACCGTTCGTACATCCCCGACCTCCACGGCGTGACACAGGGCCATATAGGACGCCACCGCCTGCACGCGCGATTCCACAGTGGTGAAGTGACGTCATTACCCGCATCAATACCAATACAACGTCCATGGCCCCCCGGCTTTTACGGACACACCCGCACTTGTGTGCGGAACTTGTAACTTGTAACTATTACAGCGCGTTGCTGGGTAAAACCAGGTCCGTGATAACCAGGCAATGGTGCAACAGCAGCAGCAGTAGCAGCTATCAACTGGCTGTATATGCACGATTCGAAAATGTGCTCCATAACGTCACATTCAATATATTCAAAGCTCTCTCCTCTTTAAGGCTCTCTCTCTCGCTCCTGTAACCCACATCAGCGTTTATAGAGGCAGGCTTTCCCCACGACGTCGCAACCAAGCGAAGCACTACTCAAAAACACACCCTACGGACTCACTCTTCGAAAGCGCGTTTTTCAATGTTTAATGATTGACCACGATTATGAAGTTATCGGACTTGTCACGCCTATTTCGGCTGCCTATTTCCGGCCGTATGTAACGCGTTGTTGACGCACCCAAGTCATGTGTTCTACCCTTCCTCCCAAACCTGTCCGCAAGGGTGCACCTAGGACGGCCCACTACGAAGCCCCCCATGGTGGCTTACCAGGGGCAGTCCTGCCGCGGCGGCTGCTGAAGCACGCTCCGCCGCCGCCTTGTCCGCCGCTGCGCCAGCCCCTGCGCCAGCGGCCGGAGTGACCGAGCTGGCAGTTGCCGCAACGGCTGACGTTGCAAAGACCCAGTCCGCAGCGCGTGCCCCGGCTTGCAGCAGCAGCTTCACGCAGCCGGGCTGGGCGTGCTCCACCGCGAACCACAGCGCCGGCAGTCCGAACTTGTCACACACGTTAGGGTTGTCCACTCTCCGCTGTAGCAGCAGCTGTAGGTGTCACCAAGAATGGGGGAGGAATTAGGATCGTGCAGGTCAGGTGCGTGAAGTTAAAGAAAAAACCCCATTTGTTCGCATTCGTCACGTTATATCCGCGTTGCATCTACCCGAGTAAAAGCTGTGAGGGAGATGGAACGGTGCGTTCAATGTGCGAGAGACTCAGTGCCATGAAGCAGGACAGCCGGGGCGTTGAACCGTACCCGGAGCGGACGGTGATTGGGCCTACCGTGAACCCTAAGACGCAGTAACACGCGTGACGCGTGTTACTGCGTGACGAAGAGCGTGAGCACATCGCTGTGCGGAAGCTGCAAGGATAGGTACTTTGACACGCACGCCTGCTTCTCCGAAACACTTGACATCGCAACCCTAGGATGCCAGGCGCAGTTCCATGCGGCGGAGTGTAATTCAAAAGCACAAGGCAGGGTGCTTTAAATCGCTGCATGTCGCAATCCTTTGCATGCGCTGAAGCACAGGCACGCGAAAACGCACCTCCAGCACCTCCTCATATCCATTGGCCGCAGCCATTCCCAGCGGCATCAACATGGGTGGCCGACTACCAGTCTTGGCACTGCCAGCCATATGCCCAGCCGGCTTCACTGCTGTGCGGCCACTGCCGGCCCCATTGCCCTCACAGTTGATGGATGAAGGAGCGGAGGACTCGCTCTCTGACACCTCATTCGCCGGCTGCGGTGGCCGCTGCTGCTCGTCCACGGGCCCCAAGCCGCCTGCAGCCAGCGAGCGCTCAACCAGCGCCACGTCACCGTAAAGTGACCCACGGGTCATCAAGCAAGCAGCGCAATCCGGTTTGTCGCACAAATTCAGTAGCGCCACAACCGACTGATCACACATGCCTAACTCCGCAGGACTTGCGTCGTACGACACCTGTCTGTTAAGCCATAACAGCTGCAAGCCGCAACACGCAGCAGGGACCCCCAAGTCGTCCCTGCTCCACGCCTGGCCCTCCGCTCCGCCAGCATCTTTGCCGGTTCCTGTGGAAGCGCCCGATGCAGTGGGAGCCTGAGGGAGCGAGGCTGTGGATTCATTGAGCGCGCCGCTCCCGCTGCTTCGCCTGCTGTTGTACCCGACGCCTGACAGACCCTGCGCGCCGAGCTGCTCAACTGAGTGCGGACTTGGCCCCACTTTGCTGCTTGAATCGCTACTGCCACCGCTTCCGCTGGCACTGCTGCCACCCCACGGTCCTCGCTCGCTGCCGCAGGTGCTGCTCATGCCACCGCTGGCCGAGGCGCCGCTGGCGCCTCCGCGCCCACAGTCGCTGCCATTGCTGCCAGCTGACGCTGAAGCCGACGCTGATGTGGAGGTCGCTGCGGCCAACAGCCGCAGCATGCGCGTGCCGCCACCACGGAGCCATTCCATGTGGCGGCACCAGGAGCCACAACCCGAGGACTGAGACTGTGATTCCGCCGGCTGCTGCTGCTGCTGGCTTAGCGGCACCGGCAGCGATTGCGTCAACGGAGCCGCTGCCGCCGCTGTCTGCCCATTGCTAGTGGGATGCGGTAACGGCGGCGATTCTGCACGTTGTGCCGTACCGGCATGAAGCAACAGAGAATCCCCTCCAGCAGTGCTTGACGGCTGCTGGTCCATGGCCATTCCCGCCAGCTGCACGGCATCGGACGCCGCCGCCTCCTGGCCGCCGACGCGTCCTGGTGCGGCAGAAGAGCCAGTAGGCGGCGTGCCCGAAGTAGTTGGCTGCAGCGGTCCTCGAGATGGTGGTGGTGTCACCAGTGACCTAGCTGCCTGGCCCAGGGGTGGAATACCCATCCAGCCCGCAAAGACGTCAAGTGAGACGCACAGCGGTGTCTCCGCCTCGTGAACAAATGATACCGGCGGACAGCCGTCAGGCGGTGCAGCCGGCATACCGGCAGTGTGATCAGGATCAGACATCCATAGGTGCCAGTACAGTGGAAGCCAGTCTGGCTCTTCTAAAAGGTCCGCGGACTCTGCCGCAGGTCGATCTGACGCGGCTGTGATCTGGGTCATCGTCGTCATCGTCGCCGTCTGTCCATTGGCGTTCAACGGCGTCGGCGCCTCGCCTTCTGCCTTCACACCTGCGCCTGAAGCTGACCTGCCATCACCATCACCGTCGCAGGCAGCCAGAGAATTCACAGTCTGGACTGTGGTGGCTGTGGTTGCATCGGCAGGCGGAGGCGTTTCCAGAGCCAACCCTGCACCCGGGCCTCCCACACGCTGCCGCTGCCCATCGCTCCTGCGCTGCGCACTCTCCCCACTCCAATACTGTTCCCACAGAACCTTGTAAGGCAGCAGGTGCAGGCGCAGGAACCCATCAGCAACGACGCAGCCAGAATCGTTGCTGTTGCTGCAAACGGCCTCCAGCGTATTGTCTAGTGGGAGCTCTCGAAGGTCCGGGCCGTACAAGCTCATCTCAATCTGGAGGGATTAAGAGTTCAAGAAATGAATGGGGAGTCGTTGGGAGTAACCGGAAGGCCCAAACGGGCAGACCTATGCGACGCTTTAATACGTATCTATCATACGTAGATGTACGCGATTTTTAACCGCGTGGACTCACGTGTCACAGCGGGTGCGTGTAAGCGCGTTTGTAAGGACTGCAAACCTGGTATTGTAGGCAGTCAAAGGCTTTGCGGAGTTCCAAACTGTATGTGGCTTATGGCCACCTGTAAACTCACCTCTGGCTCAGTCCCATACTTGATACCCAGATGGTCACATGCCAGGGCCGAAACTTCGGCCAGGCGTTGCGAACGTAACACTTCGAGACGGGCTGTGCGGCTGGCCCAGGGGGACTTTACGATGACCGAAAGGCTCGACACGGCGGTATCGCCATTTCCAAGACAGCCATCCTGCGTGCCATGGTCCCAGCCTAGGTTTTGGCTTGCGCGGTGGGACCGGCTGGCAGGGATGATGTTGAACATACACAGTGCCAGCCCGCCGCACGTGGTACGGTGCATACCTGGTGTGACACATTCCCGCCAGCGCTCTGGCATGCTGCTGCCTTGTGATCCACTGAAACCGACGCATCTCCCTTCTGAGAAGCGCAGGCAAGGCATACTGAGGCCATCTTCACTGTTCAACGGCCCCGGCCCGCGCCAGCACCCCGTCACGCGACAGGCTACGACGCATCAGCCTGGAAGTTATATGGCACGCTTGCAGCTTGATAAAGCCGAGGTATCTCCTCAGCCACTGAGCAGCTTATGCACGGACGCATGCAGTCCGAAACTGCAACCGTAAAGCAGTTTGTATTGCGTAATAGCTCCAAGAAATCCTTACAAACAACTTAGATTTTAACCAGGCCACGGCAACACCGAGGCCCGGCTCAAAACGCAGAGCCAAAGGAGCAATCTACAGTTCTGGACACGGGCAGTTGCAGTGCTCCCCAGGGCTTGCGGTGCAATTAGAATTGCTCATCTAAGGAAAGGATACACTGCATGACATGTACGTTTGTTGACTTCAACCTTTTGGCGCGAACTTTGTACCGCCTATTTGTTACTGATGCAAAGTACACGTACAAGCAGCTTTCCAGGAGAATACAAGGCGTTAGCTGAATGACTTTAGAAGAATACGCGGGATGGCGCGAACTTATTCCGGCTGCAGGAATTCTGAACCCCAGTACTGCAATTGTGAACAAACACTAAGTCAGTAATGTTCTTCCTACGACATTTTGACAGTGAACTAAAGATGCTTCTTTGACTTTTCAATGATGAAATGACTGCGTTGCTTCATCGGCTCCGGGCTCGTCATCCGCGGTGTGCACAGAGCGCCGGGCACAGGCACCTACTGCAGGATGCACTGGCCTCCATGCATTGTGAAGGCACATCTAAGCAAGACCTGTGTTAGAAGTGCGGCTTGCCTGGGTTGGTCTTCGGGTTTGTCCTTCACGGGCCTGCATCACTAGTGGCTTTTCCTCCGAAACCTCCGCCAAACTCGCATGAAGCTCAACCTAGCAGCCAACTTTGGGCTGACGCGCAAAGCGCCGCTAGGTCGTCCAACCGGATGGCTGGCGCCGTGCCCACGCCACCCGTCACACCGGACTTGGACTTTGACTCACCGTGCCGCTCAGACACGCGACGACCGCAACAAGTGCGAGATGTCACCAATGTCACCTAAGAAGTCAGGCCGGTCTGGGTTTCTCCCCTGGTCGGCGTTGCTGCTTTTCCACGGCAGCGGCGTTAACCACGGATATAAAGAAGGAACATTTATCGAAGCTGGTGCCAATTTGTGGTGTATTTGAGGGGCGCACGTGTGGTGGCGGAGCGAGGTGCAAGGGCCTGGGGAAACCCACAACCCCTCGACCCCCTGCCCCCTTAACACACGCCTTAGCTTAGGCTAGGTGGGTGGTCGTATTAGGTTTGTGCATGCACCGACACGGAGCTATATCCAATGTAAAATTTAGGCAAAAGACAGAGATGCCATACGATAACATGACGCAAACCTACACCAAGCAGCCCACACCAAGGCCTCACCGTTGTGCCTGACAGTGAACCGCAGATGATATGGAAAGACAATGATTGAACAACCTCATAGCTCAGCAAGCACAAAGACATCGTTACAAACATTGTACGAATAGGTACGAATACAAAGGTCCATCAACGGTATTAAGACTCAATTCCTGTGCAATTACCGACACCGTCTACTACAATCCCAGTAACAACCTCCAACAACCTCAATCAGGGGTAATGCTGCTCATGCGTAGCACCTGATGCAAAAGAAGGACCTCTTAAGTGGCCCCTCAGCTGCCTCTCGGGTGGGGCCGCGACTTAGGATTATACTGGTCGCGTCGCATTACTGCTCTTGTACATGCTGCACCGCGTCAGTGCTTAGCCACCCGCATTGCTGCGGCGCAGTGTGCTCATTAAACTGTATTTTATAGTGGCGATCTTGTGCTTGTCTTAGCAAGGCCGCAACAGCATGGATTGCGGTGAATCTACTGCTGGACCGACACGGCGAGAGACATCGCAAATGCGCGTCTTGAGAGCATTCAGTTAGCGTTTTGGGCTGGCTATCAGCTCGGCCCGGAGCAAGCTATGTACATGTATGATAGGGAATGCTTTCTGAAAATGCGCTGCATGGCTGGTCGATTCGACCGATGACAGTTACGCCTAGCCGTTTCGGAACCAGAACCGTGAAGTATAACGGTTGCCAGGATCACCCGTTCCCACCTGTAGCAGCCCTGCTCCTACACACCCTCGTTTTCAGCGACGCTTTCACGTTTCCCTTGTGACCGGGTCTCTACCTCTAATGCCTCTACCAATAGTGCCACTGCTGGTCGTTTTAGATCCCTCAAATATATGAAAATGCGCATGCCGTATTAATGCGCTTTGACCATGACCCCCACCACCGCGAGCACGAACACGCGAACCCTTCCACCCATGAACACATTTCAACGTATTGAGTACTGTATGTCTACCGATAGGATGGAAATCCAATAGCGTCTATGCGGTTTGTTGGGCAATTCCATGACCTCGCAAGGGAAACACACGGCCATCCAAAAACACGAGGACGAGTTGTTATGTATGCCGCTGCAAGCCTGTTGGCGACGACAAGCTGCAGCTCCTCCTCTGCATCCCTCTACATCCCTCCCTCCCTCTATCCCTTTATACATCCCCCCATCCATACACCCCTCCCCCCACCCTATGGCGTAAAAGGGTCGATAACCGACCGGTTAGCTATAACCCAACCGGTCGCTTCGGTACGCTAACCGACAGGTCGAGATAACGAACCGGTAACCGAATAACGAACCGGATAACGAACCACATTCCATAGCAGTTGTTGGGCCGTCAAGAAACCACGCTCATACATGGTGGGGCCCCCCGGGATATGGCAGAGAGGCTGTGGGCAGCTCCCGCCCCTTCCTGGATAAGCCGTGCGCTATCGCTATCCAGTGTTACCTATTGGGTCGCCCACTCTCAGCTGATGTATATCAGCACATCCACACGCACATATATACAAAAACACAGGATCGACTCTGGTCATTGAAACACACGAACTTTGCCAGTGCGATCCAACTTACTCAAAAATCGGTTACTATGGCTAATAGGACTACGCAAAATGTAACGTGTGGACAACCAGCATAGCAGACACCAGACCGGTTGGGAGAGGCCGGGGATTTGAGGATTGGGGTTCGGATGTGCGCCTGACCGGCCGGAACCTTCTACACCAATTTCTATACATCTGCACGCGTATCGCATCCCGCCACATCGTCACACGGGGGAAAGACAACGCGCTCAGCAACGGCCCCAGGCCGCGCCTTCTAAGGCCCGCAGATGCCCAAGCGGCCCCAGATAGATGCAAGTGTATACATCATTCAAAATACGCGCTGACGGCATCCCACGACCCCGACAGAGACGGAGCGGCTGTAAGCGCAGCACTGTCAGCCCGATTCTGCTAAAGCCGCCTACGTCCCTCCGCGCCCCTTTGCCGCTTCCGGCAACGTGGGCGTCATCGCCGGTGTCCGTGCAGATACTTTACACTCTATCGGAGAAATTAGCTTTTCGCCTTAACCCGTAGAGACTGCGGAGCCGCTAGCAGGCGATGCGATGCTCGATGCTCTCCGCCGCTGCTCCGATGCTGGCGACGGCAGGTCCGCAACCACCTCCCGGAGCTAGATTCCTTGGATTCATCGTTGCTGGGGACGTGCCGGCTGAGGCATCTGGCAGGAGAAAAGCTGTTACACGCGGCAGACGGTGCAGACGCCCTCCCGCCTGTTTATTTAAGACGACTACGACGGTAGGTCAGGAGCCCTGTTTCGTTACATAGTATAACGTTTCTGGGGGGCCCCCTCAGGGCTTGTATGGGCTCGTTACACCTCCGGGGAGTAACGCAACTCCAAGGGGTGTAAAACACACACACAGAGACATATGACCCAAAGGCGGATCGCCTGCTCTGCGGGCGCCTTTTTTCAGCGCCCGCGGTGGGACCGGGCTCCTGCAACACAACGGGTCCGAGGGGGAAATGATGGTCCCCAGGGTGCTTTTCCTGCGGCGGGCATCATCAGCAGCAGCGGTACCAGCAACTGCTGGTGGCTGCTACTGCCATAACCCTTCCTCTGCTACTAGGGTGCAAGGCGCTACACAAGCAGACCGACCCAACCCACACGTCCGGAGCCAACCAAATCCGGCGGGATGGCAGGCGGGAGGATGCATATGCCCGGAGACCTGACTTTGTGACTTCGCCGTGAGTCCGACAACGGCAAGCCGGACGAAAACATAACAGCCCACTTGCCTAAAGCTCTATCAGCTATTCATTACAGCCTAGTTCTACTCCGGAGCCTTCGCCACCATCGGTGTGTCTGCACACCCCACACAAAGTACGGATTTACAACACCACTCACCAAAATCTACACACGCCGCCAGCAGACTTTACATAGTTTGCTCGCCTATCAACTTGCAAAACATGCCCGGTAGTGAGCCTTCTTTCCCTGCCCCATGTGCTGCTGCCCTGCGGCGTGTAAGCTCACGCCGAAGTAGCCGGCCGACCCGAAACCGTGGGGGCCGTTTCGACACCCTGGGCCCAACACCATGAAGGGCCCGAACAACAAACAACAGGCAGACGGTTGCTCTTTCCGGCCCGTTGCTGGCGCCGACGACCGGTGAGAGTGGTGGGAATGGGGCCCTAGCCTGGGTGGCGATAGGGGAGTGGGCTGGTGCGGTGCGGTGCTCGTGTTCCCATCAGCCATCAGCTCTGACTGCGATCCGTGACGCAGAAGAACCTCCTGTACTCGAAAGCCGCCCTCGTTCTTGGTAAAAAGAAAAGACCTAAGCCGTGTCTCCCGCCATCTCCCAGCTGCAGCAAAGCTGTACGTGCACTACATGACTGCGCATCCGATCTGCGCGCCCCCCGGCCCCTCGCCTTCACCACCTCCTCCCGGCGCATCTTGCCCGTGACCGTCGCCATTATCATCGTCATCATGATGATTGGCTCCACCTGCCCCACCGCCTCCGGCCTGCGCCGCTGCCCCGAGCCCTGGAGCCGCCGCCGCTGCCGCCGCCCCTGGACCGCCAGCTGCCCCAGCGCCGTCAGGCTGCGCGTTGCCACCGCCACCGCCACCGCCGCCACCGGCACCCGGAGGCGGCCCAAAAGGCATTGGGATTGGGCCATGCACGCCCATGTTGACCTGTACGGGCATACCCGGCATACCCAGCGCTGCCATGGCCACCCCAATCATGAGCTGCATGCCCATATCGCCCAAGACAGCTGCCATGTCTTCCATTGGCATCGCTCCGTCGCCGTCCACGCCGCCATCAGCATCAGCGTCGCCGCCAGGATCAGCTGCACCGCCGCCGCCTGGCATTGCAGCACCGCCGTCGCCACCACCATCGAGCATGTTGGCGAGGGCAGCTGCTGCGGCCAAGGCTGCAGCGGCAGCGCCACCGCCGCCTCCCCCCTCACCGCCACCCTGTGGTGCGTCTTGCCCCGCGGCGCCGCCGCCGCCAGGCGCCGGGCCAGCCTCGTCACCGGCCCGAGCGCCATCACCCTCACCGCCATGGTCGTCCTCTGCTTTGAAGGTAATGGTGATGAGCTTCAGGCCGACGCGCGTGTACGGCAGGTTTTTTACCAGCGACTCGTACAGGTCCCGGCTGACCGTGTGTGCATCATGCAGGCCCGATGCAATTTTGGCAGGACTAGGATGCGTCTGGGATGGGGAGGGCGCTGACGACGTCATCGTCCGTTGCGTTCGGTTGTACCGCGACGTCGTCACGGGAGGCGCCGTCGGCCCCGGCCAGGACGGACCGACGCCACTACCGGAGGCCGCGGCGGCCGCACCAGGCGCCGCCGCCGCCTGCGCGGTACGGCCACCGGTCTCCACGGACGTCCTCTGCGCATTGCCACGCTCGCCATCAGACTCGTCAGATGTAGAATCGAGCCCCTGTACCGCGCGCCGCCTGCGCTTAGCTGGACGGCCGGTAAGAAACGTCGCCGCACCCCGCTTTACACCTCCGGTAGCACCAGCACCCGCGGCCGCCGATGCACTGCGGTTGATGCTAGCGCCACCGCTGCTCTGGCCAGCTACCACCTCCGCCGCTTCAGCTACGGCAGCAGCAGCCGCTTCTGCCGCGGTGGCGGTAGCGGCGGATGCAACTGCTGCCGCCGCACGAGTAGCAGCACGTGTACTCCGCGGGGAGCCGGCAATCGATTCCGCCGCTGGATGGCGCATAGCTGAAGGTCGAGCAGACCCACGGGTCAGCGGTTTACTTGGCCTGTCGCCATCCTGCGTTCCTGCTGCTCCGCGAACCTGAGATCGCGGCGACGCGGCCCGTGCAGCTGCCGCCGTAGACGTCGCAGTGAGTGGACCCGCCGCCGCCGCTGCTGCCGAAGTTGACGGCCCCGCCCCTGCTGCCGCCGCCGCCCCTGGTGGAGTTCTCCCAGCGGCAGGCTCCGGCCTGGCCGCGCCGCGCCTGCGGACCCGCTGCCTGCCTGTAGCACCCGTCCGTTGTTGCTGCTGCTGCTGCTGTGGCGGCTGCGGCGGCGCAGTAGCCGGGTCCTGGAGGCTGTAGCACCTGGTGTCCACCACCATGTGCAGCTTGAGCCACTCTAGGCGCTGGAGGGCGGTGAGGCAGGTGAGCGAGGGGACGCACAGGTCCCATAGGCCCTGAACCAGCAAGCTGTGCAAGCTGGGAAGCGCCTACATACGGGAGTGGCCGGGAAAGGGGAGAAAGGCCAGAGCGAGCTCACGCACCTTCCAGGGTTCTTTGTGCCGGGTGGGAATCATATACGCTAATGTGAGAGCTAAGTAAAAGGCGTCATCATTACCGGCGGGAGATGCAAAGAACCAATCGTGGCAGGGCCGCACCAATGTGTACATAAAACGGCAGTAGCTGTGTACTGTGCCGCTGCATCGACAGTATCTAACCATCCAGCGAGCACACCGATCAAACCAGACACCAACCACGCAGGCAAGAGAAGACGTAAACCGCCGGCCTCACACCACTCAGCGTGCCTTCTGCGCCCACATGCCACCCCAGGGTGGCCCCCATCCCGCCAAAAACCCACCGCCAGGTGCGGCACCATGGCCGTCATGCCCTCGCAGGAGTGCGGAATGGGCAGCGATAGCGACTCCAGCCTGGTCAACCGGCCGATGTGGTGCAGGTCCGACAGCAGGCCCGCACACGCCAGCGACATGTGCAGCCGCCGGTGCGCCGCGTCGGGCGAGAAGGCCTCCTGAAGGTTTAGCTGCGAGGGGCAAACGGGGGAAACATGATTAGGTATCTGTAACAACGGCGTGTGAGAGAGCTGCGGGAACGTGGAAACAAGGAAAAGAAAAGAACAGCACGACGCTGCATAGGGGCCTTAGCGGTGGGGGTTCTGCAGCGCGCAACAGCAAAGCCGGGTAAATCCATGCAAGACACTCGAGCGCCGCCCTTCAGCTGCAAACTACTAGACCAGGGGGAAGGGTCCAAGAAGAAGGTGTGATGGACGCATACACGATGCTATTGCCCTCGTGGAGTTGAACACGATTAAAAAAACAGATTAAACTCATACTGTGGGACCAGAGGTGCATCTTAGGTTCCACGGAATAGCGCAATGCCCAACGTAAAAAGGAGGGTGCAATTTGGGGCAGCAATAGGTAAACGTCCGCATCCCCTTGCACCTGGCTGGACGGCCTACCAACCATTACTAAAATACATCCGCTTGTCTTGCCTCCACAATGCCCGGGCAGCGATCCACCAGTCGCTCCATGCTGCTGCTGACGATGTTGTTGCGGAAGAGCGCCAGCCGCCTCAGCCTGGGTCCCAGCGCCAGCTGGTCCAGGTTGATTAGGTCACAGCTGTGCAGCGACAGGTGGCACAGCTCTGGTAGGCCGCGGCCAGGAACCGTGCCTGTGGAAATGCCGTGCCCGGAAGCAGGTGCAGGAAGGGGAGAGAGTGCTTGGATTATCATAACGCAACAATTCCTCGTAAACGTGCGATTCGATGCACGATAAGAGCGATAAAGTAAGGAGGAGCTGCGGGTTTTAGAGGATGACTCGTTGTCAAGTACATCGCGAGCCGGAGTCGATGGTTTTAATTTTGACTTTTAAACTTTGAGGCAGGGGGACCTTGTTTTTTCGGCACGCCCCAAGTCTGTCAAGAGCACTCCAGCGTTACATTTCGCCGCGCTTGATCACTGCAAACCGCCCTCGCAGCACCCCAGGAGGGCAGAGGCCGCCCTTCTTGGTTGTGCGCCTCGAGGGTAAGGAGGGAAAAGAAGCCGCGAGGGTAGTCCAAGGAACAGGAACACGCAGCGAACGAGGAGGGCTCCCATCGGGAATTCCATCCTGATGTTTTCCGTCATCCACACGCCCCACCTCCACCCACCTTGCAGGGTCATGTTTTGCATGTCCAAGGCCTCCAGGCTCTCCGGCAGGCACTCCACCTGCAACAATAAAGACAAGTTCACCGCAAACAGCATTGGAGGGTTTCTTCCAGCCCCCAAAATAGCTGTATCAAGCCCGATCATAATCCCTGCATGCCGACTCAGAGGACGTGTGAATAGTGCGTGCCAAAGAGCCTAATATACGCCGTTGGGCTGCTGTGGCTCTTTAGCTGTGGAGCTCTTTCTCAAGAGTTTGGACGAGACCCAGGGAACCTCGGTTAAAATTTATGTTATTGCCAATGCGCGATAAAGATGTTCGATGTTAAGCCAGCCAAGTGGGTGAAGATGGCCGGGAGGCACATAGCCTGGTTCGGGTGGCCTACCTGCACAACCGCCTGCCTGCGGCCCTGGGAGCCCTCAACGCCGTCGGCGTCCGTGTCGCTCTCATCCGATACACGATTGGCCAGGGAGAGGCGCTTCAAGGAGGGCGGCAGCAGCGGGCCCAGGGTATCGGGGAGGAGCCCGTGGATGACTAGCTCCTGGAGGAGGAGGGAAGGACAGCAGCCGTGTGAAATCGGGACGACAGGGCCCGGTACTGGTGGTTTAGGGCGCTGGGGGCCACGTACGGATGGAGAGGTGAAGACTGCAACCCTAAGTGGAACATCCACAGCTTTGCGGAGCGCAACTCTCCTCTCTATATTGGCCGAAATCAAGTGCAAGCAGCTGATGACGGCATATCCACCACACCGTAAAGTAAATGGCTCAGCCGTGAAAAAGGAAAGGTGCAAAGGTGTGGGAAGCTTGAACGCAGGGAAAGACACCCGGGAGCCAAAGGGCAGGAATTTTCTGCTGCCTGAGTTTTCCATGTGCGTTCTCATCTCTATACGACGACGTACCTGTGGCCCGCACGCCGTCCCGGTCTTGGGGCTACACCTATCGACACCAGGCCTCTCAGACGAGGACTCGCATTGCTGAGGGAGCGTTTCAGGGGAGGCCCATTACATGCAAAAACGAAAGGAAAGGGGGCGGAGGGGAGGGGAGGGAAGGGAAGGGGGAGGGGATTAGAAAGCGGAAAGGGGTCCACTGGCGGGCAGAGTGGGAAGGGGTTGCTATGCTGGCGCCGCGATGATTGTGCTTATATAGGACTCTGATATCCTGCAACTTAGCGAGATCCTGTAGCGGTGCCAGCTAGCAAGGTGGGTTGGATGTCCGTAGAGTCGAGGTAAGGTGCTGCTGCGTCAGGTGTCAAGGGAAATGGGAAATGCATGAGCTCGTGCGTTGATGCGTTGAGGCCACCCTCACCAGCAAAACTCGGTTGCTAACGTCGAAGGCCTCCTTGTCGCGGCTCCACACCTGCAGAGTATCAGAAGCCGAATCTTTAGCCGTCGCCAAACATGACACCCGGGGTGAACCACAAAGCGATAGCTACAAACCCTTATCGATTGACCCTTCCACAATCACACAGCCACGTTTTGCATATATATGCTGTCGCCCAGTCATTTCGTTTACGAAGCAGCAGCGTCGCAAGCCACAACCCGTTGCGGCTCTGTCGGCTCCCCATCTCCCCCCGCGCTGGACGGTGCGCTGCATAGGTGCGACCATGCTTGGATTCTAGCGCTCTAGCTCCTCGCGAAAACACGCACTTCACTCTTTTACAATTTGAAACACGCAAACCCCAGCATCCTAACATCCGAGCTACTCGTCACGCGCTCACAGCAGCAACTAACACGACCTGCCGGTGTTCTGCAGGTCCTACCTGGAGTCTCCGCAACACGGTGCGCGGCTGCTGGGCCGAGGGCTCCGCTCCGCTGCCGGTCGTGGAGGACGCATCCCCGCTACCGGCAGCGGCTCCCTGAACCGCAGGCAGAGCCCTCAGGACCTCCGTAACGACCCGTGGGTCAGTCCAGGTGACATGCAGCATCACTAGCGACCGAATCGGCAGCGCGGCCAGAAGCTCCCGGATTTGATCGCCCAGGTCAGTCCGCACCTGACGGCGGGTAGGGTAACACGAAGGCCGTCCAGCACCGAGGGCATGGGCACGGGCAAGGCCCCCAAAAAGGTGGCACACAGAACGGAGCCCTACTCTGATCCAGCTCATGGGTCTCCGATGATAAAAGGCGGGTTAGCTGAACTACTTATATCATGGCTGTGTGTCTGGGGGGTCGGGGGGCACACCGCGCGCATCGTCGCGCTGTCGCCGGTGCACCGCACTCACATAGCCGCGCACTGCCACCAAACCTTCGTAAAACTAATACAGAACTAATACACACATGCATATCCGGTCCGGATTGCGGCCCAGCCTGAGTTAAAACCCACGGTCCTTACATCGGACGCAACACACTCAGATGAATCACTCCAGGCAGAGTTTCAGTCTCAGTGACAATCTCTCGCAGAAGTCGACGGTAATGTCTTATTAAGGGTGTCTTATCACAGGATGCAAACCCGCAGCCCCATTCCGCGGACGGAACTCTCGCCCCAGCCTTCGTGAAAGTCTCCATCCTGGCCGTGACTCACCGTTCCCACGCCGCATACATCTAAGAAGATCTCGTCCTACACACACCGGGGGGCGGGCCAGACATCCGGGGGGTTAAGACGAACCATTGACGATTGAAGCAGATACCAGAGATAGACGGAAACTTCAGGATTAGACGGATACCGGGCAGGAATATATTTATAACTACATACTGCAGGAAGATTTGTAAACCCTAAGCCACTGACAAGTAATGCCTTGGATAGTAATAATGGGGGAGAACGGCACTAGTATGTAAGCGTCTATACAGGCGACCACACTCCCTTCCGCTGCTTACTAGAAACTCAATGGACCATTACGGCTAACGAGCGCTCATGCGCGCAACTCTCCCACATGTTGCTTCTGTGACCACACACCCTACGCATCCCCTCCCTCTCCGTGCACGCATTAGCTAAATTGACAGCATTTCGTTCGTCCACATCCCACTCCGCACAAAAAGGCTTCAGCTGGTGTACATAGCTTATGGGCCTTCCGAGCCGACGGCTTCTCCCCTTACCTAACCCAGTGGCGTGGCGCTGGGTTCTCCTTTATTTAACCCAGCGCCTCGCCAGAGACGGCACCAACAGACGCACCTGCGGCGGCACCGGTTGCATCGGCAGCAGCTGCGCTGCGTCCTCCAGCAGCGTCTGCCCCTCGCCGTGGCGCACCATGACCCGCAGGTGGCGCCCCGCCCTCCCTGAAGTCCCCGGCAGCCCTCGGTGCCCCGCCGGGCCACCACCATGACCGGGAGCGGGGCTCAGCCGCGTCGGCTCCGGAGTCCGCCGCTCGCCGCCTGGCGCCGTCGCCCCCGGTCCCGCCGGCTGGGGTTCCTGCGACGATAGGCTCTGCTGCGCGGCGCCGCGAGCCGGACATGCCGGTGAGGCCACGAACTCCGCAGGCGCGGTGGTGCATGAGAGCTGCAGGTTGGCAAGGTTGGGATGCTCCGCCAGGAGGTACTGTCCCATGGGCAGCCAGAACGGCGCGGAGCCGGTGATGCATAGGTTGGCGAGGCGCGGCAGACGTGCCAGGACCTGCCATGAAGGAACGGCAGCAAGGGGGCAACAGGCCGGGAGACGATTTACGGAGGTTGAGCGTTGAGGACGACGTCAGGTTGTAGGATCGGCGTCTGTCCTAAAGTCGCCGTATTCTGCATCATTGCAATCATCAAGTTTGGTTGGCCAAACCTGACAAAGAGGTCTTTTGCTGCTTTGCAGCCATCCGTCTGCGCCACGTATATTTTCATATGCGAAAAACGGGGCGGAGAAGACGAACCACAGACGGGTAATGCAAAGTTGGGTGTTACTCATGTCGCGTGGAAACGCTGACAAAGCACCAGACTCACCCTTGCTGAATCTCACACTTCCCCGCGGAAGCAATCGCAATACACTTACCGCATTCAGGCGCGTCCAGGCAGGGTACACCCTGTTGGCGTACTCGAAATCCCGTACCATGCGACTGCTCATGAGCATGATAGGCCCCGGCTGCGGAAGACTACTGGTGTCCGGGGGCCCGTAGCCGTCCGGCCGGCGGTGCCAGTGCAAGGTGGTCGGGTCGTCCTGGGGCATGACCAGGACGTGGACATGGGGGCATGGGCGGGTCAGCGCGTGAGGTATGACAAAGCAGCGTGAAACCGAAGGAGAGCCAATGCAGTTTGACGAGGCAGACCAAAGCGAAGTCAATGAACCCCGAGGGGGCGAAGATGAACCACACATATACGCGGAGTGATGCTGATACCAGAGAGATAGATACGGATACTCCGGAGGGGGGAAAGACGAACCACGAACGAGTGAAGCTGCTGCCAGGGCAAGAGTGTACCAGACGTAGAACTGACCAAAAGGAGGGGGGCAAGGGGAAACCCTGGAAGGAAGAAGCCCCCCCTTCGCCGCTCACAGTTGTTGGTGATGCAATGACGCAGTGACGCTGCATGGCGCATGCAGCGTCCTAGCCGCCCCAGGCACAAGCGTATATGCCCCCAAATCCACACGATACAATGATAACTGACACCTGCACAACCCATCCTAAACAGGGCTGCGTATCCAGCTACGCCTGACCTGTACTGGGGTTTTGCTTTCCTACTTAAGCTCAATCAATCGCCCAATGTTCAATCCCGCGCAACTCCTGTGTCCAAATCTGCTGCGCACCGAGTGCAGCAAATAACCCCCCACCCCGCACCCCGCTGCCCAAGCGCCGGTGGCCCAGGCCTCCCTACCAGGTAGAGTTCCAGGTGCTCCAGAGTGCCGCCCAGCTCACCCAGCGGTGCCATGTCGCTCGAGGTGAGACCGTTAATGGGCAGCAGGTCCAGGCGCCGCAGCTGCCGGAGCGCCGCCAGCGCGGCCAGGCCGCCTGAGCCGCGGTCGGGCCCCGGTGGCCGCGGCCGGAGGTCCAGGGGAACCGCAAGACGCAGACTGATCAGCGCCTGGAGGGGCCGGTTTGGAGAGGGGGGAAAGAGAAGTTACAGAGGGATCTTTTGGGGAGGGGGGAAAGACGAACCACGAACGAGTGGAGCTGCTGCCAAGGAAAGAGAAGCAGGACTGACCTGGGGAGGGGGAAAGAGGAGTTCCGGAGGGATACGTCTCTTCAGTCCTTCCCATAAAGAAGGTAACCCAGCTGTGGCAGCGAACCAAGATGATTGCAAGGTGCCCAGCCATGCTTTGTCCCCAGTGCGCCTCGGCTATTGCCCATATCGCAACGGCCACGTGTGCATACGCGGACCGTGGCACCGCGGGAGAGCAGATAGATAGATAGATAGATAGATAGATAGATAGAGATGCTCACGCAAAGCACGCACCGGCAATCGCTCCAGAAAGCCCAGGTCAAGGAGATGCTCTCCAGGTGCAGGGCCGTTGATGGCGTGGCCGTCCCGCCCTCCGGCCGCGCCACCTTCCGGGCCGTCATGCAGCACGTCCAGGAGCGCGGGCGGCAGACCGAGCAGTTGCAGCAACGGAGCACCGCGCCTGTGTATTTGCATACCGGAAGGGCATGGATGGACAAAAAAACAATGGAAAAAGTAATAGATTTCTCATCCATGTTAATGGTGAAAAGTATGGGAGACGGTGATCGCTTCTTCTGAATACTCACGCCAACAAATGTTGGGGGTACTGTCAGGAGCAGCATCGCCATGGACCTCACCCACAGACCCCAGCGCGCCTCGCAGGCGCCTGTTCTATGCTCTCTTTCCGCCTGATAAACTGACAACGCAGGTGGGCTAGCACCGTTCTTGGGGTCAGGAGACGGTGCCGGTGCTCGGCGGCAAGTCGCCCCATGGCCCAGCCGTTATGTTCCGCTCTCTCTCTTGGGAACCCACCTGCGGGAATGCTGCTCCTTGTATCGCTGCCGCTCTTTGGCTGTCTCGCACCGGTTGATGTTGCACCGTAGCGCCAGGCGAGTAACTCGATGCAGCGGGACATCCTGGCTGCCGGCGCCACCCGCTGCGGCAGCGGCATCGGTACTAGTGCCGCCACCGGCTCCGCTTCCGTCGCCGCCGTGCTTACCCCCAAGACCGCAGGATCCTCGGCTGGCGGCGCTACCGCCGCCGGCGCCGCCGCCGCCAAGACCCGCTCCAGATCCCGCCCGATGGCTAATGCGTCGCCGTGCTGCAGGGCTGCTCGCGCTGGCAATAGCACTGCTGGGGCCTGGCGCAGCACCAGCGTCCTGTGATGCAGCCGTCCCACCAGCAGAAGCTGCAAAGCCCGAGAAGTTGGCTGCTGGTGCTGCTGCTGCTCCGGTTGAGCTGCTTTGGTAGAGCCTGCGCCTCGAGGAGTCTTCCAGCCTGAGCCGATCCACGACCGCCTTTCCAAGTGGGGTCGAGGTCGCGGTCGCGACAAAACCCAGCGCGTCAGGCGAGTACCTCAGTGGCCGTTCATGCCCGGGCAAAAGAACCCAGATGCGTGAGAGCCTAAGACAAGACTCAGCTTATACAAGAAATCCAGAGGCTCTCCCTTCACGCCAGCCACGCGATATCCATGGTCCCGGCCCGTGCAACCGCCGGCAAAGCTCAGCGGTCGTGCAATTCATACACATATGCGTATATATATGCATATATATGGGTATTTATTTACGTTCCCCCTCGATCGTGCAGGTGCGAGAATGTGTCCGGGCGTGGACGAACACGAGTCTCCCTGAGACTTCTTCCCTTCGGCCCAAGCCCTCCTTCGGCTCTGCCCTTCCTTCGGCTCTGCCCTTCCTTCGGCCCTAGCCGGCAGTTTCTAAACCGCCGGTCTTTCCTCAACCAGGGTACACACGCGCCCTGCCCCATTTAAAACTTGTATAATGTCTATTCATCGCCTTCATCACTGACGAGTTGAAGACCCTCTTCATCCCAACGCTCCACCCACCTGCAGACGGGGTAGGTCATCGTAGCTCTCCAACACCAGCAGGAGCGAGTTGGCCGCGGGATATACCTCCCCGCAGCGCCTCAGGTCCCGAATCACTGAATCGGCATCCTTACCCACTAGCTGCATTAGCTCGCGGATGGCCCTGCGAACGGCAAGGGGAGACATGGCTCTCTGGTTTAGCACCCAAGGCTTGCAAGCCACGACGTGGCTATGACTTGAATGATGTGGGATGTAAATGATACCCCTTGGCCCACCAGCATGACACACGGAAGGTGGCCGAGAGCGCAAGTCTGAGCAAGAGGACAGGCTAATATGGCACCCCCGACTGTCGTGATGTTCGTTACTTCGCATGGCGGTCGTGGAGGGCAAGGGAAATCTATCCAGAAAGGCGCGCAACGGAGATTTTTGACACTACAGGTACAGACGCGGTCGAGATGCATAGGCACATAGTACCCCAGGCGCCGGGAGTGGCAAAGCAAAAATTGCCAGCAAAGTGGCCTGGGGTGCATAAAGCGCTCATTGAAAGCAACGATGCTGAGCTAGGCCGACCCAAGTCAGACGGTATGGGCCGGAAGTGCGCCGCTAGGAGCTATACATGCCCAACAAGACTCTCCGGGAACGATGAATGGTAGCTGCCAGAAGGAAGGTCTGAGGCAGAAGGAAGGCTGCATCACCGGCGAAATCGGGGGAAGCCGCAGCATCCATCGCCACGGTGCGCGATGGAAAGGCACGCCCTAGACGAGCTACCAGGGTAGAGAAAGACTTCCAATCCAATGGGCCTAGCCTGAAGCACAACATTACGCTGGCAACCCAAAGACGCAAGGGCTTCCATTCCTTGCAACATGTCGTGAGCTCGACCCCGGGGTCCTAAAGTGCAACGACTCCAACAAGTACAAATCGGATGAAATGAATGTCTACTACACATGTATACTGCAATGCTAATCATGATTCAGTATGGAACACCACCCGAGCTGGGGGAAAGCCACGGACCCCATACTAAGTCTCCTTTACACGGCCTAAGGACAGCCCGGACTCACCAGCCAAAAGATTGAGCAAATGCTTTGCTGACGACTCTGCTCCGTAAGCAGCTGCTGTGGGGTAGGTACTTTGCGACCTCCTGTGCACGGGAAATCTATTGTTGGACCGTCCACCCGACAGAGTTCAAACTTGCAGCATGCCACGAAAGTAGGAAAACAGTCAGAGCATTCTAGATGTGCAACAACAGAACGTTATATATGCCTTAACAGGCAGAGTGTCGAGGTGGACAGGACTGCGAGATTTCCTATCTACACTCACATGCAAGCAGTCCCCAAGGTCGTAGATATGCGTTCTAGATCCCGATGGTGAGGCTACATTATTTCCAGCTCCTGTTGGCCATTCTAAAGATGGCTTCAGTTTGGGGGAAGGTCCTTCGCTCATGACTCTCCCACTTTTTCTCTTCGGTTTATCTTACTGTCAAGTGCAACCCCTAAAGACACAAGCTGCGGCCTCAGGCACCAGCTAGATTCGTTGACACGTTCGAGCTCAAATCAAGACTACAAACTACATCATGTTAAGGATAGGTATTCAAATTTACGATAAAAGAAAAACTGCACCTGCATATATGTCTTCTACTCTGCCTAAGGAGCAAAAAAGGGATGTTCGTACAAAGTTGCAAGGAACGCCGTACATAACCAGGCAAGAAGTTTTCGCTGCTCCACCCTTAAATTCAAAGTTTTCCATGCTGCACTACAAAGGGGCTACCGGCGGCAATTATCCACGGGGAGCAGGTTAGCAATTAGGATATCTTCTCCAAGTTGGTACCGTGATGGGGCCTCGCCTAAAGAGTTTCGGCGGCGGCAAGTGTGGACTTCTGTGGGTTATTCCCAACGAGGCAAATCCTCGACAGGTGAGGGGGGTTAAAACTGATCTTACACTTATATACCCGGGGCAGCCTAGCCTCTCGGCTACCTTTTCGCAGGCAAAGCAAATTTCGCAGTTAAGACCCAACGACGATCGGAGTTGATTTTCTCTGCTCTCTTTGGGTAAACGTTATTAAATACTGCCTAACTTTAAAGTACACCTTAGCTTACCCAATGAAAAACCCTGGACGTACGTGCACCCGGGTGCACCAATCCTAACTCGGGTTATGTCCGTCAACTCCCGCTGGAATACCATGAGTCTGGTAAAATTGACTTTTAAATCTGTTCTCACAGACATACCCTTATTGTAATATTATGAAGTTAGTTGACGAACTTTCGGAACACGTGTGTGACCATGTCGTAATTTCAGAGCTAGCGGAGCGAGGACTCGTGTGTACGGCGTATGAGGCCAGGGAGCGCTAGCATGACGCTAGTTAAGCGGACCCTATGGTATATGACATTGTAAGTCTGAGTTGAGATTGGAAACCTCCCCAGTTGCCTATCGCCTCAACCTCCCAGCCTCCCTCGGCCGCCTCCATCCAGTCTTCCACATCAGCCGCCTTCATCCCGGGAACGACAACGACCCGGCGCTCTTCCCAGACCGCCCACCACCCCCCACCTGCGGCCCCTACCGCGCTAGAGACCCCGTATGAAAGCGCAGATACCCTCGTCATAGCTGTCCACCTAGGGTACAACAAGCGCGCACGTCCGTCCGTCATGTTCCTCGTGCAGTGGTCCATAGGTAGTGGTCGTGAGCTGTTAGTTAGCGAGCGAAGGGGTGCCGTGTCGCCCCGTGGCCTGTGAAAGACCGCACGTCGGGATGTTGTGAGTGACGGCTGTCAGGTGCTAGAATATACTGACAGGCCGCCTGTCAGGACAGGCTACCCAAGCCTTAAAGCCCCTGCTGTGTGCCGATAACAGCACCTCAGAATCTATAAATAATAAAATACATTTTGCATCTATTTTACATATCTATAATAAAAATACATTTTACAACCAAGCAAGGGGCTGTCGGTGGCAGGAGGTCGCGGACCTCCAGACTGCGTGTAACGGCCAGTGATTCTTTCGCCGTGTTTGCTAGGTCCCAGAGAGACACCGTCTCACCAACAGAACTCCTCATGGGAGTCATACGACGACGTGCACAACCTGCCAGCGCTTCGTGTATTCCTGAGGAGCCCAAGCTGGTTCGCGTTCCAAGCTATCTGATCGCTATGCGTGGTTTAGAGCCAAATTCCCGAGCGGGCCCCGAGGATTGTACAATTTCTAGCGTAGAGCCGCGGATGGATGTGTGTATATGTGTTGTGTCATTATGTGTGTTCATGTATGTTTTTTTAAAGTCTTTATGATCTGTTTCTGCAGTAGGGTACTACTAGTCTGCAACATAATTACAACGACAGGGTACGACAGCAGTCCTGCTCAACTCCCTTCCTGCTGCATCTCCAAGCAGTAGACGTCCAATCCATCCCGCCTCCACTCCACACACCGCACAGTCACTATCTACACTCACATAGCTACTCAGCCACTCATAAAAGAATAATACAGCCCACAAGAAAAAAAATCAATTAATTGATGCTGCACCATCCATTTGCTGTGACGGGTTGGATATATCCAGTTCGCTCGCAGATTCTTTTATGAAAACAATTATCCCCCAAAATCAATTTGGCTATAACAATCCCTACTCTCGTAGCAAAGGCCACATCACAAGACGTCTCGGAGCGGGAATCGAAGCGGTACGACAGGACACCCAGCCTCGGAATACGCAAGCAAAGAACAAAGAAGACGCACAGACCAGCATGTCGTACCACAGGTACGACCCCCCACATTCACATTTACATAACGTCAACTACCCTAGGCCAATACAAAGGCTTACCACGCCCGTAGGCACAGAAAGAAGTGCCCTACAACACGAGCATGTCTGCATACATATCTCGTAATGTACGACACTTTTTTCACAATGCTGTACACACCGCGAGAATCAACAAAACTGCAAAGTGTACCTATCATTGTAAATAGTGTCAAGTCCATCGTTCCTATCATCGATACATAACGAGGGAAAACATGCAACGTCGGAAAAGAAAGACCGTTCAGCACGAGACGAATTCAAACACATTATCCTCATCAAGGTGACCCGACACTACCTGCCTAGAGTTGGGAAGAACTCAAAAAACAGCTCAAAAAAAAACACTACAGCATTCAGCTTACCACCCGCGCCATCAGGTCATAAAAACAAGATCGGCAAAAAAACGCACGAGACACCTGTACAGCAACATTCGCAAACGTCTTCCATCCTGCCATGGCGCATATGCACTCCTCGTCAACCCAAAAACTGAAAACCACGCGGGGACTCGGGCCCCGCCCAAAATCCATCTTCATCCTGCCAAATGCCAACGCACAGACCGTCCGTTGCAGAAACACCCCTAACATCCCAATTATCCCAATTCCAGGAGCTCCTAATGGGAGCAGCACGTGCTCGGCTAAAGAAAACACCAGCGATGCTTAGATAAGACGTTGTTGAGGTTGCGGCGAAGCCCTTGCTTTTATTTTGAGATTTTGAAAGGTCAACAAGGGGCCAATCCGCTCCCATTAAATGTAGTAGCTTAAGCTCAAAACTTCACTTAGCCGATGCTCCTCTTAAAACAGGTCTCACCTTGTTACACTGAAAATCTCACACCACTGTCACTTGTCACGCAGCAGTGTCACGCAGCAGACTTGGTCGCTGACCCGCTGACCCATAGAGCCCCACTGGCGCGGCCCTTCACAGAGCTAGGCCTGTCCTGGCTTGGTGCGTCTCCTCTTGAAAGCACCCCCGGGCAGCCAATTCAGATTGATATCCGCTTTACCGGATCTCGTACAGCGCATCGACCGGCTGCTCGCATACTTCCAGACAGGGTCCTCCCAGCAACACGGAGCCGCCCGCCGCGAAGGAGGCGTACTGCGGTTGCGGCTGCTGTTCGGTCGTCGAAACAGCAACAGGCACAGCCGCAGCCGTGGCCTCCTGGACAGCAGCAGCAGCAGCAGCAGCAGCCGTCAGCGCCGTCTCGACCGCGGCAGCCGCAATAATGCCGGTTATGTAGCCGAAGCTTGGTCGCCCGGTCGCGGCGGCGCTGATGGCAGCAACTAGCACTGCCGTCTCAACGGCAGCGGCGAGGGCGCTGTGGGATGCCTCCGCATCATGCGCACCGGCCTGCGCTGCACCGTAGGTCTTGCTGGCATCACCGCCGCTGGACATCTGTGTAACGACAAGGCGGCGGCACAGAGCAGCTAAGACAAGCATGAGTTCCCGACACCCTAAACAAGGGTACGCCGTAGCACAATACCTAAACTAATTGCGAAACTTCCACAACAATTCCCAGCTGTTAACTGTTAAAATCCAGCAAGTTTAGTCCCTTTGTCTGAAGGGACTAAATTCCTGAGCTACCCCAGTTCCTAGCAACATAATCCAGCTCCGTAGCCATCCGTGCACCCATTCCCAGTGCTCCCCCAGCCAGCACCCTTGCCCTGCCACATCAAACATCGATGCCCTACTCACTATTGACAGAAAGCACGTCCAGACGATGTTGACACAATTATTGAACAACAGGCGGTACTCGTTGGGCAGCAAAGCGAAGTTGAGAATGCCGGCCAGAGGCCACAAAAGGTAGCCGCCAAGCAGAGTCTTCACGTAGCTGCAAACAGCGTAAATGGAAGGAAAAGTTAGCAAACCTAAATTACGTCGTGCATCCTAATCGAGACAGGGCTAGACTGGCCCCTTGCCAGCCAAAGTCCGCTACGTACCTGTTTCGTAGCGTGTGCGGCAGGTCTCGTGGCCTGCCCTCCAGGCACTTGATGACGGCGAAGAACATGAGCAGCCCCAGCGGCGCGAACAGCACCTGATCCGCCAACATCTTGGTCAGCACGGCCGTGGGGCAGTGCGGGTTGTCGGGCAGGATGTTGGAATCTAACAAGTTGAACCTGAAAATAAAATGAGAAGCGGAAGCAGCGGAAAATCGTAAGGACTGTTAATGAAACACCATGTGGGTTGACTATTATTAAAATCTTATCTAATGCGTTTACGTAGCTCACCACCAGTGTCCCAGAGGAGTGCCGATTGCAGACGTCTCCAGGCACAGCCGCCCGGTGCGGGTCAGGTCCACTTTGCGACGACGACCCTCGTCGCCACCGTTGGCCGTCGCCTCGCCACCATGGCCGCCGCAACAGCCACCGAGACCCAGCTGGGCCAGCATGTCACCGGCAACAGTGAAGAAATTGCCCGTCACGATCTTGCAAAGGAGCGGACTCTCCTGCAGTGGGCAAGTATTGCACTCGGTGCTGATCACTATATGCAGGGATATGTTCCAACACGACGTGGAACAATCGGCAGCGAGATAATTCCGACCCAATCAACGCGACCGCGATAAACGCGACTAAAGAAATGCTTGATTTAGCCCCAGGCCAAAACTAGCACAATCTGTCCTTACCTGTAGCCACCGGTTGTAGTCGTCACACAGGCCGCCCACAGCGCTGCGCGCCGCCGACGCAGCGTCCTCCGCAACATGACGTGCTTGCAACAGGACCGTGCTGTACTGCTCAAGCGATGAAGCAGATGCAGTTATGGACTGGTGCGGCTGGTGATGTGTGAGTAGGGCGGACCAGAGCGGTCGCGTGGGGCCGAAGCTCTGCGCGAATAAATCTGCGGGTCCGAACTCCTTTAGAGAGTCAACAGCATTTACAGCCGCCGTTGCGATAGTTGTATGATCAGCGCCGCTATGCAGGTTTAGAGAAGCAGCACCCAGAAGCACGCCGCCGCTAAGGCCAGCCATCATGACTGGAAGTGACGGAATATTTTTCTTCTTGCTGGTCCTGCTGTTGCTCGCACTTGGAGAGGAAGGAGGCTGCGGAGCGGGCGGGAGGCCGGCTGCAACGTTGACCGGCTCGACGCAAAGACGGCGCGTGATGCTCGCAGCCCGGCAGGCCACGATCAAGCTTCGGTGCTGCAACAGAGGCGCTCTAGAGCGTAGGTTGCGCGACTTAATAGTGGTCGTGAAGGTGGAGAAGCCGGGCAACTGCTGAAGGGTTGACATTTCAGGCTGGAAAAGTTGCGAAAAAAGTTTTAAAAGTCGAAAAATATAATCAAACTATGACAAACTAATTGCAGGACGGCATGTATCCCTAACGTGCGTTCGCAGGCGGAGAACAGCTAGACAGGGCGTTGGTTCCGGGCGTAAAGCGTGTTGACCAGCGAAAAGCGATGAAGATGCGTTCGTGTATGCGTGCCCGCCTGCAGTCTCCGCTAATATGCACAGAACCTGGAAAACTGGAAGTCTTGGCCTTGTAAGGCTTCTTATTGCCCGCGGCGGCCAGCGCCGTACGGCCAACGTGGTCCAAAGACGAATGAGTCACACCAGGCCGTCAGAAAGAGAACACCAGCTGGGCAGTGATACTTTCTAAGCTGTACCCTCTTGCTAAGGAAGCGACGGTCCCGGTAAGTGCAGGCAGCATTTCACTTAAGGCTTGTGGCGGATGCGTTTGCGCGAAAAGTTTTTGGCGCCCATGCATGGCAGATTGATGGCATGGCACTGTTTTCCAGTATCAGACAGGAAAAGAACCTGGGAAAATTATGACATAACGAAACGCAAAGAGAACGGACGAGGTGATATCTTGTTTTATAAGTGGTCAAATGCGTTTGGATCAGCCAGGTCCCTGGGGTAAAGTTCGTTGTGCATTCGCACTATACATGTGCCCCACCTTATGTCATTTCGACTTCAATTGTGCGCTAGCGGTTGGCGCTCGTTTAGAAAAGCTTGGGCGCTGTGTAGCAAAGCTTGGGCGCTGTGCAAGCACTTGCATACCCGCTGAAGACCGTTACGGGCCGATAGAATGCGATTGTTATAGTGGACCCCGAACGGGTTGAGTGCAGCGCCCCAAGGAACGCCGATAGCCAGTATCTGTTTCCATACCATGGTACGAAACGTGTTTTGAACAACTGTAAAATTAATACTTGGCCATGGTGACCCCGATGTCGTCTACTCCGGAATTTACAGACGGCCTCGAATTCATACGCAGCTTAAAATGTGTAATTCGCCAAGCGCGACCGCTGGTTTCGCTTCCACAAACACCTCTGGTAGATACATACATGACCCGCGGGTCATCCACCATTCCAAGGCTGACGGCAGTTGACGGATTGCTTTAGCTACGTTATCCAATCGCTTCATGGGACCTCCCCACCACCCGTTCTTCCCTCCTAGCAGTCAAAGCAACCTTTTGCCTACCCAAGACAGTCAGGCGGCAGAACCCAAAGTGGACAGCGCTCGTAGTTTGTAATAAATGGAAAGCAGCAGTAATTGTGGCAAGGCCAATAGGGCTTGCCGACCATTCGGCTAATCGTGGACTTCGGCGACCATGGCAAGACTTTGTATTACAACCCGTGCTAGAACATCTATGAAGCCATTTTTATCACCTTTGTTATGATTCATATGTAATGTTAACCTAGAGATGAATTTGCTGAGCGTGGTCTCGCATATCAGGGTTCTAATTTTCCATAGTTTCGGAGCATATAAACTCTACAGTCTCAGCCTGTTCGATGGGATGTAATGAGTTTTCATAATTGCATAGCTAAGCAAAAACGTAGGTGCGTTTCAGCAGGCCAGATCATTTAGTATAGACCTTACGGGCCAACCAGGGAACCTACGCATCCTGAGCAGGACAGTATTTGATTATTGGTTGAGAACATAGATCTTTCGTGCTGATTATGGCAGCTAAGGACGGCGATGGAAAGCTATCTTCCGATGTTACGGAGCCAACGGATGCGGAGGGCTTGAAGTCGAACAAGGGCAAGGCGTCCAGCGTAGACGCACCAAACGTAGACAGCGGCGGCGGCAATATCAGTTCCGATGACAGTGAAGATGGTAGCGACGACAGCAGCGGCGACATCGACGTGGACGCCGAGACTGCACAGCAGCTCATGGCGTTGGAACATGAATTACAAATCAATGTATCATATGAAAAGCACCTCGAGGTACCATACATGCGGCTTAACTGCGCTCCACTATGTTCCTTTAACCCTCCCACGACTTGCTCAGTACCATGCTCTCTCCGGCTTGTTGTTAAGTTACCGTCCAGCACTCAGCCCAGGTACCTAAGATGCCCCTTCCCGTCTTTCCCTCCTGACTCTCCCCCTCTCCCCTCTTCCCAGTACATCGCGTTACTCCGCACCGCTCCCGGCCTGCGCAAGCGCTTACGAGACGCACACGAGGACCTCGCGGCTCGCTTCCCGCTGAGCGAAGAGCTTTGGTTGGCCTGGATAAACGATGAGCTGTCGGCAGTTTCGGGGCCTGAAGATCTCGCCTGGCTGCTGGGGCTGCTGCGCCGAGCGGCCACTCGGGACTACCTGGCGCCTGCCGTGTGGGAGCTGTACCTGGAGTGAGTTGCCGTACATCGTACGGCGGTACGTCATTGACCGCCTGGACTTGGATTTGACCTCAAAGCTATCTAGCTCCTGCACAGTGGCCGAGGAGCTCTCCTGGGCGCAGAACTGCAATACTGGGATTTCTGCTCGAGCGGCTCACTGAGTAGCGATGCACGATGCACGTGCCATGCCCGATTCTCGGCGTGGGGAGGAGGAAACCCAAGCTAAAGGAAACCCCCACGTCTGTCACACGGACCTGCTATGACCCACAGGCCATCAGCGGTGTTGGGTAGTGGGGGCTGGACGTGGGGAGGCAGTTTTCCCCCGGCCGCTGCCTCTGTATCGGCGGTTGGTTATACCTGGCTTGTGGTTATACCCTGCATGTGAAAACCCGTGCCCACCTCCGCCGGACCTCCCGGACCTCTGCAGGGTGGCACATGATTTGGATCCTGCCGTAAGGGATCTGGAACCTGAGGGTGTTGAGCGTTACCGGGCCATATGCGAGGAGGCGTTGGCAGCGGCTGGGTTGCACCTGGCGGCTGGACACCGGCTGTGGAGCAAATACAGGTATGCGTTGCGAGGGGCGATGCAATATGTGTTTGTCTGACTGTATGTGAGTATGTGTTCTGTGTTGTGTATTGTGCATGTCCTTGTTTAGACCAGCAATGCATTTGCACGCGTATGGCTGGTCCCCTGCGGGGCCCCCCCGGACCCGATGCAGGACGTTCGAGCTGGCCGTAGAAGCTAGGGCGGCTGGGGGGACTTCGGCAGCTGCCGCCAGGCAGCAGGATCGAGTGCGGGCGCTGTACCAGCGGCAGCTGCAGGTATTTGCGTGTGTGTGGGGGTGTATGTGTGTGTGGGGGAAGCGTGTGGATAGCCGAGGTTTGGCTGATGAGGCAGGGTGGGCGGGTGGGTGAGGCGGGTGGGTGATGACGGAGGAACTGCTTCGGTAGCATTCGGGACTTGGTGCGGCAAACCCAAGATAAAGGGATGGTAAATTAATTTCTTTTTGTTTGGAATTGCACCGTTGTGAAGGCGGTTAGCCGCGGTCCGGGGTTTGCAAAACGGTTGGCGGTTGGTCGTTGGTGTCCGACTTTCCTGCCTGGATTGTTGGAGTATGTACTTGTATTCGGTGCGTTTTGGTTGTATTCGGTTGGTAGCGTCGTTGAGGGTGTACTTAAAGTTCGAGGGCGCGAGCTTAGGGGTGCAGCTTGATAGTTATGCACGACTATCAGCCCGCTGCTTCTGCTGCTACTACGGCGCTCCCTGCCCTTGCTGCTGCGGTTGCGGCTGCGGCACGATCAATTCCCTTACCGCTGCTGTTACCGCCGCTGATACTGGATTTCCGCAGGTGCCGTTGCAGGACGTGGACCAAACGTTGGAGGAGTATAAGGCCTGGGAGGCAGGCCACGGAAAGGTACGACGAAGGGTACGGCATACCTGCCGCTTATTGCTAGCAATGTGTCACGCACGTATAGCCTTGCTAATGTACGGCTAACCGTACTTCGCCGTGATGGTGTGTTTTGGGCCCCCCTGACCTGGCAGTCCGTACCGGCGCATGTGGTCAAGGCGGCTGATAAGGCCCGGGAAGCTGCTGAGCTGCGTGCCGGGTTTGAGGAGGGCGTGGCGGCGGAGGTGCCGGCTGACGTGTCAAAACTGGGCGCGTTTCTGTCGTACATTAAGATGGAGCAAAATGCAGGCGACACGGCGAGGGTTCAGGTGGGATGCGGACTTGACGAATGGGGTTGGGCGGGCTGGGAAGTGCTGCAATGGGGTGCCTTACATGACACTTCGAGAGTTACGGGCGGTGTTAGGGGATGGTGAGGCTCGCGGCCTAGTTTCCTGTTAAGGCTCTTGTTAAGGCTCTTTGTTGGCTTTGATGCTAACCATAAGGCAAGCAAGCTATCTCCTGAGATGTTTTTGTTGGGATATTTTTTATGTCACGAAGACGTGTGACCGGGTTTAGCCGAGTTCTGATGATCGCGCTCTATTTTATTCTCTATTCAGGTGCTCTACGAGCGCGCCGTGGCGGCGTTTCCCCTGACGTACAGCCTCTGGCTGCAGTACGGACAGTACATGGAGACGCACACCAAGCTGGCCGGCCCCATCAACGCCGTGTACGGCAGGGCCGTACGGAACTGCCCCTGGGTGGCGGCCGTATGGGAGAGGGCCATCCGAGCGCTGGACCGTACCGGTGCGCCGCTGGAGGCGGTGGACGAGATGTACGGCAATGCGCTCAAGGCCGGTCTGCAGGTGGGGAAGCTGGGTGGCAGGGGCATGTACGGGAGATGAGCGTGAGCCAGTCTCAACATAGAAAACCCCAAACACCATCCGCCGCCGACGCCTCCGTCACCCCACAACACCTTGCCCACTTCAGCCTAGCTAGCTAGCTGCAGTGTAGCGGCGCTTGCTCTCGGGTGTCCACTGCTCGCGCTTCATCTCCAGCCGCGAGGACGATATGCTTGCACTTCCGCCATGCATAGCTATATATACGTATATGTATGTATATATGTGTATATGCATGTATATGTATATATGCATATTCTGTGTATGTATGTATGTATGTATGTATGTAGATATATGTATATTTAACCTTGCTTCCTGGGTAAGTCCGGAATAGGGTCTTCTATACCGTCGCCTCCTTGGGCCGTTATGCTCCGTTGCTCCGTTGCTTGGCCATTTGATGCCTCTGATGCTGAAGCACAGCACACCGCAAAGCGGGTGCTCTTCCTCTAACCGCTGTCGCCCGCTCATCTTGCCCATTCTCACGGTCGGTCTCCGTACCCGCTTCCCATACCGAGTGCCTAAACAGGCTCCGGACGACTACCTGGCGATTATCCTGTCCAGGATCGACTGCCTACGAAGAGCGGCGGTGGCGGCCAAGGAAGCCGCTGCAGCGGGCGGCGGCAGCGGCACCGGCGGCGGTGGCAGCTCTAAGAAGGAAGCCGCTGCCGCTGCCGCGGCCGTGGCGGCTGCGTTTTCTCGCCTGCGGCTGGCGTTCTGCTCCGCCACCGAGCTCATGATGTCTCACTTTCCCGACCACCTTGACTTGTGGGTGCGGTGGATGAACTTTTAAACACGGTACACTGCACTCTTGTACAAGACGATAGTACAGTGTACAGTGTACCGTACTTCACGTTTCGGTTGTGCATGGCCATGGCATGCTGTAAACCTGGTAATGGTGTGTTTTGAGGCATGTTGGTGATAACGGTTCTGGTAATCCACGCCGCGCGGTGGAATTCTCGCCCGTGTGTGAGCGACGATGCTGCGTGCATAAAATTTAAATCACAACCACCACGGCACCACTTCTTTGTTCACCCCTACCTGCCAACCGAATTACTTAACTGCTTATCTGCTTATCGGCCAGCTAACCGACTTACCTGCCGGCCATCTAACTTCCTGCACCCTGTACCCAACGACCCTACCTTCTAGGAGCCTGAGCCTACCCGCCTACTGGGCGCAGTGCGAGATGTACGTCATGTGTGATACGGCGGCGGCTCGGGAGGTGTGGGAGGGCTCGCTCAAGGGAGGACTGGGCAGGTGCGCGGGGAGGAGTGGGAAGGAGGAAGCGGAGGAGGGGGATATGTGCTGGTGTGCTACAGGAAAGGGACAGGCTGGGCTGGCGGCGCGCTGGATAGATGGGTATTATATGGTATAGAATTTGGAAGGCCTGTTTGGGATAGCGGCAAAGGCCGGTCCTGACCTGGCAACATGTTTCCATAAGGGCCCTTTCTTATAGCCCCTGAAATCCCCCCTGGCGCCCTCTTTTACACAGGTACGCGGAGGCTTGGGAGGCGTACATCGCGATGGAACGCTCGGCCAGGTTGATCAAGGTATACGGCTCCGTTCGACATGGGTGGGGGGATCTGATGCCCCCTTGACGGATAATCCGTCGTGAGTGGGACACAGGTTTGCTGCTAAACAGTACGGCCGGTACAACAGCACGTAATATCATCTCCTCTAAGATCTTGTCAACTTGACGAGGTGGCGCGGAGTGATGGGGTTGGAAAGAGCGTCCTCGAGCCGGCGGGACTCGTATGGGGAGAGGTAATGAGCGAGCACGTCACACGACAAGAAGGTCACATTGGCCGAGAGCTGGCAACGGCCGTGGGATGAATTCTTAGTGGCAAAAAGACCTTATTGTGCTAGAGGTCTGGCTGCGCCGTCCTATGGGCCATGATACCATACGACCTTTTAATCGAGGAATGACACCGGAATTTGGGGCCTTGCAGGAGGCTCGGGCTCTGTACAAGAGGTGCTACAGCCGGCGACTCGAGCAGGATGGACAGCTAAAGCTCTGCCAAGCCTGGCTTCGTTTCGAGCGGGAGGAGGGCAGGTGTGTGGGTGGTGTATGGGGGTGGGTGGGCTGGGTGCGAGCCATGGTGTGTAATGGCGGATAAATGAACCCTGGGAGGGAACTCAAAGCAGCTGCATCGCAGGGAGGATCCAAAAGGTTACGAGATGTGGTGTGATAGGGTGGGGTGGAGATGGTGAGTTCATGGAGGATTTCGCAGCTGTTTGGTTGTGCTAGGTGGTTGGGATGCTGCATTGAAAGCTGCGGTGGGCTTCGTCTGCTGCTTTCCTTTTCTTGCTGTTCCTGCTAGGCACGTCTCCGTGACGAAGCGTGTTTACAAAGGGTACTTATGTGGCATTATGAAGGTTGTTAATCGGCACGAAACGCAACAATGCAGGGCGGATGACTACCTGCAGGCGCTGCTGAAAGTAGAGCCTATCCTCGAGGAGAGCGCCGCGGCCGCTGCGACCGCTGCCGACCAAGCTGCGGCAGCCGCTGCAAAGGTAGGATTGGTTTGACGCATCATGGGCATCCAAAGTGAATGTGTCTTGGAGGTTGCGGGTTGGGGAGTCAGGTTGCACATGTCGCAAGCCGGGAAGCTACGTTGAACGGGAGGACCGTTCGCTCTATTTGCGCAGGCGGCTGTACAGAAGGCGAAGAATCTGTCTAAGGACGAGGTAAAGGCTATGCGGCGGGCCAAAGACCCCAACTTCAAGGGCAAGAAGGACACCGCTGAAAAGGGCGAGGCTGAAATGGAGAATCCTGATAAAGGTACGGATTTTTACGGTATTACGGTATAAAAAATAATATGTTCATATCTTTTTGCGTGGAGAAGCGTCGGGATCGCAGTGCGGCTTTCGATCCACCAGCTGTCGTGTACATAAGCCTAGCTCTTTGTAGGATGCTTACTATTTGGTTTACATGGCGTACAGGACAAATTCTTTTGCAACTTTAGAGGATTGGTAAAACCCACTTATCTCTGGCACTTGGTATGCTGACATGTCAAAAGTTAACGGGATGGATTTGTGCCAGAGCTGGACTCCAGCACACGAACATGATAAGGAGAACATAACACTGTTCACGGCGGGTGCGAAATCTGTTTTACATCTTAACGCGACGGACTTGCTTCCGACTTGCTCATGCCGTCGCGCACAGGTGGGAAACCTGCCAAACGTGGCCGGCATGAGGATGGCCAGGACCCGGCACCTGTAGGTAGTGCTGAAGAACTTGCCTCCATCAAGCGCGTTCGGATGCACGAGCCTGAGGCTCCCTCTCCTCGCGCCAAGGCGGGCGCGCAAGTCCCAACAGACAACAACGCCACCGCTCCAGCTGCCGCGGCCGAAGGAGGCGATCAGGATGCTGACATGGCTGACGAGGAAGAAGCCCACGCGGATGGAGCCGCGGACGCAAATGCAGGCGCCGAAGGCATGGGCGAGGACAACGCAGCTGGCCCGGGGCCGGGCACGGCCAAGACGCAGGGCGGTGCGCGTCCGCACTACACGGACAAGATGACCGTCTTCATCCGGGGCCTTCTTCCCGGGGTTAAGGACGTCGATTTGGAGGGCTTTCTCAAAGGCCATGTGCCGGAGGGCCTCAAGGACAGCCGCATCATGCGTGACGCGCAGACGGGTGATGCACGGGTAGGCTGGTGTTCGAGACGGCGTTTTGACTAGGCTAAAAACTGCCCTATCAGCCAACTTCTCTGGGGCCCTCTGGAGTCCTTGCACCCGGCTGCCGTGGCGGCCTGATTCATGCAGGTTTATCCTGACTGCCTTCTCAGTTATCCACACTTGCCATTTCCAAAGACACATCAACTTGTTTTGCCGTTCCAGCAGGGCTGGAAACAAAATGATGCCGCACTGACTAGACCCGCCACTAACCATGTACCTAGCCCTGAGGGGAAGTCTCTTGACCCCCTCCACACACGCCTGTGGTTCGTCTTCCCCTCCATACTTCTTAACCTAAGTGCGATCGAACGTTCCTAACGTTTCTAACGCTCTCCTTGCACACTGTTTTGTCGCTGCTGCAGGGTTTTGCGTACGTGGAGTGCAGCTCAAGGGAGGCCCTGGACAAGCTGGTCGCCCTCAACGGCACCGTTTTCCAGGGCAAGTCACTTTTCATCGCCGAGTCCAAACCACCTAAGCACGGCGGCGGCGGCAGGGGGCCCCCGCACGGCGGTGGCGGCCGCGGCCGCTTCAGTGGAGGGCGCTTCGGCGGTCCACCGGGCGCGCGGGGTGGCGGCTTTGCAGGGCGCGGCCGCGGCCGCGGCCGTGGGGGTGGCGGTGGGTCGGCGGAGGGCGATCCAGATACGGAAATGGAGGAGGCTGGCGATGGCGGTGGTGGTGGTGGTGGTGGTGGAGGCCGGGGTGGCCGAGGGGGGCACCGTCCGGGGCTGGGGCACCCGAGCGGGCGCGGCTCCATGCGGACACATTTGCAGATTTCCCAAGGTGCGCAGGTTGCGGCTGTTTTTCCGTGTGGATCTGCGACCCACATCGTATCCGAGTGTTCTGCACTTCCCGCGAACCCGTCATTGCCCACTTTAGGCCCTGCACACATCCCCGCGGCATTTTGAGTCATTGCCATGGATGGCAGTGGCCATTCCGGGATCTGCCAGCCTCCCTCCCGCGATGCCGATGTTCTAGGACTTCTTTTCATCGCGAGATACATCCCATCCCAAGGGATGTCGTTCCGCGCTTCAGTCGCGGTTCCATGCTTTCTAATAACCTGGACTATTTTGCGAACTGCACCACACGCACTGCAGGGAGCGCCCCGCCCACGGCACTTGTGCCCCGTTCTCTCCAGCTGTCGGTCTCCTTCGGCGCGCCTGCCGGCGGCGATGCTGGCAGCGGCGGCGGCGGCGGCGCAGCCGCCGGCGGGCAGCAGCTATCTAACGATGATTTCCGCAGGATGCTGCTGTCCGGAAAGAAGTAGAGGGCAGGGCTGCTCCGGCTGGCAGCGGTCCCAAGCAAATGGTCGCGCTTCCTAACAGCATGGGTGGCGCGATGTACCCGATCTTCGGATTTCTTTGCTAGTAGGTGGCAGCTCTGGAGGCGCGGTGGGCCTGCGTTGAGGATTGCGGACCTGTGCTATGTAGGGAGTTATGGCGTGTGCATATGGCTTATTGTCCCGGGGGCTGTCAGATATTTGGGTTTCCGGCTTTGTTGCAATTCAATTGGGACCTGCCCGCATTCTTCTGACCGAAATCCGTTTTGATGGCAGCCTTGACTTGAAGGAACGTTGAAGGAACGTCTTAGCAGGAGTTAAAACCGTTGTACCGACCTGGTGCCTTGGCAGGCTGCCAGCATGCCCAGGTGAAAACACGGCAGCGAGTCCCTGAGGGCCCTAAGGCGCCATTGACATGGTCTTGGCTTGGCGTCGAAAATAAGAGTGCAGGGACGGCAGAGGAACAATTTAAACGATCCGCGGGATGGCGTGTTTGCGTTCGAGGAAAGGCGAACTGCTTGCTGCGACAAGTGTTTCGTAAAATAAACGGTCTCGATCTTTGTCCATTGTCCACCACAGCTGGGATGCCTAATGCATTGCGTAACCTAACAGTGCCGTAATGCTTAATTCTCAGCAACGGTGGCTGCGACGCGTTAAAATTCGTGTCAAGAGGTGACAAGCTCGGGTTATGCTTGCGTGGCATTGGCTCTGGGTGTCAGTGGCGATTGCCAGCAAAGTGACGGGATGAAGCTCCACATCGCCAAACTTGCGTACACAAATGCGGGTCTGTACACATCACCCGCATACACAGATGCGGTTTGAGGTCATCCCCGTGCGCGCGCATTGCACGGTGCACGTGCGGATCCGTACCCATCCTATTAAGAGCAGTCATACAGGATGACATCCCGCCTTGCACACAAAAGGACGAAGAACCTATTCTGTAGGGGGGGGTGCGTTATAAGGGGTCGCGCAGTCTGTCTACCCCTGCAAATATCTTCATGAGTGCGCATTTCCGCCTGTTGCCCTTCAGCTGCCATCAATGTGTCGCCTCCACATTCACCACAATGTCCCTCACATTAAAAACAACCCAGCACCAAGTATGCGTTCCACAGTCGTACGACGCGCGACACGGCCCGATGAACATAAATGGTGCTCCCGGTACGGTGCATGATGCCGAGGGTTTCTGTCCGTGATGTGCAGGTTGAAAGTCAGCTTTCTCGCTGGGTGGGTGTCTAACCCAGTGGGTGAAGCCCAAGCTTCAACTTGCTCGAACTAAGCAGCTGCAACCTTATCTTTAGCTTGGAGGAAGATGACACACTAGTCTTCCAGAACAGCGATGCGTGTAGACTGCCCGTACTGCCGTTCGCCTAACGAAAAAGCGGTTGAGGTTCATACGCCATTGCCTAGCACGCATTTACATTCCCTCTTCAATCACTGCTATATAGAGAGTAGCAATCCTTGTATAAAATCTAGGCTTTGCTGTTGTCTAATCTGCACATTTGCGAGGCTGCTGACTTGCCCTGTGGGCGCTGTAAACTTGTAAGTCGGCACGAAGCTTGGCAACGGGTTCAGAGTTACGATAAAGATTAAAAATGCACACGACTTATCAAGTTCATGGGCGCATGGGCGTATGCTTGCCCCTGTGAAATGACGTTCTAACAAAGCCCATAGCCAAGTTGAAGCCATCACAGCCTCAACTTATGCCAAAGGATGTGCATAATATGTCTTGTTTGCAATTATACTTATGAATGTTTGGGCTATTTGAAAGAACAAGGACGCCCATGCAGGCCTTATTTAGACTTTGCGCATTCCTAAATTGGGATTCAGCTCCTAGCTCTAGATGCAAAGCTACACGGAAGACATATTTTACTAGATAGGCTATTATAGATCCTGTCCTAAAGACATCACCATTACTTGTTTGGAAGTCGATCCTTCGGACCTATAGACACTTTTGCACGCTTGCCCAATCAGCTATGGGAGACACGCTTGCGGCCTCTCTCCTCCGCAAGCAGCTTAAGGGTAGGGAGCCGCCTATATTCTTTTCAATACTAAGGGAAGAAACCCCAGACGAAGTTTGGCTTCATATGTGCAGAGCTTACCAAGAATCCTGTGGAGGGCTTTTCAGCTGGCTTAGTTGACGATAGCAACGTTTTTGAGTGGCAGGTCACTATCATTGGGCCGCCGGACACTCTCTAGTAGGTGGCGCCCTCATGTTATGCGACCCTTCGTGCTGCTTTTGCTGCCTATCCATGCATCAAACGGGCTCTAGAACAATTGGCGCTCTTGTGGTTGGGTATGGTACGGGGTTGCGAAATCGTTGTGACTGCATGCGAAGGGTCTCGGACGTTCCACGTTTTTTCCGTCTTTGCAGCGAGGGCGGTTTCTTCAACGCAAAGCTAAGCTTCCCAAAAGACTACCCGAACTCGCCACCCACCTGCCGTTTCACGTCAGAGATGTGGCACCCTAACGGTGAGGTCGTGCAAACGTGGTCGGCGCTTGCGCGGACCTAGGCTGATTGCTCCAACTCACACTTTGCAGTATACGATGATGGCAAAGTCTGCATTTCCATCCTCCATAACCCCGGCGATGACCCGCACGGGTACGAGAGTGCAGCGGAGCGCTGGTCACCTGTCCACACGGTATGTTTTTGCGACTCAGGTTGGACTCACGTTCCCTTGGGTCCAACTTCCAAAGGACGAGTATTCGTGCTCGTCAGTGGAATCTAAAGCGGGGATTTAGCACAGTCTGCGTGCAGACGGATTGGTGTTTCCCTGTCTCCAACCCGCTGATGACTGCGAAGGCATATATGTGTGCTGAAACGCATTGTGCACATGCGCAACAGCAACTTTCGCTATCCGCATGATTGTCTGTGTTCGGGCTTACATCAAGCAGGCAGCCTTACATTGGGGGCCTGACCATTGCTGGCTGCTGGACGCTTCTATGCAAGTTGATATCCAGCACCCACCCTCCTATGCCCTCAGCTGTTCTTGTTCCGTCCTCTTGTCCATTAGTTTAACGGCCGACCCAGGCTTCTTGGGTTGGAGGTCTGCTTGGCCTGGTTGGTCAAGCTCATCTGGGTCGGCTTTGTAGTCATTGTCATCCTGGCTGTACAGAGCAATGCATCATCTCGTCGTGGTCAGCGGTAACGAACTGATAGCCCCGTACTGTCAGAGGAGTGCAGCTGCTCCCCCAGATGCATCTGTCCAATGGAAGCATCGTTAAAATTCGGATACTAAAGCGCTGTGCCTCTACATTGGCCATGCTAGGTTGAAACAATTATGATTTCCATCATCTCGATGCTGTCGTCGCCGAATGATGAGTCCCCTGCCAACGTGGACGCCGCCAAGATGTGGCGGGAGAACCGGGAGGAGTTTAAGAAGCGAGTGGCGCGCATTGTGCGTAAGTCGCAGGAGATGCTTTAGCTCTGGCACGTAGAGGACGGGGCGCAAGCGGCGGCAGGCGGCTGGATTTTGGAGCCGGGTACCAGGACTTGACTGCGGGCAAGCGGCGGCGGCCAGCCTGCTAGTACAGGCGTGCACGATAATTGTTGTTGAAAGGGGAGCAAAGTCATGGAGCAGGCAGCGCGAGGGGCAGCAAACTTGGATGTGTGAGGAGCTGCGTGAAGCATGGATGAAGGATTACGAGCTGGTTCCTGTTGGGCTGAACTCGCGTGGGCCGACTAGGAACTGGATGGATTCGATCGCTGCATGGAGGTGGCCGCGGCAGCCGGTGGCAATCTGGGGTGATTGTCTTTGAGTCGCGTGGTGGGAGCATGAGCCCATCATATGGTGATGCTCCCACTGGCCGCATCGCGCCTCTCGGCCTGTGGATTAATGCCCGAGGGCATTAGAACGATCGCGCGGCGGAGGACGTCATCATACGGATGTTCCTTTCTTGTTGCGCAATCCTTCTTGAGCATCGTCGCTAGCTGGCCTCCCGAACCATCGATTGTTTTCCTGCATAAGCCATCCCATTTCCGGCATGAGCCATCCCACTTCAGCTCTGATGTCTTTGCCCCTTCGTCACGTGAGCTGCTCGGGGTCAGCGTCATGTATGTAGTGTTCATGTGCATTGGCATGATGCGCACGTCCATATGGTATTCGCGCCGGCACGATACGCACGTTCATGGGTACGGCATGCAGGAACCTTAATGAGGCCGTTGTGGGGCCCCAACGGCCAGGCCGCACCTAGGATGGCGAGAAGCGGGGTTGGCAAACAGAAGCTGACTTCGACTGCTGTGTTGCTGAAACCGCGCTGTGCTTTTTGCAGTTTTCAACCCCCTTGCTTTGGCTCGGGTCATACCTAGTCAGGCCCCAGTTTGAGTTCGGCTGCGCGCTTGTCTGGTGGCTTGTTGACCGGGCTGGTTCGAAATCTGGTGTCTAGCTTTGACGTTTCATTTGCGAGGTACGCAGGTGTGAGCGTGTTTCTTGCACCGTCCACTCTTCAGTGGGTGCGCTGTTGGGGGGTGCAGCAGTCCCCGCCTGCGCAACTGCTGGGTGGTTGGTCCGCGATATGACCCAAGGGAAGGAGCGTATCAGTGCACTGAGTAGTAGGAACGCTGAGCGTCAGGGCAGCTGGCGATTTGCATCCCGAGCGCCTTGGGAGAGCTGGTGCAGGAAGGAGGACAACATGCACTGCTTTATTGCCTGTTTCCGTTGACCGTTCACATGTTATCATTTGAGTGAGGCTCTTGTGTCACTGAGACAGCGTAGGCCAAGCGGACTAGGAAGGCGTCGGCGCCGTGTGCGGTGGCAACGCGAATACATGACGTGAAGAGGGTGGTGTGGATAGTGGACTGGACTTCTACGGGTTCGTTAAGTTGCGTCCCGTTGCGAGGATACAGTATAACGTCAGTTCGTCTAGTCGTTTTCCTCGCTGGATGTTAACCAACCCCACATGTGCGTTGCATATGGGCAGTTTCAGTTAGTTTTGTTGGTCATTGTCGTCTAAAGGTCGAGAAGTCATGGTGGTGTACAGTGGCGTGGCGTGGCGCCTCGTGTAATGTGTTGTGGCTTACATGTGAAGGAGTTCACGGACATGACGTTTGGCGGTGCGCTGTTAATGGTGCATGAAGCTATTACAAAGAGGAAGGACGTATGCTTAGTTCCCCGATGCAACACTACATTGTACCGGGATTTAAGGGGTGCTGGAAATGCCGAGTGTGTTGCGCGTTTCAGAGCTTTAATTTGGAGATTGGGCCGGGGCAGCGAATATGGTAAGTTATTTGTCCGACACATGCCACGCAGCGTTTTTAGGACAGATGCAAAACCACTCAATGAAATTTGCATATCAGTGGCAGGTCGTGCTTGAACACGGTAAGGCATGTCTGCTCATCCTATAAAAGCAATACAAGCAGTCAAGGAAATGGCGAAGGGGATGAGTGAAGTGAGGACTTGCTTGGGAGCACGTATTGGCGACGGTAAATGGGAAAGGGTGGCAACAAGCCTCAAGCTAACCATTTTCGTTCAAGCTGCGAAAACACAGGTGGTGCATGTGGTGCACATGTCCAACACTTCCATAAGGCTTGCTGCAAGAGTTTCCATGGGACGGCGCGGGGTGTCGCCCCGGTTCAACAAGATGCAGCGGCAATCGAGCGAAGCAATTTATAAAAGGTTGTTTTCTTGATAGTACATGTTTGTTTGTCCCGTGCATAGACGGGGCGGAAGACAGGGTCTTACGACAGTGGTCACTCACAGTTGTATATCTTTAAGTTGTACCAAAATTACAGTTAAAGAATATGGAAGTATGGCACAGAGTTCGCGGAAAACGGAAGGCTAAGATGATTTGACTAATCTACGTCGTAGTTACCTTTTCCCAGCGCCGTATGAATAAAACAGTCGAGACGTTTGTTTATAAGTAGGGCTATAAGACTTGGATTAGTACTCAAGCTGCGTCTTTATGTCTGACGCTTGGAGCAGGTAGGTGCTGCTTTGCAACGCACCAGTCGAGTCGAAGGTGCAGCAACATTTGGGAATGTTTGGCTTGAAATAATCAGTAACATATATATACCATTCATATGGCATGCAGATGGCGGACAGCGATGGAGGCTATGGCGGACCCAAAGTTGGAGCAAGCCATACGCAGAAGAAGACACCTGTGCACCCAAACGGACAGCTATCGCAGGTTCGCGCTGTAATTAAACGTTCCGCTTGTTGCTTTCTGCTCCGTTTGGGGTTAGCGAGTCCATATCCATGGTGATGGCTCTTATCTCCTTTCCAGCAGCGCTCTTCCGGCTGCGAGATGCTTTCAGCCGCTCCTCAAACAAACGCATGTATACATGACTTAACTTGTGGGTGCATGGCTTTTGGTACACGTTTCGCTTTGTTGCCACTTGCCAGCAACGTGCTCGGCGGTTGTTGCTGTAGCTTTGATTCGCAAGCTTCACACCCTTCGCAGTACGCCGTGAAGCTTGCTTGGTTGTTGGAGTTTGCTGCGAAGCACCAAGTTCGCGAGCGCGGCTGGACGGCCGAGCAGCTCGTCCAGGAGGTTGTGCGCCCCAGCACAGCCGAACGCGGTGGATGCAGATTCGCAGATTTGTTATCTCGCCAGGCCTCTCTAGACCACCAGCATGATGCCCTATCTCAAGGGAGGCCGTTTTATTTCGTCAGCTATGCTTGGTCGCGGCCGTTTTCTGATACTTTGGATATGCTTGTCCGGCACTTCGCTCCGGACCAACAACGACTTTGGCGACGAGAGGGTGGAGAAGCATTGCCGCTTTTGAGTCCCGGGGAGGTGTATTGCTGGTTTGACATCTTTGCGATTGTGGGTACCGTTGGTGTTTTTGTAGCATGGCTAATTGGCATACAATAAAAGCCCTTTTGGACCCTCCGAGCCCATGTAGGCAATTGCCCGTTGCGAGGCAGGCGCGTGAAATTTCGTAGTTGAATACAAATAAAGTAAAAACAAAAGTGATAACGTTGAATGCTGCATTGTTGCATTAGTCAAAGATTCTTCCCGATTTTTAACATGACTTAGGGCCGCCATCACGTTCGAACCGTCATGTTTCAATCTATCCACAACTCACCTTGTGTACTGTCTATCGCACCTATGTGCACGTGTGTATCCGCGCGTGCGTGTTTCTGTGTGTATACGAATCCTGTTCAACTCCTCAACTCGCAATCAACTCGCAATCAATTCCTCAACTCGTTTTTTTACGACAGAATCAACACGCTGATCCGGGAGAGAAGCAGCGGGATCTGCAGGCGCTCAGCGAAGTGCTGGGCGCCGCCGAAGAGACGCTGCTGGTCCTCGACAGCACTGGCGTGGCCCTTAGCCGCGCCTGGTGCCTGTTCGAGGCGTGGCAGACGACCTGTCGGACATCGGGCAGCAACAAGCTGCGATTGTTGTGGTACAGCCTGGACCTCCAGCGCCTCGAACAGGTACGCACGGTACGGCGCGCAAGCCGCTTTGTGTTGCGTTCGGCGCTGCATGGGATGCCGCCGAAGTTGACTTCCCTGCCATCGCCGCCGCTGCCGCCGCCGCGACCGACGACGACGACGACATCCCCCCCTCTGCTGTTCACAGGCCCTGCTAGACGTTGACTTTAGCCGCGCCAAAGCAACGGAACGCCGTGACATGGATTGCATTCTAGCAGACGTTCGGAAGAAGCAAGGACGCATTACTGCCGGCAACGACGGCAATGCCGCTCGCACCGCCGCCGCCGCCGGCACCGGTCTCGACCTCAGTGGAGGCGGAGTGAACGGTGGCGGGAGCCTCGAGCGTGCCGCAACGCAGGGATTGAAGGAGGGAATGGTTCGCAGCGCGCTTTCGCATCTGCCCGGGCCAGCGGAGCCTTGGACGAGGGGGCTGAGCTCCGCCCTGAAGGCGACGGCAAAGTTGTGTACGGTGTACGGCAAGCTAGCGGAGGCGGAGGCGCTCCTGCGGCGGGACGTGGCAGGTGCAGAGGCTGAGCTCGGTGCCGACGATCCGGAAACGCTGACGGCAGTAGACGGCCTGGCGGCGCTGCTCGCGGCGGCGGCAGCGGCGGCGGCAGCGGCGGCGGCGGCGTCAACAGCGGGTGCGCAGCTCCAGCCGCGGCAGCGGCGGCAGCTGTACGATGAAGCTGAGGAGCTGTGCTGGCGTGCTCTGGAAGGCTGGGAACGAATCCGTGGCGCAGAACACCCAGACACACTACGCGCGGCGGCGGCGCTGGGTGCCGTACTGGCGGCGCAGCGGCGGCTAGAGGCTGCGGAGCCGATGCTGCTGCGCGCTCTCCAGGGCCGTCTTCGCGTGCTGGGGACTGACCACCCTGATGCGCTGTCCTCGGTCGTGGCGCTGGCGTCCCTGCGCCGTACACAAGGCCGGATGGCGGAGGCGGAGGAGCTCGGCCGTCAGGCTCTAGCAGGATACGAGCGTGTGTTGGGGCCCGACAGCAGCGACACTATTGCGGCGGCGGCGGCGCTCGCGGGGCTTCTTCGCTTGCAGCGTCGGCCGGCGGAGGCGGAGCCTCTGCTCCGTGCCGCGCTCGGCGCGCGCGAGCGGACGTTGGGCGAGTCCCATCCTGATACCCTGGTGGCGGCGAGCAACCTGGCGGCACTTCTGATGCCGCTGGGGAAGTACGACGAGGCGGAGGCGCTGTTCCGTCGGGCGCTGGCTGGTCTGGAGTTAGCGGTTGGAAATCTGCACCGCGACACCCTATCTGCCTTGAACAACCTAGCGAGTCTGATGGCGTCACGTGGCCGGTACGACGAGGCCGAGCCGCTGTATCGCCGGGCGCTCCAGGGGCGGGAGCTGACGACAGGTCCAGACGCCATCGACACACTGGTATCTGTGAAGAACCTGGCGTTGCTGCTTAAGCTGCGCGGAAAGTACGACGAGGCGGAAGGGCTGTACCGGCGCGCGCTCCAGGGGCGGGAGCGGGTGCAGGGCAGCGGTCACCCCGAAACGCTCGCGGCGATGCATAACTTGGCAGGGCTGCTGGCGGCAGCGGGAAAGTACGACGATGAAACGGAGGCCCTGTTCCGCCGGGCGCTGGGTGGCCGGGAGCAGCTGTACGGCATGGCGCATGAGGATTCATTGGCGGCGGCTAGCGGCTTGGCGGGGTTGCTGGCGTCGCGGCGCAAGTACGACGAGGCCGAGCAGCTCTACCGGCGGGCGCTTCAGGGACGGGAGGCGTTGTGCGGACCCGCGCACCCGGAGACGCTGACGGCGGCACGCGAGCTGGCGGCAGCGCTGGCAGCGGCGGGGAAGTACGACGATGCGGAAATGCTGTTCCGGCGTGTGGTGGCAGGCCGTGAACAGGCCCTGGGCCCGGGGCGACACGAGACTCTTGCAGCCGCCGCGGAACTGGCGGAGGTTCTGGCGGCGGCGGGGAAGTACGACGAGGCCGAAGCACTGCACCGGCGGGCGCTGGGCGGACGCGGCGCGGCACTGGGTTTTGATCATCTTGACACTCTCGCCAGCGCCGGTGCGCTGGCGGGCGTGCTTGTCGCGCGTGGAAAGTACGAGGAGGCCGAGCAGCTGTACAGACGAGCTCTGAAAGGCAGGGAGGCGGCGCTGGGTGGCGACCATCGCGACACGCTGGCGGCGATGAGTGACCTGGCGGCGGCGCTGGCAGCGGCGGGAAAGTACGACGAGGCCGAGCAACTGCACCGGCGGGCGCTGGGGGGTCGTGAGCAGCTACTGGGTGAGTCGCATCACGACACGCTAACGTCGGCGGGCGGCCTAGCGGGCGTGCTGGTGTGCCGCGGCAAGTACGACGAGGCTGAGACGTTGTACGGCAGGGCGCTGGCGGGTCGGGAGCAGGCGCTGGGCGTCAACCACCCAGAGACGCTGGCGTGCGTCAGCAGTCTGGCGAGTCTGCTGGCGTCGTGCGGGAAGTACGACAAGCTTGAGGCGTTGCGTCGACGGCGGCGGCTGGCAGGCGGTGGCGTCGAGGCAGCGCCTTCTGCCGGGGATGGTAGCGGCGGCGGCGGCTCCGCTGTGGAGGGAGCCGACGAGCAATGGGGCAACGGCGCCGCCACCGTCGGCATTGCCGCACACGGCCGACTACACAAGAGTTTGCAGCGACGCATCACCGCCACGTCGGACCGCACGCTGGTGTTTCGACAACCCCCCAGCGGGCCGCCTTCTTTGTCGAGCCCCACCCGGGGCACCATGGGAGGCCCCGCCGCCGCTGCCACCGCCACCTTCGACGGGATCGCAGCCGAGGACCCTGAGCCACGGTCCGCGGCTGTATCAGCAGCGGCAGCACCGCCGCCGTCACCGCACAGGCGCGCCGGCAGCTTCCTGCAGGGCTTCTTTCGGCCGCACGGCGGCGGTGCCCCGGCCCCGGCCGCGGGCGGCGGCGGCGGCGGCGGCGGCGGCTCCACCAGCTCTCCGGGCTCCGAAAGCACCAAATTCGCAAGCCATCCCGCCGGCCGCATTTCCTCTCTGATGCGCTGGGCTTCAAGCGGCCTTGAGCCGTCGCCACCGCCGCAGCAGCACCTGACGCTGCACGGCCAGTCCGTCTCCAGTCCAACCGCCAACCGTCAACCGCTCTTCCTATTAACCGAGGAGCAATCACAGCACCAGCAGCCCCATAATGGCTTACGGCCGTCAGTTTCTATGTCGCAAACCATGAGCCGGGGGCCCCGGGGAGCAGACGCGCCATCCCCCAACGGGTCCGGCGCAATGTCGCCGTCAGCCGGTACAATGTACGGCACGAGGCTGAGCCGGCAGGTCGGTGGCGGCGGCAGCTCCTGTTTGCGCGCTTCCTTTAGTAATGACTCCCAACAGCAGCAGCAGCTACTGCTACAACAACTACAGCTACAACAGCAGCAACAGCAATTGAGACGCACATCAGTTCAGTTGCCGTATACAAATGCGAACCCGTCGCGTCAGTTGGCGGTTGAGGATCCGCCGTACCGCCGTACCGATCCTATAACAACCGTGGCCTGGCCCGCGGTCCCAAAATCTACAGCCGGCAGCTTGGTGAAAGATACATCAACAACAGCAGCAGCAGCAGCAGCAACATCACCTGTAGGGTTGACAATCAAAAGGACGCCGTCACAGTCGCAACTACCTAGAGAGCCTACCCAGATGGGCTCCGTCAGCGGCATCACACATCGGGCGATCGGGAGGTCCGCAACTGAACAGTTGGAGGAGCAGACTAGTCAGGTAGTACGGACACCAAGTACGGCATCGCGTGGCAGCGCTGGCGCTGGCGCTAGCGGCGGCGTCGGTGTCGGTGTCGGTGCTGCTGGCGGTGCGACGGCTCTTATGGGCGTTGCCGTCAGGTCATCAATGCCAGCGGCGAGCGCTGCCGCTGGGCCTGGTACGGCCTTTGGTACGAGCGCCGCTGCCGGCGGCGGCGGTGCCAGCCGCCCGTTAGGTAGCCTTGGCGGCATCGGCGGGCGGGGGGCTCCTACAGGGTCGCGCGCTAACGCTATGCAACAGCTGCCAGCCTTTTCGCCGCGGGGTGCTGCTATTGCTGCTACAGCCCTTCCTTCTCCGAGTGCTGCCACTGCGGCGGGCGGCGGCGGCGGCGGCGGCGGCCGCTTCCAGGCGCTGCTTACGGCGCAGGTGGCTTGAGTACAGGACGCGTTGGGCCATATCCGTGTCTTAATACGTATCTGCCCCACGTTAGAGAGACGTGTGTGGTTTGGCTTTTTTGGAAGTGACCGGAAGAAGATTAGTTTCGCCGGCGTAAACGACTGTGGGCGTATAGCGGGATGCGTGCCTTGGGACGTGCATGCCTGTGGGTTTTGGAGCGTAACCCGCCGTACACTCCATTGCCTCTTGAGCCTCTGCAAGATTCTAGAACGTCGACATCTCTAAAGCATTGAATCAGATTTGTATCCTGTTCAGGATCCATCGACACCCTTTGGTGCGGGGCCCCATCCTGGGCTCGGAAGACGCGAATGGCTGTGTCGTATTTTGGACAAGCCCCGAACGCAATCCATATCGTTGCAGCTTGTTGGTATCCAAAAAATAAGGCAGTGCTTCGCGGCCAACTTTCCGCGCAGTGCCACTTCCACAGCGATTACGAGAAGAGAAAAAATCGTTTGAATTTTTGGTGTGGTTGGGGGGGGGCGCCGGCTAGCGCCTGTGGGGGAATAGATGCGCGGAACGATGTTTTATATTGAAACTGAGAGAGGAAATGGAAACAAAAAATGTCAGCTGTGCACTATGCGGTACTGCCGGTGTGCTGCTGTATGCGTGCGAAATGCCATGGGCGGCAGCGGCGGCGGCGTGGCTAGGCCATTTTTTTAGTTCGATTTGGTTTTTTGATCATGCGTTTTCAGGTGTGTACGTATATACGTATGTATGTAAATGTGGTGTGTTGATTGCAATACCATTAGGAGTGTACGGCGGCTGCGGGTTGCTGATGGCCTCGTGGCCTTGTGGCCTCGTGGTCAGGGATTTGAGGAAAGTGGAACCGGTGCAGGAGAGCGGCGCGGGAGAACGAGTGCGGGAGAGTACGAGTGCGGGATGGCTGTGCATTCTCGGAGGGCCGGGGAGGGGAGAAGAAGGCAGGCAGGCAGTCTTAAGAGGGAAGCTGGAGGGAGGGCTGCGTCGCAACATATGCTATATATGTAGGCGTTTTGCGAGGCATGAGAGAGAGCTTGAAAGGCGGTATAATGCGCGTGTTCATCTCTGTTGCCCTAGTTTTGAGGGTAAAGTATTTACCAAGGGTGTATCTGTATGTATGTATGTATGCATGTATGTGTACGGCATGGTGTGTGCGTGCGCGCACGCATATATGTTTCGGCGAGAAAAAAAAACATTGCGCAGCCGCATGCATGGCTTGGCCTGTACGACATCATTGCGTTTGTGTTGAGGAAATCAATGGGGGATGAGACGAGACGAGATGGCGATCTGGTTAAGCATATTGTACGACAATTGGCTCTAGTACGATTGCATGTACCGTAAGAAAAGGCATAACGGACTTGTTTAAGAGGCTAGAACAATTCCTTCTTTCTGTAGACTGCATAATATGTCACGTGTACGGCACGTGTACGGCACGTGTACGGTAAACATACAGTGCATGTATGGTGCCCAGGTCGTTTACCCTATGGCTCCCGTATGGCTGAGCTTCCATCCTGGTGGTGTGCGGGGTAATACGTGTATGGCTTTCGACACCGCCTCCCCCCAAACGTTGCAAAGGAGGAAGTGAATGCAATTCCCAAGTAGGTGTTTGCGCGTTGGATAATGGGTCCATGTTTCGGGTTGGCATGCTGTTGGGACGATATCATCAAGACTAGTGTACGATCGTGTACAGCAAGTAGTTGTCTTATCCTTACGAAATTAGGACCGACGTGCAGGGCCTTATCCTTTTACGCCCTACACCGTGGCCATGTCCACCGGCGGCGATTGTACTTGTCGTACCGCTTAATGTCGTACGACCAAGTAGGTCCATGCAACCTGAGACGTTTCGTACTTGTACTGACATGTTGTCATATGATGATATGGCTTAATGCGACAAAGTTCGCTTTCCTTAGGTTTCGGACTTTCCCGCCGAAAATGTTTTGGTTTCTTTCCTAGCTGGTTTCCGTTGATGGTGTTGATGATGAGGGAGCCTGCATGGGGAAGTGAAGCTGCAAGTTCCACCAGTGGCACGAGCGGTGGGAGCCGTCAGTTAAAGCCTGATCCTGACGGGATGAGCTTTCCCGTGTTGTTTCTGGAAGGCGCCTAGACTGCCCTAGCCCTCTTAGAATACAGCGGCTACTGCAGCTGCAGCATATAGCTACAGCGGCTACTACCCATCAGTGCTGCTGCTGCTGCTGCTGCCGCCGCTACTACTTTAGCTCCTGCCAATGCTTTTTGCTGCCATTGCTGTCCATGTATGCTGTTTTGCTGTAGCTGCTGTCAATGCAGCAACAAGATGCTAGTACCATCTGTACGACCTAGTCCCTGGAAAGCTGCGGGCTGCTGCTGTAGATCCTTTCCTTTATTACACCAACAACAACCCTAAATTACAACAACAATAATAACCGTCTGGCAGCCCACGCTTGGGCCCCTTGAGGCCCAGCTGAGGCCCCTCACCACCACCACCACCACCACCACCACCAGCACCGAGATGCCATGTGCGTGTGGAGTGCAATCTGTCCTGGGGCCAAGATATGCATTCACGACTACATACTCACTCACCACTTTGCTAGTTTGCAGCCATGGTTTAGAGTTCGAACAGACACGTCGCATTCGATGCCTGAGTATGAACGGAGAGAAGAGGTTTGCGCTGGCTTTACCACCGCCGGCGCGCGTCGGTTTTTCGACCTCTCATAACAACGTTTCTTAGGAATCAATCGCGCTAACGCACCATCCTTTAAATAATGCCTTCGCATGGATGCCAGCATCAGATGGCTGAGGATGTCCGCCTTTTGAACCGTCTTGATAAAGGTATAAACCTTCTTTGCTCAAGCCGATGATGGGCGTCGCGGGATCAAGCCCCTACCTCAACACCGTTTTGTTTTCCGGCGGCTGCGGTATGAAGCATAATAATGAGATGCGCACAACCAGGTGTTGTTAGTTTGCTTGTACGAGGGGCACAGTAATCTCCCTGCCATCCTTATAAACTCCGAAGGGCTGAAATCTGGCTTTTGGTAATGTTGTGACGTTTTGTATATGCCGTTAGCTAGTAATTTACATGACGTACGGAGGGAGGGCCATGTTTCTGCCCTCCCTCTTGGTGCAACAGTTTGGGCTCTGGGATGAATTCTTTATGGGTTCACGCGCCGACGGGATGCTTTCGTATCTTTAGGATCTAGCGCAGCTTACAGGATCCAATCCTTTCTTTAGGATCCAACGCGGAGCAATCCAGGATCCAATATTGATATCCTGGAAAGGCGCAAAGTCGCATGACGTGCCCTAGTCGCCTGGGATTAGCGCGGCGGTTAGTGGGAGGTGGATTATTGTGTACGAAATACGGAGATAGAGATAGAGTGTGTGTGAGTGTATGTGTATGTGTGTGTGTGCCCTCACCGGATTAGGGGGCCGGCACGCTGAGCTGAGCTGAGCTGCTTTGGGGTGTATGAGCACAGTCAAACGATGCGAGGAAGGTCGGGTGTGGCAAGGCCATCCGCCGCCTCGCTTTCACAATCAAGGACGTTCTAAGTAAGAGGTTTAGCAAGAGCAACTTCGTGGCTTCATTCTTTTCACCGTTGCTGGTTAGAGGTTTTTATATATATCCTTACAGAGCGCCTGGAATCGACAGGACTGAATTTATGTACCAAATGGTGGATTATAAGGATTGTAGGCGCGGCCCTAACGGGCTAACAGCTCAATATTTATGAATGAAATGTTCCACAACTCTTCGGTAGTCGTAACACGCCTTACATCAACCACGATTGCCGCAACACAACTGAAATAGGTACAAGATGTAAGAATGTAACACCCTCTTCCCGCGTTTCCCCCGCTATTTTTTCGTTTGTTTTTTGGAGAGGATTTAAAAACCCCTTACCCCAAACCCCCTCATCAACCAATCCCCTTACTGCCCCTCTTAAGGATGCAAGTGCAATTCAGTTCCCGGTATCTCAGCCTCCGGGGGGCACAACCCCCCAAGTGCCCTTCACTCCCTCACGTCCACACCACCGCCGTCATCAGCCCAATAATAGCCCCACTACGCCGTGACCTACCCACCCACAGCAGCGGTATGGGGTTCCACCCGAGCTCCTCCGAGCCCAACACCACCTGCAGCAACCCGCCAGGGAAGACGACAGCCTCGCTAAGAGCCCGCATCGCCGCGGCCATGGCCGCCGCCCCCGTCGGCTGCTGCTGTTGCTGATGATGCTCAATGCCTGTGCCCGCAACCTCTCGCCCTTCGCCGGGCTGTAGGGCAGAGTCGCTGCAACTAGCGGCGGCGGCGGCGGCTGGTATGGCTGCGGGGCCTGCGGGGGCTGCGGCCACCTTGGCGCCCTTGGGAGGAAGAATGACCCGTGGTTCTGTTGGCGCCCCCCTCTCCTCAGCCGCCGCCGCCGCATCCTCCTCCATGTTCAGCCCCTCCTCCTCCCCGCCCTCCAGCTTACTGATGTGTTTGAGCATTACGTGGCTGCACTCACGGCAACATCGGCAAGGAGATGATAAACGGATGATACGACCCGAGGGAGGGGGTCAGCAGAGAGGAGATCGGCAGGAAATGGGTCCGGCAAATCGATATTTCCCTAACGCCCACGTTTCGTCTATATGCACGTTTCTGTCTGTCTTTATGTCTGTATAATAGGTCACCGTAAGTAAAAAGCACAAGGTGCGGCAGCCCAACAAGGGCCTCAATGAACCCATTCAACGACTCGGAGGCGAATTATTAGTCGGAAAAGCAAAGCACTCAGTGCTTGCCTATGTCTCGTAACGCTCACCTCAGAAATGCCTCTTGGCTGTCGAAGTGCTGTGGTGGTACCACTCGAGAAGCCAGCTCCGGAACCAAACCCAGGCTGGCCGCCACCTCCTTCCAACTCAGCGGCGTTGCCATCGCCGCCTCCAACGACCACCAACCGTCGCTGTTGCCGCTACTGCGACCGCTGCTACTGCCGTCCCACCCGGCGCCTCGCGTGTTAGCCATTTCCTGTAGGACCGCCGCCGTCGCTGAGGTCTCTTGCAGTGGTGGCTGTAGCAGTGACGTGACCCCAGATGTCAGCAGGCTCGGTTCCGACGGCGGGGCTTCGGTGAGCCGAGGCTCCAGGATTATAGGTACAACGTTGAAGTCCGATTCGCTGCCGTACCCGCCGTACAGCACTTGCCGAGTCAGCTCTGCAAGGCCCAAAAGGAGGTCTAGGTCCTGGGCGAGGCCCTGAGGACGGCAGCAGCCGGGGGAAAGAGCGAAAAGATGGATTGACAGAACTTAATGGGAGTTAGGATAAAAATCATATACATATAAACACGGGCAAACGGCCAACTGCCGGTGTACATACAAAAAATGAAGACGAGCAACTGTCAACTGCCAACTGCTAACTGCCGATCTAAGGAGGGAGGAAAGGAGGGAAGGGAAGCCGTCGAAAATGGTCATTGCGGTTTACAATTGTGTGCTCCCGTCCGCATGCTGGTGGTGGTGATGATAAGCGGGGTAGTCCACGGGGGGAGTTTTGGCGGGGTGGGAAAGAGAAGCAGAATCCAAACCATGTGGCCAATTGTATGTGGGCGCATATCTTAATTTTCTTTTAACATTTACCCCTCACATATTTTCCAATCCGCAGATCCGACTTTGCTGTTGCTGCTGCTGTCCGGATCGGTTAATCGCAATGCCGATTGGAGAGTCCAAACACGGCCCAGCTTGGCTCGCCTGTATGCACTACCCTACTACTTTAACACAAAGAAATGAATGCACCCCCCCCACCCCCCACCAACACCCCCCATCCCCCCCACACACACACCTGGGCCAGGTCCCGGGGAGGTGCCTGGACCGCCTCCGCCGCCTCCGGGCCCTCTTCCAGCGCCAAGAATTGGCCGTCCTTATCATACCACACCCCAAAGCACGAAAAGCCCAGAAAGGGAAAGGATGTCGATAAGACATGTACGGCAGGGTGCAGTACATTTTGGCGAAAACAGAACGTGCCGCGACCGCCATCCAAGACAGGCCGCCCCGTGGTGCTGTGGTGCAAAAGTGTCCATGATGGCTTTTTCAATATATATTTTTATTTTTTTTAATTTTCCGGTAACGGGAGGTGGGGATGATGTGCGAAATATGTGATAGTTGTTCCAACAGGGTGAGAGTCCAGCAGGCGTGAAGTGACCAGGCGCGAACGCTCTCGTATGGGATGTGAGCCTCGTCCCTCACGACGTCAGTGCATGGCAATGCTCATCCCAATTCCGTCTCTGGGTTATAAAAAATTAGACAACAGGGCAATCCTGGTAGAGAGCCAATGTGTGTCGTACTGCTATGTGTCGTACTGCCTTGCCTGGTGGGCGATGCCCACCAGTGGGCCGTCCCAAAGCCGCAGTGCCGTACGGAGGTTGTCGGGGCCGCCGGTCCGCTCTTGCAGCAGCCAGCGGCGGTGTTCCGCCTCCTCCTCGAACCGCTCCACCGGGTTGTTGCTGTATCCTGGTAGCGACATGACGGATACGCTGCGATAGCGAGATAGCATTTGCCAGGGATCCGAGCTTAAGATTGAAGTCGAGGAACACGAACGGGGTCGGGATTCAGAAGTAGCTGTTGGTCGTGTCGCTGATACGGTCTTTGAGGACTTCAGCGCGGGTGCGGGTGCGGGTGCGGGTGCTGCGGGGCTGGTAAGAAGCAAGGAGTGCAGGGGAGGCGAAGGTGCGGAGGAGGATGGTTCTTGGCCCGGCTTGTCAGAAGATGATTGGGTGTTGCTGGAAGAGAGGATGCAGCGAATCGCTGCAGAATGAATGGGCGCGCGTGGTAGGGCAGGGATTGCGGTTGGTGAGACGGGCGTTATCGCTGCAAGGAGAGGACCTCGGTGAAGTGAGAGGAGCTTTCCGAAGCACGCGGACGGGGGCTTCATCGAAAATTGTTTATATTGTGAAAATCGTCAAAGGATTAATTGTCCTAACGGAAATTCTGCTGCCGATGGTTCCGTAATACGACGTACTGTACTGGCGCGAAAGCAATGAATTGCGGTCTGTTCTGCAGGTTAACCAAGACTATAGGACGCCTAATGCTAAAAAGTAACTGGTACCGTAGCAATCCTGGCGCCCGACTCTCCCAGCCGGAACGTGGCTGCTGGGAAGAGGAAGCATGCAAGCGTTGGAAGCCCTGCCACCTTTTTGAGCCGAATTTTTCCCAGACTGGCATTATTATCGCCAACAACGCCCTCTACAGATGAGGTCCAGCAACTTATGGGCAGCCAGACACAGGCAATTCAAGAGCTGACGCAGAATGCCGAGACAGCCGAGGGACGTCACGACTGTAAGCGGCGTAGGCGAGGCCATGAAAGACTTTTTCTGGTACGTATTCTACACTTCTGACATATCCTAGTGAAAATTTCGATTTACTTAAGCGCCCTGTCCGATATCGTATCCCCCCGACCCCAGCACCGATTTTCTGTAACCGCAGAGCTCGGGCCCGCTGGGCTCGGGTGCCGCAGGGGTCCCACAAGAACATAGTCTAGATGTTTCGCAGCCGGACTGGTGGCAGCCGCAGCCCCGCGCGACGTTGGACCCCGACGATTACCAGGTAAGTACGGCGAAATACAAAATAGCAGCCGCACGACTCAGCAACTTCACATTTTTCCTTTTTCTTCCATAGGAACAACCCCTAAAATTCTCTCCCTTCCCCATGAAATGCTCGGCCCTGTCCGTGCTTCCGTGCCGCAGGACCGGCCCCGCACTTCACTGGTCGCCTGTCTTTCCTGCGCCCTTTGTCATCAGCTGCTTCAAGAGGCCATCGCCTCCCTGGAGTGCGGGCACACCTGTTAAGTGTTGCTTTCTTCGGGGGCCTGAGGCCTTGAGCAATAGCATAATTTTGGGCATGCAAGTGGGCAGGCAAGAGAAGAGGCAGGAACGCTGGATGTGGTTGGGACATGCTTTACCTGTTGACCGATTCCCTTCTGGCTGGGTGTTTGTGAAGGCTGGAAAGGGAATGAGCTCGCAAAATGATCCAGGACGACGCACCGCGGAGCGGGGAATGGGGATCTAGCCGTAGGGAACGGCACTGGAAAAGCCTTTTACAATCCTCCCCAATCTGTAATCCTGCAGCCCGCTCGTCACCGCCATAACTCCTATCCTTTACCATTGCAACTCTGTCCCGCGATGCGACCGATCGGCTGGCCTGTGCAGACTGTTACGATTGCATAGAGGCCCGGGTCGACATTGGTGGGAACCACAACGTGTGTCCCGTGGCGGGGTGCGGGGTGGTGCTGGGACCCAGTCCCTTCGACCACCATCGACTGGTCTACGACACGCTGCTGGACAGCCTCGTCCAGAAGGTGAGCGATCCCGCGTTGGTGGGAAACGTATATATGTATATGTGTGTGTATGTATGTATGTAATTCTGGGGAAGCGTGGTGGGGATGGAGGTAGGAAGGGTTCAATGACATGGGGCATCGTTGGGGGCGTGCTACAAGTTGCGACCAAGCTGACGGCCACGGCGAGGGCGGGGTGATTACATGCCTGTCTACGTGTCTCTTCAGCCAGCGAGCTGCGGCCACCGGCGCACTTCCCGCATCCGCAGATATTTCCACGTCCCGACCTGGATGCGGCCCTTTCTGCCCGACGCGCTGACCGCGAGGAGGCCACCCGCCTGGCTAGGGCCGAGGTCAATGGCTGTACCGGTCGAGGACGCCACCACCACCAGCAACAACAGCATCAACAACAACAACATCACAACCACCATCACCAGGAACCGCAGCAGCAGCAGCTACACAAAAAGAGTTGCACGGATGGGGGAGAGGAGGGCGACGATAAGGGTAGGCCAGATGGTGGGTTGGCAGAGGGTTCGGACAGGCGGGCATGGCTTACATGGCTAACAACGGGGCCGCATCTCGGCGGCCGCGGAATTGGAGCAGCTGTTGCGCCATCTGTGCGTGCGTGTCTACATATGCAGCTTGTGTATCTGCTGGTTGTCTTTGCTCTCGCGGAACTGCTGTACTCTTATTTCTCACCGCCAATCATGGCACGAGCAATGTTCATGTAACGGCCATCCTATATTCCCATCGTAGGCATGAATGCGGCGTCCCGCCGACACGCTTCAGGTTGAGATATGGCAGCAGTACCAGCAACATCAACATCCGCAGCCGGCCGAGGCGGAGGGTTACGGCACCAGCACTGACGCATTCGACTGCAACTGTTGTGGCAGAGTCCGACCGCACATAACTGCATATAACTTCAAACCAGCCGCGGCGTGAGCCTGTATTTTTCCTTCCTCTCTCAACTTTCAGCAACTTTCAGCAATAGAGACAGCAACTGGGCTGTCAGATGTAGTAACAGCACTGGCTTAGCTCTTCCATTGCGCGCGTGTGCGTTCGCGCACAAAGCGGACTTGTGTGCAAAATAGCGATACAGCAAAGGCAGCAAGGGCGAGGGGCGGCCGAGGATGCCCTTGGGAAGATTCATCCCTGCACGGGCGTGTTCACGCGCGTGGCCGGGAGTATTACCTTCTGCAGCTGACCCAATCCAGTGGATGTGGGCATCTGTTTGTAGTTTACTTTGCCTATCAACTAGCCAGGGTTCTGTTGTCAGTCCTGTGGCCTCGGCGGCATGAGTTGTGGAAAGAGAGGCGTTGCCGTCGTTTTGGCTGCAAAGTCATCATTATCATCACTGTGGCGCGCTGTTAGTGCTATTTTTCTGTAGTAATCAAGTTCGTGTGTGTGTTACGTGGCTGAGGGTGTTAGGGTGGTGCAAGGGCAAGACCTGAACGCCTAAAAGCCTGTAAAAAAGGAGATACCGCACTGCGCACGAGCCCAGTCATTATGGAACAACCCCATGACCTGCGATTTTCTTAATCATGGCGTGGCTGGGCGGCTTAACGTGGGACCTGTCACTTAGTTCGTACTGGTAAAGAAGTTGCAACGCCGTCTCCTGGATATGGCAACAATAGATCGCGCATGCAGATCTGTCTGGGAAGAATTGAAGCGTCTCTTTTTCAGCGGAGGCTGAACTACGCACGACCCACAATACGACTCGGAATACCATTTTGGGGTTCTGACGGGGCTGCGCTGTTTGGCTTTTGTTTCGGCCGCGGCATGTCAGAGTGTTCTAGGATAGACATATCCTTAGGCTACGATGTGCGTTTTTTCCTTGAGATCCTTTTAATCCTTTGTTTTGCCGTAAACTGACGTAAAAGGACAGACAGCCGTGTCACCAAGCCAACGACTATACATGTAAGGTCACGAGTCGTAAAACTGATGTGTGCGATGGTTTCAACGCTGACGGGGGCCATGCATAACGGCGATGACTCGTGGCTGAGAGTAATTTTAGCACATTCAGTGTTGATCAGATATTATACTGTATTCAGCTATAACTCCATAGAGCCCGGTGAGCCCAATACTAAGGGCCTTGCTGAGAACAATTTAGCAGTACCGAGGCAGCCTTTGGACATCGACCCCGTGGTAGAGCCTTTGTCTCCTTCTCATAATTAAATACCGACCGACCCACATCAGGTCCCCATTCGCCTGTCTGGATACCCCCAAAAGGACACCATATGAAAACAAAAAAGGATTCTTAAGCGTCGATTACGATCCTGAATGCATACAGCATATTATCTCAACCATACCGATCATCGCAGCACATACCATAACCGCAACCCATAACCTTATGCGCGTAATGCGCCATTCCTAATTCTATTTGGATGAGAATTACGTCCAGAAATCAACGGAAATGAATGAGGCAAAAAGCTAAAAAGGTAGCTGTTTGAGAGCGCTCCGCCATGGCATGTCAAATCATGCCATCAAGAAGGATGATGCTTTGCTGGCCGCCGAAAGACGTCCATCACCACCTGCCGTCTCCGAAAACACATACGGGCAGGGACACGCATGTGCCGTCTTAATCTGAAAGCAGACATGTGCGTAGACGTCAGCTATCGAAAGCACCGGCCTGCCGTATGCAGGACAAGATGTTGTACAACACACATTACAACATCTGCACGCGAAGAGACACGGGAGGTGTCAATTTCGATTCGGCCGCACCATACGGGCTTCAGGCCCATCCAAAGCGTCCCGGGCACTATTCCAGGACATTAGGATTTATGGAAACGATAGGAACAGAAGAGTGGAGAGAAAAAGGAGAGGGCACGAGGGCCCAGTTGGGGACTCTCCCTCTTCTCCTTGTGCTCCGGATAAGGATGAAGCCCCGGGCAAGGCCAAGCAACTGTAGAATTACCGTTCCTCTTCCCTCCCGCTCCTCTCCCGCTCCCATACCAGTGCACACCATCGTGATGTGTGCACACTATGTTGCCCGCGGCTGGGCAGCCGGTTTCCCCCTAACTTAATAGCTAAGATGCGAGAGCTATGGGAGGAGAGATGGTGTAAATACACATCGCCACAGTAGGTACGTTGGGTAGGACGCGCAGCCATGTTTCCCCCATCCACCGGGGCCACCATGCCGGCACCACCACCACCACCAAGCCAGGTTGCGCACCATGCGTACCAGCAAGCCAGGGAGTCGGCACAAAACGTTAGGAAGAATGGACGATGTGCGTGCCTATATCTCCCCCTACTAGGCGAACACTAATAATCACGGCCTCCTAGCTACAGCTAACCCAGATGCCGGCGACCATCGGCTGAAATCAATCTAAAGCCTCTCAAAAGGACGAAGGACAGGAGTACAGCCTATAATCGAAAAGCCACAGAAAATCCTGGCCTAGCTTGATCCGAAACTCTTCGTTGCCAGCGCAATTGTGGCGTTGCGGCTGCTGCCGTGGAACCGCGCAGTTCAGGTGCTGCTGACGCCCCTGTCCCAATACAGTTACTTCTTGCAGGGTTGGGCTGTCCGCACGCGCCGTATCATACCTCCTCTCACCGTAAGCGTGCCACGTAAGCAAGTAAACAAAAAACTAAAAAAAACTAAAGACCTAGAAACGCTTACAACGTAATCAACATACCTACCTAACATCGTCAACGCAGCTATTTCCTCTCACAGTCATGCTTCAAGTAGCGCGATCATGCTTGTTTCTAATGACCGCTGCTATCTCTGTTGCTGCCGCTGCCGCCACCGCCGCTGTCAGCGCAGCACTGCCTAACCCTGTTAGCGTCCATCCAATCGCAATCTACTCGTCCCAAACTCAAACGGGTTGAGAAAACCAAGCAACAAATGGCATGCGTAACAATGAGCGGATTTAGCCGTACACAACCATGACATTGCCGCCCTGCCATTCAATACCAGAAAATGATTAAACCAGCAGCTGCGCTCTCGATCCCGACAGTGACTCTTCTTCACCATTGCCGTGCCAACCCATACTGTTGTCGCGCATAGTCGTCGGGACAGGCAGGGCACGAGAAGAAGTGGAAAAACAAGCCGAACCCCTCCTGCACATGCACACGACACGCAAGCACTTCCAAGGTGCTGGGCAAATTGCGGCTCAAGACATCTCGCCACCGCCGCCGCTGCATTGCAATGTCTTCCCAGACAACGTCCCTGTCGAGATTTCCAGGCCTCCTTCCAACGCGACTCACCCGCCGCCAAGCTCTGCAAACCGTTTTCCATGCTTCAATACTTACACACGCCACTCCTTGCGAAAAGAGCGCAACTCCGTACGGAGCTCCTTTCCTGAAGCCATCCATGCTGAAGTCAGGAGCTCTGGTTCACCCAGAGAGGGGGTTGCCGCCCCTGCCGCCCCGCCGTGGCCCCCGTCACGGCCAGTACCGCCTTGCGGCCCTTCCCCCCCTTTTATCGCACCGTTCAGTGCTGATTGCTGTGCTGGTAGGATCTTCGCGGCTGGTTAGACGAGCTGACTTGATCGTCGTCTATGAGCTGCGCCTGGGTGCTGGCGGTAGGCAGGGCGCAGGGGCGCGTGATGTCCGGCAGGCTGCAGCCCTCAAAGTCCAGTGCCACACGCTGACCCAGGGCCCGCACAATCGCGTTGCGGCCCCGAGAGGTGACAGCCTGGGGGGGGGGGGTAAAATAAGGCGCGTGTACATCGCGACTGGGTGATGCTCGCCGGGCGCAGGGGCATAAATGAAGAGCCAATAAAGAGCGCGAGCATGGTACAGTAGGGCACAGCGCATAGAAAAGCACCGGGCAGGCGGTGAAGCAAGCAACGGAGCAACGTGCGGCGCCCTTGATGGATAGCATGCAGCAAACCGTAGCATAGCGCCCAGTGTGGCAATTGCTCTTAAAGGCCCTCCGTCCAATTCACTCGTATTTGCCTTGCCTTTGTACTCTCCGTCCTGCCGATCCCGACCGCTAACCTGTGTTGCTGCCACACTGTTAGTCAAAGAGGGCAGCGAAACCACCTATTACACCCCCAGACCCCCACCCAAGTGGCCCCACCTCGCAGTGCAGCACGGACAGGTCCTGCAGGCCCGTGTGGCCTGTGAGCGCCAGCAGCACCTTATCGCTCATGGAATGAACATCCTTAATCTATGGGCAAGGCACATGTTGCAAAAGATAGTTAATTTAGGAAGAGCCCAACTTTAAACCAAAATTCATCATTTATAATTTCATCGTCCAGACTTTCAATTTGCTCCCGTTGGTGGAATTGGAATCTCAGTTGGTCAAACTGTGAAGAAATATCAGCCCGCATGGAACAAACAGGGTGCTTACAGAAAGTGAATCACAGACTCGCGCAGCAGCCCACGACACACCGTACCCAAAAATGGCATTAATGTGTATGGTCCGCAAGGGACTGGGTGGGCTGCAAGGGACTGCTGCAACCCAATACTCGCACAGCCCGCTAAACGCACGACGGGGTGCATACCTCAAAGCGAGTGAGCTGCGTGAGGGCGCCAAGGCCAGCTGCCAGGGCGCCTTCCCCGGCGGTGTGAAGATGCTTGAGCGTTAGAGAGCGCAACTCGTGAAGACCCGACAGCGAGGTCAGGAAAGTCCCTGGCAGCCGGAAGCCGTATGGGGTGGCGTGGCAGGCGCGGACGGAATCGACAGGGGAAAGGGATGGACCCCATACGAGATCTGGGGAACAAGGCTAGGAAACGGAAACAGTGATGTGAAATGGGGGTTGGCGGTCCATGATAGACTGTAAAAGAATGGACAGCAACATCCAAAACGGGAAAGCAGAGCGAGCGACTCGCCGAAGCTGACAACTCGCCGAAGCGTGAAAGGAAAAGCACCAGATTCCTCCCCTACCCCAATCCAAACATATTTCCCCCCCCTTCCTATCTCCCCCTCTCACATGCCAACGCATGGCATGGGGACCTGAAATGACCGCACAGCTCACACGCACCGGAGATCTCCTCGTAGCGCCGCACAATGGGCTTCTGCCTCATGTACGCCTGTGCCGCATGCACCGACAGCTTCCGCAGGCCCTTGACCCGTAGCGACGTTAGATTTGGCAGGCGGCCCAGAGCCCGCAGCCCCACATCGGTGACTAGGTGCAGGCCGCTGAGGGACAGCTCACGAAGCCCTGACAGCTCGCACAGCTGCGTCAGCTCGCCATTCTAGGGGTGGGGACGTGCAGTAGGGGTCAAGAGGGTATTAGGATCCTATCATGGGAAGAAAAAAAAAGGTCACAGGAGGAAGGGAATTGTTGATTGGGCAGGGTTACCGGAGAGTAGACATCCCGTAAAGCAAGCGAAGGTGCGTGAATGGGCGTAGGTATTATGAAGCGCCCTCCAGCAGCAGTAAGTGTCCACAGCCGGCCAGGATGTGGGGGTGAAAGCAATCAGCCTGGGCTACCCACCAGCAGGCAAGCCCTAATTGCGAACGAACAAACAAACAAACGCATGTAGATTGCAGGCATCAGTTTCTTAAAGTCATGCACGCAGCACGCAAAAACACCACCGCCGCACTTCTAGCGCCAGGCAGTTGTCGAGCGTTAGCTGGCGAAGGCGAGGAAACTGTCTCAGCAGCGGCACCAAGCTGCCATACAGCAAGAAGAAGCACGCGTCCAAACAGAGCTCCTGGAGCTCCATCTCAGGCAAGTTGCTGTGCATGGCGCCACCGACGCTAGAAACAGGCGTTGAAACGCTGGCGCTGCCGCGGTGCGCACTGCCGCTGCTGCAGCGGCGATCCACGCGAGGCGGCCCTTCCACGGCTGCTGCGCTGTCCGCGGCTCCGTGTCGGTTCACGCGGGGCGTAACCTGACGCCGGCTTGCGTGCGCTCCCCCGGCGTTGGCAGCGCCGCCACCGTCCGCTGCATCAGCCAACATGGACAGCCGTCGAAAGTCCGCGTTTGCTGCACCGTCGTATTTCCCAGCGCTACCAGTAATAGCCGCTGCGGTCGCCATGACGGCGGCGCCGCCTCCGGAACCCGACGGGCTGTGGGCACCACGGAATCCCACTTCCTCCTCACTGCTACCGCCGTCGCTGCCGCCGCCGCTCTCATTTTCGCTGCTGTCCCCGGCGATAAGCGTCGCCGCCGCACCGCGACCGCCGCTTGATGGCTCGACGGCAGCAGCAGCTGCACCGCCGCCGTCGTTTTCAACGATGCGCCTCCGGAGGCCTCGTTCCGGAGATGCAGCAACGCCACCGGCGCCCCTGCTGCCGCCAGCTGCTGTTACTCCGGCGCCCTCCGCGGCCTGGCCGCCGCCGTTGGCGCCACCGCCCAGGGGGGACGGGCTGCCGTCGATATCGCGTCGCCGCCGCAGGCCCCGGCCACATGGCCTGCCAGCGCCGGCATCCGTTGCAGGCGCTGGCGTCCCCGCTGTGACGCAGGGCTCCTGACGGTCCACCGTCGTCACGTCCGCATCCACAATACCCGCAGGCGCAAGTACGAAGCGCCGTCCCTGACCTAGATCCGCTTCTGCGCCACGCTGCAACTCACGCGAGCCGCCGGCGGTGTCCACGTCCGCGGCTGGTGGTCCTACAGCAGTGCCTGCAGCAGCGGCTGCTGCTGCTGCGCCGGCAACGTCTCGCACACGTGCGGCCGCTCGCCATCCCGCTTCAGGAGGGCTTGCCAGCGCGGTGCCAGCGGCTGCGGCGCCGCCGACACGCAATGAATTGGATCTAGGACTGTGTAGGTTGTCGTTGGACCCAAGCGGCCCGAGATCCAGATCGTCGGACAGCGGCTCCGGCAGAGGTGATGGCTCCGGGACGCCCTCGGGCAGTACCAAGTTGAGCGCCGTCCAGTATAGGCGGATGCGCAGGGAGCGTAGGCCCGGATTCGGGTGCACGTCAATCACACCGCCGGACCTGCGCCGACCCATAACACAAACGCATGGCACACACGTCTCGTCACGGTTGGGTTCAGACGTGTTTTATCTCCGCCGTCTTGGACTATCTCCCATGTATGCCTCTCACGGCTCATTTCCGTAAACACGCAGCATAAGGCCACTTGGCCACTATACGACCATTATGAGCGCTACATGGCCACCACGAAGACACTCTGAAGGTGTGCGCGAATAAAACCCTAAGTGAGCCCACTGCGGCACACGACGGTGTGTCGTCCAACCGGCCAGCGAACCTACAGGAATCCAGGCCCCCCCAAAAAAGGCTGTCTTCCTGAGATTTAATCGCCAACCACCATACGCATGTGCGATCGAGCTCGCCTTACCCACCTGCTTCGGTCACTGGACACGAAGAGCGAGTCCAGGTTGGGTGGCGCTACCACCGTCACCATGAGCTCCTCGTCTGAGGCGCAATACAGGTCCAGTGACAGGCTGCGCAGAACAGCGAGCTCAGCCAGCGCGGGCAGGCCGGGCTTGAGGCACTCGGCGGGGGCACGGAGGTCCAGGGAGGACAGTCTGCAAGGGAGACGAGGGGGGGGTAATAAGGAAGATGAACATAAGAGGGGGCCGCATTGTACACCTGGGGGGGAGTGACGAGCTGAGCAAAACGCAAGCGTGACATGAACATAACTGCTGAAGTCAATGGTAGCAGCACTGTCGGCCAACGCGAAGATTGGTGGCAGAAGACTTGTGACCTATGGGCCTTCGGCTCGTCTAGTGCCTGCACGGTCCGGTCCCCGGTTCTCTTCATAAGAAGAGCTCTCACCATGTAACATAACATGCAAACATACATACAAACATACACGCACCTGCTGAAGCCCTGCCAACACAGCGTGTCTGGTTGCTGGAGCACCTTGGTGCTGCTCGTCTTAAAGGTGAGGGACTGCAAGACAGGAACACGTTTCAGGTCACGCCGGGAACAAGACAGCAGGGCGGCGCACAGACAGCAGCAAGTAAAGAACATTAGTACCTTGTAAAACAGAACCTGAAGGCACAAGACGCGCCAAAATCGCGCAGTAGTCAGGCAAGACCGATATTTCAAGACCCACAAACACACAAACTCCAACAGACAACAACGGATAACCTCAACTCGTGGATCCACTGCAACGTCATTCATTAATACAATAGCAGGCATATCCCAATCCGTTGCTTCTTTCCATACGCCCCTTCTTTTCCCCACCTGCAACTCAGGCAGTCGGGTGCAGACGGGCAGGAACTCGGACGCGCAGCTGCTGTCGCTGTTCACCAGGAGGGCAGTCAGGCCAGAAAGCCGCTCAAGGGCCTGTGGAATCCGCACGTCAGCAGGTCGTAAGATAGGACGGCATGGGGGGGGGGGAACACGCGGCAGGATGGGCCCTCAACGGACGGACGCTGAGTGCGGGAGGTCTTTCCGATTAGAACAAGCAGGGCGGCAACGGCTGTGGCAACGGCACAGACGACAATAAGAGCGTGCGGGTTTCCTTTGTTGCCTTAACCATATCATTGACTTCCCCCCATTTACCTCCGGATTGGCGAGCTTCTTGACAGCGAGGCAGCGCAGCCTTCCAAGTGGCGCCAGGGCCTCAGGGGCAACCAGCGTGTCCAACGTGAGGTCCGTCAGGTTGGGCAAACAGGCGATCGCGTCGGCGGTCAGGGCGGGACAAAGGTCCGCCTAGAAAAGGGCAAGCGGGGACAGAAACGTAAAACAAAGGAAAAAATTAAAATAGAGTGCCGTGCGGCAAGGGCAAGGCCAGGAAATACTAATTATAGGGGGCAGGTGAAGCTGATGGCAAATGCGTCGCGAGGCGGTTGCGAGGCGTGTGGAGGCATGCGGAAGAGGCAGAAGAGGGACTGCAGCCCAGCTCTACGAATGGGTCACGTCCATGTCACCAACGGCATGCGGACCCGCAGATGCAGAGAGCAAATGCAGCTAACAACTTTGTGTTGGCAGCATGGAGTAGATGGGGGCAGGGAGCGAAGTGCAGATGTATTAACAGAACTTTCAGTTTTACAGTGTCGGGCTGAAGCGACCCGGTACAACTAAGCGCATTGACAGCAGGCAGGGCTTGCGGAAAACTTGTTTCGTGCATATTTGTTTTCATTAAAAAGACACACACCTGAAGCTTGTTGAGCCGCTGCAACACGTCGCCAAGTCCGCCAAAGATTCGCGACGCGGGCGACAGCGGCGGTGACGAACCTGGTGAAGCTGCTGCTCCCGACCCCCCTGCCGCTCCGGAGGCCCTGCCAGTACCAACGCAGCCGCCAACACCAGCGCCTCCCGCCTGGACGGGAGGTGACGTACCAGCAGCCGCGTCCTGCAGACCCCCGACGTCGCATCCGGTTGTATCCTGGGGTTTGCGTTGCTGCGGCGTCGGCGGTGAATCGCAGACGGAGGGAGAGCCACCCGTGGCCTCGCCGTCCCCCGCCGAGCCCGCGGCCCTGGTGCTGCTTGGTCCTGCAGTAGCAGGCAGCTTTTGTCCTGTACCCGTCGGCGACTGGCCTGGTGACCGGGCGCCACTCCCGCCATGCCCTGTCTGCATTCCCCCCCGCGCTCTTGAACGCGTGTGGCGTTGCGGGAGTAAATGCGGGGTGCGCTGGTCCGATACAGCCCTGGCCGTGCCAGGCCCTCCGGCTCTTCCCTTGCCTGCGGCGGCTGCAGCTGTGGCCGCAGCGGCCTCCCCCTCGACAACATCCCTTGCTCCAGCGTTCGTGGTGTCGTGGTGGTTGTGCTTTAGGGCGATGTTAGAGAGGCACAGCTCCCGGAGCGCCGTGAGCTGGCGCAAGGGGGCCAGCATACGCGTGGAGAGGCCCTCGACGTGCGACAGGTTCAGCTGCGTTAAATTCGGATAGAGCGTTGCGAGCTTGCTGAGGTCGACGTCGGGCCGCTTGGGCGTTGCATCTTTCAGGCAGTAACGTGCGGAACGGCTCCAGTCTTTGCAAACCAGTTGTACGACAACAAACTGCTTTGCGGTCAGCGTTCGCACAATTACGTCAAAAAGTCCATCTGGAGGAGCCTGCCAGCTACGGAAGGGTGGCGGTGGTCCGTCCTCAGCGCAAGGGCCGTCTCCTGTCCGCTTCGGCCGGGCTTTGCTCCGAGGCTGGCTCATTCCACCGCCTTGCCGCAGCAGTCACGGTCTGCCCGGTTAAGGTCTTAGCAGTCAACCTAGTGAGTTGATATATGACATCAACAGGCCGGTAGCGCCGATAGCTACAAAGATAACCTTGCCGGTCACAGCTTGAAAGGAGGGGGGTTTGCCAAGAGACCAACGTTACGTGGACAACACAAACGCTCTTACGCTATAGAAAATGAAAACATATCATACAGTAGAGCGGCTGGGTCCTTTGCCGTTATTGACAATGGTTTCGCTTTTTTTACGACGGTCCCATGCAACAAGGGATGCCAACCTACTTTTCCGATTGAAAAACCACGTCTACCTTTAACCTGTCTTATGACGATTATAGATGCGGATTGCTTTGCACCTTAATATAGAAACAGTGTTTGTTACCTTGCACAAATTGGGAAATACGCATCGAAGCCGAACGCGATGTTGACTTCAGGCTAATAAAAAGGAGTATTTAGCTTTAAGATTACAAGCTATACGTAACGAAAACTTCTTGCATACGGCAGGACATCTTTCAATTGGTCTTGCTAACTTTGCTGGCTTTAAGTTCTACACTTTGAGCGATCATGCTGCCCACGGAAACCCAGCGGGGAGCCTACGCTCCAGGCACGAGTACGTGATGTAAAGGCCGTGCCGCGGTGCACATGTCGACTGCAGTGCTTTTTGCCCACCTTGGCGTTACGGGATATCGTGCATGCTCATCGCGGGATGAATATTACGTCCATCTTGGCATGGGCCCCTGCTTTGTGTTTTGCCTTGGAATGTCGGCTCAACACCTGGTCACACGCCACCCCCATTTCCCTGGGTCGCAACTCCCATCTCCCTGGGTCCAACTGGCACGCAGCGAAACGTAGTACAGTCAACATGTACGACAGTGCCGCTTCAAAGTTCGAGCCCGTCCCGGACGGCCCCTACGAGGCGCCTGAGATTACCTCACAACCGGCTGGGCATGAGCACTTTGACGCTACCCGCGAAATCAAGCTCAAAGAGACATACGGCAGAGAGCTTCCCGTCACTTCGTACAGGTGTGCATCGCGTAAGCTTCTGGAAGAGCAGGCATTTCTCCAGGACCTGACAGCGGAGCACGTCAAATCGGCCGCGTCATACAGCAATTTCGCATGCCATCCGGTGAAGCTATGACCCTTCGACCAAGGCCATTCGCGCGCCGTTGCGCGCGGTTCTGTGCTAAACCAAAACCAACTTCCTTTCGAAAACATCCAGCTCTTGCCTTACGCGCGCCCTTTAAGTGCCGGGCACCTTCACCACCACAGCCCCAGCTGGTCCATGCCAGGCGCATACGCATGTCCTGGAATTTTATCCTTTCCAATTGCGTTGCGCGCCAGCCTGGAACCTCCGGCATTGCACCAACCGTGCATGCCGTTCGATGCACACATCTTTACTTACAGCCTGGTGAAGCTGGGATGTGGGTCATCTGGTTTTGTACGTCCCCGAAACGTCCGTTTCCCACTGTCGCATGCCATTTAGCCAAAGGTTTCGTAGCTGCTGCAAAGCTCCTTGCCCTTGCCTCCTTCCGTCCCAGCCGCCTTCCTGTTGTGGCCGCCTTCTTATTGCACCCACATTCCTCCGTATGCTTCGATCTATAATATATGAATGGAATCTAACTCTTTCCCGTGTTCCCGCCGTGTCCTGTCGTACAACGAAACCCGCAACCTCAGGGACCACTACCCCCCCAAGGAGTCCCTGCAGCCCGGGGAGCCCCTAGAGCTGGCCAGCAGCGGCGCGCCGTTCACTGCCCGTACGACATACGACGATGAGTTTTATAAAAAGCCCCGCATGCCGCGCCCTGTTGAGCCGTTGACGTACACCCATCGGCCGGGGCCCATGATTACGGTACGTTGCCTGCCTGCTGACGGCTGTTTTCGGTACGGTTGGAAACGGGGCGGTTATCATGTCGTGCGGCTGTATTTGTCATATGGGTTCATTCAACACCAACCACCGTTTCTATTTGCGTTTGCGAAGGCCGATTCTAGGAGACATAGCCCAAGCTCACAACTCCGACCAATTGGTCGCCGTTGCAACGGACACAGCACACCAACCCAATCCCATTGTTCCAAAATGACTTCCAACCAACAAGCCTGAAGTACGCTAGTCCAAACTCAAATCCAAACCTCAAATTTCGTGCCCGTGAACCCAGCCCATAGGCTTGGGAAGCCTCGACCCCAAAATTTCAGCCCGGCAATGCAGCTCCACTCACACCCCTAACCAACCCACAACCCTAACCAACCCTAAACCCTAAACCCATACCTCTCCTCGCAGCGTGACACCACCAACCAGGACACCTACCGGCCCTTCGAGGTGCCTGTGGAGCCCGTGGCGGTGGCCACCCGAGATGCCACCGCACCGCCCCCCAACATCCCCTCCATCTACGAAACCACCTACCGCAAGCAGTACGTGCCCAAAGCGGGGGAGCCAAGGGTACCACCAGGTAGGCCTGCGTGAGCGGACCGCGCGTGTGGATGTATGAATATCTATCTTGGAGATGTGGGTTTAGCTGTGGATTCAGAGCCACGGCGGTGCGTATGAAGGTACATGGACGCTAAAGGGTTCGGACCCCGGGGTATCCCTTGAAGGAGGAGCGTCTCTCCCTCTTTAGAGCCGTTGTTGTTCCTTCCGCTATACCCCGCTGAACATGATCCTCTCCAACATCACCCAAACTCCCCATTAGCCCAACTTCACGAACCAACGAGCCAACCCGTGCTTCACACCGTCCGTCAGGCGCCATCCCGCCCAAGGACCCTCTTCCCTGGCTCAACGACGGCACTACCTACCGCAACGACTACGTGCCCAAGCCGCTGGTGCTGCTGCCGCCACCGGACTACGACCCCTTCAACCCCGTTCCCTTCGACGCGACGACCGAGTACCGGTGAGGGCGGTTTTTCTGCGGGACGGTGCCTCCACTGCATGATTTTAAGAAGAAAAGGCCACCGCATTTCGGGCGGGTTTCTTGCGCCAGCTGGTGTCTGGGGTTGTACGCGGCCCTTAACGAAAGCGTAGAGGAGGGACCGAAGAAGGTGCTAGAGGCGCGAGCAGGGGGGGTTTCGGGTAAAAAAAGATGGGCGGGACCTGATGGGGCCTGGTTAACCTGAGTGACTTGGTCAAATGGCTGTTGATAACAATTGGACAATAGGTCCAATTCCGAGGTCTTTAGCGAATTCAGATGGACTTCACAATGAAGTCCCGGTTTTTGGCAGAGTTCTTTAGATGTTGCGGGGTGTTAACCTCCCTCGGCCCAAGAGCCATCTGACGGTATGGTACCTGGCTACCTGATGGCCAAGGGTCGTTTGCAGCCATTCTCATGATGTGGAGTTTGAACCTGGTTTCCCTCTGTCGCTGCTTTTGACTGGCCCTCTGGCGGAAGCCTGGGCGGCCGGTGCACCATACGTAGCCTTGGTGTCAACTGCGAGCATGGAAGTCCGTAATTTTTCTTACCATCGTGGCGGAAAATTTGGTCGAAAGCCCGACTTGCCCCAAATCTGATGTATTGCTCTCCTGTCGGCTATCCTGTCTGGTAAAAGCCCCCCCATGCACAATCTCTCCAATCTCTTCCCTGCCTATATGTTTACTCAATATGTCCATGAGCACCAACTCCCTCGGCAACCCATTCACATGCATGTGATCTTGTACTGTAGCCACCGATCACCTCTTTGCGTGCGCTACGCATCTCAACCCCGCATCCACTCCATTCAGTGCCGAGTACCCCGCGAAGGAGAACCCGCCACAGCTGCCCCCGCTCACCGGCGTGCGCTGTCGAGATGGACTGGCGCTACCCCTACCCCGCCGCTCCCTCGGCGTGGAGTTCGTGCACCGGGGCAAGACCGACCATTACTTTGTGCTGCTGCCACGCACCATGGAAGCGCCGTGCTCTGCGAGACAGGTCTTCACGACCGTGCATGACAATCAGGAGCAGGTGTGTTGGGCTTGGCGCTTTGGTGCTGCGGCTTGCGAGTTGCTGCTGCTCGGGTTTCCCGGTCCGGGTCGGTGTGAATGTCCGGGACAGTTGCGGGGCTGATCGGTGCGTCTGGTTGTGTTTGCGAGCGTGCGTGTGCTTTAACTCCAAATAACTTAGTACATAAAAAGCATATGTACAACCTGCGCCATACAACTGTAACAGGCAGCATTCAGGACAGCATCAGTCAGTATTTTGCGGAAAAATCAGAGCAGCATGAGGAGTTTGATCTGATTATTGTGCGTGAGGAGGTTGTGCCACCACACTTTTGGCAGAAGGCATTATGATGTAGTAAAACGGTCTTCCCTGCACCGTGAATTGGATAGGTCGTGTATCACCCGGCAGGCTCTTTAGATGGTGACTGAAGTGCGCTCCCCTACCACCTCTCTCCACTAGTGACCATCACCGCCTTGATCCAACGAAGAGGTCTTCGGGCTCCGCCCTATACTTTCGGTGCAGCTCCCTAACACGTTGGTGTATAGAAAATGGTTATGGAAAACATTCCGAGCTTTTAACGCGACTGTTACTGCTTCTATTAAGAGAGGAACTTGCTTTGTTTGGCTCGCATCCTCCCAGGCTTGTATTCTCATCCTGTACGGTGATGACCCGGTGGCGTCCAACAACATGTTGCTGGGCCAGTTTGACATTGTCAACATTCCGCCCGCACCCAAGGACGTGCCGCGAATCGAGGTGCGGGCCGGGAGCTGGGACAGATCGAGGCGAGGGTTTGGGGAATCGGGACGGGGTTAGCAGGAATGGGATTTTGCAGCTGATGGCTAGGATGGTGTGGGATGGGGGTCTGGCTTACGTCTGCAGCAGCGGAGGGGGAAAAGCAAGGCCCACCTGCTTTTGCAGCTTTGCAGGGGCGAGAGTCATGAGCCAAGAGGCCCCGGCTGGGTCCTCCTTGCGAGGGCTTTGGATGTCCACATAACCTCTCCACTTCGCCTCTCACTAGTAAAATCCCATCCCGCCAACTCTGCCGAGCCGCAGGTGACCTTCCGCCTCAGTCACGACTTGTTCCTAACGGTCGAAGCAAAAGATCTGGACACGGAGCGCCACAAGCGATGGTGGGTGCAGAGGGGCGCAGCAGCCTTAGAAGGGACGTAGAAGGGAACAATCGAATCCTGTTAAACCCAAACCGCTAAAACCCTATATACGCATTGTAGTGCTCTGCCAAGCAAACTGGCAGAGGCCTTTAAGGCTGCCAGATAAGGCCCACAAGGACCTAAGAAACCGTGCTACACGAAGGCCCTGGCCTAGTGTTGGGATGTGAGCAGCAAAGGCCCCTGGCCGTCCCATGTGTCTTGTGCCGTATTTGTTCGGCTGCCTCGCATCGGTTTATTCGCAAATTTTCATGCATGCTCCTCCAGTTATCTGTCTTCGTTCCCCTTCCCATCTCCATCTGCACCTTTCCCAAACCATCCGTCTTTGCATTCGCCCTTCCGTGTTCACAGGCTCCAGCGTGGGGAGGTGATCGTCCTCCGGCAGTAACGCGCCGCATCTGCCCATTGCCATTGCCCTGCGCGAGCGCGTTCAATCCTGGTTTCTAAGGCGGCTCAAATGTACTGCACTACCGCCGAAATACGCCCTCCATAGGAAGGTTGGGTCTGCCTTTGTTTTAGCATGCCCCGTCGTGATGCTTTGAGGACGGAGGACAAGGGGGCGCACATAGCCCCCATTTCCCGTACCGTGAGAGCCGAGGTTGGCTCGTGCAAATCCCCTTTCATTTCAGGACGTGCGTCATCACAGCTTACGAAGCGCTGCGGCTGCTGTTTGTGTGTGTAGGGGGATATGGTGGGTGGTACTCGAGATTCGCAGGTGGTGGTCATGCAGTTGTACCTGCCTGAAAGGTGTGGGCTTGGGAAGGAAAGGGGCCGCAGCTGTAGGTGCGGTCGCCGCTGATTGGTGCGCGCACGAACGTGTGTTGCGCTTGTGAATGCGCTGAGCGAGTCTTGTCTGCCTGCGTGAGTGTCTGCCTGCGTGCATACCTGGTTTATTAGGACGGACATCGTGTACGTCGAAATCTGATATGTGTTCGCACCCATCGCAACGCGTGCTGAAAGGCCTGCCGGATCTATAGCCATTCGATTTTCTAAAAGGCATCAGTGTAAATGGCAGGTAAATGAGTGCGTGTAGAGCTGCTATCAGGAGGTCGCATGAAGCTACGTGCATGGGGGCGTGTGCTCGCTGGCCTGTACATGTTTTGGGATGATATGAGGATGGGTGCCTACCTGCCAGGTGTGCGATGTATGCGCGCGGGCGCTGGCTTGCATGCGGTAATTGGCGTACGTGATGTCGTGCGCGTGAAAAGGAAGGCGATCCCGGTATACCACAACCACACAACTCTTTGCTGCTGTGAAGGGTGAGCTCCTTCAGCCTGGGGGCAGTAAAGGCAAGTAGGCAGGCATGTCTACGGCACCTTTGTGGATGCATGCATGCATGCATGGTGCTGAACACATCACAGCTAGGGCCCCGCCAGATGATTTCTATGACAGTTAGGGTTTCACTGGTACTTCGCCTGTCCTGCTAACGGACTCTTAACTTCGTGCACGTGAAAATATGCAGGTTGCATATGCCGGCGTGTCGCATGCACTTTTCGGTCTTTGTGCAATCATGCGTAATGAGCATAAGGACCTATCAGTTAATTATCATCTGGGTGATGATGATGATGATGATGCACTCTCGGTTTGGGCAACTTCATAACCTATTTGGAGCATGTGGGCCTTTGAGGGCTTTTACGGGTGTGGCCTGGTTAGGCACGTCGGGCGGTTCTAACGTGTAACGTTGCCGTGGCGTCTGGCCGTATCTGTCTTCTTTACGTACCTGCCTTCTGGCTTCCTGATGCATGGCGACGTAGCCGTATGCGAAACGTCGATACCCTCCATACGTCCACTTATTGTTAGTGACTGTGGGATGCGGCGCGAAGCGATGTTTGTGCAGTGGTTGGCTTTTCAGATTTGTGGCACTGCTGCACGGTATGTGCACCTATACATACCCAAGCAAGCAAGGCAACTGAAATCGCCTTAAGAAGCAGCAGGCGTCTTAAAAAGCGCATCGACGCAAGATGATTTCCCGTACGTAGCCGACGTGGCGGCCACCATACATTTCCATCTGTCAAGGATTTTCTCTCACGGTTTGTAAGGTCTGCAGCAATCGGCATCAGTGTGCGAGTGTGTGCTTCTTGGCGGCCTCTGAAGGCCACTCCGGTCGACTCGCGACTGCCACCGACGACCCTGGGCTCCGTGGTGTAATCGACATTGTCGGGAAACTTTAAATTTAAAGCAGTACGTGTCCCCTATGTCAGAAGAATTGCGGCGACGATTACCGAGCGACGTTGTGTGCTTAATAGTGGCCTATTAATCAAGCCTGATTTTTGAACTTATTACCCGCCGATCGTCATTCATTAAATATATATACTCAGCACGCTCTGCTCACCCAGACAGTCAACAAAAGTCACCTGGACAGCAGAAAGCGAATCCAAAGGGTAGGCTCAGAAACCCACGACCACGAGGGGAATTTGCATTAGGCTCACCAAGTGGCGAAAGGCTCCGGATCTCCACTTAAAAGGCCCACCAACAAAACAAATACTGACAGGAACTTGCACGTTGCTACTAGATATGAGGCCTGTGCCCCAAAAGCCCCCCAAAAAAGAAACCGAATAGCTAATCGTCCATTGGTGCCCCTTCCCGTGAACATAACAACTTATTGGACACAATTCGCAAGTGGGGGACTGGGGGGGCCCTGAGGGGGGGCCTTTCCGTGGAATTCCCAGAGCTGCAAAACCCCGAAAGGGGCGACCCCAAAAGTCAACAACAAATCGATAAATGGCTCCTTCTGTAAGGTTCCAAGAAGTCAACTGGGAGCATTTTGTCTCGGCCAATGGCTGTGTAAAGTTCAGCAAGGACTCACCTTGTATAATGCAATAGGGATACCAGCTAGACCGGGTGCTTTGCCTTACAGTAGCTTCCTCGAGGACCGATTCCACTTCCGTTTCAGACACCTCCGCACTCCCTACATAAGCGAGACGCATTCGCCTCCGGGCATGACAAGGTGGCGGTCCCTCAGTGCCCCTATAACAGCCATCCTCAGTCACACAGGTTGCGGAGAAACAAATCCTTCCCCAAATGTTCGCAACCATTTGTGGCAACTTCATCGTATCTGTAATCAAACGGCCTGTAAACTGTCTTGCAATGCTGATATAACTTGTAAAGTTTTAGACGGATGCAACAGGGTGGTTGGCCCTCTACGAAGCGCCTCTCTGTAGCGCCTAACCGCTACCCTTCAGTCCCAACCGCTTGTATAACCGCTACCCTTCAGTCCCAACCGCTTGTATAACCGCTACCCTTCAGTCCCAACCGCTTGTATAACCGCTACCCTTCAGTCCCAACCGCTTGTATAACCGCTACCCTTCAGTCCCAACCGCTTGTATAACCGCTACCCTTCAGTCCCAACCGCTTGTATAACCGCTACCCTTCAGTCCCAACCGCTTGTATAACCGCTACCCTTCAGTCCCAACCGCTTGTATAACCGCTGCCTGGGCGTCAATTGCCGCTTGAATCCTCTGCGGACCCATATGTCCGGTCTGCAGTGCCTCCCAGGCCCTTCTTGCAGCTTCCGTCGCCAACCATACCCGCCACCCGGGGGTAATCGACGCTGTCGCGCCTGCCGATTGAGAACCGTTATTTCATGAGGTGTATGACGCTTAAACGACGGCCGCCAGTCTAGCAAAGCTGATGTGTCCGTCTCAGGAGGCTGTCGTGCACAAGCATCGCGAACCCATTGCAGGAACCTTCCCTTCAAGTCAGGAAAATCTAGGAAATGCGTATGTAACCGTGGAAGCCTGGACCACGCGCTCTCACAAGTCGTGGTAACAAAGTTATGATAGCCATACGATAGAGGAAACGATTTTATTTGTATAAATTCTGTCAAGCCGCGAGGCCCCCGACATTGTGCAAATAAGAAACAGATCGCACCTGCTAGGGCGAGGGTGAAGATACCATATCAGGGCAGAGCACTCGGAGAAAGCCTTGGCTATGGACAAGTCCGCAGGTCTGCTCCCTTCTCCTGTGGTGGAGTCTATAATTGGATTATGGGTGATATTAAATTATCCCCTCAGCCCAAAGTAAATGATCATCCTGACCTCTACCCTGCTTACAATATCGCCAAGAGAGTGCTTACACGCCTTCTTCTGATCTATCAATTACTGAGGCGTCATACAGTACATATTGATTAAATGGATGCGGTGAACAAACCACGTGAACGAAATCGGCGCTACACGGCCTCGGGGTATGATGATGTGTGGGACAGGGGGGTCATATCTTTACCCTGTGGCCGCTACCCGGCAGACCCTGCCTGCCCCGGTATTTCGGGGCACCCTCATCCAGTCACCCTAGCCAACTCCTCAGTGGATCGCTCGGGTTCAGCACCCACCACCGGCATCCAACGGAATCTGCCAGATCAACGGCGGCTCAATAGAACCTACACGTACGGCACTGCCCACATTACAGCCATAACGCAACCCAGGAAGAGTGGAATGGGCGGTCAGTCGGGAGAGACAATAAGCGGAGGGACGTGGTGGGCCATGACTGGCCACGCATGAACGCACATGCACAGAAACGCCGCGTCCTGTCAAGGGGATAACATTAGAACATCAACAGATGCAGCAGCACCATCACTACCACCACCGGTAGCCTACCAGCGCTCAACAGCTTGCACAGCCATCTCACTTGCAGAGCTAGCGCATCCCAAAACAAACAAGTTCTGAAGCCCAGGTTCAGAAGTCACCATTTTATCGCATAGATAGCGTCTCCCGTACCGCCTCGTAAGTACTTCCTTCTTCGTACAACATACACCATCCTAGTGCGTCAAAGTTCCCCTAACAGACACGCAAGATTGGACTGTTTCACAGACGCAGTTACTAGCCCACTCAGTTGTTAGAGAACCTTTAAGCGAGGGCCGCCACCCTGGCCACCGCGAGGGCCACCGACTCTTTGCACCTGAACACACCAACGTCGTAAGGTAGGCCTCAAAGGTGAAACGCTGTGAAGCATATAATTGGACTGAATGTGCTGTCGATGTAAGCACGTTGGCGCGCCAGCTGTCTGCGGCAGTGCACCTGCCTCCCTGACCACGCAAGCCTTTAGCTCCAGCTCGACGCTGCGACCGTTAGCCCGCCCAAGTTGCTTAAATCCACTCCTTTTAAAGAAATTCAGCGCGGGTGAGTTAGCCGTGGCAACATCGGTTACGATAGTTGCTGGCGCACCGGTGACGCGCGACGCACGCAGCAACTCGTCTAGCAATGATTTCGCGACACCCCTTCCACGGTAGTCACCGCGGACAACCAGCGTTAACAACACACACTTGTAATCCTCCTCCCATTGCGCTATAAGAGCCCCCACCACCTCGTCATCGTTATCAAATGGCGCGCAAGCGACAAGTCCCCGAACTCCAGACCTCCCATCCGCTGCGTACTCATGGAGCTCCGCTATATTGGCGAGAAAACGTGCGGAGAAAACGTTTTGAGAATCGTGCTTGGCGAATTTGTGCAGTCTTAGTGATGCAGGAATATCCTCTCTCCTCAATAAACGCACTGCAACCGACATATCACAGGCGACAGGATTATAAAGCACGCACTCAATATCTGTCCAAAGAGTCACGGCGGCTTACACCGCTTCCGGGCTTGACAAAGAAAAACGAGCAGAACACTTTATTGCCATGTATTTGGACAAAAATGATACGAACGATCATCATAAAATCTGGCCGGCTTAAACTTGTACCGGTAGTGTCGTATGATCCGGTTGTCTTGCACGGTGCAGAAGCGTATGTCGATGTGGCAAAGGCGGCAAATTCTAACCTTTGCAACCCTCCTGTTTGTAATTGTCCACCTTTCGAAGGCGGAGACTCCCGGGTAGTCCCCGCCCACCTTGTGCTCAGGACCTGATGTCCCTGCCCTAAGAATGATATAACATTTGTATGAATCACAGGTTTGCTTTATCAGAACAATGTTTCCTAATCAGGCACATGCCGTGAGGTGCCGTGTACATGGGTTTTACTACGGAGCTGTTTTACTACGTATATGTATGTGCCACATACACATGCTGGGCCTCGTAGGGGATCGATATTGCTGTACCATGTCGCCTCGCCACCCGCTGTACATTAGTTACCTTGCCACCGTACATGCTGTACACAGTCCCGGGGCTAGATACAGAGCTTCACTCAAAACGTTTAAAAATTGTCCAAAAATTTTGGAGCTGCTGGCGAAGCCACCTCAAAACCTTCCTCCTCATCCTGACTAGCCCAATACACACAGCTCTTTGGCTCCCCTTCACTGTCCAGAGGTTGTGACTTCAGCTGCTGGTAATGTCCTGTAACACCAACAACATCCAACATCCACTGATTCAGCATCCAGCCGCCACAGCAACAGCAGGACAAATTCCCTAGCCTCGCTATGGTGCACAGCCGCACTGAACACCATCAGAGTAGTCCTCCTCTGCAGGCACTCAAGCACAACAACACATGCACATGCACATATATACACCTACAGTGAGTACGTCTGCAGGCTTACCTATCCCTTCCCACAGGCCACTCCAATAGGATGGAGCAACAAGCCCATTATTATGTCTGTAATGGAGGACTCCTGTAAATGTGTCTTCTGCTTAGGCAGGGCTGCCACACCAACTACCACTATGAGAAAACATGGCACACCGACATGTGGAAGCGCAACAGTGCCTTGTAAGAGTATTGAAGCTGTGGGAGTATATTCGCTAGAAGGTGGCTTTCATACACCACATCACCACCACCGGCCTTGCTGCTGCTGCTGCAGCTGCCTTTTGTTGACCTCAATCTCCCGCTCCGCCTTCTGCGCAATTTCTTTCTTCTCGTGCTCTGATGCTTCCAGCTTCTGCTTCATATGAAGCAAGTTGCAACCACATAGGATTGTATAGTTTTTTTCAAATATCATGTAGCTCTCCATTAAGGCTAATTTCTGGGCCGAGTCGCCTATGAATGGCTAAGTTAGGGATGCTCGTCATTTCATCCCAAGCTAGTGCGTGGTTGCGGGCGCGCTGGGTTGTAATGCGTTAACGAAAATTGAGCCTGGACAGCGAGGGAGAGCTTGGTAACCGTACAGACCGTACGATGGCGCTCGCAGTAATAATAAGTAATATGTTGTAATCCATCGAACCGGCAATCAACCCCGTCCGAACCGACCCATGGGTCAATAGGTCGCCACCCCATCGCGTCCCTGTTAATTTTAAAATACAGTTATGTAGGAAACTTGAGCTACTAAGCCTGGAGCCTTTGGCAATGCCTGCGCAAGGGTTAATAGATCTAAGCAGTGAGATAATGGCGCAGGAAAACGACATAAACCAGAAAGGGAGCGTGCTCAATCCATTGATGCCATTAAATGTCCTTAATCTCAACGTGCCCATTGGCTCGATTTCTTTGCTTCACGGAAAAGCATAGAAACTTGGTACCCCGCTGTAACATCAACAACAACATAATCTTGTTATCCGGGGTCATTCCCAACCCCGAGCAGAGTCCCACCGCAAGGGGGCACAGCGCACCAGGGAACACTACAACGCGTCGCGATTCACACTGACCCCCCACCATCCCCCCTGCTTGCGTGTGTGCACATCCACACGTAACGGCCCACCTAACCTTCCACACGTGCAAGCCCGCCTAAACTCGAGCGCAAGCCCCAAAATCCTAAGTCCTTTGCAAAAGGTACCAGCGTTGCGATAGGGCTCGTGCACCACGGCCCACGGGCTCCTGTCGTGGAGCGCACTGGCTGCTCAGGACTTGGCCTTCATGAAATTGCTCTCCTTGATGCGCTCCTTGTTTTTTAACCGCCACAACCGCCGCAACTGCGCATACACTCAGCACACATGCAAGCAAGCACGCACGCAATGCGTTGATTTTGCAGCGCGCATGTCTGTTTTATATGTAGGGTTACGAGCTTTTAGTCGCGAAGGTTTTTAATGTGAAACGGAGGACACTGCGAAGAGGGCAGGGTGTCTGGCCGCCCCTCCGAAGTGCCTCCCAAACAATCAAAGGAAAATCTTCGCGTAGCAGGGACACCGACGGCAATACGGTTTGGCTGTATACAAGCTCCCGAGACGGACGCCAGGTTAATACGAGAACGCCGTAACCCCTCACCTCCTCCACTGTCAGGCCGCCCTCGTGATACATCTTCTCAAGCTCCTTTATGGTAGGTCTGACAACGCCGTATGTCAAAGAGGAGCGACGGCAAGAATGGCGAGAAGGGCAGTTTGAGAAAAGATAATCAAAGGAGGGACCAAGAAAACATGCCAGTGTTACTGGACCACCCAGGCGAGTACAACAAGGACAACTCATATACACGGATGGCTTTCCAAAGGTGTAGTATTGTCTTGGGGCACGCGACGTGAAAGTGTATATGCTGAGGGGCCAAAAGTCTCTCCATTCCTCCAATCGCGGCTCCGAAACCAAAACACCGAGGGGCAAACCGTGGCATTTCCAAAATGAGAGGCATGGGGTCAGGCAAGGATGCCGCACAGGGTTACTGGCGCACCTCGGCTCGAGAAGCTTGAAGAGCCACTCAGGGTACTCGTTGTCCGGCCTGATGGGCGGGTCAGGCTCATTTTTCATGAGCCCGCATCCCGTAACGACCTCGGTAGATAGCTCTCCAATTTTCCGGGGCCCTGGGGCAGGTTAACAAACGTCGTGACGTTGCGTCCGTAAGGGGAGGATAATGCAGAGCGAGTACCGCTGGCAAGAATGGGCTGTCGTGAAGCAGCGCCGGAGCTGCTATTACAGCTCGGTGGGCCTAACGCACCTCTGTCTTTTGATCCCTTTTTAGAACCGGATGGGGGCAACGGTGCACGCAAGTGGAAGCCTACAAGAGCAGACCATCGGCTGCGAAGCGCGCCGACTACTAGCGACATGCACACCTATTTACTCGTTTTTTAAGCCTTATATGTGTTTAGGATTATCATCCACAGAGCGTGGGCAGCAGGATGGAAAAATTGCGCTTCAGAGGATAATACCTGGGTTTCTTGAATTCAGAAACAATCAGGAGAGACATAGATAACATTGTTTCCATGTGATGTTGGAATCGCAGAATACAGCTTGATCAACTCATGCCGTACGTTTTGGTCTCTTTCGTTTCCTCACTCGCGAATGTGCAACTCACTTCAATTGATCACTCTAGGCATATAATCACTCATCTCCACCTTCGGCTGCCACGTAGAGCGTACGGGTTCAGTGCAGGCGTTAGGCCACAAACATGCAGGCTACGCAGCAGCCGAATATGCGGGCGACAAGGGGCGCTGGGGCCCAGTTCTCGCGCCCGTGCAGGGCCCGCTTGATTGTTCGTGCGAAGGAAGGTGCCCTGCCCCCTCCCGCGTGGCCGCAGCGTGTTGTGCCGCCTGAGGTCGAGCACCGCAGCGAGCCAAAGGTGTGGAGCAACAATTGAAGGGCGCTGACCTTAAATTGGCCTTTGTTGCCCCTCACATCGACAATTGACCGCGCTGCCGTCGAGGCTGGGAGCCTAAACTTTGAAGCGATGTCGCTCGCGGCGACGACCAGGAGCAAACAGCCCTTAACCATGTTTGCTCACCCACAGCTGCTTACCCATATTTGCATTGACACGATAAACCGTTCTTAAGCAAACATTCTTCCATTCGTCCGCGCAGCGCTTCTCAGTCCTGGGCTCGACGGGTTCCATCGGCACCCAAACGCTGGACATCATCGCTGAGTTCCCCGAGAAGTTCAAGCTTGTTGCGCTAGCCGCTGGATCCAACGTCCAGCTGCTTGCAGATCAGGTATATACCTGAGCAGCTATTCCTGTTCTTCGGGGTTGCAACTCGCAAGCTGGATGGATAAACCGCAGCCCCTTTGGAAAAATCAAGCACACGCAGCGTTTGTGACGGTGCTGTTCACTGAAGCATACTTGTAAACTGGCTACGTGTAAGCCATAAACTTCCTGTATCGTAAGCAGTAGATGGTGGTGTACGGCTTTCCCACCAAAGCGCTTCCTCCCCAACCTACCCACTTTCTAACCTTTTGTATATAACTTGTATACAATCTGGATCCTGAGCACAGGTCCGTAAATTCAAGCCGGAGATGGTGGCCATTCGCGACGCCTCCAAAATTCCCGAGCTGAAGGAGGCCATCAAGGACGTGCATCCCCAGCCGGTCATCCTGGCTGGTGATGAGGGGGCGGTGGAGGTGGCTAGGCACCCTGCCGCGGAGGTGCGAGGAGGGGAAGGGGAGCCCTAACGAGGGTCTGTACGGGACGAAGTGGGTACGAACGTGTACTACGGAGCACGTTGGCGTGCTGGGTTGGCGCTGCAAAAACGAGGTCCCAGTCCACAGTCTGGAGGCTGGAGGATGAGGAGTGGGACCGGAGAGGAGAGGGAAGGGGCAGACAGGGGCCGCCTGGTGGTGGCAGTGGTGGCGGGAAGGAAGGTGGGGGGAGACCTGGGGATGCGTTCGCCGCACACCGCCGCAGCTAATGGCAACAATGATAACCGCGTCGATCCGCGTCGTCCCCGAATTTATACCTTCTGGAAGGCACCTTAGCTCCTGGGGGGACCCCCCTGGGGGGGGAGGGTGCTTTGGTGGCCGGGGTAACCCCCCAGTCCAACAGCCTTGATGTACGGATTTCCGTACGAGTCTGCACAGGATGGGACAGGACAGACAGCTTGGCAAGCTGCCCTGCTGTTGCTTGCATTCGGCTTGGCAGGCTTGGCAGCCCTTTCTATGTCCTGATCTCTCCCCCCCCCCGGCATCACCTGGTTCATGGGTTTCCCCTCCCATGTTTTGTGTTATTCCCCTTGCCTTGCGTTGCTATCTCGCAGTCCGTGGTGACCGGCATTGTGGGGTGTGCGGGACTGCTGCCCACGGTTGCCGCCATAAAGGCCAAGAAGGACATTTGCCTGGCAAACAAGGAGACCCTGATTGCCGGTGAGGCAGGGAAGGGTGGGGGGCTTTGAGATCCGGGATGTTGATGGAAGGGGAGGAAAGACGAACCACGAACGAGTGAAGTTGCTGCCAGAAGGGCAAGAGTGTACCAGAAGTAGAACCGACCAAAAGGCGTTCTTGAAGTGGAAGGAGAATGGAAGGGGAGGGGGGAAGCGGAGGAACCGCTGGATCGCTAAACAGTGCATTGATGGGCCGTAGGGACGTGATGATGATGAAGGTGCGACCCGGACGGGGTCGGTGTAGAATTGCGGATGTGGGTTCAGGATGATGGGCGACGCTCCCCCCGGCTCGCAACTATTAGCTCTTGGAGAAGGGGGTCTGTTGAAGATAGCCATGAGGCCTCCTTGGCTGTTGGGTAGCCTGTTTTGGCACAATGACGGCACCTGACTAGCGCTTCCACTAGTTGAGCAGTTTAAGAGTGCAGCATAAGAGGTAGCCCGGGTGCTACCGGGCAATACAGGTATGTTGTTACCAGAGTCTCTTACGTGAGTGCTACCGCGATGGGGCCTCCTTCCCCCCGGGGGGGGGGCCGTCACTCCCCTCTCATGCGGTTGGGGGGAAGGGGAGGCTGGCGGCTGGCGGGACGGGCGGATAGCAGCAACAGCAGCCGCATCAATAGCAGCGAAGCGAGCACTTTAAGTACACTTGAGTGAGGTGTGGTGGTTGACAGTTGGCGGTTATGGCCGTACAGGCGGTCCCTTCATCCTGCCATTGGCCCAGGAGTACGGCGCCAAGATCTTGCCGGCGGATAGCGAACACAGCGCCATCTTTCAGGTGGGGTTAAGAGAGGGGAGGCCGGGGCAGTGGTGGTGTGTCTGTGTGTGGCAGGGCTTGGCATTACACTGGGGACAAGAACTTGTTGTACCGCAGGCGGTTGGTTATCACGCCCCGCCTTGCAGCATCATCTTACTGCACACCGCATCCAACGTGGTCTGCATGTCTTTCTTTCCGTTTGTCTGTCTTTATGTCCATAACCACCTCCCTCCCACCGTGCCGCCTGTTCGCCTCGGGGGTGGCCCGCTGCAGGTTATGCAGGGCCTGCCGGAGGGGGGTCTGCGCCGCATCATCCTGACGGCCAGTGGAGGCGCCTTCCGGGACTGGCCCCTGGAGAAGCTCAAGGAGGTGAGGAGGGCAACGGTGGGAGGGGACGGCAACACTACCATTTGGGGAGAGGCCTCGACCCCATGTCTGTGTGTGTATGTATGTATATATATGTACATGTATGATGTTGTTACAGGGTGGTATAGCTTCACCAGCGGCCCCCTTTCCCGAGGCAGTTCCCTGCTCTCCCCTGCGAGAAGGGCACCCTCATCCATTCACCCCATCCGACTTCAGAATGTATTCGTTGGGTTCAGCAACTCACCACCAGCATCCAACCAAATCTAGCGGATCAACGGCGCCACGACTTAGTTCCTGGCCAGCTCACAAGTTGCCATAATCACGTCCTACACCGTCCACAAGATGGTGGGCCACCTCCCATTTCATCGCCCCTCACACACCGAGGGGTCGGCAGGCGGATTTGAACCCGGAACCTCCAGGAGCAGAAGTCAGGCCTTAACTTCTGCCAGCCACCTGCACATGTATGTATGTATGCATGTATGTGTGCCTAGAAGCGGCAACAAAGGTTGAACGAGCTTGTTTGCATTTGTCATTGCTGGTGGTGAACTTCTTCACGTGCCTACCTAAGCGACCTTAGCCTACCTGCGCCCCCCCCGTCCGTATGTTTGATGGCTCAGGTGACGGTGGCTCAGGCCACCAGCCACCCCAACTGGTCCATGGGCAAGAAGATCACAGTGGACAGCGCCACGCTCATGAACAAGGTGCGGAGAGAGAGTAAAAGGGGGGAGCCCTCCACGGCACGGGAGGTGGTGATGGTGATGGTTGGGACTGCCTGAAATTCACCGATGTTTACATGCTAAGGGCACTAGAGCGCTTCTTACAAAAGAGATTTACCAACAGCTGGTGGGAAGGGGAGGGGGTCAGGGGGAGGGAGGAGGCTGTTGACGGGCACATGGGGTGAGCGGGGTTAAAACACAGCGGGCTAGAGAGTTGTGACTTGGGACTTGGGACAGGGACATCGAGTCGAACGTACGGCGACCCGAGCCAGTGCCGTTAGGGGCCGGGCCCCGGTGTCAGGAGGCTGGTGGGAGGTCGCGCGGGGGGGCTTTGCACGGGGGCAACGGCGAGCTTTGTCTGGCTCGGTGACACCTCCCGCGCATTCGCATCACCCTTGCGTGTGCCTTGTGCGTTTGTGTGCCTTGTCCGCATCAGCTGTGCCTCTTCTGTGCCTTGTCCGCATCAGCTGTGTCTCTTCTGTGCCTTGTCCGCGCACCACAGCGCCTGCACCTTTCACATACACCTCTCGTGGTCTGTTTGCTTGGATTGGGTTGGATTGGATTGGACTGGGCTGGGCTGTTGTGTTCAATTGCCTCCTCAGGGTTTGGAGGTCATCGAGGCCCACTACCTGTTCGGCGTGGATTACGACAACATCGACATCGTCATCCACCCCCAGTCGATCATCCACTCCATGATTGAGACACAGGACTCCTCGGTACTGGCCCAGGTGTGTGGTGGGTATGTGGTGGGGAGCGGGTCGCTTGGGGAAGGTGGGTTGAAGAGGAGGTTGGGTGGGAGGCCCGGGAGGGAGAGAGATTGAGAGAGGCGGCAGCTGGGTGAGTGAGTGGGTGGGTGGGGGCCTTCCTGGGTCCTTGACCTGCGCATTTGGTTCCCCCGCCCGCCCACCCACCCACTCACTGCCTCCATCTGCTCCTCCTCTTCTCTGTCATGTCTCTCCCTCGAATCTCTTCGCGCACCTAGGCTGGTCCCCTCACTGCGCTGGCATTAATCCAATACCGAGTAAACCCCCACCCTCCACCCACTGAGATCTCAGCGCCTTGTTGACTTAGGGTTTCTCGCCACCTCATCTGTTGTTCCGCCCTATTTCTGCTCCTCCTCCTCCTGCTCTCCCACGCAGCTGGGCTGGCCCGACATGCGCCTGCCGATCATGTACACCATGAGCTGGCCGGAGCGAGTGCCAGTTAGCGACGCCACCTGGCCCCGACTGGACTTCACCAAGGCCTCCTCCCTCACCTTCAAGGCCCCCGACCGCCTCAAGTACCCCTCCATGGACCTGGCCTACGCGGCAGGACGTGCGGGGGGCACCATGACTGGGGTGCTATCAGCAGCCAATGAGCAGGTGGGGGCCGGGAAGAGCGGTTAAGAGGTGCAGAGGAGGAGGAGGGGGAGGGAGATGTAGGGTTGTATGAATGTCGTGGTAGTTTCGGAGCTGCGAGGGGGGGACTGTGTTGGTGGTGATGAGGAGGGTGGGTGGAGTTGTGGAGTTCGGGAAAGTCTCGCTGCCGGGAAAAGTGGCGTGTGTGGAGATTGAGAATGCTATGTGTAAAAGTGGAAAGCATGTAGGAAACTTCGGAGGAGTTGGGATGGGCGGGGTAAGACTACGGAATGGAACGCCAAAGGGGGGGGGGTAGGTGGAGGGCAGGGTAAGGGGAGGGGTGGAGCCGGTATGAAGAATTTCCTGGAAAATCCCCGCACGCGCGCGCACGAGCACATAGTTGGTTAAGCCCCAAGGAGAGAAGCGGAAAAATTTTGCGTGGGCAGACTTCCAACTTTAAGACCTTTCGCTGCTGTTTTTCTGTTTCATTCTGCTCCTTTTTGCTCACGTACGACACCGCAGGCAGTACAGATGTTCATTGACGAGAAGGTGCACTATCTGGACATCATGAAGCTCAACGAGGCCTGCTGCGAGGCGCACAAGGTGCGTGAATGGCGGTGGCTTGCCGGGTAGCGGCGGTGGTGGCTGTGGCGGTAGCAGTCCTACGCGACTGGTTCTGCGGAGGTTCTTGGCACTGCACGATCCTAGGACGGAACATTGAACAAGCTGCAAGTCGTATGACTCGACCATGCACACACAGACACACACACACATACACACACACACACACACACACACCAGCCAGTGCTTGCCGGAGCCACACAACACGCGCGCACATACACACAACAGGCACACAACAGGCACACACACATGATTGGCCCGGCGAAACCCACATGGGCCTTATGAGTTCCATGTGCACGATTTGGGGTTAGTGACGGCGCTGGGTCTACATGCACGCAGGCCGCCCCCTTACCCCCTAGATATCTTGTTCTCCTGAGACTCCCGCCCTCAGCAGCTCATCTCCTCTGCGTCCCTTCTTGGCCGGGCACTCCCTTTTCCCCACAACCGGCTTTCCTTGGCTACTCCTATCCCCTCACCTCCCTCCTCATCCTCCTGATGCTTTTTTGTGTAATGTAAAAGTATCATGCCACCGTCCCCTCCTCCTCCTGCTCCTGCTCCTCCTGCTCCTCCTCCTCCTCCTCCTCCTCCTCCCCCTCCCCCTCCCCCTCCTCCTCCATCCCTCCCTCCTATCCACTTGCTAACCCCCTGCTACCCGTCGCTGCCTCAGTCTGAGCTGGTCGCCTCACCCGACCTGGAGACCATCGTGCACTACGACGCCTGGGCCCGCCGGTGGGTGGCGGACAAGGTGGCCAGCGGGTCGTTCAGCTCCAAGGTCTTCGCCATGGCGTGAATCGACCAGGCTTTGCGGGGAGGGGGGAGGTGGGGTAGAGAGGACTACCCAGGGATTGGGAGGCGTGGCGTTACGGCGCAATAACGTGCGACCGGGATTGGAATGGTAGCAGCAGAAGGGCGATGTCAGTAGCAGCAGCAGCTCAGATGAGGATGAGGATGAGGAGTGGTGTCGTGTGGTGTGGTGTGGGAGGCGTGGAGTGGAAGGGTAGGTGATGGAGGTGCCGGACGCGGTTACAAGTCCCCGGGTTACCGCGGTCGACGTGGGGCTAGGGTGAGCGTGCGTTTGTGGTGGTGGTGAGGATGCATGCGTGAGGAGGAGGGCGGTTGCTGCATGTGACGACTTTAAAAGGGAGCGAGCGAAGCGTGTGTTAGGGTCGAGATCATCGGGGTCGGCGTGGGTGGTCAAACCTCCGGACGCTGTTGCCGCGCTTTCTTCCTTTTTTTTCTCTTTACCGGCGGAATTGTTTTGGGGCGCGAAGCGACATGCGTGTATGTGTGCGTGTATGCGTGTATAATGCAGTGCCGAGGGTACCTTTCCCAGCTCAGTTGCTCTCGTGGTGTGGTGTGAGTGAGAATACGTGGGTGGGTTGTCATTCGCGAGCAAAACGAGGGTGTTTTCGAGAGGACTTATCCTTTGGGGGGGATCGAAAGGCTGTGGATGATGGTGGTGATGGTGATGGCGGGGGAGGTAGTGAGGGTGACGGGGAGCTGTGGCTGGATTGATGAATTGATGTATCGGGTTGGGTTTTTCGGACGGACACGTCTCCCCGGCGATGACGTTTTTCCATGCGGGGACTTCGTTTGCCGCGCTCTTGATCTCGAGAGGCGTATTCGATAATGTATACGATACCTCTCCGCAGAACTGCGGCAAGACCTTGCGACTACCTCCTGTGTGTTTGGAAGCCTCCTGACCCGGAACGTTGCGGTTTTGTAATGCGTCCTATGCGGCTCGGCCTTTTGTGCATTTATTGTGCATGTGCTCAAGTAAATGTTGTGCAAGGAGGTGTCCCTGATGAGGTTCCAAAAGGGCCATCGTAGTAGGGTTTTTTGGGGGGGAAGACAACAGTTTGCGGAAGGAAGGGATTTGACGGCCTCACAAGACGCAAGGATGTTTTTGCAATAAGGTCGTGAAAGAGAGCTAAGACTCCTACGCGGAAGGAAGCGGGTTAAACCTACGACGCTGTGCTCTAGGTGCATATTTTCTACATGCGAAGGGGTGAGGGATGCAGCTGGGATATCTGAGCTTCAGCGGGCGACCTCAATTGGTAAGCCGTAAAATGTTAGAGTGCCCCGAGGAGTTGTGAGAATGTGAGAAATGAGCCATCCCTGATTCCCCGCGCTTTTTGGCATGGAAATTGCTGGTGAATCGGAACACATGGGCACAAGTTTGCGGCGCTGGGAACAGCAGGAGCACTGCTCCAAAACTGTGGAGGATCTTGAGGAAGTCCACATCCAGGATGCGCTAGACGGCGACAACCCTGTTTTGCAGGCCAGCTCAGGACCTTAGCGTTAGCGAATAGTCCCTGGGAAGAGCGCGAACCGATGGGGACAGAAGCGGGCAGCACTTTGGAGAGGAAGCCCTTTAGAAACGCCAACACGCAAAAAATATTGGAATGTGGGCGGGTAGATTAACTATTTCTGCTTCTCATACTTCATATGAACCATTGAGCAGCAGGGGCCAGCCCAAACATTTTCATATGCGAAAGTTTACATTGCATTATACTACTAATAATGACGACCCACAAACGTTACCTTGGGTTACCACCAGATCAATTAGTGAAGGGGGTGACGGTCATGACAGAACCATGGTTACAACTGACTCACAGCATTTCCCGTGGCTCGTACAAACGTCGTGAATGACGAGCCGCAAAACTCTTTCCGATCGCTAGGGACGCTGGTGTAATCCACACTTTAATTTCGTCAGAACATAAAGCGGCAATCCTGAGATGAGCTGTATGCAATAACGGCGGTGCAAGTCGAGCGCCTTAGAAGTCTCCGTTTATTGGATTCCTGCAAGCAAACCAATTTTTAAGTTGTATATTAATTGATTCTCTTTCAACGAGCGAGCTTCATGTGATCTTGCCTGCGTAAAAGCGCATGGCCCCAGCACAAGTGTACATTTGTTAGCGCTGGATTGCCTGCCAAATTAAATCGAAACTCATGGAGCATATAGATACGGGGAAGATGCGTTTAAAGGTCTGCGTCCGGCTGCGGCCTACGCCCGATGGGTGCCCCAGCCTGGTGCACGCAGACCATCGCGTCTTGTACATGAAGGATCCCCTCAGAGGCCATAACAACGAATTTGTATTCAACAATGTTTTTGGCCCAGAGGCAAAGCAGGACGCGGTCTTTCAGGAAATCGGCATGCCGCTCGTGGAGCACGTCATGCAAGGCTACAACGCCTGCTGCCTAGCATATGGTCACACAGGGAGCGGAAAGACATATTCCATGCTCGGGCGGGAGCCGGCCATCACACCGGATGGGCCGGCGCCGTTAGACCGCAACGAATACGGCATCATCCCTCGTGTATGCGAAATGATCTCAAAGGCAGCAAACAAAGCAAATCGCAAAGCCGACCAAGCGGGGTCTAACCCCGGCAGCAACGTGGTGCGGGTGAAGCTATTCGTGAGGTGAGTCTCTTCGGGATGGAACGGGTTGGGGAGCTGGTGACAGCCACCTCATGTGCTTCGGTGCGCGTGGCTGTAAAGCGGTGGACAGCCCGAACCACGTCTTCTACGCCTTGGCCTTAATCCTGCAAGACCCACGAAACATCTTGGGCATGCGGGGTACGAGGCCGTTTTAGTCGATTGTTGCTACAAGGAAGAGGCTTCGTTGGAGTCCGGCCAAGTGTTGTGATCTCCTGGGTGGCGTATAGTAAAAGGTTATGTCGTTCAAGTCCAACCGACAGTCAGCCGTACAGCGCGTACGGGCCGAAATTTGGCGCCGAGGCCATCAAGTTTGGCGCCGGCTCCGGACCCCCAGAACTCCCCCGCTCGGGGTTTGTAATCACCTGGATCCTCCTCCTAAACTTATTCGGGAACTCCCGGCCATTCCACCACCATCACCGAATCCCCCACCAACCACACACAGGCTCACAAAAGCCTTAACTCCCTTCCCGCACCCTCCTCACCCCTGCCTTCCCCTCCATCCTGGGTCAACACGCCCCTAAAAACACATGCACCGCGGCCGGTCAACCACATGTCGCACCCGCAGCTTCGTAGAGGTCTACATGGAGAATGTACGGGACCTGGGGGCTGGCGCACAGGCGTACATCAAGGCCCTAGCTGCAGCGCGCCCAGTGGGGAGCGGCGACGGCCGCGGCCATGCCCCGTCCTCGTCCTCGGTGCCGCCCCTGCCCTCCTTCCCCTCCTCCGACGGCGGCCCGCCCGCATCCTCCCCCTCGCGACCCGCGGCCATGGCGCTACGGGACCCCGCGGAGTACGTCCGTACATGTCTGGACGTCATGGAGGACGCGTACGGCATGACGTTTGTGAAGGACTTGACGTTTATCGAGGTACGGCGCGTAAGGGGAGGGTACTGCCTGTCCTGCTCTCTCCACTTGGCTAGACGATCAGAGGGTAGTACAGGAGGTTGCGGAACCAGCGCCTCACCGCTGCGCTACCCTCTGCTCTACTCCTCAGCTGCGCGACCTATCCGCGTGCGTAGCACAGCGCCTCCGGGTCGCTACCTCATACCTTGCACTTACCGAGCGATGGGTTTCCAGAACTCCCAAAGCCAAATCCAGCGCAAGCAAGCAGTAGTCCTGCCACGCAAGTTCAACCCAAACCCATGCAGTCCCCAACCCGCGAGGCCCCCCGTGCACCCGTCGCCTCCGAGGTCCTAAACCGGCACGGCTCCACACGCTTTCTCTCTCACCGCGTCTTACGCCGTCCTCCCCCCTCGCCGTCCTGCCCGCCTAGGTTGCAGACGCGGAGGACATGCTCTCCGTACTGCAAGCTGGCTACGCCGTACGCTCCGCCTGCTGCCCCATTGACATTTCCTCCCGGGCGCACACCATCTTCAGTATTAGTGTGGTCAGCTACCGGGGGGAAGAACAGCCGGTCACCGGTGAGCATGGCGCCGGGTCGGGTCGGGACGGGGTGGGCCAGGTCGGTTCGAGTCGGTAAGGGGTGGGGTGGAGGAGGAGGAGGAGGAGGAGGCGGAGGAGGAGGAAGGGTCTGGTGCGGCAGAAGTGCGGCATGGGGTGCGGGCGGCTGGCTTGGCTGGGGTAGGAACTCAGGCCCACACTCGCCCATACATACACACAGACATACACACGTCTACATACACACACGCGCGCGCACGCACGCGCGTTCAGAGACGCGGCGCGCATCTTCGACTTGATTCGCGATCGCTTCTTTTCCACAATTTGGACAAGGACGTACCTACGCCTTGCCTCCTGCAAACCGCCAACTGCCAACTACCAACCTACTGATCCATCCCCCGGTGCCCCTGGAGCTCTCAGGCCGCCTGAACCTGGTGGACCTGGCTGGCAGTGAGAAGCAGGGCCGAACGGGGCCGGAGGGACACAGGCTACGGGTGGGTTGGGCTGGGCTGGGCTGGGATGGCGGCAGAGTTACATTATGCTGGGTTTTGCTGGGCTGAATTAGGTTTGTGGTTTGCGGAATACGGCCTTCATCCGCTGGGTGGTTTAGGACAGGGCGTTGCAGGGCAGGAAAAACGCGGATTGGTTACCTGTGTTACCGCAACTTATGTTGTGGGTCACACAAGGACAAGGACAAGGACAAGGACAAGAGAGAGGGATCAAAACGTGAACGGCCCAGCGTTCGAGCGGAGTTTATGGAGGCGGGGAGCTTCACAGAGCTCCTCAGCGGGTGTGGGTGTGATCGCAGTTAGGGGTGGTTGAGGGTAGTTGAGGGTAGTTGAGGGTGGTTGGGGTGCATCACAGAAGAGAATATGGGATGGGTGGTGTTCAATGTTGTGTATGCATTTGGCCGATGTCGCAGTTGGGGCTCCTTTGCCCCATTTGACCACATCGCCCATCCAGCCACGTGAAACAGCAGGAGCGCAGTCTCAATGAAATCCTATTTATTTGGGGGGGGGAAGGTGTCCTGTTTTCCATACCTGCGGTGGTGGTGGTGTTGGTGCTGTGCAGGAGGCGAGTGCGGTGACCAAGTCCCTGGCGGCGCTGAGCAAGGTGGTGGTGGCCCTGTCCCAGGTGGGTGTGGGGTGGGGCGCAGGGTTTCGGTGGGTGGCAGTAAGAGGGACGGCGGGCGGCAGAAGGTGGCGGCAGTAGGTGGCGGGAAGGGCGGGTAAGTGGACGTCCATCCCAACATGGCACCGGTGGGTTGGCGGGCTACACTGCATCCCGCGGCAATGATTGTGGTGTGGGCTGCGGCCCGCGACGGATGACGGGCGATGATGGGCAATGATGGACCTGATGCTCGCAAGCCTTCACCACTTCACGATCCTGAGTTTCCGGGCTTTCCTTCATAACATCGTTACCATGGACATGACTGTGCTTTAATCGCGATCAAAAGGTGCCGCCACCACACTAGACGCCTGTGGGACAGCTAGCGTAGCCGCATAGCACCTTTCGAGGCCGTCTCCCTTCACCCCTTCCCTTCTTCCCCCCCCCACACACCCCTTCCGTCTCATCATTCTCAACGCTTTTCCCCGGACCCTACCGGTCTCTTTGCAGGCGGGCGGCGGGCTGCCTCCCTCGCCCTCCCCGCCCTCCAAGGCCACCTCCCTCGCCAGTCAATCCAGCGCCACCTCTTCTTCGCAGCAGTACCAGTACCAGCAGCAGCAGCCGACGCCACACGTGCCGTACAGAGACGCCAAGCTAACACGGGTGCTCAAGAACTGCCTGTGCGGCAACACGATGGTGACGCTCCTGGCGTGTGTGTATCCCGTATTTGACGAGGTGGACGAGAGTCTCGCCACGTTGCAGTACGCTACTAAGGTGCTGACGAATACCTCGGCGCCCCACGTGAACCTGTTGGCACCCCCGGGCACTCCAGGGGGGCCAGTGGCGGCGGCGGGGCTTGGCAGTGCAGATCCTGGGCTTGTGGAGGAGCTATCGGCGCAGGTAAAGGAGGGGGTGACGAGAGCGAACGAGCGAGCGAGAGCGAGCGAAAGGGGGAGGGCTATCCGTCCACCTCCTTGCCTTTACGGCTTTTTCCTCCCTTACCTATCGATTCCTTTTCCATGCAAACCCACACAAGTTGTCTTTTTTCCTTGGGCCCTTTGTCCTTTCACACCTCCCCTTTCCACCCGCTTCTCTCACTCAATCTTTTCATGTCGTTCATGTTCCTTCTTTTTACCAATCCTGGGGTATCCGTTTACCTCTGGTATCTGCTCATCACAATCGTCGGTGGTCCGTCTTAACTCCCTATTACTTATGGCTGCCTTCGCATTCACGCACAGGTGGCGGCTCTCAAGGACGAGCTGGAGGTGACACACACGCATTACCAGAAGCTCATTGAGAGCATCGCAGGGCCCTCCTGGCGCAGCGACCCGGGGCCCATTGAAAGAGCCGCCGGGCCGGCCTTCGGCGCCTTTGGTGGCGGCGGCGGCGGCGGCGGCGGCGGCTTTGCCGGCGCCGCAGGCGCTGCCGCTGCGGCTGCAGCCGCCGCCGCCTCCCTCAAGGGCGGTACCGCCGAGTTCGACACCTTTGCAGCGGCGTTAGCGAGTCTGGGGAAGCCCGGCGGCGGGGGCCCCACCACTAAGATCAGTGCCGTACACGCGGTGGACGAGGCTAAGCGGCGGCAGTCGCAAGCCGGAGAAAGGGCAGCGCGAGGCGTTACAAACGATGGGGGCCGTGGCGGCGGCGGCGGCGGGCATGGCGGGACGACGGCGGGGGCGGCGGCGGCGGCGGCGGCGGGGGGGACCGGCGGGGCCAAGGGAGGGGCTGTGGGGACCAGTCAGGGTGGCGCTGGCGCCAACACGAATTCCAATGCAAGAGTATCTGTGGTGAGCATGCGATTCTGCGCTCCAAACAAATCAAAATACAGTAAAGAAGAAACCTGCAATGTCTCAAATATTGATTTAACTCTCGCGAATCTACCACCTTCCTGATCCATGAAAATTAAAATTTCTGCTTGTAAAAGATGTCGTGGTTGTACGACAGTCGGACTGTACGGCTGCAACATGCGAGACTTAAACTGTTGACTGTGATGTGGCTGTTGTTTTAGCGTAGAAAGTAATTTTCGGCTGTACCCGGACTGCACCGACCAACCCCGGGTTGTGTGTCTGTCACGCGGCGCGGTGCGAAGTGGTCCTGGGGACTTAGCTCGACAAGGGTGTCGTATGCGCACGTACGCAGCTCGGCATTTGTTTTGCAATGACAGCTGAGCTGCTCCTTTTCCTTCCTTTCTTCTCAGTCCCCCGGTCAACACACAAAATCCTTGATGACCTGCTGCTGCTGATATTGCTGCTGCTATTGATATTGCTATTGCTGCCCACTCCCCATCGGTATAGTTGGAGGCTCAGATCCGCAAATTGGAGTCCCAGCTCAACCAGGCTCGCGCAACGGCTCAGCAGTACGAGGAGCGCCTCTCGGCAAGAAAGGTACGGCAGTGTAGCGGTTTGCGTTAGGGCCCAGCTCTTGCACTTTTCAACTTGTGTCCCCCCCGCTCCTGGCATGTCTGGCTTCTTTCCCCGCCTGACTGGCGCCACGTGCTGTGAAAATGATTGGTGCCGTACAAAACGCCCACAGGAGGAGATGGAGCTGGCACGAGAGCGCATGGCCGGCAAGGAACACGCGCAGTTTGCGGAAATCAAGAAGCTACGTGCGCAGGTACGGATGGCGAGTACGGCATACAGGATCCGGAATCCATCAAAGGAATGCAACTGGGTTTCGCAAAACACACAGTCTTAGTCACAGTCCTGGGCTACAGCCCCGCTGGTTCATTGTTGAGACGATGTACGGCATCTGCTTACTGCGCTGTACGGCGGTGTACTGCAGGTTGCGGAGTTGACGAAGGCTCTGGAGGCTGAGCGCGCAGAGTCGGCTCACAAGCTGGAGGAGGCGAAGCGGCGCTCTGACGAGGAGTGTGCTCGGCTCATGCGGGACATCGACACGCTCCGAAACCAGCTCACGCAGGTCAGTCAGTGGGTCGGTGAGCTCCGGTAGGTACGCCGGTGTCTCGGTGGGTAGATAGACCTGGGTGTCCTGATTGCCGGTGGATGTCTGTAGATGTCTGTAGATGTCTGGATGCATGTCACCTCACAGTCTGTAGGGTTGGGTTTCCCCCTCCGCTTTGGTGTCCTTCCCCCTCCGATATACAGACAGACGCACATATACAGACAGACAGACACACCATGGGACGCAAATTCCTTGCGTAGCCTGTAGTAGTATTAGTTAAAGCATTAGCCCCCTAACCCCGACCCCCCTAACCCCGACCCCCCTAACCCCGACCCCCCTAACCCCGACCCCCCTAACCCCGACCCCCCTAACCCCGACCCCCCCCCTTACCGGCCAGGTCACCGGCACAGTGAACAGCCTGGTTGAGAAGCACAGCGCGGCCATCACCGCGGAGAAGCGGCAGCGGGAGGCGGTCAAGAAGCAGGCCACGCAGCTGCTGCAGCAGCAGGTGAGCCTGGGTGTGTGTGGTGGTGGTGGTGGTGGTGGTGGTGGTGGTGGTGGTGGTGGTGGTGGTGGTGGTGGTGGTGGTGGTGGTGGTGGTGGTGTGAGGGGGGTCGGGTGGGAAGAGGAAAGGGATGGAGATGTCAGGCGGGGCAGCCGGAGATGGGGGTGGGGGAAGAGGAGGTCCCTCCTGGGGTTGGGGTGGGCCCGGGTCGATTGCATGGCGCGCGTAGGCTGAGGAAGGCTAACTTTGAAGGGGTCTTGAAGGGGTCAGGAAATCAGCTCATCCCTACGAGCCGATCCACCACGAAGGAAGCGTGACTTGGAGGGCCCAGGGCGGTACGGCATGACTCACCCCGTCTGGATGAACCCGTGTTCTGCCTGTTGAGAGGCATATAATAGCTCTTTTTCATCTCAAAAAACAGCGGCCTCCGTTTCTCGCCCTTTCCTGCCCTTTTTGTTTTGGTCTTCAGTTCACTCGGGGCACTGAGGAGCATAGGGCCCAACTGGAGAATCTGAAGCAGCAGTCCACCTACTTTTTGACCAAGCGGGCTGAGGAGCTGACGGAGGTCAAGCAGCAGCTGGATGCGGCTAAGGCGGCACATGGGGCGGAGAAGGACGCGCTTCTGGTGGGTTGGGGTGGTAGTGGGCGTGTGGATGATGGTGTGCCCAGCGCGGGTTCGCTTATTCCCCGTCCCTCTCCTCCATTCGGTTGATAATGCAATGGAAAAAATCATCTCTCCAATTATTCCTCCTCCTCCACCGCAGCCCTCCTCCCACTTCTTCCCCGCGCCCCTGTTTGCCTGTCTATACCATGATTGTAAGTCATTGGTCCCCGTCCCGCCCCCCTCGAAACCCTCCCTTCGGTGTCCCCCCCTGGGCAGGCTGAGCTAGACTACCTGGCGAACTATTCCGAGCGGGTTACGGAGCTGGTACGGCGTATGGAGACGGGTGTGGTGCCCGTCACGGAGCGAGGCAATGGCATCAAGGTCTTCAGGCTGCCGCAGCGCGAGCGGCCACCTCGCCTGGACGGTAATCGGCTTGCAGTGCTCAAGGAAAGGGCCGCCGACCTCCACGAGCGGCTCGTCGCCCTCAGCGCCGCCGCCGCCGCGGGCGGCGGCAGCACCCTCAGCGGCGGTCTGTCCACCGCCAGCCTCAACGGCACCGCGGCGGCGTCGGCGGCAGCGGCGGCGTCGGCAGCGGCGTCGGCAGGGAACGCTAACGGCAATCCGACGTTTGGCGGATGGGTTGGCATTGCCAACGCGGCGGGCAGTGGCGGCGGCGGCGCTCAGTCCTCCCCCGGCCGTGGCTCCAGCGGCATGCTCGGCTCCGTTGTCGTACACAGCTCAAGCGGCCATAACCCGCTGGGCTCGTCAGTGGACCTCGACGCGCTTCGCGCGCAGGTACTTGGGCGGGGGAATGATGCGTTGAGGCGGGGTGCACATGCACGAAATCCCGTGTTTTACCTATCGTATCCTGATCAGACATTCGAGTCAGTATAAGCTAAAAGCATGAATAGCATCCTTTTGTTGATGTAAGCTATCCATGGATACCCGTTGTGGACTGTGCCTCAAAGGTTTGCTGTGCTTATACTGTAGGCATTTTGTCTTTCATGCATAGCCATTACCGAAATATTATATGCTTTTTTGAAACGGGATTACAAATGGATCATTTTTTTGAAAATCTTGGGAGGAACTTTTACTTCTACAAGCTTTGTGGCCGGGCAGGTAGGGGTACATGCTGTGTCTAGCTGCCTGCTGCCTACATGTTGAGAGCAGCAGTCGTCCATCTCCCCGCGTTTCCCTTTCACCCCTGAGCCACATTAGTGTACCTTTCCCTTCCCCTCACCCTGGCAGCAGCTTCACTCCTTCGTGGTTCGTCTTTCCCCTCACCCCAACTCTCCTCCGCCCTTTCTTACAGCAGATGGTTCCGTAGGCCGCCGGCATTCCGTAGACGGCCGGCATTTGTTTCTTTGATTCTGATCACATCATCATTCAGAGCACCCCCATTTTTCTTCCCGCCTTGCACTCGCTCATCAGCTCCACTCGTTCGTGGTTCCCTGTCTTCCCCCTCGTGCACCTTGATCGTGTGCAGGTTGAGGCCGAGCTCAAGGCCCATGTGACCGCCCAGGTGGTTGGGGACCTGCGCAGCGAGAAGACCGTGGAATACATTCGAGAGCTGGAGACAGAAGTTGGGAGGTATCGCCAAGAGCTCCAGGTAGGGTCAGGAAACGACCTCACGAGGAAAAAAAATGAGACCAGGAGAAGAGGGAAAGTTGAAGTGGGGGATTGGGGTCAGATTTTGGTGCAATAATATTCTGTATTAACGCTTGCTCGCGATCGGCGTGATGTCACCTAGCATAAAGCACAGCCTCGCTGTCGCGAGTTAATTAGGTTTTTTAATATTTCGGTGCTGTCGCACTACTTGGCGACTCTATTTTATTATTTTCGTTAGTTTGTTTGTTAGGAGTTGGCAATAAAACGTTCGTATTTTTTTGAATAAAAAAAGTTTTGAATGGTGGGAGACCAGCAAGTAGGGTTGAATTTAATGGTCCTCCCTTTTCCCTCCGGCCACTGTCTCTCTCCCTCTCCCTCTTTGGCGGCTCTGTGCAGTCGGAGAAGAAGCGCAGTGCCGAAATGGCCGTGGCCCTCCGCAGCGTCCAGCGCCAGCACCAGCGGCCGCAGAGCCCCATTAACAAGGCCATCGCGGCCCACACACCCGCCGGGACGATCAAGCTCGCGCCCAGTTGGGGTTTGGGCCACACAACACCGCGCGGTAGCCCCGTCGCGGGTGGCGGTAGCGGCAGCGGTACGGCCTCGAGGCCCGCCACTGCAGGCCTGGCGCCGCTTGCGGAGCTGTCAACGTCGAACAACGGACGAGCATCAGGTGGGACAGGGTAGGGCAGAGGTAGGGCAGAGGTAGGGCACAGCTTACAGCAAAAGGAGTCCATGGGGGGCCAGAACGAAAAATAGGTCGAGGAGGATGTCGACCTGGTTGACCTGGTCGACCTGGTCGCAACTTTGACGCTTAAGTGGACTGGGACCGCAGCGCCAGGTCGGACCTGGGGCGAAGGCGGCCAACCCCGCCAACAGCAGGGATCCTAGGAATCCCAGTTTATATATACCTCTCGATGGTTCTAATAACTCTGATGGCGCCGGCTTCGCTGAAAAGTTGCGTCATTTTATATGTCGTTCCGCTCGAGGAGAATTGAACCTCTCTAATCTAATCAGTCGCACCTTTTCCCCTACCCCCCGCTTCCACTCCACAGCCCCAGGACCCTCCCGACGGCCTAGCACCAGCATGGCGGCCATGACCAGCAGCTTCAGAGAGAGCGGCATCGCCATCCCTTGACTGCGGGCGGTGCTGTCGCCGGCATCACAGCCATCGCCGTCGTCGTCGTCGTCGTCGCCGTCACCGCTGCACGTTGCCGCCGTGGCGGCGGTGGCACCGCGCCGGCAGCAGCACCCCCCGCTGTCACCCCGTACCGCTGAGCCTGATCGGCCTGTACTCCTCCGTCCACTTCGCTTGCAAGCCGCCACCGCTGGGGTGGGAGCCATCGCCGCCAAAGCATCGTAGCAGCTACTCTGTTGCTGCCATCGCCGCAGCCCGCGTGCATCATTGTGATTTGGGTTTCTGCATCACCCTATCACTTCTAGAGTAGAATTCTGTGTGTGTAACGTAGAGCAGTGTCTGCCGCGAGGTGGAGGCAGCCGAGGTGTTGGGTGACAATCTCAACGCGTTTGGGTGGCTGCTCATGTTATCGTATTCCGGGGTAAATGTCCCTGGCGCGACGTTAGGCTCAGCGTAAGATAGGCTCAACGACTTCCGTCGAAAGGGAAGCCAGGGGCTTCCTGATCAACATAAGGCCCCCCTCTTCTCGCAGCGGCAGAGCTGGCTGGCTGGCGGGTGGCTTAGGTGTTTAGGAAGCCCCTGGAAGCCCCTGTTTAGGAAGCCCCTGGCTCCCCCTCTTGGGAGCTGGGCTGCTGGGGCGGAGAGCGGCTTTTGTGTGCTAGCTGAGGGCCAGGATAGGGTCTGCAGCTCTGACATGGACCTGGAGCTTTCCACGGTGGCTGTCTATGGTTCTCCACGTCAGGCTCAGTTCACAGACGGTTGCGGAGTAGTGGGTTGCGTGCGGGCAAGGGGCGTTGAGGGATGGAGAGTTCTAGCGAGCATGCCATGCCTGGGGAATGCTGATGGGGATGTAAGCCTGGGGAAGGCTAATGGGTGGTGACAAGCATTTGGAATGGGCTCTGTTGGGCAAAAAGGTCGAGCGGAATTGTCTTTTTGCTAATGAGCCCAGTTAGTGGGGACTTTGGTACGGTGCAGGGTTCAACCTCGTGCTCATTGCTGTGGGAAGTTGTGGAGTCGGCTGGCCTATCACGTAGCCAGCTGAAACAAGCTTGCGCATTCGAAGGCTTTGCATGTACATGTGGCTTATGTGGAGAGTAGGCAAATGGTGGGCTGCGGTGATGCTCGACGTGCCCCGGATAGCGAGCATGTTCAAGGGTCGCTGCTAGAGTTGCAAGTACGATCTTCGATGTGGAGGACGTATCGCATGGTGAGACTGGCAGCGTGGGTGTGGGTGAGTGGGCAGGGGGTGATAAAGATAGGCTGACTGAAGCGGCGTCGGAGGGTGTGTGCTATGTATTGGGAAAGGTTTGGGGGTTGATGTAGTGTGTTGGTCGGTGACAATTGAAGATTCGGATGGTTTCAGGCGGTCATTATGCACTTCATCACACCTAGCATACGGTTGGTTGTTGCACTTGAGTTTGCTGGCTGCGCATATACGATTCATACGTTATGGATTGTACTCGGATTGGTACTGGCTCCTGCAGCACAGGGGTTTCGCTATAGATTTATTGCCTAGCTGTGCCGCTTTATCTTTCAGACAAACGAGAATCGGCGGGTACGATTCAATCCAGACCCTAGGGTCCGCTGGAATAGATGTAGTGATATCCATATTTATGTCCACCACCGCCACAATTTACCCTTAGCATCGCACATTGCAGCATGCCGGCCATCATTACTAACACATTCCCCAAATGTACCTGTAGTAGCATCTGCCATGCTGAACCCCGTCCGCGCCGTCCATGCAAATGTTGTTGGACAGCGACGTGCATACAATGGTGCTTATTTGGGCCGTTATATATGGAGAGTGCGAGGCCAGCGACGGCGCACTGAGACGTTACAACCAAACTTGCGGCGAATTACAGCCGCGCGACGGGAAAATCAGCCAAGAGGCTGGGCACCCAAAAATACGCGTCAAATACGCCCCTTCGATCAACGTGCCTGCGATCAGGCAGCGTTGTTCACCAGCCATAAGACCCCATGCATCCCCAGCAAAGACGAACGAAATGCTGCTTTCCTTAGAGCTTGCCCTCCTCAACCAAGGACTCCACGCGGAGGAGAACGAAGCCAATAGCCAGGCCCTGCATCGCGAGAGGTCAAGCAAGCAAATTATGACTTGACGATCGTAGGAGACACCTTTCACATCAATTCATGAGAGCATCCTAAACCAGACTTCATGGATTGTCAGTTTATGGATATGAGCCAAACGCCTTCGAGACGTCACCTACCACGAGGGTGATGCCGACCATGGTCAGGGCAGTGCCGGCAATGAAGCCGCCCTCGCCAGCAATCATGGCCAGCTCATTGATGGCCTTGGTGGCAACACCTCGGCTGGGAGCGGGAGCCTTCTGCCCCACAGTCCTGCACACCACGCAAGGAGCCGCGATTGAGCGACCTACCACGGCTACAGCGCTCAAGCTCCAAGCTTGTAACTTGAGGACAAAAATGCGTTACAAAGAAGCTACCTGAGGGTTGGGCGAACAGCTGGCCGGGCTGCAGCGACGCGGGTGGTCGCGCTGCGGGGAGCAGCGACGCCGCTGCAGGCGGTGCGAGCCAGGGACATGGCCATCTCTGCTGATGAAAAGTTAAAGGGGAGATGAGTCTGTCTGGCTAGCCTCAGTTGCGTGCTTGGGTAGGTTTCAGCCTAAGCGATAAGTGACCGTCATCTCACACAAGGCCCAGCTGAAGTGTACGGTTTACCCAGTGAAGCTTTTTGAAGGAGCCGTCCTCACTTGTTGTTTATCCTGACCAAGTAGTTTTGGATTTAGATTCTTGATTCTGCACTTGTTGAGGTCCTATTGTCAGTCCTTGTATGTGTATTAGCTCTTCATCGCTTTCACTTAATACTGCCAGTGCATATGTTACTGATAAGCAAATTTCTACACTCTTATAGCTAGTATGGCTTACCAGCTGGTCATCGGTGGGTGACTAGCTGAAGTCTTTTTCGGACACCCTTTGTACTGGAAAATTTCCATATCAATCTTCATGCACTGTAAACGGATTGGGTACATTACCTTTTTCAGTTGAGTTCGAGTTCTTGGTTGCTGCCTTGCCTCTTCCCCAACCCCAAACTACGGAAGGCCTTTGCAATGCTGTTGCAGCGGCCGTGGTGTATGTTAATTTTTGCAGCCCATCTTCTCTGCCTACGTTAGTTGATGCGCGATACAGGCAGCCTTATGGAATGTGTTGCGCCACAAGGAATTCGTAAGAATCTGAAGCAATGGTGTCTCAATGGCTCGGGTTGCACCTTGAAGTCACATTTGGATGACTTGTAGCTGCTGCCACCGCATGCCATCTCTCGGTATGGTATGCATGCGTTGCGGCAGAGGTCTTTTCAAACTGCTGCCCATTTGAGGTGGGGGCCTTGGGCAATGACAAAGACCATGAAGGCAAGAGGTCCATCGCCCCGCGGGTCACTAGCCGTAGCCCCCTAAAGGACCCGCGTAACGACAGCAATCTCATTAGCTGTCAGCCGCAAATAGCGAAATGTATAAAAGGTGCACGAAGAACATGAATCGCTTGAATTTTAGAGGAGGACGTTAGCCAAATCAGCACAGGTTAACCCCTTGACCGGACAAACTCGCTGTATTTCGAGACTACACCGTCGCTAAGTAATAAATGATGTTATCCTAAGAAGTAATGGTTCATTACTGGAAATGATATTGTGTCATTTTGTGTAAGGTCACCATTTTGGAACTGTTATGAGGAGCTGTCTTCTTGCCCCAGCTGAAAACACTCCGTAAAAATTGTTCCTGTTATGCAGTCTCATTCAACTACACTTCAATTTGAGCGGAACAAGCAGCATAGCGCCGCTCGTTTTCGGTCCAGGCTTCAGCTTCTTTCTTAGTAGTTTCCAACTCATTTCCATAAATAGATAAAATATGCAAGAAATGCATCCTTGCGGCAAACGTTGCATGCGTAGTGTCGGCTTGACTTCCCGGAGTGTTGCCCAATCCGTGGCAGCAAACACTCCGCTTCGGCTCTTCCCAGCTTCCAGGCATTCCGTCGCAGCAACCACTTACTGCTCCCTCAACAAAAAAGGGAATCTGCAAGAAGGCACTTCCACCACTTCTTCAAGTGGAGCCACATTGGGCCTGGCCAAATCGCTTCTGCGTGACGCGATGGCCGGTAGGTACCGCAAAGCCGTCGCAACCCGGTCAACAAGTCATCACGCCTACTCATATCTTCCTCAACCTCGCCCAATTCAATTCTCCTTCTCCTGCACTTTTCCATCAAACACCTCAATTAACACCTATCACCTCATGAGCGCCCGAGGCCGTCAGCCCCTCACGCAGGCGCTCCAGGCAACCCTGAGCTCCTGCCCCGCCCAGACCAGCTTCTTCCCCCTCTACGCCTCCCTCACCCTCGCTCTTGCCCCGCGTCTCCGCCCGCGAAACCCACCAGCTTTCTCCCCCCTAACCACCACAAGCGGCTCCAAAACCAGCCGGGCGGCCCCCGCCCAACGGGGGGCGGTAGCGACCGCACTCCCGGAGGACCTCCGAAGCGCCACCTACGCCATCGCTGCCACCAACGCCGTCATCTTCTTCATTTGCGCGCTGGTTCCCCTGCTGCCCGCCGCCGCGCTGCTCCTGAGCCACCGACAACCCCAGCCCTGGCAACTGCTCACCTCATCCTTCACGCACCCCAGCCTGGAGAGCCTCATTCAGTGCGTGTTTTTTACGTACATCTTTGGACGGGTGGTGGAAAGGAACCATGGGTCGCTGGCGACCTGGATAGTCTACGTCCTTTGTGGCGCAGGTGCGGGGTGCTAGGTGCAGTGTGCTGGCTGCCTAGCCTCGTGGCGGGATGGTGGTGGTGGCGGTTGGCGCTAGATACTGTGTGGGCGAGCCGGTCATGGCTGCTTATATGCACCTGGAGAAGGAGAGGCTTCAATCTTGAACACTCGTCGAAGCCTTTCCCTCCATTTTCACCTCACCCCTTAAAAGACGTTCGTTCTATTCCTTCACGAGGCGCGGCTTCGGACGTTTGGCCTGGAGGAGGATAGGAACGAAAATTGGGTACCAACAAACAGTGAGGAACACCAGTCGCCAGCAGCTGCTGCTACATCGCTACACTGCATATCTGCCTTCAAAACTGCTGGTTGTTGCGCGCAGACTGACCTGTGAAAAAAAACGCTATTTGATGCCTTCGTTGACCCTTCTACCTTCCAGAACCACTTTGTGGCTTTGTGGCCTCCCCGTTAACCTTTTCGCCTACCTGCCACAATCCCCTTAACCATCCTCCCCCGCCACCCTCCCCCACTAACCAGTCCCTTTTCCAAACCATCCCATGTCTCTGCCCTCTCCTCCCCGACACGCAGCCGCCGCAGCCCTTGCCTGGTGGCTGCTCCCCGCCAAGTCTGCTGCATTGCTGTCCTCCGCAGCCCCCGCAGCCTCCTGGGGGCTGTTCCTGGTTGGCATTGGACTGCCCCGGCTGACCAAGAAGCCGCTGGAGGTGGCATGTCTGCTGCCCTTCACCTTCGCGGCTACTGTGTCAAGGTGGGAACGGTGGGGAGGGCCGTAGGACGCAAAAGCAGCACGGAGACTATTCAAACTTATTTTCTTGATTAGGAAAAGACCGCAAAGGAGCATCACACAACACATCACATCACAGATCTCCAGGAGGAAGAAAAAAACTCCCGAGAAGCGCCCAGAAGGTCCCAGGAGGCTGAGAGGTCCGCGGCCCGTCTCAAAAGCCGCTATTGAATGCTGCTGCTTCGTCGTGCGTGGGGGATGAAGGGCGGGGGGGGGGAAATGGCGCCAGATGGACTAGGCGACGGAGACAGGACTCGAGTAATGGACACCCCGGCCGGGAAGGCATTGCCATCGCCCTTCTTAGTTTGGTTGTTATTTTATTGGCTTCGCGGCCCACGGGCCTTCATTCTCCGATCATTCTTATGTACTGTATGTATGTCGTGATTGCTCGGGCGTAATCCTTCCTCATGGCCTCGTGCCCCCCAACCCCTCATGCACCCCGCGGCGGTGTCCTCAGGTACTCGCCTCTGGCGGGACTGCTTGCTCACGAAGGCGCAGCCCAGGGCCAGCTCGTCCACGTGGCGGGGGCGTCCTTGGCGGCTATGGCGGCCGCGCTGGTGCTCGGGCTGGTGGAGGGGTGGCGGGAGGAGAAGCGGCGGAAGGAAACGGAAGCCAGGCGACAGGTGTGTGACGTACAGTGACACATTAGCGACGTGTGTCATGTGTATGTGTGTTGTAGGTGTGTGTTCTTCGCCGGGGCATGCGCGCCCAGGCAGCATGCCCCGCAGTCAGGGTGAGACGCGCATGCTGTATGCTTTGCGGTGCCAATGTGGCGGTTTACGGCGTGTGTGGTTGTGCGTCACTGTCGGGTGGCATCCTGGTATCGGGAGAGGCCCCGGGCACCTGAGCTAGGCTGAACTGAGCGGACCTGGCGCACTGATCGGTTGTCTTGCACGGGGATGTACGGGGATGTACGGACCCACAGGAGGCGGCAGCACGGGAGGAGGAGGCGCTGAATGCGATGATCAATGCCGCCAGTCAGGCCGCGGCGCAAATCGGCAAGAAGCTGTTGTAAAAAAGAGATGATCTGAGGCAAGCTGAGGAGCTGACTTCATCATGAGGGAATCTGGAGCTGAGCTGAGAATGCGCGGTGTTGATGACTGGCGCGGCTGATGTGGAATGAACTTGTTTGGCGCAAGGTGTGGTTTCGGAGTTTTGAGCACAACGAGAAAGCGTCCTCCGGCTTTCTGTTTACCTCCTGGCTTCAGGAGGAGTTGGGGGGACGAGGGAGGGAAAAGGGCATCCATTCCGCCTTACTTTTCCTTCTTTCTTTTCTTTCTTTTCTTTTTTACCCATAAACAAAGCTAGAAATGCTGCTTATCATTGCAAACGGTCAGTCTTGGACCGGAAAATGTACGATATGTACAGCATAGAGATTGTACATGAAAGCTGGAGCGGGGTTGGAAGGGAGGCGGATGATGATATGAAAGCGTTTTGCGCATCAGAGGGCCATAGCCAAGTACCTAACCAACTGACCAACCGAACAGTCCATGAGGTACCGAAGATGGTGCATGGAAGTGTATTAAATTTTTTCCATTCGCGAGTAGGTTACCGGATGAGGAAGTGTTGTTGTGTTTTACACGGGCCTCCCTTTCCATTCTTGCACACGCGCCGCGCGCGTATGTGTTTGTTTGTTTGTGTGTGTGTGTGTGTGTGCGTGTATGCTTGTGTGTGTGTGTGTGTATGCTTGTGTGTCGTGTACATTAGGTGCATACGCACTTCCGGTTCGTAGCATTAGCACAGACCTGTACAGAGCAAAAGAAGACCCGGCATCGGCTCAGCGGGGTCAAAGGAGTGACAGTGTGCTCGCGACTTCTGTTTTCCTTCGTAATGCGCTCACACCTTTATCGTTGACACACACAATATATAGTTCCTCGGGCCGCTGTGTCGCGCTCTGCTGATTTCCTTCGTAAAAGTTCATGGTTTGCGACTTCGTGGCTTGTGACTGAGTTTGATTAGGAGGGCTCATTTGTTCGTTGCAATCCCTGGAACAATTCTTCGCCGTCCTTTTATGTATGGTGCTGCTGTGCGACGTGGGTTGTGCAGTGCAGGCACGCCTGCATGCCTTGTCCACGTGGAACTTCGGTGTTGGGCCGTGCCCTCGGCCGCGCGCTGCACAATTGGGCGAGGGAGCACGGGACGTCAAAAGTAGAAGGGGGCAATCCAACCACGCATTTTGACAGGGTGCCCGGAACGCCAATCCAGCAGAGATGGCGCCAAAGGTGCTGTTACGACTACAGCTCTCTGTGTAGTTGCACGGTAGTTGCGATGCGGTGGTAGTTGCAACGACGGGTTTGTGAGGAGGAGGTTGCGGAATGGGTTGGGGGTATTGCGTAAAGATCAGAACACGTGCGATGCAAAAGGGGGTTGGCGTGGTAGCGGGACTGGGGGGGAGGCAAGGGTTGCCTTGGGCAAGGACCTGGCGTCACGTGTTACGTGGCAACGTGTAAAGAGAGAAGCTCTGCGAAAGTGTGCCGCGGCCTTCGTGAGCCTCCCTACATCTCACACAAAGAATCCGCACTCACGGCTTCGTGGCGCGTGTGAGGCGCGAAGAGGCGATGCGGGGTGCACCACACGTGTGTGTATGTGTGTGTGTGTGTTTTCCGTGCATCTGGGAATGTTTCGGGTTCTATCACAGATCCAAGAGATGGAGCATGAGGCGCGAGGGCAGGGCCGTTTTCGCTTCCGGGGTGTGCATACCTACCGGCAAAGTAGACACGACCTCCGTGGCCACCCACGCGATTCTGCGCCTTTGACGGGTCTCCGCATGCGGCGCAACATAGTATAGCATATAGCGCACATGTGTCCATGAAAGGTTTTACAACACCGCAGTGCGCCAGTGGGGTGTTTGGCCCGCACTTGTAGGACAGTATTGCTTGCCACCTTGTTGATTGCGCTCTCAAACCGGCCAGGTTAACATCAAGCACTCAAGTAAGGAAAGGTCCTTCGGCTCCTCGCTGCTGCTGGTGACCATGCTGACCTATTCAGGTTGTTGTCAACAGCAAAGCGCCGGAGCCTCTCAGCGTGTCCCATGACTGCCGACTCGCTTTTCGCTGGCATATGGGGTCTCCTTCGGTCACTTTCCAGCACAGATACCGGGCGGACGGGCACTACGACCCTCCTACTAAATGTTTCGAATGGAACCCTGGCTGCGTGTAGCAACCATGGTCGGTGAGTCTACGGATGGATGTAGTGCCAAGATTTCAACTTACGGGTGGGCCACTTGCCGCCATCGACAGGCACAGAAATCAGCATGGGAAGGCTTACAAAAAAGCAGGTCGCGAGAGCAACCCAGCGTCTTTCTTCTGTGGAACTCCGTTTAGTAGGACAAATTCGAAAAATTTGGGGATGCCACGTGAGCTCCGCAAGTCATGGTGGCCAGAACCCTCTCACATGGCCCCCATCAGGAAATGAGGAAACCGGCCCAACGGTGAGAGACTTCCTCCCACCTTAGTGACGACTTGACCCCAACGGTGCACAACAGTGTCAGTAAACAAGGACGACGCTTCCCAGCCCATCGGTACCGGTGATGTCTGTGCGCTGCCCGCGATCTGTACACAACTTCTCCTCCCCATACCCTTTCTGTCAACCCAAAAAGCCTCCGCAGCTATCTAGGCAAAACACCTCCCCGGTGCCCCAACCGCTGATTTGCTCTAATAACTATGAAAATAGCACCTGAAAAGGCACCTAAAGGCTTTCCTTATATTACCCTCCTTGTCGAGGCACGGGTTCTTCTTCTGGGCCCCGGCCGGGCCCCGCGCTGCAGCGTGCTTGGTTCACCTCACGATGACATGGCCGCAGCAGCGACACCGACTAGATCCCAATATCCACTCAAGCAACCACACGCAACGCCGCATACTGGTGATGAGAGACACATGACATCCAGAAGAGTGTTGTGTCTCATACTCCGCGCCCCACCGCTGCAGAACCCCTACAGTGAAACCTTTACACAACCCAAGCAAAACACACACGCAACCTGGAACCGAGCTGGGGCGCGCTCGCGGGCGGCGGGCGGACAGCACGACGCCACAGCCCTTAGTCACCATGCCGTAGGCTCCATGCCATTCCATTAACACGTGCAGGCCTCCGCACCCGGTAGCGGTCCGGTCCCTTCCGGGCAACACGCGCCCACGTAATGTCCAAGAAACACGTCGTGTGACCATGTCCTTTCTCAAGCCCGTCAATCGCCTGCAGGCCTTGACGCGCGGCCCAGAGCAGCGCACCCTTAGCACCGCAAGCAACTCCCACCGCTGGCTTTAAGCAGTGCCTTGTGCGCGGCCTTGCGGCTGCACTTGTCTATGCTTGCACCGAGCTTTGCCCCTACCTCCTGCCGCTGCCGCCCTTCGGTTTAAGCCATACAGAAGCATCCAACTTTCAGAGTGGCGCCGGTGTCTACCCTCGGCGCCTCGCCTTTTTGGACGAGCCCCCGGCTTGGGCAACCCCGGCGTGTTGTTGTTGTTGTTGCTGCTGCTGCCCCGCCTCTGGTCCCGCCACCCCTTCAATCAGGATGGGCAAGCAGACGCTGGCTGATTGGAAAGAGGGGTTAAGGGCCGGCAGCTTAGAAGTCAGGCCGCCTAAGCCACGCGCTCGCCTCTGGTTGTCTTATGCAAATGTTCAAGGTGACGGATGGACGGAAACAATGGACAGGGTGAAAAGTTCGTGCTGCAAGACGGTTTGGAGGATAAATGACAGCCGGCGTAACACCAGACCGGATATTGCCCTTCCTGATAGCACGCCTAGCAAGCACAGGCGAGGGGGGCACCGCATCGCCGGGGCCCTGCCAGGCCAACGCATTTGCGTGTTGCCCACAGGTCACCCCGCAGGCCTCACCCTCAGCTGGTAGCTCCCCGCAGGCCATCAAAGGGAAGAAGATCGTCGTAATTCGTTCAAGCTTTCTGAGATCCGTCTGCTGATCTGTCTTGAACTTCAGGCACTGCACCGCAGCAGCACAGATCTTTGAGCGCAAATACGCCGCCGCCATGTAAGATGATCAGGAGCCTAAAGCTGCCTCTAGACCCCATACGTGTTGCATTCTCTGCCTTGCATGGATGTAAGGCGTCAACACCGTCCCGAAAGCGCACCGTCCGATCGTCAGTAACCTTCAACACCAGCTCTCCTTGGCTGTGACGGAATTTAATAGAATATCTCGTTTCTGTAGGTCTAGCTTTATACAGTTCCACTGCTTGTTGGTAAAATGCTTCAAAGTCCTCGATATACATTTTAAGGCAATTACAAAGCGGTTACCTGTAGTTGCTCATAATTAAAAATTAGAGTTGAAAGTTAAGATGCATGGCAAGTCAACAGCAAGGGGATATCACACTTCCATGCATCTCGGTGCATGCCACTTGAGGCGGTTGGTTGTGTAGTTTGCACCACCGTACAAATTAGAAAGACTGCATACTGCGTGAGTAACCATTTCCAATACAATTCTTACAAGTTAAAGCATTCTTTTGGCCATATTATATAGTCGATACTCAGCGCCGCCCTCATCCCGTTCCGCAGCCTAGGCCTCAGCGCCGTCATGAACTCGGAGGCCGCCGCTCTTGAGCTCGAGACTCCAAGCAGCAGCTCACAATCGTCGCCGGAACCATATCAGGCATCTGGCTCGCCCAAAGCTGTGATAGTCTCACCGAAAGGGCAGCAGGAGCTCGCAGGGCAAGCGTTGAAAAACAAGAAATCAAAGCCTCAGGTAGGCCCTTGGATTTATTGAAGCTGAGCGGTCGCTGTGTGGTAGGCGTGCCAATGGGCGCGGGAAAACGCTAAGCGGGCTTGGGTATTCATCGTTGGGGAATTACAAAACACGTTTAAAGACTTTCATATGCGGTTTTCGGAATGTTTCGATCCAATACCATGGCTGCCTGTGGTGGCATCGCCATGTAAACCCCAAGACGCGTTAGATCTGGCTCGACCAGCATAGTTTCGCTTCGGATCATTCAACAGGCTCGCGATTGTCCCTCCCTTATTGAATGCCGGGCATGTCTGTGAAAATGTGTCCCCTGAAAAGTGCTTTGTGAAACGGTTATGCCCATCGATCACCAGCAATTTGTCGTACGGCCCGGACATGCTGTTCGGGCGCAAAGCCGTTTGGCCACTGCGGACCCTAAGCCAATCAGTTAGGCAACCGTCCTGCGCCTCACTCGACACTCAGTTAGGTCCCCTGGGATCCTCTAACACTTACTTTTCTGGTTTTCCTGGTTCGAGCCTTTCCGCTCATCGCACCCTGCAAATCAACTCGACCGCTTCCCATGGGACCACAGGATCCTTCGGCCGACTTTGTGAATGTGCTCAGCACACGTATCGAGGAGATTGAACGGGCGGTGGCAGCAGGACATGGCGGACCTGCAGAACGAGAGGCCGCCAAGGCCCGGAAAAAGCAGCTACGGGAGGTCGGTATACGCGCCAGATCATCCAGATCATTCTGATCACATCAGATCTCACACAGATACGCCATGAGTGGCGTCTCTAGCCCGTGTAGGAGGGGTCCGGCGTGGTTGGGGCATTGGGAGCGAAAGATGCTGGAAGATCAGGCTAGAGTGTTAACAGCCCTGCGCGGAGCCCGTCCCAGGTCGCTTTTGTTGGGTTTATGGCAAGGGTGTACATGCTTACATGCTGTACGTTAAGGGTCGATGGTCTGTTTTGAAACACAATGGCTGTGATAATGAAGCGTAGACGGGTTTACGTGCCGTGGCACTGCCCTTAGAGCATCAGGGTGCCTTTTTGTAGAGATCTCGTTGTTGTTGTTCGGTTGGTTGAGATTCGTGGTTGGAACCATCATGGATCCATGGCCGTCGTGGCACGTGAACACCTCCGCCTTTGAAGCAGCAGCAGCAGCGCTGCTTGCATGTCCTACGGAGGGTTTACACCTTGTCTACACCTTGCGACCCACATCAGAAACAGCCGCGAACGGCCTAATCATGGGGTTATAGTTTCGCCGCTAACGATGCGTCATGCGGCACCACCATTGCTGATGGGCAGCGAGTGTACATCGCGTTTCGGGGCGTGTGGGACGGGCTACGTAAGGTAACAGTTTTGGTGAGCAACACGCATAGCAAACCGGAAGTGAGGCGTGTGAACGGTCGCATCCTCGATGCTGCTTCATCTTACGCTGTGCTATTTATTATTGCTCCGCCTTTCCTGCTCGGTCGCCAGGTGGCTAAGTACTGCAGTGACCGGACCAACAGCGCGGAGGATCGCATCACGTTCATTCAACAAAAGTACACGCAGCAGGTACGGCAGCGGATAGATGGTTTGGAGTTCCCCTCACCTGCGAGCCCGCCTGCGGTTTGTCGGGGTTCTTACTATCTTGGCAAGGGGTGCGTTTGTTGAAGGGAAGTGGAGGCAGTCCGCCTTGCCGCGGCAACTGTATGGACAGCACTCCTAACCACGAGTTTCTGACATGCATCGAGAGAATATTAGAGGCGGAACGACTTGCGGTGCTCTACCAACGTTTGTTCGTAGCTTTGCCGGTTTGTCTGAAAGGAAACCGTCTCAGCAGTGAGCTGCCGGCGGTAGCATGCGTGGCATACAATTGGTACCATGCAGAAGGATGGTTATTGCATCTGCCGCTTCCGTCTGCAGCTTTCGGAGCTTTTGCGACTAGAGAGGCAGCTGCTGGACCTGCAAAGGGAGCACGAGACGGTGTCGAAGGAAAAGGACAAAGGTGAGGACCCCGTAGAGAACCTTCACTTCTAACTGGGAATGGACGATCTGATTCGATGTGTTTTGTTACGGCGGATTCGAGGGCACGTCAGGTGCAGATAGTGCCAAAAGTTTTATATTTGTGCGCTGCGAAGTAGCATGTTGAGTTATGAACCGCATGGTTTTGGGTCACTAATGTTGGCATCCGCCCTTAAACCCACGACCCATGTCCCGTGGGTCGGTCCACAACCTTACCTGCTGCTCCCCTGCAGTGCAGTCGGAGCTTAAGAAGACCAACCTCCTGAAGGATAAATTGGAGGAGCTGTGCAGACAGCTGCAGAAGGAGGCCCGGGAGGTACGTGGGCAGGACGGTACGACGCAAGGGCTGCGGGCACCTGATACGAAGGGAAAGGGTTCTGGGACCTGGATCCTGAATGGAATTTGATCGGATCTTGAGGGTATTCCAGAAAGGATGGATATTGCGGAGCCGGGGAGATCGTGCAGGGGCCGCGCTTCGTCTTGGCGTGCTCGGCAACGTGGGCGAGGTTGAGGGGGTTTCAAGGGGTTAAATTTAAATTTTTCGTTTTTCCTTGACATTGTGCTTTTTGCGATGCTGCATGCGCTTGTGGTGCAGGTTGCCGAGGACAGCCGACGGCGCAACGAGGAGGAGCTCCGGCAGCGGCAAGCGCTCCAGGCGAAATTCACGCAGGCAATAAATGTGAGGAGGAGGCGTAAGGAAAGGCGCTGTGTGTCCAGTCGCCCTGAGGGGCAGCGGTACTAGACATATCTGGCAGACACCTGAAGATGTGGACGGAGGCTGGATTCGTGCTGTAGGGGTTTGGCATGGCACATGATGTGATGACACGCATGGCAGACGCGGATGCGCAAATATTTCTAATATGTTCTGTGACATATCGGCATTGTTTCTGGCTGACCTCAAAAGCAGTGTTTTTGTTCCTGCAGAATGTATTGCTACTTGAGGATTGAAAAAACCTCGTTTAGATTTGGGCTGCATTGAATGCCACAGCGACATGGTCTTGTATGGTTCGCAGGAAGTGAGTGAGAAGATGGACGCTCAGGCATCGGAGCGGGCTCGGCAGCTAGCGGAAAACGAGGAGCTCAAGGCCAAGCTTGATTCATTCCTGGGGCAGTTTGAAAGCTTCAATGCGCTGGTGAGGTTGAATGCTATGCCGGGAATAGAGAAGAAATGGGAAGCTGTGTAAGTGGAGCATGTCGGACGTGCGGGTGCCATGCCAGGATGCGTGTGCGTGTCATCCTTGCGCAGGGGCCATGCTAATCTTCTCTGTATTTCTCCAATTTTAACATTTGTGCCAGGATGCAACGTTTAGCGGCAGCAAGCAACTTCCGGGGCGACGTTATGCCTCTTGATGCTGTATTACATGCATGTTTTGGAGTTGGGCTAGGTGGAGTCCACACTACGGGAGTTTAAGACCGGCACGGAGCTGTTTGTTTCTGAGGGCACAGAACGGGCGCGTGAAGAACCGTGTGTTGCTAGAGTGACGACACAGTCCAGTGCCTCGGCGCACCGATGCACTTCCGATCGGGCTGTGTGTGGCGTTATAACATGCCTTAAATTTGAAGCAGTAAGCGACGGGAAATGATTGCCTCACCTGGTTTCGGTGCGGTGTTTTTGATATGGCTATTGCAGGTCCAGCGAAAGGACTTGGAGCTGCAGCTAGCCAATGCCCGTGCCGAGCAGGCCACAGCGCTGGCGTCACAGCTGCAGCAGCGTGCGGATCTACTGCAGGTGGGTAACCGGGTGGCCTTTTGCGTATGTGCGGAGTTTGCTGTGGAGGCATATGCCATCCGTTTCAAACGCATCAGGCATTATGCATAGGAATGAAGGAAGATTGAATATGTACAAACTAGTGGTACGAAGGCAACTCTGGGTGCATGTATGCGATTTGGGTGCGTGGGAAATCTATTACGAAGTGCGCCCAGGGGTGCATGCCAGACGCTTTGCTGTTCGTCGCGGCGTTCGTTTGCCCTGGGGCACTGAGCACCCGCCTAGGCCAATTCAATGCCACAGTGCCAGTCGCACGGCATGCAGGGACGTCGTTCGACTGTTGGGTTCTGGCGGGCAGGTAGGCAGGGCCCACGTCTGTACACGGCAACCTGATAATAACTCTGTTTTGACCGCCGTAGCTACAAGCACGTGCACGTATGTCACGCGGCGAACGGCTCCTGATGGTCTTATCTGCCATCCTAAGCCTTTGCCTAGGCCCGTCGGTCCTAGGCGGTAACAAGTAGGGATCCAAGTCGGCGTGGAATGCCCGCCGGTGCATGATTAGCCTGAGGAATGGAGAAGTAAGAGCCGCTGCGATGCGGGGTCCGCGAGGGCCAGCGGGGGAGTCCTTGGTTGAATCCTGACACTTAGTAGACGCACCGGCCCCGTGTCTTTTCTCCACCGCAGGATGCCAACTCCAAGTATTCTGCAGCGATGGAGGTGAGGAGCGCAAAGAGCAAAACTTATTCTGCACGCTGAGAAGAGGGGCCATGCTTGGAATAAGCCATGGCGACACAGTAGCCCTTGTCCTCCTGAAATGTAGAACAGGATAGCATTTACATCATCTCCTCCTGGACCAGGAGAGTGTGTTCCAGTTGCTACAGGCGTATAGATATATAATATCCGTGTATGATGTCCGTTCCCTTTCCCAGGCCATTAAGCCTCAGCTGGTGGAGCTGGAGACTCTGCGGCAGCGCAACGCCTTGCTGACGGCCGCCAAGGATGAATTGCAAACCCAGCTTGAGCACTACGCAGACAAGTTTGCCGAGTTCCAGGACACGCTCACTAAGAGCAACGAGGTAAGAGGTATGGAACGGCCAGGTTGGCCGAGCTGCTGCGGATACTCTCCGCTGTGTTTGTGATTTCTCGTACAATATTATTAGAGGAAAGGAACTACGGAGCATGCGATCGTCTCTTGCTGACATGAAAGAAGTCATGGATACCCGGGAAGAGGGGAACAGCCCACTATTGCGGTCGCACCCGTACCGCAAGCGCGCAACCCCCTTGCGCGCATCCTGCTGGATTCTGTGCGCGCGCTGAAGTCGCGCAATCGCTACCCTGCTTATTTTCATGCGTTCTGTGGTGCGCTGTACAGACATTTGCCAGTTTGAGGGAGCAGATGGAGGCGGGGGCGAAGGCGCGCACAGTGCTAACCCGGGAGCGCGACGAGGCGCGGCGGCGGGCTGAGGCCAATGATCAGACCATCGTGGCGCTCGTGGAGGACCGTCTGCAGCTGAAGCAGCAGGTGCATAGGCTTCATATATCCGTGGGTTGGGTCGGGTTGGGAAGCGAACGGGATGCACATCCGCCAGGGTACTAAAAGCGGGTGCACGATGGAGGCGGATTGCTGAGGCGCGCATCAAGGGATTCTGCTTAATCGTGAGGATGCATGAAATTCTTGGGTTAAGAGAATGCTAACACTTTTCCTGGGATGTGCGTGCATATGTATATCATACTCGCTGTCCAGGTGGAAGCTCTGACGGGCAAGTTGCGCACCGAGACGGAAGAGCTTCGGAGAGCACGAGTCCAGAAGGAACGGCTGGAAGGCCTGTGCCGCGCACTGCAGTCGGAGCTGAAGGCAGCCAAGGCGGCGGCAGGCGGCACGGCCGCCGCAACAACGGCTGCCGCGAGCGCAGACACAGCGGCAACGGAAAGCGAGCGTTGTAATGTCGGCGATGGCAATGGCGATGGTGGCGACAGCAAGGCAGGAGAGGACAGCAGCAGCAGCTTTGGCGGCGGTGCGGACGCAAGTATGGAGACGGGTCCTTCTACAACGGAGGAGCACACCGGGAAGGAGGAAGGGCCAGGAAATGGGGCTGCTGCTGGCGTGAAGGCTGCCGAGGAGGTCGGAAGGCAGGAGGAGGGCCAGGGGGCCGAAGTGGAGAGCAAGGACGGCGACGAAGGGGACAATGCTGTGGCGGAGGCCGTTGTGCAGGTCGGGGTGGTTTCGCAGGCGCAGGCGGCAGCTGGCTATGGTGATGCGCTGGTGGACGGGCTTCCGAACGACCTCTATTAACAAGTGGTTGCTGCTAGCACAGAACGGAGGCTGGGTTGCGGGTGGATGAGAGAGATGTGAGCGGGCCGGGTGTGTAATGGCTGTGGAGTTCTGGCAGCTGTGTTGACGATTGATGACGTCTACCGTGTTTTCATGTCCTTAATTCTCTTCCCCTTTTCAAGCCCTTCCTTTTTCTCTCTTTCGGCGAAAGAGATGCAGGTTTTGGGTAGGTGCTCCGTGGAAGGGGATCAGGCGCGGAACAGGATACTTATCCTGCCGGGCATTATGGCATTTCAGGATCTGTTTAGGAGCTGCAACTCTCTTCATCAGGCTTTTGCAGCAATGTGCATGCATGGGATGAAGATTTTGTGTATCCTTTACAAGCTGGTTGGGAACTTATGGCAGTAGCAGTAGTGTTAGTTGGGTCGGTGCAGTAGGCGCAGCAGGGAGTGACAATTGAGCCAGGCACTGGGTCGGATGGCAGCGCATACTGAACGCTCAGGTTCGTCGCGCTAGCAGAGGGATGCAGTTGGACTTATCGCCTAAGTAACGAAATGGTTCTGAATAGCAGCCTTTGCGGCTCACTACGGTTAAAGTATTGGCGAGGGGACTATTGCGCAAAATATGGGGATCGTGGCTTTCAAGGATACAGCAACAGCGTGACGTACGCAGTTGAAGTAGTTAGTCGTGCCGAGGGGAGACAACTGAGGAGTGTTATACATGCTGCTCAAGGAAAGGCTATTGTAGCTTGCTCGTGACTTGGAGGAACAAGAAGGGGCAAAATGGGCACGGCGAAACTTTAACGCCGCTGGTCGAAATGGAAGCACCTGAGCTTACAGTAGGGTTACATTGCTCTAAAAGCACATTATTAGCGTGCGGAAGCCGTTATTAGGCGCAGCTGGGAACGCATGATCGGAAGTGCAAACTAATGTGGACATCTTATTGGCAACTGTCAGCAAGTACGATAGTGACTGAAGAGGCCCAGGTGCAAGGTTCGCCAACACCGGATAGCAACAAAAGCTACATCCATCTTACTTCTACAGCCTGCCAAGGAAACGAGATAGCGGACGTCACTCCTCGCACTGTTGCATCCGACTGGGAGCCCAGCAGAACTGCATATTGCCTATCGCTTTTCATCCCGTTATACATTTAACGTTTATGTCTTGGGGCCCCTTCTGGGGCCAGTTGAATTGCAATGAGCCAACAGGAACAGTTTATAGGTCTTTGCCTAGCCCTTAGCTCATCAATTTTCATCGGCGCTAGCTTTATTGTGAAAAAGAGAGGGCTCCGGATTGCAGCAGCGCAAGGGCTGAGAGCGGGTGCGGAGCTTCAGCTGTTACCAGACTGCCGACATGCACTGACTCAGCCATACCCACGCACAGGGGCCGGTGGATTTTCTTACCTGAAAGAGCCAGTCTGGTGGGCCGGGATGATGTCTATGGTGGTGGGCGAGGCGGCAAATTTCGCGGCTTATGCTTTTGCGCCTGCGATCTTGGTGACGCCGCTAGGGGCGCTCAGTATAATCGTCAGGTGGGGCATGATGCAAATGGCGATGCCCCACAAAAGCTTTCCCCCGGTTAACAAAACGCGGGTTTCGTGCGCAGTGCCGTGCTTGCACACATCGTGCTGCAAGAGAAGCTTAACATGTTCGGCAGCCTCGGGTGCCTTCTGTGCATCACGGGAAGCCTTACAATTGTGCTCCATGCTCCACCGGAGCGCCAGCTTAACTCCGTGATAGAGGTTTTCCAGCTAGCCATGCAGCCCGGTAAGTTGGAACGAGTGGCCGGGTACAGAAAAGGAGGTCGGGGAATCGGCACCTACAATTGTCGTGTTTGTCGAAAACTGGTTGCCCTTCAACAAACTTTAATGCCCACCCCGTCACCCCTTGTGTTGCTACACGCAGCGTTCCTTGGATATGCCGTGTTCTCCGTGTGCGTCATTATTTTTTTAATCCTCTTCGTGGCGCCCCAGCATGGAACCAGCAACATATTCGTGTACCTGGGTATTTGCTCATTGGCAGGCTCGCTGTCTGTGATGAGCTGCAAGGTGGGGTTTGTACGCATGGGGTAGCGGCCGTGGCCCACGGAGGGTTGGCAGGGCGGCTGCTGGCGGGGATTTTGCAGAACCAGTGAAGAGCCGCGTTGCTTATTGGACATACATCTGAGTTGACGAGTCGAGCCCCGCTGTAACACGGTTTACAGGAGGGTTCGATTCTATATTTATCAGGTATTGACTTTCAGGGTCTCCCTTCTACGGCAACACGGTCGGCCTGATTTGAGGAATGGTTTCCTGTAGTAGCCAAGTAAAATTGCAATGCTACTCTTGCCTTGCTGAAACGGCAACACGAACTGCAGGGCGCCGGGGCGCTATCACCTACCACCAGTTGTCGTTTGAAAGATTGTGCCTTGGCGTGTGTGATCCCCGCCTTGTACAAGTGCCTCGCTTTTTGACCCTGCATAAATGCTTTGCTTGCGTGCCGCCGCATTTGCATCGTAACCATGACAATGAGGAAGCGTTCCAACATTTACTTCCGACCTCCTCAGGCTTTGGGAATCGCACTCAAGCTGACATTCCAGGGTGACAACCAGCTCCTATTTGGGGAAACGTACGTCTGCATTCTGGTAAGTACTGGCTCAGGGACCAAGGGAACAATCCACAAGGGGAAGGCATCGCTTTCTGCCTGAGAACCGGGAAACTAGGGTCGGATTTCGATATTGAAGACCTAGATCCGCCGCATACTTCCCCTAGGTATGTTGGTCACTTCCAACGTCGCTGGGCCCGGACCCATTGCCATTCTTGCGATACCCTTCCCAATTAGGGGCCAGGGCTGGGGCTCTGCTTGGATTTGCTGCTGCTTCGGCAGTAAGCGGACGCGCATTACATTGACTGACTCACTCTGTCCCTAGACGGCCATCGTGCAAACCATGATAACTTGCTGTCTTCCGGATCCAAACAGGTGGTGGTAGCGTGCGTCATGACCCAGATGAACTACCTCAATAAAGCATTGGACCTGTTCAACACTGCTATCGTATCTCCCGTGTACTACGTTATGTTTACGTTGTTAACCATTTTAGCATCCATCATCATGTTCCGGGTGAGCTTGGGAGGGCGTTGGCCAAGAAGAGGTGGCAGGCAGCGTGTGATTCTGTGTAATCGGGCTGGGATATGCCAGGGACCCAGAACGGGAGACGTTCGGAGGTAACCGCACGTAGCACGGAAGGCATCATTTATAGTTATGATGGTCAACCGGATACGCTTTTTCCCCGCGCCGGTGGCCAGTAAAATGACGCACACGTGTGGTCCCGCACCCAAGTGAACCACCACGATGGCAGACGGAAAACAGGCTATGCGACGGCCTAGCGATACATGCCCAGCACAACCATGTTATGTCTGGGATTGTCCAGGGAATCTCTTGACAATGGGAGAGGAAATAGTCATCACACACTTCTATGTACATAGCATGCGTCCGTCCAAGCCATTGCCTCCACACGCAAATCAACCCCACATCTGTACGTCTTCCATTAATACACGTCTCGTCTCAGCGTCCACCATCATGATCTGCCGTGTCCAGTTGCTGTCCCCAGTCAACGTGGACCGCAACGCCCGCTTCCACCTGTGCCGCCTATTTACCCGTCGCTTGCTCCCAATCAACAGGACGTCCAAAGCGTAGAGCAAGTTCTGACCGAGGGCTGCGGCTTCGTGACCATCGTGGCCGGCACCTTCCTGCTCCACGCCACGAAGGATCTAGACGTGACGATCGTAGACTTGGGCCGGCTATTAAAAGACAAGGACACCACAATCGGCATCTTGTCACCGGGAGCCCCGCACTCGCAGCGGCGCGCACTTCTAGATCTAGACGAGGGAACACCCATGCTTCTTCACTCAGTCGACGTCGAGGGCTCGTCAGCCACCGATGCGATTTTGGGGAGCGGTCCCAGCACCAACGGCCGCAAGCTGATGGCTGGCCATTTACCCAAGAGATGACGACGTCTTGACCGTCCTCAGCATGCGACCCAGATCGGCTGGGATATGGGTCCGGCTAGAGAGGCGTTTTGCAGGGCACAGCGTCGATGGGGCTCGGCATCGGTGGAAATCCCCATTTTTGGCAAACGCCCCCCCCTCATGCATGATTGGGGATCATGAAGTACGCCGTGATTCCGAAAGGCTGGCTATTTTAAGTAGTGCAAGCGCAGCGTGGTCTTGCTGTAGCAGCGTAAACGAACGAAGTCATGGCACAAGGTCCCTCGTCTTCATTTTTACTGACGGCATAGACTCGACGGTGGTTGGCCACATGCGCCAGCACCCGGGTAGAAAATACGTAGCGCCACAAATTTGTGCTTGGAGCTGCACTGATTGATGGGCGTGGGACTAGTTTCCCAAGTCTCCCATCATGCTGAGGCTGCGGGGTCTTGGATGACTATTAACACAAAGTCGTCCTCTGAAATGATTGAGAATGGGGTGCAGCGGTGGTGGAAACGGGCCGTCAAGGTTTAGGTGCAGCAGCAGGGAGGTTTGTTAGTCTGGGGGCGACTAGTACGATGCATGGGTTGTAGTACCCTTTTTAGATTCGTTCTTTGAGCCTCCATTGGCTATGTACTTATCTAACTATGGCTAAGATAAACAGGTATTGCTTACTTGCAGCCACCATGATTTCGTGTTTATGAGACCGGACTCGCAGAAACTCGAGGTCGTTCTGCACGGTGACGTGGGTTTGGGGTTGGGGGGGTGTTATCCAGCAACGAATATGCAAACAGTGGTATGCGCCACCCAGGTGCGCGGATTGAACACAAATACTATTCTTAGGATGGTAAGATCTAGTGAAGGAACCCACCTGTGGGTCCAAATCCCGCACAAGGTTCCGCGCCAGGTCCGCGAGGCTGGGTATTAAGTCAGCATATTGCTTCGTCATTGCGTCCTGTAATGCCAAAACATAGAATGGAGTGCGTGCGTGAGTCATTGCAAGGAAGTGCGCCCATCGTATGTGGCCAAACTTACATGCTCGAACGTGCTTCGAAGCGGCACGCCCTGGTTGTTGACGATGATAACGCCAAGCACCCCCTGTACATGGAAATAATACATGATGAGCGATTATGAGACGCGCGTCGAGCCGCGTCCATGTTACCTTGTGGCCCTGTATCCTGGTCAGGGTTGACTCGATATCCGACTGCATGGCATATACAGAGTAATGAGAGCAATCCTAAGCACACAAAGGTTGTGTTGCTTGCCTACCATAACTGCTTGTTTCGGTAAAGCCGCGGTTGTCAATTACATGCAAACGTTGAGGTTTCAAGACAGTCAGAATGTTTCCATGAATGCCTTGATATGTGTAACCAATGCTGTGCTACATGTTCCTAACAAACATGACGGTTGAAAGCCTAGAGCAGCGAAACCGTACTTGCAGCCGTACGCGAGTATGTTCCCCACGATAACTCGAGCGTAAGTGTGCAAAGAGGCCCCTTGGATTAAACCCTTTTTGCCTGCATCAAGTATGGGACTCATCTGCATTTTTCGGCAGGCTCACGTTGGGCCTGGTTTGCTAAATGTTTAGCGCCCAATGCATCAATATTTAGTGCGCATTTGAAACCGTACAAATGGAAGGAGAATCTCTACGTCGGTTGCTGCAACTGAATGGCACCTCGCTGGCGGACGGGTCCTTACTCCTTAGTCTGCACCCCGACGGGTACGTCTTGTTGCATGCGGTACTCCCGGGAGAAGCTCTTCACAAGGGGCGTGTGTGGATTGGTGCCACGCGGCATGCTGGGGGTGACGAGAGTCATGGGGTGGCGGGGACGCAAAGACGTCCAGGCACGTGAACAGCCCACACGCAGAGCGCCGCGTGGGTATGTGCCCGAGGCGCTCCCCTTCCCCAACTCGCCTTCCCCCCATCTACCCGCGTCCTCCCCTCCATCTTCCTCAAGTATTCCATCTTTACCCTGTCTTGCGGATGCCGGTCAAACTCCTCTGGGCACTACACGCACGCCTGAGTACGTGCCCAGCAAGCTGCGCGGCACACAACGGGTCCTGCATCTGCCTCCCCAATTTACAACAACCCACAACACCCAATCCCGACCTCGCCAGACTAACTGACGGAGGTATACCACACTGGATTCAGTCAGTCAGTCAATCAGTCAGTCAATCAGTCAGTCAATCAGTCAGTCAATCAGTCAGTCAGTCAGTCTGTCGGTCAGTCAGTCAGTCAGTCAATCAGTAGGTCAGGGTGGTGAGGAATGCGGCATGCACCTCAGAGCCTCCCCCGAAAAGGCAACGAGCCCCGCCTCCCCTACTAGCTCACAGTAGCTGCCGGGGCCGCCTCCTCTCATCCCCCAAGCCACCCGCGTGTGCCTGGGGCCCCCTTCCCGCCTGCCTCCGCTATCCCTTGCATCAGGTCACGACTCGCGGCCGCCAGGGGCCCTACCCTGTGCGTGTGCCCGCTGCTCCCGGCGGGGGCCAGCTCCGCCTGTGCGACCTCAGGGCCTTCACGACGCGATGCTGACGCTGCTGCTGCTGCTGCTGCTTCTCAAGCCGACGCCCTTTCCCCGGAGGCATCCGAAGACTGCCAGAAGGATGGAAATAGCGATTATGGCGACGAGGAACAAAGACAGGAGGTGAGTACAGCCCCCCCCCCGGACGTCCAGTTGTGTGCCGTTCGTGTGCCAGTCCGCCAGTGCTAAATGCGCTTTAAATCCTGAGACTAATAAACGTACCTAGATGCTGCTGCGGACTGTAATACTGTCGTGCCGGTGTGGTTGATGATGTTGCCGCTTCTCAGGCGCTTCGGGATCGACAGGCGACTCACGGGCGCGCGGGGCCCCGCAGCAGCCCTATCCCCACTGCCGCGGCCGCGGCCGGGCCGCCACTGCCGCCCGTTCCTCTGCGCTTTACCTGCCCAGGCGCCAGTGGCCCTCCGGCTAGCTCACCAGACGATATCACTGCCCTAGCTTGGCTAGCCTTTGTCCGGCCGCCGTCACAGTCGCCCAGCTGCACCCCCAAGGAAGGCCGTGGCATCAGCAGCGGCACCGGAGGCGGCGGAGGCGGCGGTACGGCGGGGGCTCCAGGGTGGTTGGGTCGCAGTGCGAGTGGCCGTCGGCGAACGACCAGCTCCGGTGCCGGCGGTAGCGTTTTCGCAAGCATTCAGGTATAGGGGGACGGCATTAGCTTCCAAATTTCATTAATATGTTTTAATAAGATAGGCTTACAATAAATTTACAATTCTAACAACCAGATAATGTATAAATCAACCTCCTTGCGGTTGGAACGTTGTTGTACCGGATATATGTTGTGTGATGGGGAACGGGTGGACACCCTAGAGAGAGGGGTTGTAACTTGAAGTCCTGCAGCTTACGTCAGCAAAGGGAGGAAATGGATTTGATGGATTTTGTGGTGGTTGGATGGCCCGGGGGAGCAGGTGCTCGTCCAGCAGGTCCGGGTGGTGGTGGTGGTTGGGGGGGGTAAAGTGCCCTGGCTGCTGTAAATCCCTTCAAGCCGCCAGCATTCCGACCACGCTTAGGTCTTCTCAGTGGCCGCTGTTCCTCTCCCGTGTTTGCAAGGTGCCTTCTGCCCCGGTTCTGACCCGGTTGTTTTCAACATCGTGATTTTTTCACGGCTGTGTTTTTTCACTGTGTTTGGATCGCCACGGCACACGGTACGGCACCCAGGTCATGTTGGAGGACCACGAGCTGCAGCGGCAGCAGCAGGCAGCAGGTACTGCTGCCGTACCGCAGCACCCACACCCAGGCTACAGCCTTGTCGTACTGCTGTCTGGGACGCGAGGTGGAGCGCTACAGCTTCACCACGCGGACAGCGGTGCAGTGCTACTGCGACAACAGGTTCATCCCGGACCTGTGGTTAGCATCGCCGTAAGGACCTGGCGAATGGGTAAGTACGACATTGCACGACATCGTACGGTGGTGTGCCGTACGACGATGATGGCGTAGCAGAATGCGATGGTGGCACCTCTCCTGGCTTTCATCTCTATTTATCCGCTGCACCTTTCTGCGACGTGAAGTCTGCGACATGCTGCATAACGCTACTGCTCCAGTGATGTGGCGCTCCGTGGAATGGCTGTAGAGCTCCCTCACGACGCCGGAAGGTGTAAATATGTTTTTCTATGTTTGTATGTTTCTTGTTTTGTATATCGCGTATGTTCGTGTGGTTTATGTTTATGCGCAGTTATCCGTTCTGTGCGGCTTGCGCGCGTTGGTTAGTCATTGTCAAAAGTCAAAAGATGTCGGTGGTTTCTTTGTGATTACATTTGCGGGTTGCTGCTGGTGTCAAGACTGCCGTGGCGGCGGCGGCGGCGGTGGCGCCTTTCTCCTTCCCCTTCTTTTGGGTGCAGGTCTCAACCCCAACGAAGCTGCGGAGGATGTGACAGTGGGCTGGGTGGATGCGGTAGTACGACTGGCGTCCTGGGAGCTGCGTGCGGCCGCCACCACCTGCTACATGGCGCACACGGCAGCGGCCGCGAGGGCGCGGCGCGGTGATAGCGCAGGAAGCGGAGCTCGAGGAGGTGGCAGCGGACAGCCAATGTGAGCACAATTTGTTGTGTACATGTCGGTATGTCGGTAATGTCTGTGTCTGTACGTGGGGTTGATGAAAAGACCCGTCGCTATGCGCAATAGCGAGTGGTATGTACGGCCGTTTCTTCAGTAATCGCCTGTCCGTCCGTACATATGTATGTGAACACGTGTTCAGAATGTTACCATCGTTCGCGGGTATATGCCTTGGGCTCCGAAGCCATTTGTAAAAGGAAAGAGGAGGGAGCTGCAGGCTGTGGGAGGAGCTGCTGCCAGCGCCCACATGCCCCAAGGGTGCACCCGCACGGACTGACACCACGCACGATGTTATGTTGCAAGCTCGCGAGAGCTCGTAAGGCCCAGACGAGCCATGAGGCTCATGGACCACGCACCATGGTATAGATGGTACGGCACTCTCAATGGTACGGCACGCAGGTTCGGTCTGTGGGGCGCCTCCTCCTCCTCTGCCGGACCCGCCGGTCCCGAAATTAAACCTTTGGCGGTGCAAAAGTGGGAGATGTCGCCGGGAGCTGCTCGCGGTCGCTACAGCTCCGTTGTGTGTTGTGGGCAGCGGCCCCGGGACTTGTACTCACTTCTCCAGGTGGGTCGAGATGCCTGGTTACAACCCGCTTGGTTTTGGAGCCCAAAAATAATTCATAAAATATCATTTTTTTCACTTTTCAATGTAACAACATGGTGTGTCGGGATGTGTACATGTAGGGATTGTGGGGATTTGAACTAGGGTAAGAGTTATCTCCAGGACGGGAGGTCCTGTTTTTTCGGAGCCACGTCGCCAAGTTCGGTGACGGTTTCGTGAGGCCACCGCGCGGTGTGGCGGTGTGGCGGTGTGGGTCACCCGGTGGGCCCCTTCGCCGCGGCTGTGCCTCCCATCCCCTTCGTGAGCCACAATGTTCCCTAGGGAGGCTGCACCCGCATCACATCGCTCCATCGCGTACAGGCGGCGTCCGCCCTGGCTTTCCCTTTCCCGCCCTGTCTTTCCCCCCTGCCACATTCTTCCTTTACCTGCTCCCTTCACTTCCTCACTTTGAGGGGCTGCTGTTGCCGCCCAGGGCATTGGTTCGTCCTCGCCCACTGCCACCGGCAAGACCATCTTTCTGGCGGGTGAGCCACCAGGCTTGTGTACAGTACATAGGAGGGGTATGGTAGTGTGGGGTAGGGGATTAGGCGTGAAAGTGAGTGTGATGGTAGAGACGCAATATGCGTGGAAGAGGGCGGCAGGAGAGATGAGCATAACCGCTACAGGAGAGACGACTACAGCTCTTCCGAAGGGGGGAAGGAATGAAGTGGCGATGGGAAGGAGTCGTCCCGCGTTCCTAGGGGGCTACGTGTTGGGTGCCTGACTTGGGTCATGCTATGTATTTGTGTATTGCTGCGTATGCGTTACTCACTTTCTTGGGTTGCATGTCGCTTATGTAGCCAGTATTGTCGTTCGTCCGTCTCAAAGCGGGAGCCGTCGCTAACCAGACAGCTTCCTGTCAGCTCCCCAGGCGGAGGGCAGAGCTCTTGATGGATCTGTGGAAATGGAAATCTGTATACGCCTGTACAGCATGTAAACGCCATGTACAGCATGTATAAACTCGTAAAAAGTGTACAAGTGTACATGTTCATCTGTGAATATGTCGGAACATCTGTCTGCTGCGTGTTTTTTTTGTTTTTTTGTGTGTTATATTGTGAATACCGAGATGTATGTCGCCATGCAAGTCCATTAGCTTCTACTGCGCCATTGCCGCTGTAACACCTATGCACCCTTCGGCCTGGCGGTCTGTCATACGGCAGGGGGCAGGCGATCTTCTTGCCTGGCGGCGCTTGAAGTGGACGAGCAATCGTCCGGTGGCAGCGGCGGTGCATTGTCGTACATTAGTTCCGTAGCCACCAGCGTATGGGGGCTCGCCCGTACGGCGCGCAACGTGGCGACAGCGCCACTTTCGTTGCGTGATGGTGGGTGCAAACTGCAAAGCGACTGGACCTGAACCACACTTTTAAACCTTGGCCTTGCAACAAGAACCCTGCGAACCGTTTTGCTTCTAGCTCTGCAGGGTTTTATGAAGCTGCGTCATAGACAACTGGCTCCTATGTGGCTGATCCGTACTTGTAATGATGGCACAGCCAGTTCCAATCATTCCGCCAGTTCAGGCCATCCTGCTTGTAATCAGCGCCTGTCCTTGTTTGGCACTTTTTCTCTGTCTGCCTCCTCCGCTGTCAATCGCGACCCACTTTCCTGCATATCTTTCTTCGTCCGATTTCACCTCTTTAATATCCGCAGGACTAAAATCGCTGGTCATGAACCCGCTGCAGCTTGCGGGTGGCAGCGGTGCCGGTGCTGCTTCTGCCGCCGCCGCCGCCGCCGCCGCCACGCCGTTGGCGTCTTTTCCGGACGCCAATGCCGGTCAGCGACTGCCCGCCACCGGCGTGTGGCGGCAGTACCATGACGAGGGGCGTGCGGTGTTGTCGCTATCTCCAGCGCCCTACGGCTCACTGGTGGCGGCTGTGGACAGTTTGGGCAGGTTGCTGCTGGTGGAGGTCGGCGCGATGCTGGTCAGCAGGATGTGGAAGGTGCGGGGGCCGGGGTGAGGTGAGGTGAGAAGTAAACAAATGCTCTGAGGGGGGAGTTGAAGGGACGGAGCCTGGCGCTGCAGCCGCAGCGTTAGTCCCGAAAGGTGTGGTGTAGTGTTTCGTGGCGCTGTTCGCGAATCAGATTGGGAGCGGTTAAATCCCTCTCCGCTTCTGCGGCAGCGTCTCACGGTATGCGGATTTCGTGGAGGGGCTGCAGTCATTTACATCAACTCCATTTCGTACGCATCTCGTACGTCTTGAGGTGCACACTTTGGTGCCATCGTATCTTGCCTTCGCATGGCCGTCCTGACTTCTGAACCGTCAGCTCGCCTCGGCCGCACACTCACAAAATAGAGGCTTTTCTGTTGGGCCACTCGTCGTACAAGCTCGAGCTTTTGGGGGCCTTTGGGGCTTTTGGGTTCGCGTTGCTTCTTTCTCCCCTATTCCACTCTCCCGTTTTGGGCCTCCCACGACTGCTGCTTCCGTTTGCCATTGCCACTACTGCTGTCGCTGCGTCCTCTCCCCCGCGTTCTCTCTCGCCTGCAAGGGCTACCGCGACGCGCAGGTGGCATGGCTGGAGGTGCAAGCGCAAGCGGTAGCGAGGCTTCTGGAGCGGCAGCGGACGGCACAACGGAGCGACGTCTACGAGCCTCCGCTGCCGCCATCGCCGCAGCTGCAACAGCAGCAGAGCCGTTGCCAACCGCCGCCGTCACCACCGCAGCAGCGAGGGCAGCAGGATGCGGTGGGGGCTCCGGGGCTGGGGCCCAGTCCGGATCAAGGCAACGGCGGCGATGGTGGCACCAGTACTGGTGTCTCGTTTCAGTGCGACCGTAGCCGCCGTGGCACTGGGGGGCATGGTAATACGGCCAGCAGCGGCGGTGGCGCACATGGGAATGGACACGAACGGAACCGCAACCATGAAGATGGCGAGGGTCGGCATCATAAGAGAGGTCTGGTCTCGGGCAGGGCGACTCGCGATCGGGGGCAAACGCGACTGAACCATGGTTCAGATGTGGTGGCCAATAATGCCACCGGATCTGTTGCCGCAGCAGCCGCATCCGCAGCGTCCGAAGATATGCAGCAGCCGCTGTCATCGCCGCCGCAGCCGCCGCCTGCAGGGGAAGATGTGCGCGGATGCCAGGGTTCAGAGCATGTTCAAGGGTCTGGGGTTGATGAAGGATGCAGTGGCGGAGCTGGAGGCGCGGAGTATGTATTGCTGCTGGCAGTGTACGCGCCCCGGCGGCAAACACTGGAACTGTGGTTTCCGCTGCATGGTGAACGGCTGGCAGCAGTAGCGGCGCCGCCGAAGGCAAGGCTGATGCAGCGCGGTGGCGGTGGCGTCGGCTGTGGAGGGGAGCTGGGTACTTGGCGCGTCGCTGATGCCGCCAGCGCAGCATGGCCGCCGATGACCCCGACGGGCTGCATGATATGCTTTGCTGGCAGGGCGCCAAGGTTGAGGTTAGGGGCGGAGCTGGAGCCATCCAGCACGGAAAGCGGCTTCGAGGGTCTGGAGTTATTGGACGTGGGCACTTTGTTTGGCCTGACGTAAACTGCAACAGCAGACCCTACCAGAAAATGTTCGCTGGCATGCCATTTTCAGCATCATCGGCGTCTCGTATTCCAAGCTCTTACATATTTTTAACTTTTCGAGTTTATGCAAACGGACGCAGGTATGTTTCGGAGGCTCTGCAAGTTAAGGACGCATTAAAACTAGCTTCTTGCAAGCCGTAATGCGCGTTCTGACATATCGTTTAGTTTTATAGTAGCTATGGGTTCGCCGGACGGGACAGGCCGGATATGCAACCCGAAACAACCAAGGAGAATCTGTGTTCAAGTCTTCCAGGAGAAGACGTGTCTTTGCGTCAACCATGACGCACGTTTGTGATGAATTACTACAACATTGTAATAATTATACTAATTGTGAGTATGGGTGGCCGAACGCCAAATGTGACGAGCGAAAGACAGCTTAGTAAGAAGGGTCTTGCTTCAATACGAGAGTATTACGAGAGTGCATACCAGCTAACTCTTATATCAACCCTTTTTAATTGTTGCCGTACCGTGCAAAATTTGAAGTGCTGGCCCCAGGCCGCGCAAGGACAACCAAACGAGCGGACTTGCTCCGGAGCCACGTGATATGCGCGGGGAAACATTTCGCTGTGCGATAAAATGAAAGCTATGAAGTTAGGCTATTGTAAGATTTCGATTCCACAGCTTCTCTACAAGCGCCAGCTGTGCTGTGCTCTTAAACGAATAGCGATGGAGATTCTTGCTGAGAGCAACGAAAACGTTACCAGGGATGCGCCATTGTCGTCTGGCAAGCCCGCAAAAATGCCACGGATAGAAGGCGAGGAAAAGCTGCTTGTTAAGAAGCTGTCGGACAAGGCAACGCTGCCAAAGCGAGGTTCCGCGGGAGCAGCTGGATACGATTTGTCAAGGTAAAAGGCCTGGAAGAGTCTAAAACCATCGCAATTGTCCAACGTCTTCCGATCCTGGTTGGCATTCGTAGCGCGGAGGACACGGTCATCCCCGCTCGCGGGAAGGCGCTCGTCAAGACGGACATCTCCATCCGCGTTCCCAAGGGCACCTATGGACGTGTTGCTCCGCGTTCGGGCCTGGCCGCCAAGAACTTCATCGATACTGGTGCGGGCGTCATTGACGAGGACTATCGAGGCAACGTCGGCGTCCTCCTCTTCAACCATTCAGACACGGACTTCCCCGGTATGTGCTGACTCAGAATCCCTTCCGCCTCAAGAGCCACATCCCTTGACTGTAATCCGCTGTAGGTCTCCCTTGCTGGGCCTTCTGCAATACGTGCCTCGCATATCAACATGTGCACATGCCATCAGATATTTGTCCCCCTTAGCTTCGAACCTTATTGCAAACGCACTTAGGTCAATATTATCATTAGGACTTCACCAGTAATTGAAAGCATTTAAATTTCACACTACCTTCTGTGTTCCATGCACGTCGCAGTCAAAGTTGGCGATCGCGTCGCGCAGCTCGTGTTGGAAAAGATCACCACACCGGACGTTGAGGAGGTTGAGGAATTGGATGCCACGGAGCGAGGTGCCAACGGCTACGGCTCGACCGGCGTTGCAGCTAGCTAGTTGACATGCTTTGCAGGGAGGATCTGATGTTTCCCACATCCGTAGCCATGCTAGTTAGACATATCCGCTATGAGTTCGTCTTCTGCCGGACTTCTGTGGACACAGAACGTCAGGTGTCTTTAGATGTTGGAGCAATGCAGGGAGGAGTTTTCCGCAAACGCTTTTGAAACCTTTATTTGTTCGTTTTTGATTGGCAAGTCAGAGCGTTATCATGGGCAGTAGCAATGGATCGAATATAGCATTGGATGGTTGCGTTCTGCATTCCCTCGTCGTGAATTTGGGCAGCATCGGACTTCGTGCAGGTTGGCTGACGAAATGCGGGCGGATGCGGCTGTTGGTCATTCGTTCCTGGCGCATTGTTCGCCCATGTAAGGAAAAATGTCTGTCTTTCAAGCCCGCGGCCACTCACATGAGTGCAAGGACTTATGCAGAAATGGAGGAGCAGCGGATCTTACCACGCTATCCGCCTTTCACTGCGTAGGTTTCCGACGGTTGACTGGACGAAGCAGTCGAACAACCGACAAACAAACGACCCAGGCAAATCGCAATGCGCAACCAAAGGAACGCCGTGCGGAAGAAGGCTTTAAAATTTTACCTTGGTATGCGATGTGGATATGCCTACAACGCCAGCAAAAGAGACAAATGGTTACGAATCTGTGGCAATTGTACAGCTCTTAGTGCAAAATTGACTATATTATCGTACGTTGCTTTGCAGCAAGAATAGGGAATTAGCAACAAAGGGTCATTCATGGCAAAGGCGGCAAGCAACGTCCGGGTCGACACGTGCCAGCGCGTGCCTTTATGGCTGAGACACACGACCGCACATGTTGACAGACTGAAGAAAAGTTCTAATACATGTGTCAGGTATAATGATTATATAGCCTGATGAATTGCAGGTAAGAATGCTAGTTTATTGATAGTTCGTTCGTGTGATGATGTATGCTGCTGCCCGAAAAATTCAAGTATGATGTCAATTAACCTGCATGCATTTCCGCAAATGCGAAATAAACTCGAACGGCGACGCACTCTGGACATGTGGTACCTAGGGGCCGTGCCGCTGCTGCTGCTGCAGCTTGCAGCGCTCACTCGCCGGACGTATTCTTATCCAGACCTCATCGAAGACTTTACCAGTTGCCATGACCACCCCACTAGGGCGGAGGTGTATCCACACCACTGGTTTGTTGTCCCGGATCCGATTGGAACGGCCTGGACAGCGTATCTCGGCGGCGAACTGCTCGATAGCCGCCTGTGTCCGGGTCACGCGCACACCATCACGGTAAGCAGGCTGCCAGTCGACCGATGAGGGGCTCTATTACCAAATAACTAAATTTTTATTTAATTTGATTCAAAACTTAATAAGTTTAAGAACAGTAATGAGTATTACCTCCAAACCTGATGGCGCCTTCACGAGCTGGCGAGTAAGCGTAAAGCGCTCAAAATTTCTGGCTTTGTCTATCGCTTTCTCGCCTCTTTATTCACAGGTCTCCTACACGGCTCGCAACGGCGCTCCCGACAAGCGGCGGGCGCTGTTAACGAGCACCTTGGGCACCGTTCACAGCCCTTCCGGCCAGGACTGGGAGTTAGGGTACTTTCGGGACCCTCGCTGCGAGAACCGCATAATCCTAGCACCTCACAGCAACACGCTGCCGGGCTACATTGAGGTGTGGAGGCCATGTGGTCCGCGTGTGTTTACATGTCTTGGTGGGGAGTTGGGAAATTTACATTTCGTGGAGTTCTGTCTCTGCGGTCGTGTGGGTGCAGCTGTAGGTAACGTACAGTGGGCGCACCAGCAAGGTCCTACCGTATCGGGTTGCTGGGGTAACCAGCAGATTCACGGTGGGGACTCGGCTGTTTCATGCTGTGCGGATCTCGCTGCGTGACTTACATGCACTCGCCAGCCTCAGTTAATTACCTACCTACTCCTCCTTTTGGCAACCCACCAACCAACCTACCTACCTACCTACTTATTGACCTACCTGCAAACCTACCTAACTACCTTTAACTGACATCGGACGCTCCCGAATGTGCTGCTGCAGCCTGATGAAGAGATTTTCTCGTCGTACGATGTACAATTGAGACTGCCGTGCAATGCGGCAGGGAGGACGGTGGTGTTGAAATCGTCTTCTGCAACGCACGAGTGCTTGACGAACTGCGGCTACTCCAATGTCATGTGAGCGGGCGGATGAGCTAGCTGGCCGTGGCGGGGAGTCTGCACAATAACCATGACCCTGTCCAAGTACCCCTGTTAAGGGTCCCATTGGTTGGTTTTTACTCTGCACTTGCTTAGCTGTCTATCAGTTGCTCTGCTACACTTCCGCATAGCTGCACAGCTACTCGCGTGTGTATTAGCTGTACCGCCTCTTCCCCGCGACTGACGGCGAACGTTGTATCATGCAGGGTGTCGAACTGGACTGTGATGGTTGATCCAGCTTGCGCAGCACCGGCATGCAGGCCGACGGGACCGCCGCCGCCACGCCCGCCGCCACGATCTCCACTGCCGCTGCCCCCAAGACCATCGCCAAGGCCGCCGCTGCCTTCGCCTCCGTCACCGCTGTCGCCGCCGCCACAGCCGTCACCGCCATCCGCGCCTCTTCCCTTCCCACCTCTCCCCCCCTCACAACCACGGAACGTCAATGCGCCCTTCGAGCCGCCCGCGAACCCTCGACCGACGTCATTGCCGCTACCTATACCGCCTTCACCATTGCCTTCACCACCGCCGCCTTCATCTCCTCTGCCGCCCTCGTTGCCTCCGTCGCTGCCCCCGCCGCCGCCGCCGCCTCCACCGCCCCCACCAAGTCCGTTGCCGCCGCCACCGCTATCGCCAGACGCTCCGCCTTCTCCACGCCCGCCACGACGTCCTCCGGCTCCTCCTAGGCCGCCGTACGCCCCGCGCCAATTGGTTGACTTTATGATGGATCCACCCTCGCTTCCCACCCCTCCGCAGCCGCCCGCTCCGCCAGCTGCCTGTGAGGTGTCCACTCTCGGCTACGCCTGCTCTAAAGCTCTAGGGAAGGTGATTGTACATTGGACGATCGGCGGTTCCGTGCCTCCATCTAATAAATGTACGGGGACAGGCAGCAGCGACATTATCAGCAAAACGCAGCAGCAGCAACAGGAGCTGGGGAAGTTGGTGCATTTTGCTGTGGAGGCGGCAGTAGGCGGCTACGTGTCCCTGGGTTTCCCGGAAAATGCAGCACGGATGTACGACGCTGATGTAATCCTCGGGTGGGTCCTATGAAGTCCAAGCTCAAGCCCCCAGTAGGCACTTAAGACGGGGCGCTCGATGCTGCTGGGGAGTAGTTGTCAGCCTACCTAGGGGCTCGACATTTGCGAGGCCGCCAAAAGCCCCGAAATATGGCACCGGAAATGCGTTGGAAATACCTTGGAACGCACCTTGAAGCTGAAAGGTTCAAATTTTTATGACCACATATTGCGACACCCAAAAAGGCATATCCAGCAGCTTTCACTGGGAGCTCCGCTCCCAGCCGGCCGATCCCACCACCACCAACAACAACACCATCACTACCCCGCAACGAAGGGATATCACCAGTTTGCAAATCCCAAGCAGCAGAGGGCAACTCGTTGAACTGTGCTGGGGCGCGCCTTGCCTTTGACGTGTCCCTAATTTGTCCGTTCTCTTGTTTAAGAGCCATTCTGCTAGGAGTGATACGCCAAGGCACCTACTGGGTATGCATGTATGTAAATGCAGGTGGGTGAACGCCGACGGTCGCGGAGTCGTGAATACCTACCACGTGACGTCGTACGAGATGACGGCCGCGGACGTCGTGAGTCCCAGTTGGGCGATCGGGGCTGCAGTGGTGGAGGAGAAGCGAGCCGGCCCCGGTGACGCAGCCCCGAAACCCTATACCACGATGTGCTTTAGCCGCGCGGTTTCGGATCCCCGGGCCAAGAGCTCGTCGCGCTTACTGGACCTTGAATCTTCTCAACAGGCAAGTGCGCAGGCGCCACATCTGATGGTAGCATGCCCAGGAAAAGATCTGCCGTAATGCCCCGCTTCGTAGCCTGATACAACGGGCACACAGTGCTGCACATCCCCCCAATAAAAGACACCCAGGAAGGATGTCCTTACCCTTCCTGTTGATGTACTTCAATAGCAAAGCTTTTTATGTTATGTATTTTGTATTGGATATAATGCTTCGTAAAATTAGGGCTACCGGGATTCGAAGAGGGATCGAGGGTAGGGGGCCTTTCTAGGGGCGAGCATTAAAAAAAACGAATCGAACCAGTCAAACGTCGTCCGATAGATTTATCTATAGGAAATTGAGTCTTGTTAATAAGAGATCAATTAGTGTTATTAATGATTAAATTCAAAGTTCAGGATTGTAAGTCTTGGGATGTGTACGTACCGACAGGGCGTTCTCAAGTACAGCTGGGCAGTCAGTCCTGAGGACGGCCTGGTTGAGCACCCGGCGGACGGCTTCGGAGGCGGGCTTGTGGATCTGCGTTCCGGAGTGGTCACGGAGCTGGACGTGGTCTCTAACCGTCGCCGTGCTGCCGTACTGGCGCATGGTGTGCTGATGACGATTGCCTGGGTGCTGCTGCTGCCGATCGGGGCCATGGTGCCCGCACATAGGTACGATTTGGGTATGGGGCCGTGGGGGGGGGCCCATGCAACCGGACTCGAGGATTTAAAAAGGGGGGAAAGTGAATGGGAAGGTAAGGATTGAAGGATCCCTAAATAGATGATGGGCGAATGTCAGGGAGGACGCACTGAGCGCATTTTAAACAGTTTTCTCTGTCAGCATACAGCGGCCTTCCTATTTGATGTTCAGAACAGCAGGCAAAAGCTTATGTCGCAACGTTTTGTCCTCGCCTCTGCATGTAAGCACACGTATGTATGCATGTCCGTCGATGGTATTCGCTCTTCGGTAAATCATTACAATTAAAACTAAATAAATTCCTTTAATTAAAACTAAAATTCTTATAATAATATAATTCTCGCTCGTCAAAATCCTCAGGTGGCTGTTCGATGGACGGCAAGTTGGCGGCAAGGCGCTGTGGTATTGGACCCATATAGGCATGCAGCTAGGCGGCTTTGGGACCTTCGCTGTGGGCTTCGTTTTGGCGATGGCGTATTTTCGCCGGCCAGGCTCGTCAGACTCCTTGCACTTCACGCACGCAGCCATTGGGTGGGTGGAGCGTTCCGTTAGGGTTGGAATTGCCTGTGTTCATTTGAGGTGGAGGACGTGTGCGGAAAGTAAATCTAAGTTTCGAATGATGTAAGGCAAGCAAGGTGGGCCCGTCATGGGCGCGCTTTGATGACACACGGGCGGTCACGCATTCGTGTAATGTGGAGTCGTGCTTTGGGGCTGTTTACGTGCCTGCTTGCCTACTGGATATTAAAAACACATTCGCAGTCTAACCATCGCGGTCAATTCATATCCGTTATTCGCTCAATCTTTTCCCCGCATCCGCCCGCCCACGCAGGTATGTGGTAGCGGGGCTTGCGGCACTACAGGTCATCCTGGCCTTCGTACGACCCGACCCCGGCACCAAGATGCGGGAATTCGTCTGGAATCCCGTACACAAGCTCGGAGGCCGTGCCTGTACCCTGGTGGCTTGGTGTGCCGTACTTACAGGCATCGTCCTACATCGTGACATGGTGTACCGCGGACCCGTCGTCCCGTGGGTCGTTCCAGTGGCGATCGTCATGGGCCTCATTCTGCTAGTTGATTCTTGGCTCCGAGATCTTGGCGCTCATCGGTTAGCAGCGCCTGTGGCTGTTACGAAAGCCGGGGCAGTGGCAGCAGGGACGGGGATGCCGTACCTGCCTGCCATACAGGTAGCTGCTCCGGGCAACGGGTTCGGTACGGCCAGCGACAGGATGGCGGGCAGGTTTGGGGTCGGAACTCTGGATGCTTCGGCTGCCATGCAAATGCCTCCGCCGGTTTCGTCGGAGCCGAAGTCTCGGGGTACCGTAGCCCCGGCAGTGCGCTCCGGCATGAGCACCAGCAGCAGCGGGGTGAGCAGCAGCGGCCAGACGGCCATTCAGGTTGCGGTTGGACCGGATCACCCGAGTCATATGCGGTGATGACTTGCTTTGGAGGCGTAGCTGCCGGGCGACACAGTGCATGTCTGTACGCGTGTTGTTTTGTGTGTATGTGTGAGAGAGTGCCTGCTGGTGTGTAATACAGAGGATGATAGAGTACATTGCGTGCTTGCTACTTGCTGCAGCAATTCTCAGCTCGACACACGCGACGAAGAATAGAATGAACGGAGTAGTGCTAAGAGACGAAAATGCATATGGTAGGTATTATATATACACATACGCACATGCAAATGCAGGTGAGGAAGCCTTCGTGAGGACGCCCTGGTTGGTGCAGTGCAATCGGACGAGTGTAATAGTAACAACGCTCGAATATATAGCACCACACGGCAGCACATCATCACGGGTCAGGCATCATTCAGCCGCGCCACTTGCTTAGTGGATGGCCGGAATGGTGTTAGCACCATTCTTATTGCGTGATGTGGTGTAAAAACACATAGGTTTGCGTGTTTTAAGTACATGTGTGTGTGTCTGTGTGTGTGTGTGTGTTACACCTCCTGGAGTTGCGTTACTCTCCGGACGTGTAACGGGCCCATACGAGCCCTGAGAGGGCTCCAAGGGTCAGCAGCCTAGGGCTCTCCAAAAAGGACATACATACGTGTGAGAGGTGAGAGGGGGTGTGCGAACACAGCAGCAGTTGTGCATGAAGCAGGCCAGCGGCGGCGCTCACCTGCACCGCTGGGCAGCAGCGGCGGGGTCGAGTTGTTTGTTGGTTGGCATCCTCTTCACTCATAAGACGCAGGCATCCAATTCATGGCGCACATGCACACGACCGTCCATTGTGATTATTTGTAATGGGCACTTGTCTTGTATGCTTGCATGCATGTATGTGCTCATCGTAAGCACGCGTCGTGGTTCGTTCGCCACATGTTTAGTTTGCCTGCAGCAGGCGGGTGGATATGTAGGAGCTTTAGATGGGTAGATGGTGGTTTACTACAAACATGTCGTACCGCCTGTGATGGCACAAGGTAATTGGTCGGTAATGATGGTACAAGGAATTGATGCGAGCACGGCATCATGGACGCGCCCTGGAATGCGGCTGGATGGCAAGGGGAGGCGATCTGGGTTGCTTGGGCGCGATGGCAACCTCGCCCAGTGGGCATAGGAGCGAGGAGCTTGGTTGTCTTGGACAGATGGGGCGGAGCACGTGCTCGGTAGGCGCGGGATGTACACGTACGTGCGTGTGTGCATGCGGAACACATGCGGACAGGAAGTGCCCCGGCAGGGGCCGACGTGGCGTAGAATCTGCTCGACCCGCTAAATCTCTCTTTTCACTTGTTTCGATCTCTCTCTTTTCACTTATTGCTAATGAGTGATATGTTCGGTGATATCTTTGCTTTCTCTGCTGTTCGGAGGCCTCGCTCCATCCGCGCTTGCATGGCGATTATTATCGCGACAAGCTGTACGCTGCTTTTTTGTTCTTTTTTTAAGTTTAATGGGCGAGCGAGGTCATAATCTTTTATATTATGGCACGCCTGTAATAGTTTTGGTCGTCTTAAGATCGCACCCTGGTTTAGTAATAGGATGGACAGTAGTCCATATTCATTAGACCAGGGCTCGCTCTATGGAATATCAATTTTTTATCAGACGGCGGCAGATGACATGGAGGTGTGCCTAGTTGGTGGGGTGTTACACTGTGGGCGGCTCGTCTCAAGTGAGGTTGAGCACCGGGGGCCCTGACCAGGCCGAAACACAGCGCAGGGGCGGGCGCTTAGTGTCTATTCTCTCTCTCTTTTCCTGATGATCGCAAGGTTTTGCTACATGTTGCGGTTTCTCCCTGATTTCTTGTGTGGTCTGCTGATTATTTATTGGGCTTTGTTTGCTTCCACATGTCTCTGTCTTGCTTTTCCACGACATATACTTTTGGAGTAATTTGGATACAATTAGTATGTAAGAAGGGCACACGCTAGAAAGTATTTGATAAGTGACACAGTTAACAAACATGCCGGTGCGCCGTATAAGCGATCTTCTTTATACGTGACTACGATCAGTGGGTAGTGAGCATGCACAGGCTGATGCCCGGCGCACCGGTAAATTACGTGGCCCGGTGCTCAGCTTGCTCCACCGTGCTCAGGGCGCTAGTCGGTCCCAAACTTTCAAAACATATTAACATGCTAATAACGCGTCCAACCAACCTTCTAAACTCAAGAAATTAGTACCCCCCAACAGACTTCACCGGTGCACCCGTGGTGAGCATGCTCAGTGGGTAGGTCGTGCCCCAGTGTTGCTGCTGATGAGAGGCGCTACCTGGTCTTGCACTGACCCAGGCTGACCGCGGAGCACGTGAGGAATGAGCTGGCACTCTCATAACCGGTGCACCGGTGAAGTCTGTGCTAAACTCCGGGGGTACTAATTTCTTGAGTTTAGGAAGTTTGTAGGACGCGTTATTAGCATGTTTGTTATGTTTAAAAGTTTGGGACCGACTAGCGGCCTGAGCACGATGGAGCAAGCTGAGCACCGGGCCACCGGGCATCAGCCTGTGCATATGCTCACTACCGGTGCACCGGAATGTTCGATACCTCTGTGCCACCCCAAATCAGATTGATTAATGATGATGTTTTTTCATTCATGCGTATGCGTGCATTTTTAAAGCTTCTTTCGGCATCGCTTGGACGCACTTGCGTGTCTATCCAACGTGACGTACGAACGCACACGATGCGAATCTTGAAAGAAAGGTGTGACTCACACCTTTCGTAAGCTCGGAGCTTATGCCAACCCATCAACATGATACCTAAAGTTTATCGGGGTTTAATCAATCGGATCGTGTATGTATATATGTGTGTGTGTGTGTTACATGGTTGGGGGTGCGTGACCCCATACCTGTAAGACTACCCATACGAGCCGAAGGCCCAAGGGCAATACTACAACGCCTAAAAGCCACGGAGAAAAGGAAAAAAAAACCGCACATCAGCCCAGACTAGCGTCCAAAGGGGGTAATTGAGTTTCGGTGAGCCCACATACGTTCCAACATCCTCGCCAGGCGTGCGGGTTCCCATTGCATGGCCTCCAACATACTCTGTTGATGATCGAATCCCTCTTCAGCACGAATATCATTATAGGCTGGGCATTCCAATAACACGTGTTTTTCATCCTCAATTCGGCTATTAGGACCACAACAGTGGCAAAACCGCTGCCCCCTGGGAACATGGTACTTGCCCCTTCGTGCTCTGTTCGCCTCCAAAGCCCAGCAACATAAACGAAACTGCATTAGCTTACGATGTGCTAAACGAGGAATGAAAACCTTAGCATGTGCTGGCCACATGACGGCTGCGGCTCCCGAAAAGGGCAGNCCCATCCAGTGCTTATACTTCGCCATTTGCACTCCCGGTTGCTTCCCATCTGATGGGTACTCCTCTGGCAAGACAGTCAGACGCGTATGGTCCCAGCCGCTCATCAAACGCTCTCTTAGTGCCGTTATTATCGCTCCTTCTGGTAGAGGTCTACTCAACAACCAGTCAACACGCTCCTTTACCCCCACGACTTCTTGCGGTATTCCGCTCCAAATGTTGCACTCCAAGAAGGAAAACAGTCGTAACATTGAGATTCCCCAACCCTCCCATTCCGGGTTGGTCAGGGCATCGGTTATCTCCTGCCGTAAAACTGCATGAGCGATGGATCCCACTTGTTTTTGAAGGCGGCTCCAGAAACGGAGAATCTGCTTCACCATGTAATATTGTAAGGGGAGTTCAGCCAGCTCCGCGTACAACAGCCTGTGGGATGGCCGTGCCGTCCCCACTACCTGCCTCATGAATAAAATCTGCAGCTGGACTGCACTATCCTTCAAACAGGCTTCGAACATGCCCTCCGCAAGGTTGGCTTTATCCCGCCGCCTTCCCGCCCTGTCCACGACCTCTGCCAGCGCAAAAGGGCCCCACGCCTGGCAGCCATACAACAGAATTGCTCGGACTTGGGTTGCAAAACACCGCATTCGCATGTATATATGTATGTATGTACGTATTTGTGTATGTATGTACCATACACCGCACAATACTGATGATCACCTTTGCCCAATTAAGAAGGCCAGATAGAGCACGTAGGACGGAAAAGGTATATGCTTGCTGACAGTACCTGACAGCGACTCGACTAAGTGGCCTGTCCTAATGTATGCTACGTCGCAAATGCATGCACTGCACATCCGCGTTGTCGGTCGTTATGCATGTATGTATGTATGTATGTTTCGGGCAGGGACCCCGAGCGTTTTGGCCTAGTTCAGTTCAGTCAATGCATAAGTCCGGTACTGGCGGCAAATGCAAGGAATGCGTGATCGAGCGAGGGGAATAAGCACTTAAAAATGTCGAACACCGTAAAGGATGGAGTGAAGCGCGTTGTGGGAAGGTGCTGATGCTTAGATTAGGGTGTGTGGGTGTGTATGCAGCGTGGCCGCTTCCCTGGGAGTTTACAGAGTGTAAGAAGGGTTCAGCTCCCTTGGCATCTCCCTGAGTACTCTTTGCCTGGTGTTACATTGGTGAGAATTGCTAGGAGGTGGGAACTCCCCAGATCGAATCCGGTTGCGAATTAATTGCACACCAGGCACGATGCGGCATACTCTTACCCCAAAGGTGGATGCCCGGGTGGGCGAGAAGTCTACCAGCTGAGTAAAAACAAAGGCCCCATCTCGGACGGGGACTGACGAAATGTCACGATAACCAACATTACACGATCCTACGGGACCTCAAACAACTAAAATCCTACGGGATATGCCCGGGGCCGCCCGAGGACGTTCGCTCGAGGGGGGAGGGAATGTAAGAAGGGTTCAGCTCCCTTGGCATCTCCCTGAGTACTCTTTGCCTGGTGTTACACACGGCAGTTGCCCTGCAGGCAGATGTCCCCCCATGTTCCGCAGAGCAAGACGAGCAGTGATGAGCTGATCAAGCTGTCGAATGGCGGCGCCCCGCGCAATTGCGTCTTAATTCTGGCAGTTCGGCAGGAGGACCATACTCCTGGACGATGACAGTTGGTCGGCAGCAGTAATCTGCCGACCAGGGTAAATACATGCTGCGTACATTCAATTCCATCCACAAGTTAATGGAATGACTTTCAACGCGTCTCGCAATCGAGAACTGGATGACTTCCTGTGCCGATGTCCAACTCAAGGGTAGCGAGGACGCATATGCCGAGTTTCCTTGTCATAAGCCAATCATCCCAGGGGCAAAAACGAACATCTAGCATACAAATGATATTAGCTGCATGTATGGAACACACCGCCGACTTGCTTGCACATGCATCAACACCTGTCAACTATGCTTGAATTAAGCTTAAATCAAGATCGCCGTGTACCTATATACAAAAATGTGACACAAGGTAGTCAATTAAATTATGTTTCTATGCACGCTATGGGGTTCTGGTTCATAAGGTTTGCCTACTTTTGCTGCTGCAGCAGCAGCTGCTTCAAATATTTACAAGTAGGGCACAGTAATATATATTTTAGTTATAATGAATCACCAATTGCTTGTCAACCTCTACGTTCGTTATCATAAACATGTGCGGAGCGCGTGCGGTCTGTCTGGTAGGAGTCGGCAGAAGGCCTATGGGCGCGCGCCAGGCACGGGCGATGATCTTTAACATGCAGCATAAAAGCATCTATGGGACAAAGCTTACATATGAATTATATTGGATTGTGTTTTATCTGTTTGGTCACCATGTTTAATCGACGCATGACTACTGCTGCTATTACTGTATCGGTAGTGGCTTTGCTATGTGCAGCCCAAGCGCAGCCAACAACATTAAAGACACGTTTCGAAGGATACACGTATGCTTCGAACGTAATAGGATATGTTAACATGACTCTCGACTACTGTGACATACAGGTAAGCGGGTAGGAGTTGGATTAAAGTAACAGAGTCAGCGAATTCCTCAAAGAGGGGTTACAACTGTTAGGTAATTCAATGTTGTTGGCAAGGTGCTGTTATGCAGATGCCGCGGTTGCGCAGCCATTGGGCGCGTGCGATGAAATTGCAAGTAAACTTGCTGAAGCCTGTTTTGTGCTGTTTCTGGTCATCGAATGCATAACTGTCACCAGGCTGCCATCACTACCGGCAACTTTACTGCTGCGTTAGAGATCTATGCAACCGGCAAGAACTCCTACTCTGGTCTGTCGCGCCGCACGTTCTATGTAAGTGAACTCAGAAGCACAAGACATATTTGCCATCTCCCTATGAGTGTCATGTAATCGTGAATATAAATGTACACATACACACACACACACACCCCTTATAGGCGTTGCCAGCACCTTCTACATGCTACCGTACTGTGGGTTTTAGGTGCTCTCAAGGCGCCCATCCTTGCACAATGTGTATGTATCCCATGGCGAGCGTCGTTCCGTGGCTTACTATGCTCAATGAGACACAACGAGGACAAACTGCTGGATATATATGCTTGCTGACATGTCTACGTGCTTTGGCCAAACGCTATCCGCGCCGGCGCTATCTCGTTTGGTGGCCATAGCTACATATTTCCTGGTATTAATTGCCGCCGCTTATTCGTGTGGATGACATTATTGTCATGTCAACATTAAGTCTGCTGGCCCCCATGTACGACGCATTGCTGTGCTCCTATCCCAGCGCTTTGCCTCTTTCGCGCCGGCGGCTGGTGTTGTGGAGCCTCTACATGACGCCTTGACTGCGGGACGTAACGCGACATGGCTCGATACCTTAATCAAGTGAGTTTGCACGTACCGTTAGCGTTGGTTATAATCTACAACACGGCGGCACATAGGAATAATATATCTGCAGGGTTTGGGCTGGGGACGCGATCGGCGTGCGATCACCTCTATAGCTGCCGTAACTGCTGATGTGCTTCCTGGACGCACCTACCTACATACATACCGACGGCGCTTCCTGCAGCTTTTAGGTTTATGAAAGGCAAAGGTAATCTTCACGCCCAGTCGTCGGCGGGACGGACGAGGCCCAAGCACGCTCGCCCTGCATGTTGCGTTACACGTGCACGTACACGTGCTGCGTGCCTAAATGTACTGCAGCTCCCCCCCCCTGCGTGACCTGCTAAATTTGAAATTTTGAAAATGCTGCTGTTGCCACCTGCAGAGATGCCATCTCCAAGCGCGACGGCCCACTGACTCTTGGCCTCATCCAGGTGATGAGTTATGCCGGTGGCTGTGTGATTTATACAATGATTAATCATGTTCGGTGGCGGGAAGGTGCAACTGTGCGTGCGTATGTATATGCACCGCCAAATCCAACCAAATACCGTATAGATGCACTGTGCCACGTCGGGGGTAGCTGGGTCGGTCGGTCTTTGCATTATTAGTCCGACGGACGGGGTGCGTGTAGCTTCATCCATCCGATCTTTCAGGATGTGGAGAGTCTCTTGCTCCATGTATACGCTGATGAATGCTTTGATGATGCTAGCCCCCCCCCTGCCCATGCAGGTCGCCGCACTGAAGTATTTCCTCCATGAGGTGGATGAGGGTTTCAACAAGATCCGGACATATTTCCAGGACCCCACGAACAACGACATCCTCATTAGCGATGAAACAGGTGCGTGCGCGCATGGAGCTGCTGTCTCTTGGTTGTGCATGCACGAGTGTACCAGATTTAGAACGTTCATGCAACTCTGTCCCCCTTGCCTGCTGTTACCACCGAGGACCGCCAGCGACATGATCGACTTGCGTGTATACTATCGTATTGCTATACTGCTGTACTACTATAGGTAGCCAGCAATCTGGACCGGGACCTGCACCCATGGCCCGGCATTATACCACAGCCCACGCCTGAATGCCTTACACCTGGCTGCATTGTCCCGTTTCATTCTGTTTGCCTCCGTTCTTGCCTTGATCTGCATACCTCGGCTGGCACCACGCGCCCCTGCTGGATTGTGACCGACACTCAGGTATCAGAGAATGGTGATGGCAGTAATAGGACCGAGGGGGGGTCCGGTGCTTGGCTGGTCTTTACAGCCCCTTCCGCCCCTCCCTCTCGCACCACCTCTTCCGTCCCTTCCGCTAAACCAATCTTGCCATCCCTTGCTTCCGTCTTCCTGCCCGGAAACACATACAGGTGCACCCCACAACGTCGATGAGGCCTTTGCTCTCTGGGCTGGTGGCAACCCCAGGGCATGTGGCACACTGTCGGGCTGGGCGGCACGGCTGGGTTCGGATATGGACGCCACCTTCCTTGGCAAGTCGTTCGTCAACAGCGCCATGACGCTGGCATTGAACGAACTGCTGGCTTCGTCACGCACCGGTACGCAAAGCAGTGGCGTCGGGTGCTGGGGTGGTCATTGGAAACCATCTGTATGGTCGTGTGCGGGTTGGGTGTGGGGAAGGGGGAAGGTAGGATGTAAGATGGGAGAACGCCGTATGTGCTTCCGCATTCTACTCTTGCGCTAACCCTTTCAGCTCTTGGTGAGGGGGTATTCGGGAGGTTTCCGACTATGGGGGGTGGCGGCGGCCATGATAGCCTAACACTTTGTCCGTGTGTGTATATTGCGCATGTATGTGTGTGTACGTATGTGTATATAAAGTGTGCTCTGTTTACTTGCTTAACCCCCCTGCACGTCGCCTGCGTGCTCTTGCCCGCATGTCCTCGACCAACTGACGGATCCGCAGCGGACCTTGACATCTATAACGACACCCGCGCTATGGTGCAACGCTACATCACCGTGATGGGGCTCCAGGGAGTAGTCCGCTCCTTGTACCGGGCAGAAGCCGCAGTGGCCTGCAAGCGCTCTGCGGCCCAAATCGCAGAAGCCAAGGTGTGTGTGTAGTAGTGCCTAATAAGTGCACAGGCAAACCTTCTATTTATGCATGCCACCGTTGAAGGGCCTTCTTCGAATGCGAATGCCGAGGGTCTGGCTGAAAAGGGAGCTGATTCCCGCTATCCACCTTACGTGGATGCCTGTAAATGTGCGATGGGTGTCGTCCAAGTGATGCCACCCACTTGTGTCACTATCAAAGCATTCTTTTTGCCGCGTGTGGATACGCTGCCTGGTATATATACATACGTCACTTGCATCCACAACTTGCCGCACCGTTTTCCCTTACATGCTACGTCGTCATCACTCGTACTTGTCGCAGGCCATGATTACAGTACACTGGACATACCTTGAGCCCCTGCTTTTTGCGCGCAACATGCGTGCATCGTACATTCAAGCTCTGGGCCAAGCACTAACGAATCCCACTCCAAGCTACTCGCGAGCGCTCCCCGCCATTCGGTACGTGAACCCACGGTTAATACTTCTTGTTTACGTGTGCTCTGTGTGTGCTCTGTGAGTTTCCCGGCATTAGACCTTGTTTTGTGCTCGCGAGCACGGATCTTGCACTACTGGTTTGCTCGTGGCCGGACGGTGTGTGTGCAACCCTGGTCATTCTGTCGCATGTATGTATGCAAGTACGTGCGTGCCTATTCAGCTGCTCAGCTACAGTAATGCGGTCATGCATCCTACGGTGTTGGCAGGGATCATTTCGACGGTCGCACTGGGGTCCCCCTGGCCCACATCCCCCATTCAGCCACCATCCACATTTGGACCGGAAAAATTTGTTTTCAGCGTTAGCTCTGCCACTAGCACAATCGTCGTTTGCTTAGTTTTAAAAGCTGCGCCCGTGCTTCTTTTGCGTGTGCGTGCGTGTGTGTGTGTATGTGTGTGTGTGTGTGTGTGCTCGCAGGACTGTGGTTTCGGCGATGGGCCGGCGCATGTCGGAAATCGGCACGCCCCAGTTTGACCGCGTCACTGCAGGCTGGACCACCTGCAATGCAGCCGCTGTGGCACCCGTCGCTGGACACCGCCAATCGTAGGTCGACAAACTTTGCACTTTGATTTGACAAGGCAGGATACCGGGCGACAGATGCTAGTGCACAGACCCAGCAGCAGGAGGATGGTTACGGGTGTCGATATTGAGGGCAAGCAATTCGGCTCGTTTTGAGTGTGTGGGCCGCCTGCTTGCGCTTAGTTGACCCAGCTGGTACAGCCAGAAAATTTATTGGATCGTACAGAGTATGCATATGTATGCATGGATGTGTGCATTCAATTTTTAATTAGCTAGGGAAATATGAGGCAAACCGGGGAAGCCGATGGCTCTCTGCGCACGTGCGGTGGGTACCATACGGGGTTAGTGTGTACGTGTGGCGAGTGCGATGAACAAACGGCCGTGATCTTTCTGCCTGTGAGACGGCGCGCATGTCCCATATATATAACAGCGATCAAACGATTTTGAGAGTTTGGTATGGAGGATTGGAGGTAAGCGGTTTACTAGGCAGAAACGGTGATATGTGCGAATATACGTGCAAAGGGTGCAAACTTGCTGTGCGTGAGGTGCATGCACTCGTTGCTTGTGGTCTCTTATCTCCTTGATTTTGTACTTCGATTGTAGCGTAGCATGGTGCATGGGCAATGTGCGTAATACTTAGTGTGTGCGCGCGCGCGTATGCGTATACATGCGTCGAAGAAGCAAAACGCAGGATGCAGTTTTGGCGGATTACGGCTTTTATGCATGGACACGTGTAATTCTACCCTGCAGACGCGGCTGTAGAAGCATTTTTTCAAGAGTGAGAGTTTGTAAGTTTTCCTTTCTTTTTTCTACCTATTTTGGTGTCTGCTTGGATTTGGTTGTCTGTTTTCGTCCTAATCACGACAAATATGACGTGAATGTAGGCAGGAATAATTGGATGGATTCTACCTGTCATTTCAATGCTGGATTTTGGATGCAGTTCGCTCGGTGGGCCGTATTGTACGAGCCGTTGCAACATTTCTTCGTATCGCTTTTTATTCTTCGCTCCGCCGACTACTAGCCTCTATCTAGGTCGGTCAGCTCTATCTAGGTCGGTCAGATCTATCTAGGTGCGAAAGCCGAGGGGTAAATATGCAAAGGCTAGGAATGCTGGTCCACCGAGGTAGAATTGCTGGCGTCGCGTGCCTTGACAAGTGCATTGCCAGCCTTCGCCTTGATCTCGGCTTTGATCTGTATGAACCATGTAATCCTACTGGCAGCATTAAGCCTCTCCATGTGGGTCGACTTTTCTGACATTTAGGTTGTTGGCTCCCGCCTTGCTCCGGGCTCCTAACCTGTTGCAAAAGTAACAATGCTGTTGCTTGAGCAAGTATTGCATACAAACTTAGCGCATCGTTCTGTTACAATATTAAGAGATAAGATTCAGAGACCAATAAAGCAAAAACCTAGAGATTCCGTGCAATCTGCAAAGATCTGCACGGCATGGCACTGAAACCAGTTCGCTCAGAGGGCTGACCGCCACAAACTTAGTTTTACAACATGTTACAAGGACCTGTCCATTGATCTCTGGTGGTTCAATGGTGGTGTTTGGTCGTGGATGGTTTCGTATTAAATATCCCTGCCCGTTGTAACGAGTAGAGTAAAGACGAGATACGATTTAAAAGGGAAGCGGAAACGATTTTACAAGTTTAGTGGCTAGTTGGTTCTTGACAACCAAATGTCCGCCTAGACGGAACTAACCAAAGTAAGGATATGCTCTTGTTGGAGTACGACGTACGATAGTACGTTGTTCCGCCAATGCGTTACAAGTAATAATAAGAATATGTTAGTCATTACCGTATTTAACGGAATGCTCATAACATTCTCCCCCTCTTAAAGTATGTTTGTCCTCGACAGACCCCCTTCAATTCCGCCGCCACGGATAACCGTGTAAGAGCAAAGCCGAAAACGCCTCACTGACGGGATTGTTGCGAAAAAGAGCGAGAAGGAGTGTCCGGGCAGGTGGTCGAACCACGCGGCCAGAACGAGTAGTACGCACCGCAGGAATAGGAGTACGCGTAGGAATAGGAATTGCAGGCACGACAGGAGTAGTCTCAATGGGAGGAGACTCAGGAAGAACACTATCCGGAGTGTTTTGGGACGAAGGGCCAGGAATAGGTTTTGTCGCAGGAGAGGATGCCCAGTAATCACGCAGGAGAGGATGCCCAGTAATCACGCAGGAGATCAGCGCAGTTAGTAAGATTAGACTCAGGCTCCCAAGAGTCATACTCAGGACCCTGGCCTTTCCATCGAAGAAGGAAGAATCGCTTAGCGCCACGCTTAGCAGATTTACCCTTACTTTTCACAATACGATGGTCCAGGATTTTCTCGACTTCGAATTCGAGATTACCATCCACCACACCAGGAACGGGAGGTAAAGGAACGCGTCCACCATCTCGGTAGAGCTTAAGAAGAGAAACGTGAAACACATTATGTGCACGCACGTTAGTAGGCAGATCCAAACGATAAGCCACAGGATTAATAATAACCTGTGTTACAGCAAAAGGACCGATGTAATGAGGAAGGAGTTTACGAGGACCGTCTAAGCGCATATGCTTAGTACTCAGTAAGACACGGTCTCCCAATTGAAAAGTTCTCTCAGAACGATTCTTATCCGCGAAACGTTTCATACGTTCACGAGCAACGCGCAGACACTCTTTAGCACGCTCAAGTGCTTGCTGCATGTCAGTATGGAACGACAGCGCCACGCCATTGACTAACGAAGGCTCTGCTCTGCGTTCACCACTTTCTTGCGATGAGCTTCAGCTTTCGCAAATTGTGTGCAACGTAGGACAGCTTTCTCCCCCCCCAAATGGCGAACCAATTGGCTAGCTGGAGTGAGAGGTTTGAAGCCGTAATTAAGGAAGAAAGGAGTATTCTGAATGGCTTCATGGTAGGAATTATTGACAGCAAACTCAACCAGAGGAAGGAAACGAGACCAGCTAATAAGATCACCAGCCACGTAGTGCCGCAACATATCCTCTAAATCACGGTTGGCACGTTCGGTCTGTCCATCAGTTTGAGGATGATGAGAAGAGCTAAACCGAAGCGATTCTGAATAAGATCTTTGAAACACGCAGCAGTGAACCGCGGGTCACGATTGTTGTAATTCCGGTCAGACTTGTTCCTGCTGCTGGAGCCCCCGCGGGAAATGCGGATGAGGCCGGCATGGACACTGAGGAGGACCTTCCCCCTCTGCTGGAGGAAGATGCGGGGGAAGAGGAGTACGATGAGGGGGTTTACAATGAGGGGGAGGGACTTGAGTTGGAGGCAGCTGAGGTGGAGGCAGCTGAGGTGGTGGCAGCTGTGGTTGAAGGAGAAGTTATAGCTGATAGTGGAGCTGGTACCTCCGCAGGTACCTCCGCCCCCCCTGCTGCTACCTCCGCCCCCATTGCTGCTACGCGTTCGTCTACTAGGACCAAGCAGCCGAATTCCCTTTTTAAGGACTATGTGATGATAGCCAAAGGGGCAGAACCTCTAGAGCCTAAATCTCTAGCTGAGGCGAAGGCACGTGCGGACTGGCCTCAGTGGAAGGCGGCGATGGATGAGGAGATGAAGTCGTTGTTAGAAAATCGTACTTGGGAACTTGAGGAATTGCCTAGTGATGCTAAGAAGATTGGCTTGAAATGGGTATTTAAAATCAAGCGGGATGGGAGTGGTAATATTGAACGGTATAAGGCTCGTTTGGTAGCCAAGGGTTTTACACAGCAGAAAGACGTGGACTTTGCGGAAGTTTTTTCACCCGTTGGTAAATATGCTAGTTTTCGTGCGTTGCTTGCTGTTGTGGCGGATCGAGATCTCGAGCTTCATCAGCTCGACATCAAAACCGCTTTCTTGAATGGTGTCTTGGAGGAGGATGTATACCGTAGTGCTACTTATAGTTCGTGATCGCTTTGTTCGGGGAGGGGTCAAAAAACTTTCTGAAATTTGTACGTGCTCTTTGAATTTCGGGGAAGGCCGGACCAGATTTTGCGGGCATGATACAAATTTCGGGGCCCCTTCCAAAGTTTCGGGGCTTTTCAAACTGCAGCTTCCAGTCAGTCTCCCTCCACCGGGAACCCTTAGGCTCATGGTCTCTCACCATTTTCGCACTTTGGAAACGCCCTAGCAAATTCTGGACCGATCGTACAGTTCAGTACCAGTGGCAACGACCTAATAACCAACCGGCCGGGCCAATACAGTGTTTGGGATTTGTTGAAGAGGACGTCCAACAGGTCGAATGCCAGGCTGCCGGCTGCCGTAGCATTGGCCGCATTGCGCTCGCGCCTAGCAACCTCCTCGTGCTCCATTCGCTCACGCTGGGCCTCGACAACAGCATCATCAAGCCTAACTGGTGCAAATCCAGCTCGGTCGCTCACCGGAGCGTTTCCCTACCGCATGTTATTGGCCCAATAATGGGAACGCCTGGTAACCGGCCTCGATTACCAGGCTATAAGGTTACTGGGTCGTTAACGGGCTAGGGTCGTTAATCGGCCAGTTACCCGTAATCAGGCTCCATTACCGGGGTGGTTTACCAGGTCGTTTATCGGGCGGCCAGTTACAAGGCTAGGGTCGGTAATCGGTCAGTTACCCGGTAATCAGGCAGCATTATCGGGTGTTTACCAGGTCGTTTATCAGGCGGCCAGTTACAAGAATATCCTCGGTAATGGGGCAATAACATAGATATTATCAGGACGATAACCGACCAAACTCTTGCGCAAATGGCTCATTAAACAGCGATTACCAGCTCAATAGCGGGTTCATATTATCCCGCTAACATGCCGTTAACGGGATAACATGAACCCGCTGATGGTGTGACCTGTACCGTCCTATGCTGTCCGTTAACAACATGTTAACGGACAGCATAGGACGGTATAGGTCACACCATCAACCCCTGCTGTCAGCTCTCATATGCACTTCGAATGGCAGACTCCCTCATACACAAAGCATTGCCCAATAGCCTACTACAACCTGCTCACATCTCTCAATCGGTACCACGAGGACTAGAGGCCCTTCTTTACTGAACATTGAGAATCACTTGAAACAACAGGCGCCCTCCAGGTTCCTGATCACTGCCCGCGGTCTGCTACCTCCGCTGCTTCTTCAGCCCCCCCTTCCGAATCTCTGCCATGGCCTTCTTGCCCTTCTCCTGCTGCACCTTAGCCCCGCGGGTCTGTACAGCTCAGCCGTTACCGACACCAAACGATTCCTTCCTCTTTGCGGGGTTTGACGCTGTGGCCCCGAAAGCCGATGGGTCCTCCGGCAACGCCGGTGGGGTTTCCTTGCTGCGTGGACGCTTGATGCAAGCAGGCGCCACCATGGCCACAGTTTCTTGGCTCTCCCGAACCTTAGCCGAGGGTTGCCTCATGCGCGTGGGCCGCCCCCCGGCATCCAATGCCCCTACAATAAGTGAGAGTGATTCAGAAATTAATTTTTATGTGTAGTCGTAATTTATTGCCTTGTTGTTAGTAAGTTCCGTGTGTAGTCGTAATTTATTGTCCTGTTGAAGCTACAATTTACCTTTGTCATGTTTTCCGGTCACCAGGACCTTGCGGCGCCCAGTTGGTTGAGGCACGGACTTGCTGTGGACCTTCTGGCTCTTGCTTCTGCCGTACTCCTCGAGCAGGACTTTGCCCCCCGTCCCCTCGTCATCCTCCCCTCCCTCATCCTCCCCTCCCTCGTCCTCCCCTCCCTCATCCTCCCCTCCCTCGTCCTCCCCACCCTCATCCTCCCCGCCCTCATCCTCCGCGCACTCGCCCTCGTCTTCCCTGCCCTCGCCCTCGTCCTCCCCGCTGTAGTCCCCATCATCTCCCTCATCCCCATCCTGGCGGCTGCTCTTCTGGCCGAGGGGCTCCTGCTGCGTCTCCATAACGTTGGCCTGGCCTGGGGGGTTGTACATTTTGTTGTGAAGTTAGGAAGGGATACAAGCAACATGATGTATTGCATGACAGGGAAGTTTCAAGTAGTTAATGTACATGACCTTCATGTCTGAACTTAGTAACAACGCGTGGGTATTTAGCTTTTACTGAGCAGTGGCGTTCACTTACCCTCAGTTGCAGCCGTGTGGTTGCTCTTCTTGCGTTCCTGACCTGCAAAAGAGAACACGGAGGCACAGATTGCAAGTGAGGTTGAGGTCGTCTTGAGGTTGAGGAAACGTCCACGTTTTTTCTTTGCATGCATTACCTGCTGGCTGAGTGCTGACCTCGACATGGGCAGTCACCCACTCCTTAAAGAGCTTGGTCGCACTGACGGCGTCCATGGTCGCCACGGTCTCGAGCTTAGCCTTGTCTGCAGTCGTCAGTCTGATGGCCTTGAAGAAGTCCGACTTCTTCTTCTCTGCATGCATCGGCATCCGAAACGTGGGTTACTCAAAACTAACGTAAAGATCAGCACTGTGGGAGTGTGAGGTGTAACACACAGTTTGATTGAATATCGTTTGGTTTCCGAAACATCACCCTTTCTACCTGACTGATGGTTTGCCATCGCGTTCTGCAGCTTCGCCTTCAAGGCGTCATAGACAGCGTCGTACGTAGCCTTGTCTTCCTGCTGAACCTTAGAGAGGCTGTCTCCAGTCAGTGACCGGAAGAGCGCCGCCATCCACCGCTTCCCCAACTTCTTAAGGTCAACAACGTCGGTTGTGTCCTTCACTGCGCCCTTAAGCTTGTCCTTCTTCGCCAATGCGGACGACAGGGTGTCCCAGGTAACCCCAAGGATAAGGAACCTGAAAATGTGCCAGCGTTATGTGATCTTGCGCAGAAAAGTACCCATGTCTACTACATCAATCTATGTTGTACCTACCCGCACGTGTACCACTTGTTTATCTTGATGGCGTCGGGCTTCACAACCTTCTTAACGACCACCTGGTACTTCAATGGTATGGTGGAGGACAAGTGCTTGGCCACTTGCTTGGTTGTGGAAGGCTCAGTTACAGATGAAGCGTTACTGCATGACATGTCAGTGAGAACGGAATGAATGGCAAGTGTTGAAATAACATCGTGACAGAGTTGCAGAGTATCACAAGATAGCCAGCGCCATACTGACAGATAGCCTTAGACGGAGATTACATGTGTGAAACCCCCCCCAGGGTATCCGTTACCTTTCTTTATCAAAAGCTTAGTCTGTTGCCCCCCGTTCTGCATACCCTTATTCCTTACAGCGGGGGCGACAGGGCACGTGAACGCGGCCATGTTGGATGCGGCAACGGCCGCCGCAACGGCAGCGACACTGCAGGCGGAAGCAGTGGCGGCGGCGGTGGCGGAAGAAGCTCACGCCAGAACCGTGCCACGGTGCTGGTCGTCGATGGCAGTGGTAGCAGTTCATGTGTTGTCCTAGACTCTGGCTCACCTTACCACCTCACGGGTGACCGTTCCTTGATGCACAATTACATCCCTGTCGGCGCGCCTCAGCAAATCAAGTGGGGAAACAATCAGCTAGCCGACGTCATGGGAACAGGGCAGTTGCTCCTAGGACGCGCGATGGGGAATCTGTCACGCGCCCAGGTGGTGTAGGCTGTTCATGCCGATCTCATCAATGATGAGCGCACCAGTGCCGGCATTGCGGTGCACCTGTAGGCTGGCAGCGCTGCCTTTCCTGACACTCTCCGCTTGGTTGTTGCCAGCGGAGAGGGCAAACATGGCGTGTGTGGAGAGGCTGCTGTGCACTGGCGTGTTGAAGGCAGCTGTGGCGGCCCAGGAGTAGGCGCAGGTGGCCGCCCAGTGCGGGCAGCCATGCTGGAATGTGTACCAGAGCAGCGCCTGTATGAATTGGGTCTTTCCGGTGCCGGGCTTGCCCTCCACCAGCATCTGCGGTGGGTCGCCAGGGTCAGGCTCATCACGGCGGTCGAAGTACTGGGCCATAAGCATGAAGGGCACGGCCTGGTGCGGGGCGAGCGTGAAGAGCTCGATGGTGTCATCGATGCTGGGCGGCTGAGGGAGGTGTATATAGATGGGCATGTGAGCCTGTTCAATCCGCTCAGGGATGTCAGGCATGCGCACGACGGCGACCAGGGGTCCGTTGGTGGGGCGGTGCAGCTCGAGGCGAGGTGTGTCCATCTCAGGTGTGTTTGTCAGGCCCGTGTGGACGCCCCCCTCTGCCTCAACAGTGCCAGCTGCTGCTGCGACGAGGTACCGCTTTGGCGGCCCATAAGACGGCCAGGAGGCCACCGAGAGGCCACACCGTGGGCAGCTTATCATGGCGTCACCCCTGATATCAGCCACCTGCACACCTTTGGCTGCCTGGCCTATGTCCGCATCCCAGCCAGCCAGCAGGATAAGCTCGGTCCCCGCGCTAAGGCGGGAACCTACCTTGGACCGGAGCACAACACGGCCGCCCACCGCGTCCTTGTTGACGGCAAGGTGACTGTTAGCAGCGACGTCACCTTCGATGACGACCACTGCGGCCCGACATCTCAACGGGCGGGCACCCCCTTCGGCACCAGCCCCGCCCGTCCTGGCGGCAGCAACCCCGTCGGCGGCTCAACACAGCCTGCCACACCGCCAACTCAAGTGGATGCCCCGCCCCCAGTGAACCCAGCGCCCCCCCTCCGCCCCAACACTTGCAGTCAACGGCAACCGCTGCACCAGCCGCTGGCCCCTTTCAGCCTGGCCAACAACAGCAGCGGCGGCGGCGGAGATTTGGGTAGTCCACCGCTGCTTAACAAAGCGTCGGGTAGCTCTGATCGCGCTGAGTTTAACGTGCCCGACGGCAGTGCCAACAGCGGACACAATAGCGCTGCACAGGAGCTTAACATGCCCGATGGCAGTGCGGACAGCGGAGGCCACAGCGCGGTGCAGGAGCCGCACAAATATGAGGAAGCGGTGGCGAGTCCGCAAGCTGACAAGTGGAAGAGTTCGATGGATGACGAGATCCTGTCGCAGCTCTCCAACAAAACATGGGAGTCGTGCACACCGCCGCCCAGTGCACGCATCCTCGACTGTCGCTGGGTTTACAAGATCAAACAGGAGCCAGGCAGTGAGGTACGCTATAAGTCGCGTTTGGTGGTGAAGGGATTTGAACAGCGCGCGGGCATAGACTACGGAGAGCTGTTTGCACCCACCACGCGTGCAGTCTCCCTGCGGGCACTTCTAGCTGTGGCAGCAGCCAGGGGTATGACGGTCCATCAGATGGACGTCAAAACGGCTTTCTTAAAAGGCGACCTAGCAGAGGAGCTGTGGATGCGACAGCCACCAGGTTACAGCAACGGCGACCCGATGCAGGCGTGCCAGCTGTTAAAGTCCGTCTACGGCCTCAAGCAAGCCCCATGCTGCTGGTACGAGAAACTGGCGGCGGAGTTGGGCAAGCTAGGCTATGAGCCGTCTATGTCCGACCCCGCACTATTCGTCAAGCGCGGGTCCGACGGCTCAATTTATGTGCTCGTGCACGTTGACGGCATGCTGGTGGCGGCACACAACCTGCAATTGGTCGCGGCCGCCAAGGCGGCCATAGCTGGTTGCTTCGCAGTACGAGACCTTGGAGAGGCGCGCTACTACCTCGGCATGGACATCATCCAGGACCGCCGCAAACGCAGCATCATGCTTACGCAGCACAGTGCTGGGCATCAGGTGCTGAGGGCTTTGAGGATCGGCCTCAGTTCATTCCTTTTTTCCAAACGCCAAAATGGCCTGTTTATTACTTTTAAGGAATATATTACTTTAAAAAAAGACACTGAGCTGAGTACCGGCCATAGAGGGCTGTCCTTGCTGCTGTAAATTAATGCGAAAACGATAGTCTTCAAACCGGTAACCAGCCCCGGTTACGGCCCAGTAACGATCAACCCGGTAACCCAATCGTAACCACCCCCATTAACGACCCCCGGTAACCATCCACCTGGTAACCGGTCTCCGCATACCCCGTTAACGACCTAAATTGCCCGATAACCGGGCAAGTCTATGTGGTAGGGTTTGGTGCTAGCGGTTTCATCCCGCATTGAAGCAGGGTTGCCTGTCTTGCACGTTTTCCAGCGTTGTTCATGTCCTACGTTTATGACTATATTTTATGTATTTAAGAGCTGATTTCCGCCTTGAAATCCTAGTTTTTGCGAAGTTTGATCGACCGGCTTCGGAGGGTACGATATTTCGGGGCTGCGGTCCCTTGGGATACCTTAGAATTTGTACGTGCTACATATTCGTGGTGCCTCCCGAATTATTGTAGCACGAACTATAAGTAGCACTACGGTACACTGAACAACCCCCAGGATATGAGCAAGGGGGCGCTAACATTGCTTGTCACCTACGGCGTTCGTTGTACGGTCTGCGACAGGCTCCGCGCACCTGGTATGCACGTCTTCGGTCGGTGTTGGAGCAGATGGGGTTTAAGCCCTCCACTGCGGATCCTGGTTTGTTCATCACGACGGAGAAGGGTGAGCCCATCTATATTTTGGTATATGTCGATGATCTCCTTATTGCTTGCAAATCGGTTTCTTTGGTTGAACTTATTAAAGAGCAATTGCGTAGCGTGTTCGATATGCGTGATTTAGGGGAAGCCAAGTTTTATCTGGGCTTTGAAATCCATCGTGACAGGGAGGCGCGTACTATTCGCATCTCACAGAAGCGATATGTTGCGGAGGTTCTTTCCAAGTTCGCCATGGAGGATTCGAATAAACGTTCTACTCCTATGGATGCTAACGTGCGATTATTGTCCGATGGAGATGCACTTGATGTGTCACGTTTTCCTTATAGCGAGTTGATGGGTAGTCTGCTTTAGCTGTCAGTTTGTTCGCGTCCGGATATCTCTTTCGCCGTGGGAGTTTTAGCCCGTCACATGTCTAAACCTACTGTGGCGCACTGGAATGCCGCAAAGGGAGTTCTCAGATATCTGGCTGGCACTCAGGACGTCGGTATCTCGTTTGGAGGCAACTTGGACATTGTGGGCTTTTGCGATTCGGACTTGGCTGGGTCCGAAGGACGGCGTTCGACAACAGGGTTTGTTTTCCTGCTTGGTGGTGGAGCCATCTCCTGGTCTTCAAAGATCCAACCGACCATCGCCACATCAACCGCAGAGGCCGAGTACATGGCGGCGGCGTCTACAATTAAAGAGGCACTTTGGTTACGACATCTTCTTCTTGATCTCGGTGTACGAACTGGTGCTTTGCCCATCAAGTGTGACAGCAGCGCGTGCATCGCGATGCTTGAAAGTCCTATTTCGTCTGCGCGTACGAAGCACATTGACGTGTGTCATCATTTTGCACGTGAGCGGGTAGAACGTGGTGAAGTCAGGATGGTTAAGTGCTGCACAAAGGAGCAGCTGGCCGACGTTTTTACCAAAGCGTTGCCAAGAGAAAAGTTTAAGTTCTGTGTGGACGGGTTAGGTCTGGAGTAGTTCATTACTCCTGTCCTACAGGGTTTATGTCACTTCAGTCAACACCGCTGTGCTTATGAAATAGCTGAGTAGTTATTTGTTGTACGGAAGTCTGTCCGCGGGGGAGTGTTGTAATTCCGGTCAGACTTCCTAGGCTTTTATAGCTTGTCGTCGCGATAAGCTTTGTACTACGATTGGTGTGATTCCTAGTTGGGTCTTATCGTACGGACTTGATCTATTGGTACTATTTGTACCCTGAGGCAAGACTTCTTTATCAAGCTGATTGTAACAACTATTGCTCATTGGGACTTTGGAGTGTCCTTCGAGATAGGGCATAGTGTAAGCTCGCTTATCCAGCTCGTGCTTAACTGGATCTTGTGTCAGCTATTTCTGGCTATTTACGAGTAGTCACAACAACGATCGCAGACAATCACTCGAGGAAGACCATACCGAGGAATGACGACGTCAATAAACAACTCAACTGCTTGAAGAGCAGTAAGGGTTATACGGCAAGGAGCAAAATGAATCATTTTGGTGAGTCGGTCAACAACGACGAAAATGGCATCATTACCATGAGAGTCAGGAGGAAGATCAGTAATGAAGTCCATAGTAACTTCAGACCACTTCTGAAGAGGAATACCAAGAGGTTTAAGCAAACCAGCGGGTTTAGTATGTTCAGGTTTGTCTCAACGAACATGTCGCCGTCGATCCTCTGGTAGTTCCAGAGACACGTAGAATCGGGAGACATGTGGTACTGGGAACCGGAATCCAGCACCCAGCTGTCGTCGGCATCGCTATCCGCGGGAGCGACGGCTTCTTGAATTCCGACGCCAGACTTCTTGACGACGGGCGGTGTATCGACGCGTGCAGAGATGACGACAGGCGCCTCGAGCGCCGCGCCGCGAGAAAGACGTAACCCTTTTACCGTACACCTCGGAGATTTTCTTTTCCGTGCGCTTCTTTTTGAAACATTGTTCCTCTGTATGGTTATCCTTGCCGTAATAACCACACTTGGCGCCTGGCGTATTCCTTGAGGTGGTTGGCGCAGTCGATGTACTCGCCCCGGAGTTACCAGGCGATTTACAGAATCGCGCCTTATGTCCAGGTTTTCCGCAGTTGTAACATTTAGTGGTATTGCGAGAGAATAGGGCGACGGCGACGGGATCCGTAGTCGCGCTGTTCTTGGTTGCCTGCTCGACCGGCAACAAAATCTTCTCCAGAGCAAGTAGATCAGTAGGCATGGCACCCATAAGCAAATGTTGTCGGGCCACTTCGAAGAAGCTGCTAAGACCCAGTACCGCTTGCAAAACAATGGCGTTGTTGTCCTTGGCCAATCCCGAACCCGCTTCCCGCATTTCACTCACAACGTTCTTGACGCGAAACAGGTAATCAACCACTGACTCGGAGCTGGCCATCTTCAGTGCTCGACAGATGTCATCGCACCAAAGGTTTACGACGCTCTGGAACTGTCTCTGGAACTGTCTCTGGAACTACCAGAGGATCGACGGCGACATGTTCGTTGAGATCGCGGACGGTAGGCGACTTCGTGTAGCTGGTTTTGGGGATCTACGAGTGCTTAGTGATCAGGACGAGGTTTTGGAGTTTACCGGGGTATTCCATGTCCCGGGATTCAAGCACCGTCTGTTGTCTGTCCGTGTCCTCGTTGAGAAAGGAGCGAGTGTGGAATTTGAGGGAATTTATGGAAGCTCCGAACGAAGACCCTCATATAGTCCGGAGAGTTGGAATTCGCGAGAAG